TAGGGAATATACTAGGTAAGCTTAGGGATCAGAGGCACGTCCCATAAAGGGCGACGGCTAAGGGACGAAGGGGCAAATATATTAATTCGCGAGCGAAACGACGACAAAAATAGAGAAAAAGAAAAGAAATAAAGAGAAAGCTAAATTAGTAACGAGTTACGGCCGAAGAACAAACAAAAAGAAGTCGAAACGATACTAAATATAAGCACTAAGGAGATAGAAGAGAGTTATTAAAGGGGGAAGAGTGAGGGGAGAGAAGTGAGGAAATATATAAGTAAAGATATCAACAATATATATAAGTAAATAACAATAATACGCTAGAAAACCACCAATACGCGACCGGAAAAGACACGCGCAAACATATATTACTATTAGCCAAACTAAATACACGACCTCGCGCGGCATAATAATATTATTGCCCTATCGCGGCCGGGTCTGCCGCGAAACTAGAGGGAGTCTGATACTATTTATAACTCCTACGTGACACACCTTAAGTATAACGATACCTAGGGCTTATCCCTATCATATAATCCGACCCCGGGGGTCACGTGCCACTAGATAACGTTATACTAAAGAACGACCAAAAAAAAAAAAAATTTTCGATTACCTTTGGGGCCCGTCGTCTCTAGAAGGGGAGGTAGTTATAAAGGAATACTAAGGACTAGCGGTGAAGGTTTGCCCCGCAGTGGAATAAGCAAGTCTCGGACCCAATTCGTACTTAAATCGAGAGGGTTTCCAATTAATCTAGACTTAGCAAGAATCAGTCTTGCTTCTACAATACTACACCTAGTCCAGACATCCTTTCTTACCTAACCGACAGGCTTTCTATCCTGAACACATAGATCCTTTACACCCAAGGCACAGGCTTTTAAAAAAAAAAATAGAAAATAATGTTAGAAGCTTAGGTTGCGATAAGTCCTTACGGATCTATATATCTTTATAGGCGAAGGAATCCTTATATTCTTTTTTATTAATGATATATTAATTACTAGTTATCGGTTAGTAAGAGAATAAGTATAGAAGCTCAAACGAGACCTTAAGAAATACTAGGAGCTTACCGGTTATAGAGATATAGCCTAGTTTTTAAATATTCGAATTATTAAAGACAAAAAGTAAAGGAAGCTCTAGCTTTACTAAGATAGCTATAGTATCAGTATAACTATGTAGTATAATCTTATAGAATATACGCTAATATCTATCCTACTTCTAATAAAAAAGCTAAAACTATATAAGGGTATTATAATACCTAAGGAGATTTATCTCTATTAATAAAAGTTTAGATTTAGTAAATATATAACTATAATTACTCGCCTAGATATTATAAAAGTAATAGCGAAGCTAGCGTAATTCCTTACTAACCTTAGCCCTTAATATTATTATATCGCTAATAAAGCGCTATTATATCTCTATATTACGCGATATCTTATTATTTAGTATTATTAGAATAGTAAGCTAGAGTCTATATAGATTATAAGCGATACCTCGTATAAGGACTATAAAGACTAAAAGAGTTTAGTAAGATATATTTATTAAATATATAGTAACCTAATAAATTAGAAAGCTATAAAGTAATATATAGTAATAATATCTACTATTAAAGCTAAGTTACTAAGGTTATCCGATATAAGTATCTCTAATAATAAAAGAGACTACTTAGATATATAGGCTTTATACCCTCCTATATTATTATTATTTAGTATAATAATAAGCGAGTAATTAGCCTACTCTAAGGGGATAATATATATTTAATACTAAGCTCCGATATATAGAGATATATTATTATTAGCTACGCTAAAAGGTCAGAGTAGGTTAAATTACTATCAAGTAAATACCTACCTTAAGTATAGTAGCTAATAGACTTACTAAGGTTCTCCCGCGACGAAAATATAATAACTTCGTTAGGCTATTAAATATAGTGGATATAAGTTATATGATTAACGAGTCCTAAAGAGGATATTAAGGGTATCTCGCATTAACCACGGATTCGCACGAATTGGACATATCCTAGCGATATTAGGATACCTAACACCGCTAAGGGGGTATATCAGTACGAATACCGCGGTGGACCAGAGATATACTTATCCTTTAACGTGGTCGGTAAGCGAGTGGCCAATGTAAACGAGTGGCCACCCAACCCACTTTTTCGTCTCTTTTATGCATTTATATCAACCACAACGCCTTTATATTGATTAATCTCTAGCTTTACATACATTCCTTTTATGTCCGATCTGTCCGCAATTAGTGCATTGGGGTGGACGCCGCGTCTTCGGTGCTTGTGTGTCCCGCGGTGGTAGGCTTGGTGGAGCGAGTATTGCCTGCGAGGACTCCTTATAAGCTTCCTCGAGCTCTAATGCTTCTCGTACGGATAGACCGTTATCGTAGGCTATCTATTTGTTCTTACGAGCTCGCTTTTGCTTTTGTGTAGCGTTTGCGGCACGTAGCTACTTATTTTCTTGCTTGAGAAGTATACCGTTTTATATTACGATCTGATAGCCTTTAATAAGCTAGTTTAGCGCGGTTTGCGAAGGCGATAGCGGACTTTTTGAGCGTCGCTTTAAGAAAGCTTTGATTAAGGATGCTTACTTTAGAAGCTTATCGATATTCGCGGGCGTATATAGGTAAAAAGCGCTTGATTAACTACCGCGGCTTACGGGAGGTATTAGCGTCCGAAGTTGAATATTAAGCTTTAATAGCACTTATTGAGGATTAATCGGCACTAATCCTGCTACTCGGAAGCTATTTTATATTATAGTTAGTTTATAAGCGTCGACGCGAGCTTATAGGTATATAAAAAGGAAGTTAAGTTTGTCGATATAGTTAATCCCGAGCCGTATCTTTTAGTCGATTAAACTGCCGTACGAACGCTTTAATATAGCGAAATATCCGATATTAAGAGGCTAAAGTAGATACGAGGAATGTGGCGGCATACAGATTAGAATAATATTATGATCTGCGCAGATTTGATCGAACTCTGGCGTTAGATAACTTCCGTGTCCGTTAAGGACTAGAAGGCGATATCGTCCACGCGTACGGTGATTTGTTAACAGAATAAACTGTTTTTGAAGCTAGCGAAGGCCTATCTCGTCGGTTATCTATCTATTTGCACTAACTTCGAAGCGCTAGTTAGGTGGAAGGTCTTTAAACTATACTTAATTATATAGCTTGCCTTTAAAGATAAGCGTTGGTGGAAGCGCCCACCCCGAAGCGTTAATTAACTTAATCGTAGTCACCCACTCGCGGTTTCCTAGCTATAAAACTAATCTCCGACCGTAGTATTCTGCTCGGGTAATCACTTTTTGTGCCGTATATAGGCCTATCGCGAAGCCAGTCTCATTAAAGTTATAGATATTGTCCGCTAGGATACCGTATTCCTGAATTATGACTTATACGAGGTTAAACTACGCCCGAATAATCTTTGGATCCTCTTATTCTGCCCGCTAGTAATTATATCGTCTAGAAAAGCGAGCTTTAAGCTCTGGATAGCGTTAGGTAAAGTTATATACCTATTTTTCGCTAACAGTCTGGATAGGGGTTAAACCGCGCTTCGTAAGCAGAATATTCGCTATTTCTCGTACGTGAGCTTGCGTAGGGGCAGCTCCACGCGTATTTAGCGATAATATGCGTTCCTTTAGCACTTCCTCTTCAATTTGGGTCATTTTATGGTTGTTTGCGCGAGTATTCACGCGATTTGTAGTGCCAGCGATGCGGCGACGAAGGGTTGTCCGAGGAATATTAAAGCGACGTGTAGCTTCGATAACTGAGCGAATTTCTTTCTTTTGAATCGCTTGTATAGCAAGTAAGAGGCGACCTTCTTACTGGATAGAATCCTGGCTTGATCCGACGCGAATTGGAGGCATAGTGCTTGATAGAATATAGGTAGGTGCATGGAAAGACGAAAAAGTGGGTTAGGTGGCCACTCGTTTACATTGGCCACTCGCTTACCGACCACGTTATGTTTATTACTTATGTAATCTAGAACCCCCCCCTATAAATTGCCAGAATTAGGGGTACAGGAACAGAGCTTCAGACATCATTGATTGGTTGCATACAAGACATTCTAACACTATCTTGAGGCCTGAGGGAGGCCTGGGGGGGAACGTGATCTGGAAGGAGCCGTGGGTCTAACCCAATTTGGGATATAAGTGGTTTTGTTTCGTAGATGCTCGTTTCCCTCTTTCTCTCTTCTTCTTCTTCTCCAGTTTAGTTGCCCTGTTAATGATACACGAATTCTGCTTCGTCTTGGTCAGTAACAGAATGGACAGTCCACATTATAGATGTGGAAACTCAATTCTCTGTTTCTGAGGCTACTTTCACCATATGCGAAATGACAATTAAGATCGATTGTCTCGCAGGTCAGACTTTCTTAGCCAATTTAGACGGTGCCAACAGGATTATAATTGCTCCCGTATCTTGAGCTTATTTGCCACTGAGAATGTGAAAACTCCGGGGAACATGGAATAATTTGCTAAACTTAAGAGAAACGTAAAAGAATCGGACAGAAGTTTGGAATTACCAGGTGTTGAGCCGCTTTGGTTTAGACTTGGTAAGAGATGTACTTAGAATCATTTGGGATCCCTTCCCTCGACAGGTGAGTGAGGAACCCAGGGCCTATTATTCCAGAAAAGGGCTGTCCGAAGATATCCACGAGTTGGCAAATCTGCATTAAGACCCAATGGCATCTCCAGTGGCGGCCCCGCTGCTGTGTAAACCTCACGCAATGGGGTGGTTCTATGTCCGGATTTGACACTTCTAGGGGCGCACAAATTACGTAGGATAGTGCCTACATCAGGTTCCTCTTCTCCATTGAAAATTCCAACGGAGCACATACGTATGTCATCGGTTGTGGTCACCTCGCTCAACCTTGTATTAAACAGTCTCATATTTCCGACCATTGGGCACTCTTCCCAAGTGGTGCCCTCGGCAGATTCGATAATTCCATATAGCTCGGCCCGGCATTTGAGATCCTCGGTATAAAAGGTGCTAGGCTGTTGCTCGGCTTCTCAGATAAGAGCACGTGTCGGGAAGAAATTGAGGCTTTGGTAGACAGCCTGGTAATTCGCAATAATACAGGCGCGTGCGACCGTTAATGCCATACGGGGCTCCCGATAGGCGAGTTCACGATAGGTCTCTGGTTCGGCAAGATTGGGGTACCAAATGCAGGATGGAAATTCCTGAGAGAAGGCATTGTCGCGAGGCCCGCGGTGAGGTTGAGGGGGGAGGAGGAATCTCAGAGGCTGGCCTTAAAGGAATATGCGATAAGTCGTTGCTCATGATGAAGCGGGCAGTGATCGCTCGTTGTAAACGCTTGTCTTTCCACTCGTCTTCTAATGGGAGTTGTCTTGACCACCACTTAGCGAAGAATGTGTCGTGGCAGATTCCGCGGATCACACATGCGAACTCTTTCTTAATCATGACATGACGGCGTAAACGGCTATATCGATCCACATTGCCATTCCAAGCAGCCATTAGAATCAGAAGATCTTTATCGATATTTGGTAAATCGAATGGTAGGGGGGTATAAAGAAATTCCGACACATCCTGTGTAGGTGGTTGCTCTGAGTCAAACTCATCCGCGTTCATATCTTCGGTGATATTCCATAATAAATCCTTCAATCCTGGACGGTTGGCGAGGCCGCTATGTTTCTGCTTTCTCTCTAAGAAGGACCGGACAGATGTGTCTCCATTCATGCCACCAATAGGAGGATTCCCCAAATTGACCGTGCGAGTATAGTCGTTCATCACTCGATACCTGACCGGACTCGCCATGATCATCTCGAATATAGCATTACTGCCATTATCGCGAGCCTCCTCGGCAATATGCGCCTCAGGCAGCAGATCTAGCTCCCGATATAAATCCGTATACCCAGCTACAGCACACGCTCTGCCGACATGGTATTTAAGGGGAGGGTATTGAAGGACTAGGGCTCGATATGTGGCTTCACTGGCAGTTTCCGGATACCAGATACAATAGGGAATTTCTCGCGAGCATTCTGAAAATCAGGAATCTCATTGCTCATGATGCGTCGAGCATTTATAGCCCGGGTAAAGAATCGATCTCGATCATATTGGCATTGGAGTTCAAGTGCAAACCCTGGATGGTAGCGAAGTCCCCGCGCAACACAAGCACGGGATGCTGAGGAGCCCAGTGATTGGGGAATCCTAAGGCCACGAATAGCCTGAGTGCATTGCTCAGTGATGTATGTTCGTTTCTTGAATGCTTTCTTCAGGGCGAAGTCGTCCATGATGTGAATGGTGAATTGTGAAAGAATAAAAATCCTGCGAAGTGCCGTGAGGAAAGGGAGAATAGGCCGATCTTTGGGACAGATCCGAAAGCCCCACAGCCTCTACCTACAGTCTTCTGTTGTTGAATTTCGACCCTTTTCTCTTCACTCGTGTTCGTCGTTCCCGCTCTTTCTCACTTTTCTTATCGGTTTCGGTGACAAAGAAAATTTTGCTTGGGTAATTCCATAGCCGACGAACTAAAAATACATAGGAAGAGCCCGCCCTCCGCCCGCAAAAATACGGGTCCGTAGGTGGCCCTCAAGAGGGCGGCTCGCGGGCGGTTATGAGGTCTACTCCTGTTCATGATTTTCGATGTGGGGCCGGCTACAGTCAGTCTCATTGCTTATTGAGCATATTCTTCATTGGTTACTCAGACAAAAGAGAGGCTAAGAAGAATAAGAGTTCATTAGTTGCATTGGGAATTGGCTTCGACGCTCTTGACTTCGGCCGCACTAAATCCCGTAGGGATACATTTGTGCTCAGAGGAGTGTTTAGTTCTACTTAGTGAGGAAAAGCGGCAAGGTCGCCAAGATATAGCGGAGGGATTCCGCCACGTAGGGAATTAAGCTGGCGTTCTTTGCCGAGATCGTAGTCGGTGTATATCATTCACGTAAACGTGCAGACGGTCCCAGCGGCGCCCCACATCGACTACTGCAAATGGGTGGATCTGGGCGCGGAAATCAGCATTATGTAGAGGCCGCGGCAAGCGCGGCCCTTCACAAGATTGACAGGGTCTACAGGTTCTATAGGGTCTACTGGGACTGAACCGTATGAGGTCTGAAGGAAATAATCGGCTCGGTGGAATCGAATTTTCCGAGCTGAATGCACTGCAGTCGTTGATCAACTCCACACTATCGAACAAGGCAAGTATGAGATGGCTGCTGTGAATGGTAATAAAGATAATAGAAACAGTAGGTTATCCTTGAAGAAGATTGACCCAGCGCCCGGTTAGAAAAAAAAAAGAGGGAAACGCCGTGTCGTAGATTGTCGATTCGTGAGGCATGAGATACAATTTGAAAGGGCTGACGAGCTCTAGAGAGCTTGGACCAATGGGGTATACTTGAGAGGTGTCGGAAGAGTCGAGAACCGCCTATAAGGGATAATGTGGGGGCGAAGCATGAGAGGAGTCGGAGAGTGAGTGGAGTACATGAGCGACCAAGTCAAAAACCAGGTAAGGAACAACCTGCATATGCAAGCCAAGCTTCTCACGGTCGGTGTAGCCAAGGGCGGTATAAAAACACGCAGTTGGGTAGCAGTCGAATGAAGCTTAGCGAAATTCGACTGCTGGCGCACATCCACGATCCTCGACATACTTGAGTTCAAGCTGTTGAAATCTGTCATATTGTTAAGTAAAGACAAAGAAAATAAGAGAAAAAATATTCAGTGATGTGAGGAAGTTAAGACGTACCGTTCACTCTTCGCATGGAAGTAGACTCCACTGATAGATCCTTCCACTTGGTTAAAACAAATGTAGTAAAATCCCTCAAAGCTAGCGCCTAAGATTGTCCGAACACGATGATCAGGAACGAGGAAGTACTCCTTCCATCTCATGAACACGTGCTCGCGCTGAGCAAAGTTGCGGTATGTAAAATCGGTCCGCTTGGCTTGTTTAGCCAGCGGTTTCCAAGCCGGAAACCGAGACCAATGGTGTATGTCGGTCTTCTCATTAGCACCCCATGCTTCGTTGCGAGTTTGAAATGTATGCTTGGTTCCAATAATTTCGCCTTCGAAAAAGGTAGTGAGAGTCGGATGGTCTTCGGTAAGGCCTGTTTGATGAGAAATGTAAGCAAATATTATTTCAAGATGTTGATGCGCACCAGAAACATACCTTGAATGCGAAGGTAGCCGCAGAGGGAGGACTCGGCCATGTCCACGTGCTTAATTTCCACGTCGACATTGTAAACATGGCAGTCCGACTGTTGTGTGCCCACGAATCTACTGCCTGAGCGAAGGAAGGATGAGGTGTGATTTGGCAGAAGCTTTGCCCGTTAGTCAATTGCGTGGCGAAAATGCCCGGTGAGATTGGGCGACACGTACCCGAACGTTAGAAAATTCATAACGCATAAGCGATGAGTTGGGGGGTGCTGCAGCTGACTGGCTTCGCTCGCAAGCCTCTTCCGGAGAGCTTGATCTACCTGGCGTAGATTCTTCATCCGCGCCGGACATCTTACTTTCCACCTTCAGCGGGTCGGACGCCAAGAGCACAGCGCCATCGTCGGAGCGACTCAGCACGGACGGCGCGATGGCACTGGGAGATGAAAGGACATCATCGAGGCCATCACTGACCGAGCCAGGGGAGTTGGGTGAGCCTGTCCACGTCGAAACCCGATCAGCATCAGGTGGACAGGTACGAGTGGAGATCACCTCGGCGATCGAAGTCGAATGGTTGGCACTTGGAGTCGGCATTGCGAATCAAGGGAGGAGAGTAGACATCGGATCGAGGTGCGCGCTAAGGGAAGGCAATATCACCAAAAGAGATGAAGAGGGAAGAAGAAGAAGAAGAAGAAGATGAGGAGATGATCTCCGGGGGGGGGGGCGGACCATTTGAGATGGGGTCATGCGAGCGCGGGGGGAGGCGCTGACCAGTCTGGCCTGAGGCACCAATATATACGTCAGGTACGTCTGCATTCACTTAGTCCTTTGGCTTACTTAGGGCTACTTAAGTGCTCTTAGTGTCGTACTTCATAACTCGATTTAGTCGGCTGCCGAGAATGTGACAGTCTCCAATAGTGCAATTTTTGAAATCCATTTTTGGAATCCATCTTTGTGTTCTGAGTCGATTCCTTGCTGGAGTGGCGATCCCGCTGCACAGGAACTTTCAATAAAGGCGCCTCAATGAACGCCCGGTATCATAGTCAAAAATCCAAACAGTCTCACATATTTCCTCATGAGCCATGATTTAGATGGGCTTGATCTGTGGAGCCTGTACGTTAGTGCGGAAGAGGAGAAGCCTGATGCTGAGACAGCTCGTACCTTGAAGTGAAGGGAGATGAGAGAGAAAATGAGGGCCTTCAGGTCCTGTACGAGGTAATAAAACACTCGGAGTCCCTCGGGGTCTGCTGATTCCGTGACGTCTACCAACGAGCCGATCTTTGCGGTCTATATACGTTCGTTAATTGTCTGGTTGTAAGATTGCCATCCTGACACTGTCGACGTACCTCGAAAGAGATGTGTTCACTGCCTAGTCGAATCTCCAGCTCTTGACGCCCATCCTTGTTCTTCTGCGGCCACTTGGAGTCGTCCTCCCTGCGCGGGGTTAGCACGCCGTGTCGGTCGAATCATCCAGCATCAGGTCTCGTACTTCATGATCTCGCTATCCTTGATAATTCGCTTGATCTCCTGGATCATCGCAGAGCTCACACACACTGGTATTCCCGGTCAGATCATCGGTGTTGTTCCGCGAGCGGATCCCCGCACTCACTTTCTTTGCGGATCAGGGAGTCATTGCGATAGTTGGAGTTGTTGGCATATCGTACAGCGGCGCTACTACCATCGGCGATAGTCCGGAAATCGAATTCTGAGTGAACGTTAGCGTGATGGAACCCAATGTCAAATGAAGGTAGACCGTACCTAGAAACTCATGTCCGAACCGCCCAGAGTGACCTGAGCTGCGAGACTGTCAGCAGCCGAGGAGACCCGGGCTCAAAAGCGCATCATCCTTACTAGTATCTCAGGTAAAAGTTCTCGTTATTCGACATGTTTGGCGTGACTGGAGAATCCAAAGGTGAAGCTGCGAGAGAGAAGGCGGAGTGAAAAGGTGACCGGCTTAGTCATCCACACAGACGGGGCAAAGGGACACCGTTGATGCTTCCCACCCCCGATTGCGCATTACCATACCCAAAACACCCATGATTTTTAGGCTGGTGAGGGGTGTTGGATCTTTCTAATTGCGCGTTCCTGACATTGGTCTTTACTCCTCTCCCTGGGAGATTGCTTCTGGTACGTGCAGGTGGGGTGCTCTGTGTTCAAAACAACCCCCCGAACTGACAACTTGCAGCTCCCATTCGTCTCGGCCGTCGCCTGAATCCACCACCATGGCGTCCTACCTCGAAAATGCATACAGTCTGATTCATATGGACAATACGGCAGACAACCCGACACTGCAGGAACTGAAACTGCAGCTGGAAAAGGGCAATGATGAGACTAAGATGGAGACAATGCGGACAATCGTTACGATCATGCTGAACGGCGACCCTATGCCTCAGCTGCTGATGCACATCATTCGCTTCGTTATGCCGTCCAAGAGCAAGTCATTGAAGAAGTTGCTGTACTTCTACTATGAGATTTGCCCCAAGCACGACTCGAATGGCAAGTTGAAGCAGGAGATGATCTTGGTTTGGTAAGGACACCCCTTCGGCTAGATACCGCGCCGTTGTGAATTAACACACTTCTTCCGGTAGCAACGGCATTCGTAACGATCTTCAGCACCCGAACGAATATATTCGCGGTAATACGCTCCGCTTCCTGTCCAAGCTGCGCGAGCCCGAACTCATCGAGCCCCTCCTTTCCTCGGCCCGTGGGTGTCTGGAACACCGCCACGCCTACGTCCGTAAGAATGCCGTGTGGGCTGTCGCTTCTATCTTCCAGCACTCCGAGTCCTTGATTCCCGATGCGCCGGAGCTTCTGCAGACCTTCCTCGAATCGGAGACCGATAGCACATGCAAGCGCAATGCCTTTGCAGCCCTCATGTCCATCAGCCACCAGAAGGCACTCGAATATCTCCGCACCACTTTCGATGCCATCCCCAACACCGATGAGCTCCTCCAGCTGGCGGAGCTCGAGTTCCTGCGGAAGGATGCTGTGCAGAACCCCCAAAACAAGGTATAATCGAAACAGATAAGCACCGCCATTATGTGTCACTAACTTTCTACAGTCGCGGTATCTCAAGCTCATGCTTGAATTGCTCGATGCCTCTACTAGCACCGTCGTGTACGAGGCCGCCACCTCTCTTACTGCCCTGACCAGTAACCCTGTCGCCGTGAAAGCCGCCGCGGGCAAGTTGATCGAGCTCGCGATTCGGGAAGCGGACAACAACGTCAAGCTCATTGTTCTGGACCGTGTCGACCAGTTGAGGATTCGCAATGAGGGTGTCCTGGAGGACCTGACCATGGAGATTTTGCGCGTTCTGACCAGCCCCGATATTGATGTCCGAAGGAAGGCTCTTGGCATTGCTTTGGAAATGGTCTCCAGCAAGAACGTTGAGGAAATCATTATGCTGCTTAAGAAGGAGCTTGCTAAGACAGTCGACGAGCAATATGAACAGAACAGCGAATACCGTCAGCTTCTGGTCCAGTCAATACACTCTTGCGCTATCAAGTTTTCCGAGATCGCCGCCAGCGTTGTCGATCTTCTGATGGATTTCATTGCCGACTTCAATAACAATTCTGCCGTGGATGTGATTTCATTTGTCAAGGAAGTTGTTGAGAAGTTCCCCGATCTGCGCGCCTCGATCGTCGACCGCTTGGTGTCCACCCTCAGCGAGGTCCGGGCTGGTAAGGTTTATCGTGGTGTTCTCTGGGTGGTCGGAGAGTACTCTTTGGAGGAGAAGGACATTCGTGAGGCTTGGAAGAAGATCCGCACTAGTCTTGGTGAGATTCCTATCTTGGCATCCGAGCAACGGCTTCTCGACGAGACCCCCGAGGAGAATGCGCTACTTCTTCAGGAGAATGCCAATGGCCATGTTAAGTCGGCTCCCTCGGGATCTCGCAAGGTTCTGGCCGATGGCACCTATGCCACAGAGAGCGCTCTCACAAGCCAGTCTGCTGCCGCCGCTCGTCTTGAGGCAGTCAAGGCTGCACAGAAGCCCCCGCTACGTCAGCTCATCTTGGACGGCGATTACTACCTGGCAACCGTGCTATCCTCTACTTTGACCAAGCTTGTCATGCGCCACTCCGAGGTTTCCCAGGATGTTGCTCGCACCAACGCCCTTCGCGCCGAGGCTATGCTGATTATGATCTCCATCATGCGTGTCGGCCAGTCGCCCTTTGTCAAGGCTCCCATTGATGAGGACTCCGTTGACCGTGTTATGACCTGTGTGCGCTCTTTGGCTGAGTTCTCGGAGAAGAAGGAACTTGAGACCACTTTCCTCGAGGACACTCGCAAAGCTTTCCGCGCCATGGTTCAAGTCGAGGACAAGAAGCGGGCCGCGCAGGAAGCGGTCGAGAAGGCTAAGACTGCTGTGCAGATTGACGACGCGATTCCCATCCGGCAGTTCACCAAGAAGAACACCGTGGAGGGGGCTGAGGAGATCGAGCTTGACCTGGTCAAGGCTACTGGTGGTGACTCTACCGTTGAGACCAGCTCTTCTAAGTTGAGTCGTGTGGTGCAGTTGACTGGTTTCTCCGACTCGGTCTACGCCGAGGCCTATGTCACAGTGCACCAGTTCGATATTGTCCTGGATGTCCTTCTGGTCAACCAAACAGGCGAGACCCTTCAGAACCTTTCCGTCGAGTTTGCCACTCTTGGAGATCTCAAGGTTGTTGAGCGACCTTCTACTCACAACCTTGGCCCGCGCGACTTCCTGAACGTCCAGGCCACCGTGAAGGTGTCGTCTACCGATACCGGCGTCATCTTCGGTAACATCATCTACGACGGCGCCAGCTCGACTGAGAGTCACGTGGTCATTCTCAACGATATCCATGCCGACATCATGGACTACATCCAGCCCGCCCATTGCACCGAGACCCAGTTCCGCACCATGTGGACTGAGTTTGAGTGGGAAAACAAGGTCAACATCAACTCCAAGGCCAAGACTCTGCGCGAATTCCTCAAGCAGCTAATGGAGAGTACAAATATGGCTTGCCTGACGCCCGAGGCTTCGCTCAAGGGTGACTGCCGCTTCCTGAGTGCCAACCTCTACGCTCGAAGTGTATTCGGTATGTTCCTTTTCTTTTCTTCTCCCCATTTCCTAGCTCTCTTTTTGAACCAAGTGCTGACCTGTAACTAGGCGAGGATGCCCTGGCCAACCTAAGCATTGAAAAGGAAGGTGATGACGGGCCGATCACTGGCTTCGTCCGCATTCGTAGTCGCTCGCAAGGCCTGGCTTTGAGCCTGGGTTCTTTGAAAGGTCTGAAGGCGGCGGCGGCATGAGTCTGATTTCATTTCTTTCAGCGCGCAGTCTATATGATGTCTTCCCTGTTTCTGTTCTCTTTTTTTTAAACCTGGTCGTTCCAGATAAATTTGTGACCTTTTACCGCTAAGACCGGGGAGTAGTGGAATAGATAATGGTTCCTGGCTATTTGAGGGATTCTGTAAGAGCAAAGTAGTGGAGCAGCTTTAATGACCGATGTACTTAGTCCAGCCGAGGGGTAACATGAGCCTTTCTAACTGCAGCGTAGATCCGAGGTGTGCATGGGCCACCCGCAGCCCCAGGAACCGGAACTCGCGGGTAACGATCTTCGATCTGTCCAGCCTCTCTGCCCTCTTATTCTTATCGAAATCCTCTCTTCCTTATTCCTACTATGCGCTAAATTTACCAAACATTCCTCAAGAATGTCCTCCGACGCGCCCGAACCATTGGCACCGCATGACTCGAGTCTGGTTGTCGACGAAGCAGTCACTCTGACTCTAGGCAGTGACTCGCTGCTAATTGCTGGTAAAGAGATCTGTTGCTTTCGCAGAGGAACCGGCTTTTCTAACTGGTGCTGCAGACAACCGCACTTCTCGCCAACAGAACCGTGGCTGCTGCGGACTATGCAAGTCAAGTAAGCTGGGAACCTTTTCCTTTTGCCCCTCAGGCGATCTGCCAACCTTAATCGCGCTGTAGCGTCGCTTCCAGACAAATCTGACTGGTCTCCTCGCTTGATAGGAAAAAGGACAAACACGACGCAAGCGATTTGTTTGTATAATATCCTCGATGCCGAGGTAAATCCCTCCAACCTTGTCATCACGTTCGCCGAACACTCCTCGTCAGACGATGTCACCGTTTCCGTTCTTCATTATCCCATCAGTGATAAGGAGAAGCCTGCGATCGAGGCTTGGAGTAACAAACTACTGGACCAGGCATACGGTAACGCCCAGCGCAGGAGGCGCTTCAAGGTCCTGGTAAATCCATTCGGTGGCAAAGGAACAGCAGCGAGCCTCTACCAAACATATGCGGCCCCCATTTTTGCCGCCGCACGTTGCCAGGTGGACGTCCAGAACACTGAGTATCGCGGCCACGCCATTGAGATTGCAGAGCAGCTGGACATCAACGCGTACGATGCGATTGTCTGCTGCTCCGGTGACGGCCTACCCTACGAAGTCTTCAACGGCCTAGGCAAGCGACCCAACGGCAGAGAAGCATTGGCGAAAGTGGCGGTCGCATTGCTTCCTTGTGGATCCGGGAATGGAATGACTTGGAATTGCTTGGGAACAGGAAGCGTCTCGATCGCGGCTCTGGGACTCGTGAAGGGACAAAGGGCTCCTCTCGACCTGGTCTCAATCACCCAAGGGGACACCCGTACTCTTTCTTTCCTTTCGCAGTCCTTTGGTATAGTCGCCGAATCGGACCTGGGTACGGATCACATCCGGTGGATGGGCGCTCAGCGATTCACGTATGGATTCCTCATTCGACTGCTGAAGCGTACTATCTGGCCGTGCGATCTTCACATCAAGGTTGAGATCGATGATAAGCAAGCAATCAAGGACCATTATGCCACCTTTGCAGCTCGAGAAGTTGATCCCAAGGCTGACAAACTACGTCTTGAAGCTGCCGAGCAGTCGCCAGCGCTGCCGGAGCTCCAATATGGGACCGTCCAGAGTGAGCTCCCATCGGACTGGGCGCCCGTTCCAGGTGAAACCATGGGCAATTTCTACGCAGGCAACATGGCCATCATGTCAAAGGATACCAACTTCTTTCCTGCATCGCTCCCAGATGACGGACTCATGGACATCGTCACCATTGACGGAACTGTTAGTCGCATTACCTCGTTGAAGATGATGAATGAGATCGGTACTGGCGGTTTCTTCGACATGCCCGATGTCACTATCCGCAAAGCCAAGGCCTTCCGCCTGGTGCCTCACGAAAAAGAGGGCTATATCAGCATCGACGGCGAACAGGTGCCGTTTGAGGCCCTTCAAGCTGAAATTCACCGCGGGCTGGGCACGACACTCTCCAAGTCTGGAGTTCTGTACGAGGCTGACGGGCCGAAGTGATCCCTGCACCATTTCGTGTCGACATAGAAGGCGGTTCTGGGTCGACTTTCTATACTTACCTTTTTCCCGAAGTCTTTTGCTATCCAATCATGATACCCTTCTGCAAGAGACCTGGTGGTGTGAAGTTTTTTTTTTTTTTGGTCGGTAAATTATGCTTATCCGCAGGCTACAAAGCTCGTTTTTGCACTCATTGGGCTGCGGGCTTTACAGCTCTTGTACAGTTCTTGACTATGGAAATGTGTATCAATATAATTCTTATGCTTTAATGTAGAAATTTGTCTTTCGTAGGTCTTGGAGCTTTTAGTGATTTGCAATGATTCTCGCTATGAATGCTGTACAGAAGGAAGAAAATATTAGTCCCCAGTAGCTCTGAGCCGGACAGGCCAATTTTAGCAAAGCGAAGTTCAGGGATCCCAGGATTAAGCCTCCAAAATGCGTATTTCCCGGAAAGGGATATAATACGAAGAGCCCTCGAATTGGGCAGACCGTAGTCAACCCGAAGCGGGTTCAGAAAGAGGTGACTGCTTGGTGGTCATCCCATTGAAAGCCTCACTGGAAGTCTTCACTTCGATCGTAGAGGGGTGAATTCCCCTCCTTGTATCCTTTGGCTGCTCATTCATCGAAACCGCCCCACTCGCCGTCGCTGTCCTCCTCGTCATCCTCATTCTTGCGCTCCCGAATACCCCACTCAATCAGACGGTCATCATCCAACGCCTCACCAACCCTCGTCCTCACGGGCTTATAAGGGCTCTCTTTGCGCAACTTCTCCAATGGCCGCAAGATAAGCTCCATGGGCACATCACCCTTGATCTTTCGCTCTCCCTCCTCTCCGTCAAACTCCAGAACCTTCTCCAATTCATCAATCCAGATATCAGCAAGATGATAGCGCAGTCCATCAGGGCCATGAGGCATTGGCACAAAGTCCGGGTTCTTCTCATCCACTTCCGGCTTAGAAGGCTGATCAGGATCAAAATTCTTAGGGCAAAGCGGTCCCTCCTCGATGATAGAGATGTAAGCCTCCAGATCAGCCCATTTGCCATCCGTATCACTGGTCTCCTCTTCAGCAGGAGTCTCGGCCTCCTTCTGCTTCTTTTGCTTCTTGCCACGACCACCCTTAGCGTCGTCGCGCTTCCGCTTCTTGCCGTCATCACTCTTTGCCTTGTTACCCTTCACGAAGATCTCGAATGCGACGCCGACATAGAAACGGATCAAAAGAAGATACTTGTCCAGGCGCAGACGGTCGAGGGAGTGGAAGTCCCGGCCGATGGTGATCCAGAATGCGCGCAGGAAGCGATGGACGGTGGCTTGCGGGAGAGACGGGACGAGCGAGTAGGAGAGGGCGCGCGCGAGCGCTTGTTGCGTGAGCGGGCGGTCGGAGTGGTAGAAGCAGAAGAATAGGCCCTTCCAGAGCTTGAGGAGTTCGACGAGGGTCAGGTCATTTCGTGAGCGCAGGAACAGTGTAAGCGATTCGACGGCCTTGTCGCGAACTTTGCGGTCTAGAGAGTATATTAGGTGTGAAGCTCTAGATTTTTGTCGCATTTATTAAACTTACCACTCGAGGCGAGATCCCGCACAAAGGGTGTCTTTTGCATGTCCGCCATTGCTTTCAATTGAATGGTGGTTAGTCTGACCTTCGGAGTTGTCGATCGCCGCGATAAATTATTTTTTTCTTCCTGATAGCGCGTTTGCACTGTTTGCACTCTGGCCTTGGGTTCCGGGTGTCCACAAGAGAATTGGTGTCTTTCTCCATGTCCATTCGAATCACTGGGACTGTTCATGCTCAAAAATGTCTATATGAGTGTATGGAATGTAACTCAGAGCCTTGTAATTCTTGAAAACGAGCTTTAATGTATCGGAACCCGCTACTCAGAGTCTAGAGGACATTCAAGGCAACAAGGTATCCACTCGTAAAGATTGAGTCAATTGGACTATTCCAGCGCCTTGAGACCCTAGTAGCCAATATGGCGGAACCTGAGATCAGTGATATACTATAAGCAACTTGCCAGGTACGCTATAATGAAAAGCCACAGGTAACAAATATCGAGGGTTGCATCCGGCGTCCCCAGCATTTGCGCGATCCAGCGGCGGTTTCGCTAGGTGTTGACATCACCACTTATGCATCGACCGAATGAGAGCTCATAAGCCCTGGCGCAAGACCAGCGGGGTGGTTATGGCTCAGGGCAACATGTTTGCCAATCATTGGAACTGAGTGTAGCTTCGGAGAATAGGTTAACTGCGACGTTGCCCCGTAGGTCTCTTCAATTGCACTTTTTCCCATCCACGTTCTTTAGGTAATGCTTGAGAAGATTTAAGTCACATATCTTTCCTTTCCATTTCGCCAGAAGGCTACCTCTGTTCTTAATGGCCCAGAAGGATGAGGATCCTGAGGTTGCTCAGCCAAGCTCCTCGTCTCGATAAACAGACATATCGCGATCGAACTCCGAGCAAGTCCTCGAGACAGAGAAAGATGTGTTCGAGCGCATCCGCGCTGAAGACCGCCAGGAGCTATCTTGTGTTGCATCCAATTTCACACGGCACCGCGCGACTGACTCTGGTGTCGGAGGGATGACGGACATGGAGCGTAAGGATACACTGGCTGGTCTCGAGCTAGACGACCCGGTCCTAGACCCTACGAGCGACCAGTTCGAACACTACAAATGGGCTCGCATGATGCTCAAATTGATGGACAAGGAGGGCGTTCCTCTGCGAAAGTCGACCGACGTGGTGTGGGAAAATCTCAACCATCCGGCTCGGGTTCAGCACTACAGTATCAGAACAACGTGGGATCGATCCCTCTGGCTCCATTCAGATCACAGGAGTACATTTCATGTGGAAAGCGTGTCCAACAAAAGCACATTCTTCGAGAATTCGACGGTGTTCTCAAAAGTGGCGAGCTACTGATTGTACTCGGCCGGCCTGGAAGTGGCTGCTCTACCTTCCTCAAGTCCCTGTCTGGTGAACTCCATGGGCTGAAAGTTGGAAAGGGATCAGACATTCAGTTCAATGGTATTGCCATGGAAAAGATGCACAAGGAGTTCAGGGGTGAAGTTCTTTACAACTAGGAAGTTGATAAGCATTTCCCACATCTCACGGTGGGCCAGACGCTTGAATCTGTGGCAGCTGCTAGAACCCCAGAGAAACGTCTCAATGGGATTAGCCGGACCAAGTATGCCAAGCATATCACCCAGGTTGCTATGTCTGTTTGGGAATTGAGTCACACGTACAACACGGAAGGTGAGCTTACCCACCATGGGAGAAGGATCTTTGCTGACATCCTGTTCAGTTGGGGACGACTATATTTGGGGTGTTTCTGGGGGTGAGCGAAAGCGAGTCAGGTATGTTGCACTTATCTATCGGGCTGGGGCTTCAAGCTAATACGTCTTACAGCATTGCTGAGATGGCCCGTAAGTCACATCATTCTCTTCAAGGAATATTCCTGATTTATGATTAAACCATGGCATAGTATCAGGAGCTCCCGTCGGCGCTTGGGATAACAGCACTCGGGGGCTTGATTCAGCCAGTGCCCTCGAGTTTGTCAAGTCCCTGTGAGTTTCTGCAAATCTGACAAGTGCTTGTCATTCCGTTGCCATCTATCAGGCCTCTCAAGCAATCTACGACGTGTTTAATAAGGTCATTGTGCTTTACGAGGGTTGGGAGATCTTCTTCGGCCCCGTCGGGTAAGTCGATCTCCGTACACGCATTTGGATTGATTTTTGTTGATAAATATACCCAGCGAGGCCAAGGGATACTTCGTTGATATGGGCTGGAAATGTCCGTCTCTTCAGACTACCGGTGACTTTTTGACTTCAGTTACCAATCCTCAAGAGCGAACGGCTCTCAAAGGCATGGAGAACAAGGTTCCACGCACACCGGATGACTTTGCGGCCTACTGGGAAAAGAGCCCTCACTATGTCAACCTTAAGAAGGAGATCGCGCACTATCGAGAGGAGTATCCACTGGGAGGAGCTGCTGGGCAAGAATTTGACGAGACGAAGAGACTGCGTCAGGCAACGCATGTCCGGCCGAATAGCCCCTATGTCATTTCTATTCCGATGCAAGTCCGGCTTTGCGTGAAGCGAGCTTACCAGCGGTAAATCCAGTGCTTTTTTCCTTCCAATGTCCAAAAGGCGGCCATCTCATTTTAATTTAGCATCTGGAACGACAAACCCTCTACATTGACTACCGTCATTGGGCGTATCATTAAGTCTCTCATCATTGGTTCAATCTACTTTGGGTAAGATTAGCATTCTACGAAACTTTTCAGAGCGGGAACTAACACTGTCTAGAACGCCGAATGCATCAGCTGGCTTCCAGAGCAAAGGCGCTGCTCTTTTTTTCTCCGTTTTGTAAGTCATTGTGTCGTGCTAGAATTTTTCCTCTAACACACAAGTCAGGTTGAATGCTCTGATTAGTATTACGGAAATAAACTCCTTTACGACCAACGACCCATCATCGAGAAACAGGCTTCTCATGCATTTGTCCATCCTTTCACGGAGGCTTTAGCTGGAATAGTCGCAGATATACCAGTCAAACTATTCGCTGCGGTGATCTTCGACGTCATCTTCTACTTCTTGGCTAGCTTGGTAGGTTTATCCACGAGACCTTAATGGAAAACGCTAATAAGACCACAGAGATATGAGCCCTCTCAGTTCTTCATCTTCTTCCTGTTCACATTCCTCAGTACTCTGGCAATGCCAGGTATCTTTCGAACTCTGGCCGCCTCGACCAAGACCTTCGCACAAGCCATGTCTATGGCAGGCGTCATAGTCCTGGCTATTGTCATTTACACGGGTTTCGTGATCACTGCACTAAAATTCCATGGTTTAGCTGGATTCGCTGGATTAACCCGATCTTCTACACTTTTGAAGCCCTTGTTGCAAATTAGTTTCACGGTCATCGTTTGGAATGCTCTCAATTCATCCCGGGATACCCTAATCTGTCGGGCGACTCCTTCATCTGTGCTGTTCGTGGCGCTGTTGCCGGTGAAAGAACGGTCTCTAGTGACGCTTACATCGGAACGCAATATCATTATTACTATGCGCATGTTTGGCGAAATCTTGGTATTCTGATTGGATTTTGTATATTCTTCACGGCTCTGTATCTCATTGCCTCGGAACTCAATTCTGCGACTTCTTCGACGGCCGAGTATCTTGTTTTCCGCAGAGGCCATGTTCCCGCTCACATGCGTCATCTTGGAGAATCTGGTGGTGATGCAAAAGCGGCAGAGGTGACTGAGTTCCCAAGGGTTCTGAAAACGAGAAAGATACTTCGGCTATCCCATCCCAGCATGATTTTTTTACTTGGCGGGATGTCTGCGATGATATTCCCGTCAAAGGAGGCGAGCGACGTCTTCTGGACCACGTCTCTGGATGGGTTAAACCTGGCACACTCACTGCCCTGATGGGTGTTTCCGGTGCTAGAAAGACCACTTTACTCGATGTTCTGGCTGAACGTGTCTCTATTGGTGTTGTCACTGGGGATATGCTTGTCAATAATAAACCCCTGGATACCAGTTTTCAAAGAAAGACCGGTTACGTCCAGCAGCAGGATCTTCATCGATCTTCATCTTTCGACAACACGGTTCGAGAGGCCCTACGTTTTAGTGCTACGCTACGCCAGCCCAAATCGACCTCAAAGAAGGAAAAGTAAAAATTTGTCGAGGATGTTATTGATATGCTCGGTATGCAGGACTTTGCGGACGCAATTGTCGGCACGCCTGGGGAGGGTTTGAATGTCGAGCAGAGGAAGTTGTTGACTATCGGCGTTGAGCTGGCCGCCAAACCGGCCCTTCTTATTTTCCTTGATGAACCCACAAGTGGTCTCGACTCTCAGAGCTCCTGGGCCATTTGCTCTTTCTTGCGGAGCTAGCCGAGCATGGTCAGGCTGTGCTTTCGACTATCCATCAACCGAGCGCTTTGCTGTTCCAACAATTTGACCGTCTTCTTTTTCTCACCAAGGGAGAAAAAAACGGTGTACTTTGGGGACATTGGAGACCAGTCACGAAGTCTCTTGGGTCATTTTGAAGGTAACGGAGCAAGAGTCTGTGTGGTTGGCAAGAAAACGTAAGGTACTCCACTAGATTCGGCTTTCTTGATACTAACGATCTTTTAGCCTGCGACATGCTAGAAATTATTGGTGCCGGTGCATCTGGCCATGCTGCGAAGGACTGGTCTTCAGTATGGAAAGATAAGCAGCAGTCTAAGGACGTGCAGACTGAGATCACCCGTATTCACGATGAGCGTGCTTCAGCTAGCAACCCCCAAGAAGGCGATGCTCAGGTCGGTGAATATGCAATGCCATTCATGGCCCAGCTCTGGTGCGTGACACATCGCTCATTTCAAGGATTCTGGCGCGAGCCATCCTATGTCTGGGCCAAGATTATGCTGGCCACACTGTCTTCTCTGTTCATCGGCTTCACTTTCTGGAGACCTGACAATTCTCTGCAGGGATTCCAGGATGTGATTTTCAGTGTTTTCATGATGTGTTCAATTTTTTCAACGCTCGTGCAACAGTAAGTAAAATCCTCCGATCTTCAAGCTCAAGACTCCCTTCTCACTCTACCAGGATTATGCCCAAGTTCGTCGTTCAACGGTCCCTGTATGAAGTGCGCGAGCGGCCCTCTAAAGCCTATTCCTGGGCAGCATGCATTCCTCATTTCTAACATCATTGTCGAGATTCCGTATCAGATCTTCGCTGGTGTCGTGGCTTGGGCATGTTACTACTACCCAGTATACGAAGCGAATCAAGCATCGCATCGCCAGGGCCTTATGCTCCTTTTCATTGTTCAGTTCTACATCTTCACTTCAACCTTCGCGACCTTCATTATCTCAGCTCTTCCCGATGCCGAAACTGGGGGTACGATCGCAACGCTAATGTTCATCATGACCCTTACATTCAATGGGGTCATGCAGCCCCCGAGCGCCTTGCCTGGTTTCTGGATTTTCATGTATCGTGTTCCTTCATTGACATATTCGATTGCCGGTATTACAGCAACCGGTCTACATGGGCGAAATATCCAATGCTCTACCGCCGAGTTGAGCGTCTTCAATCCTCCCTCTGGGCTGACCTGTGGGGCATACCTGAATCCATACGCCACTGCGGCAGGTGGTCAGCTGTACAACCCTGCCGCTACGGTAGATTGTCAGTATTGTCAACTGACAAACGCAGATCATTATCTCGCTTCTAGCAATATCTGTGAGCAATATGCTTCTCCGTTCTTGGGATTACTTGCTAATTCAATACAGACTATAGCGAACGCTGGCGTAATTTCGGCATCGATTTGGGCCTACATTGGCTTCAACATTATGGGAACTGTGCTAATGTACTACATGTTCCGTGTGAAAACAATACAACCCAACTTCGCTGATACGTGGTATCGGTATGTGCGGTTCACTCTTGTGCCGTGCTTTCAAGCGCCATTCTGGAACAACTCCTAGGGGAAAGGAGGCGGACAATGGCCGGCTCGTTTAGGTGCAACAACTTTTGTTTTCTGAATATTCATTAAAGAAGAACATATCGGTAGATTCCTCCAATAGCTATTCTTTCGAACCAGTAACAACCTTATTTGTGTCTAGTACATCTTTAATGGCCGCAAGCAACTTCGAAGGTCTACCTAGCAACCAGAAAATCTTCCAAGCCAGTCGATATAATGCAGTTGCATACCGCCAATCTTAAGTGTTCTCGGATGTTCGTTCCAGGATATATATCTGCGTTAAATTCCAAAGGAATGTCACTCCAGCTTATTAAAGGCCTTCGAAAATGACACGGAATAATTTGATAATCACTCACAAGATCTTAGTAATGAAAACAAGCCAATGATGGCGAATTCTTGTTGAGCGCAGTCCTGAATTTGAGCGAGAGAATCCTTATTCCCATGAACGAGCTAAACCCAATTTGGCCATGATTCCGTGTTTGGTCATAAAGCCACAATACCCACCTCAACATATCAACTAGCATCATTGGTCTAGTGGTAGAATTCGTCGTTGCCATCGACGAGGCCCGTGTTCGATTCACGGATGATGCAAAGCAATTTCTTTTTGCCATTCCACCTTTGCTTGTCCACTGGGCCCTACTGAGGTCTACTGGGCGAGGATTTAAGATTTTTTGCATACGAGTAAAGCATAGCCTTGGAAGATCTAATCAACCTCTGCAGCGAGACCCTCGGAAGCTTATCAGGAGTGAAGAGCAACAAATTAGATTTAATCTCTCACAAGTAATCATAAACAATCATAAATTCATTCAGCCCCCCGATCTTCACACACTGCATGCAGAGTGAGAAGCGAGGAACAAGTTCCATCGGATGGAACTGCACACAAGCGACATAGGTATACATATACCTGAAGCTAGATGTCAAGGAGATGTCCGACTGGTCTCAGATTAGAATAACAAGGTGCAAGCGGAGTTGAGCATCCAAGATGATAGAAAAAGACATTGGGGTATTTTGCAAAAAAAGCAGACGTAAGAGTGGGGATCAAAATGCTGAAGAAGAGAGGGAAAATGCGAGATTGGATGATTCGAGGTCGGTGCGAGGCTGGATGTATGGCCGAGATCGGGATGTGCCTGTTCCTGCAGCAAAGCAATGGAAGCGTTCCTTAGAGAGAGGGTCGCCTTACTACCATGGCGTTGATGACATGGCCATCCTGCCACCCTTGCTCGGGCAGCGACTCTTGCTCTTTTAGCATATGGCCGAGGTAAGCGAGTCGTACGCGCTGGTGAGTCGATATCTAGAGATTATTAGAACAGAACAGATCAGTAGCACCAAGCAACGTGTGGGAAATACACACCTCTCCCTCTTGCTGAATTTTACGAGCCAAGAAGCCGACACTCTGCCCCTTGCTCACCATCAGTATCAGATCCGGGCCGTCACGATCACTAAGACGGGCCTGCACACGGATCAAATCGCGCTCGCTCGTTTTGCCCTTCTCGTCGCGGCGGCGTTCGGCATCGCCCGCGATTAACTCGTCACCTGAAGCATCATCTGTCGCTAGCTTCCCATCGGACAGCGCCTCAGTATCCCCATCCTGCTCGTGCCCAATCTCCTCCTGAGTGGAGTTGGCACTAGGAGGATTCGTCTTCGCCATGTTCTCCGGATCGTTGACAATACATTGCGGCAAGCGGTAGAGGACACCCTGCTCGTCATAACATCCCTCGCACAAATCACCGGTCGGAATAGTGACACCCACTGCGTCGACAATACTTTGTGCCGTGGCGAAATCACCATCGCGCATCAAGTTGATAGCGGTGGATAGGGCGGCCCATACCTCCGGGCGCCCGGTAACACGAGTCTCGAAGAATTCGAGGCGTTCGCGGTCCAGATCTGCGCGAGTCCAGGCACGTCGCTTGCTATACCAAATATGCAGGCGCACCGGTTCATTATAGTGTTCGCTCAGCGGTAAATCGGGCGCGCGTCGAGTGCGGCGGCGGGAAGGCTGTGTTTGTGTCTGAATGGTCGTCTCGGCGATAGAATTGCGAGTCTCTTGGGATCTGTCCGTGGTTTCTTGTTCGCCCTGGGAATCAACGTCATGCGACGGTGTGGACGCGCAGCAACCCTGTGGGGAAACGATTTGTTAGTTTTGCCGTGTAAAGTGCCCTGGATCGGGGATTGGGGATCGGGCTGGGCGTCTGGGCATATGCGGAGAGGCCACCAAAGGTAAGATCTGACAGCAGGCTGCCAAGTGATCTCTGCATATTGAAGTTCTGGACATACCATCTTGCAGGCGTCGATACTCCATAAGATGGAGAGGGGAAGGATTCCCAAGGTTGAGGAGAGGGGCCAAAGAGGACCAGAGCTTTAGCCTTGCCGCAACAAAGGACCGGGCGTGTGATGATTACCGATGTGACACTTGCCGAGAGGATAAATGGAAAGGAAGGAGATAAAGGGAAAATAAAAAGCAAGTGTGATGACAAGCCAGGTACATTCCTGGTCCAAGCTGGATCGTTGGATCAAGCCTTTGATGATGTCAAGCTATACGCGTATCCCGATGTTCATCCATGTTTTCGACATCGTACCACATGTTCTACGAACGTTAATTTGCGGCCGAAGATGGATAATGTACAGATAATATATTCTTGTAGACTGATTCAATCTTCATCATCACTGCCAAATATCGCTTTGAATACTGCATCGCCCGGTCGCTCGGCTTCAAGGGCATCGTTTCGCTCAGGTTCAACAGCTGGCGCTGGCACCGGCGCAGGCGGAGGATCCGTGGCACCCGCTTTAGTGGCATCGGAGCTGGCGGTCGGCTGGCGTCCAGATTCTGTCATGATCATGTTCATCACTTCCTGAGAGACCAGGTCCCTTGATGCCGGATCAGTCTGGTATCCCCCAGAATGGAACTGGGTACCAGGTCTGGCATTGGATGCCTGTTCTCCAGGCTCTTGTTGTACTGTAGCAGGTGGCTTCACATTGAAGCGCTTGCATAAAAGACGAGCAGGATAAAAGGGTATGGTGCTTCGGGTCATTTGTCCGAACATGCCAATTTTGGCTGCGGCTACGGCTGGAGGCTCGGGCCTCTCCGCGGGCTGGGCGAGAGAGGCTTCAGCCGAGTCGGGAGCATCAGAGGCCACCTTGGGACCGGTAGAAGCCGACGTAAATCGTGATGCCATAATACCAGACATGGGCTTGAACACTTCCGCCGCGCGGGCAAACTCCTGCATCTCAGTCACCCACTCATCCGTGCTGGAACCTGGCACTCGATCCGGAAGGGAGTCACGGATCTCTGCCCGGACTTCAAGGAATGTACGATATCGTGCTCGTTTGTCCTCATCTTCCGCATAAGGCATCCATCCGCTCACGGCTCGAGTCAAGGCTTGAACGGCGGTTTGTTTGTCTAATTTGGGGACTAAATCCGATAAATCTTTTCGCTTTTGTGAATCTGAGGATTCAAATCCCTTTGGGGCCTTTTCTCCAAGAGCCGGAGGAAGATTAGTGTTCCCGGTCAACTTTGCAATTCGTTCGCGGGCCTTGGGGGTCATCCAGTCGAAGATGGATTTGCCCGGCAGCTGTGCCTCGCCCAAGAGAGCAGCTCGTGAGGTGGGATCGAGACCAGATGCCTTGGCGGCATCGGCTGTAGAGACGTAATTTGATGGATCTTGCTCTGTTGGGGCGGGTTGCTTTGCAGACTGCCAGCCCTCGGGTATTTCAGGAGGCTCGTATTTCGTGTCTGAGATGGACAGGCCAGATAGATCAGCGAGAACGAATCCGTCCAGCGGTAGTCGTCCGTCGCGGCACTTTCGAAATCCTCTTGCACGCGACGCAGCCGATTTCTTCGATATGAAGACGGGTTTTGCGCTAGGGTTCAGTAATGGGTTGGAAATCGCAATCGCTGGTTTGCCTTCCTCTTTGAGCTTTTTCTTTTTCTTCTTCTCGCCGATGGATCGGTTATATGATATTTGGGGACCGATGGCATATGGATCTTCATCGTCTGACCCAGTGTCATTAAGAACACCAATGCCAATCCCACCTCGTCGAGATTCCTTCGCCTTAGGCGCTTTGTCCTTCTCTTGAATGGCGAGACGCCCGCCAAAGAAAGTGTCTGATTCCTCGGGCTCATCGCGTGAGCCATTGCGTTCCTCCAAACGGGCCTCGCCTTCATATCCGAGGCCCTTGTGGTCCGTCTTTCGTATAAAAGCGACCATCGGGGGATTTTCTGGCGCGAAGAGATATGTCTGCTCAGGACCATCCCCCGGAGCATCACCTAGGTCGGCTTTGCGCCGCACCTTGGGCCCAATGCCTTGTCCCTCGCGCCAACCCATCTTCTTCAACAGCTTCACGCCCATCGTTTCGCCGCTAGCTTTCAGCAAATCCATGAGCCCGGCTCTCCTCGTCGAATCCGCCTCGGTCGATCCAAACCCGGCGAACCCTTCCGCCGTCTGAAGCTTTCGTGATTCCTCCTGTTCCCGCAAATCCTCTTCATCCATAAAGTCCTCGGGTCGTTGTTGCGCTTGCTGTTTGGCATCTCGGGCGCGGTTCTGGCGGGACGAGACAAACGTCGCGGGAGTCCATCCTTCCTTTGAGCCGACAGAGTTGAAGTACCTGGAAATTGTTAGTGCGCGTAAATCTCAGTGGACCAAAGTAACTCACCCAGCACTGAAGCCACCAGTGAAGGCGCCATGCAATCGCTTTCGGCCTCGTTCGTCAGTGACCTCTTGCTTCCATACGGGCATGTAGGACCCGTCATCGCGCACTCCGGCGTCCAGCGGAGGTAAAGGCGTGCCATAAAGCGCATAAGGAGGCTGCCAGGCCTCCTCAAAGGCCGCGCGGGGGCGCTTTCCAGCCATGCTACCCATGGGTTGTCAGCTCAAGGCATGAGACGACCTGGAAAGGCGTCATGATTCGTGGAAACGGCGCGATTGTATGACAAAGCCAGAGCTATCCTATCAGCAAATGCCAATCTTGAGATCCACTTCTTTCACCGCCTTCTCCATCTTGTCCGAAACAAAGCTATTCTTCCACGTGTTGAAGAGGTACGTCTGGGTAGATGCCTAGTCACTGGTATAAGTCACGATTATCCACCTACAAATCCGGGAAAATATGAAAATGGCCCCCTTAGCTAAGCGTGGGGCGGATTTGTACCTTTGACTAGGTCGCGATAGCGGAAATGAAAGCCTCTTGATGGTGAACTCTTGGCGTCTGCACCAATAAAAGTCCGTGCTGACCGCGTCCCGCTCCTTATTCCAGGGACTTTGGGGGCGACCCTTTTTTTTTTTCTTTTCAATTGAGGGATCAGCATGGAAAATCGCTAGTCGAAAAGAAAAATGATTGACAGCTCCTCCATGACACGAGACCTAATTAGAGGGCTGAAAAATCGTAGATGTGGTGTAATTTCAAAGGACAACCAGAAAGAGAGACCAAGACACGGGAGAGCCTCGTGGATTTAGTAGACTTTAGTTTCTGGAGTGGCGGCCTCCCGCTACCAAACGGTCAAATCTCTGTTTAGGGGTTCCTCCCCCCCCAATGTTCTCGTATTCTCTTCTCCTCTCTAACTACCTTCTACCTCCTCTCTCTTTGAATATTCATATCTCTACCATGTGCATTCCATAGCGTTTTCCACCCTCCGAACCCCCTCCCCCTTGCATTCGAGGTCTACACGATTCCCGTTACGGCATCCCAAAGCACGAGGCCGGACAGTGCTTCCAGAATGCTTGGCGCGCACAGCTTCGCCGGCAGGCGCAAGACTATCTACTTGGGTCTCGCTTTCGCCGCGGCTGTAGTTTGCTTCGTGAACTTGATTTTCTTGACGCGTGGTGTTGATCATACCGTCATTAGCCTTCCCGGTCTCAACCTGTTGCGTCCACACCACAAACAAATTGAGGGCACCTATGCGCACGATCAACATCCCATCGCGGGTTTGATGAAAGAGGCCGACCAACAATGGCGCCAGTACGATGAGAGCCGCTCGACAAGTTTCCGCGAAGCGGTGGTCAAATACCGCGATACTTACGGACGCCATCCCCCACCCGGATTCAAAGAATGGTATGAACTTGCGCGCAAGAAGCATGTCCACAACGTCGACGACTTCCAGCAAATCACAGGCGATTTGCGTCCTTTCTGGGCTATTCCTCCGCATGAAATCCGAAAGATGGCTGCAAAGCTGCAATTGAGCGATGGAATTGCTGGAGTGCGCCTTCGGGACCATGAGGTGGTCTCTCACACAGAAGGCTGGCGCGTGGAAACGCTTGCGCGCTCGGTTGGACGTATTGCCAAGTATTTGCCCGACATGGATATCGCGATGAACACTATGGACCAGCCCCGCGTCATGGTTACGCACGAAGACATCCAAAACTACTTGAAGATTGAAGAAAGTACAAGAGGAATGCCTTTGGATGCTGCGGATCGTTTTACCAAAGACATGGATTCTTACTGGAACAGCGAGAGTAGCAGTGCCTACGACGACATGGATCCCGCATGGTTCTCCGTTGCTGGAAAGCCATATACCGACTTTTCCAAGGAGGCCTGTCCGCCCGAGTCTCCCGCAAATGCCAACATGACCGTTGAGGAGGCAGACAAATTGTACAAAACATCCTTGGGTGGTTTTATCTCGAATTTTACGGGTTCCTCGGACCTCTGCAACGTGGGACCTGTCCTCGGTGATCAGCACGGCTTCCTTTTCTCGGCTTCCAGTAACACCATCACGCGAAAGCTGATCCCCGTGTTCAGCGAATGCAAGGTCAGCGTCAACAACGACATATTGTTCCCCGCAAACATGTATTTCTTGCAGGACGAGCGCTATGTTTACAACTCCAAGCACGACTGGGAATGGGAAGACAAGACGGACACGATGCTTTGGCGTGGCGTGACCTCGGGGGGGAATCCAAGTCGAAGACAATTGGGACCGCTTGCATCGCCAGCGCTTTGTGAAGGCCACCAACGCCACCGAAATGGCCTCGAAGAATGTCACCATCCTTTCCAAAGACCATGGAAAGCAGTATGAGCTGATTCCCGACTATAATCCCTCCGAGTTTGCCTCCACGTACTTTGATGTCGGCTTCACCGAGGCCTGGGGCTGTATTCCCAACTGTTCATTCTACGACGGTGTGTGGACTTACAAGGAGCCCAAGAAATTCCCAGAACAATTCAAGGCGAAATACTTGGCCGATATTGATGGCCACAGTTTCTCTGGCCGCTGGCGCGCCTTCCACCAAAGCAAGTCATTAGGACTCAAGGCCACCATCTTCCGCGAATGGCACGACTCCAGACTCTTCGCCTGGCGCCACTTTGTCCCTATGGACAATCGGTTCACCGATCTATACGCCTTGATGACCTATTTCATTGGAGTCCAACCCCCTGCATCGGAAGGCGCCGTCCCAAACCATGGGCCTTACGTCCCTAGCCATGATTTCGAAGCCGAGGTCATCGCCGCCCAGAGCCGCGAATGGGCCCAGGCTGCGCTGCGTGACGAGGACTTGGACATTTACCTGCATCTTCTCCTCCTTGAGTATGGGCGTATTATCGATGACAACCGCGATCATATTGGGTACAGTGGTGATGGAAGCGAGTTGGACCACTTCGACGAGAGCCACCCATTCCCGCCGCCCCTGGAACCTCTTGTGGTGCAAGGCTGATGGCGTCATCCCACTGTTGGCCATGACTATATCTGCATATTTGCATATTTGCGTATCCGGCATAATCGGTTTTTGTCTGTACATTTCTTTGTATCTTTTTGCGAGTTTGGTGTTTTGATTCCCCTGATTCCCCTCCATGCATGTTTACATCCATGTCCATGTCCTAATGACCGACACTACATATTATGATTTGTCAGAATCCCATTTAACCATTATTAATTGAGATGTTCACCTTTGTTCGAGAATTGCTTTGTAAACAGCTCACATCACTTCGTATCTTGCGCTGCTGGATTGGCAAATCGTGTCCGTGCTGCGCGTTTGGTCCCATTACGCCCGGCCCGAGCCGCAACGGTGACGCTACCATCGTGCTCCGTACAATTCGCAGTAAGGGGAGAATAAAGAGGCATGCTAGGAAGAAATGTATTTGAGAGAGAAGATTTATCTTTCAGCAAGAATGGGACATCAGTTTAGGCTTTGTCATCGGCACGGCCGGCTAATCTACTACATGGGGCAATTTATCGCCGCGGATGTAAAGAGGATCATTTTTTAGATTGTTGATGGATCTGCTGACCATCGAGGGTTAGATCTGGATGGATCCTAGATTAGTGAATCGAAGGATTTACCAAAAATTGGCTAAGAGACCATTCTAGATTTCTTGGATTAATTGACGAGCTTGGAATAGACGATCAAATGACGGAACGAACGAGGTGTCATCTGTTCTTTTTCATGGATACTGTTGGTCCATCGGGATCGTGTTAGAAGGCGTTACATGCTGAAGGTATGCCTTTAATCCATTGTTCGTGTTCGGCGTGATTTTGTGGTGACTTAACCTGGGTTAGTTTACGTTTTCCGCACGTTGCCATTTTTCAGGCTACCTGTGAGCTGTTATTCAGAGACCACTGGCTTGCTCTATTACTTAGTGTTTTCCAACTGACTCTAGATGGACCACAGTGCTTGGCCAAGGCTGAAAAAAGGCCGAGGTCCGTTGTTTACCCGATTGATCGCCCCGCTGCACGCCCAGACCCTTAATTGGGGACACGGAACGGCCAACTTTCCCATTTCGGGCGATCCGAAGAACGACTCATTTTTGAGTCGACCTATTCAACCGGGCTTCTCATTGAAACGTTCTCTTTATTGCACACTTTTTTTTTTCTTTAGAGATTTTGGGACAAATTGTGGTGCATTATCCTGGAGTATAATTGTTGTTACATCGATTTTCTGAGATTGTCGTGAAAGTCCGTGAGGGTTGGGAATAATATCACTTTTCATACAATGCCAACAGCGGGTAGCCAAGAGGACTGTTCAAAGGATATCCCGCCTAGCTAGAGGTGGAACTAATTTTCAAGCCGTTCTACGTCACCCCCGGTTCAGGCACCGGGGTTGAGATATCACAGACTCCAGTAAAGTTTGTTGCACGGTGAAACAGTGGACCCTGTTTCATCAGCCCTTGGACAATTCCCCAATTGGCCGATCATCGAGTATAGAGATCAGGGAAAAATGATTTCCTCGGTATCCAGCATGGGAGATCACCTGGGCATGTTCCAAGATTGAGTGATGTCCAAGAGGTATAAAGCCCGTGAGATTCTCCCTTCAGGTGGTCCTTCTTCATCCTCGATTACTTCCGTTCATTCTTTCACAGTCGCTTCCACCACAATCTATCGAGCTGGTCTCGTACCCACTTTTAGTTTCTCTCTTTCAATCTTTTATACAACATGAAGACCACCGCCATTCTTTGCCTGGCCGCTGGTGCCCTGGCTGCACCCACCCGTACCATCGAGAGCCGTCAATTCGGTGGTTCTGGCAGTGGTCTCGCTGGACTGGGATCTGCCTTTGGTGGAAGCTCCGGAACCTCCAGTGGCCTGTCCAGCCTGGAGTCTGCCTTCTCTAGCCTTGGCTCGGGAAGCTCTACTTCCGGCGGTCTCGGTGCTCTCAGCTCCCTCATTCCCAGCTTTGGATCAGGATCGACTGGAAGCCCTACCTCTGGTGGCCTTGATGCCCTGGAGTCGGCCTTCAGTGGGAGCTCTGGCCTGGGCAGTTTTTTGAAGTCGCGCGCTTACACGAGCTCGATCACCGCTAACGGCATCACCGATGGCGATGCTTGCCAGGAGCTGACCTTCATCTTTGCGCGTGGCAGTGATGAGCTGGGTAACATGGGCTCGGTGGTTGGCCCTGAAGTCGCTTCCCAGCTGAACACTCTGCTCAACGGTAAGGTCGTGGTGCAGGGGGTCACCTACGATGCCACCGCTGAGGTATGACACCCATCAACCTTATTCTTGGGAAAAATAATAATCTTACTGACTTCCTTACCTCCAGAGCAACGTTGAGCTGGGTGCCAACGGTGGCCCCGTTATGGCCAAGCTTGTCACGGATGTCCTTGCCAAGTGTCCCAACACCAAGGTCGTCTTGGGTGGATACTCCCAGGGTTCCATGGTGCTTCACAACGCCATGAGCAAGCTTAGCTCGGGCAATGTTGCTGGTGCCGTTCTCTTCGGTGACCCCTTCAAGGCCCAGGCTGTCAGCAACATTGACGCCTCCAAGGTCAAGGAGTTCTGTGCCGTCGGTGACCCTGTCTGCGAAAACGGTTTCAATGTCATGGCCCATTTGAGCTATGGCAGTGATGCCTCCACAGCTGCTTCTTTCTTGGTCAAGGCTGCTGGTCTTTCTTAAGCTTTCTTGAAGAAAACCGGTTAGCGTTGCAGTGGCTTGACGCGCCATGTCTTCAAATCATGTCAAACGATGCCTATGTTTTCGAGCGTGGCGATGAGTTGGAGATGACAATTATTCCTTAGAATTATGCGTCAGTGATTTGGAGCTTGTGAATTTGGACACGACCTTATCTTGGGGAACTCATAAGTTTTATCTGGTAGTTGTTTGTTCATTACTACATTCATATGATTCCAATCGATATCAATATGTCTCTAATCTAGCACTGTCGGCCGCGCATAAGCTTATCCGACCTCGAGGTCCGGCCCAAGACTTGCACAACGCAGAGCAGTTGTTTTACTTGTGAGTTCAGGGCGGACCAGAGGCATTGTAGTCCTTCGAGCGCCCTGTTCACAGACGGTAGCGGGCTAGAAGGACGCCATGGCATCTTGCATTGTACTGCAGAGCCGCGATCGAGTCAGCAGCACTCCAGCTGCATCTCGAAAACGATTTGGAGAAAAGCGAGCTATCTTCAGCCAGAATTGAACACCATGCTCATTCTCTTCTTTGCGATGCAAATGTTCCGACTGTGCTAGTTAAATTCGAGGTTAAGAATAATCCTTACTCTCTCATGAACTGGTAATTTCGAAAGAAAGTCTTGCGGCCTTCTTATATGGTCTCCCGTCTTGATGAATTACCTTTGCCTCTGCCGTATTATCAGCAAGTCTTCAAAAGGTCGCAATGAAATTCAATGACACTAAGGACCCAACTGCCGGGGGTCACAGCACCCTCTCCCGTAAACACCAAGAAACGGTGGAGACACAGCGAGCTACGTAGTTCAGGAAAATGAAGTTCATAGTGAACCTATGAATCCAGAGATATAGTGATAACTTAGGTCCTATAGGTCAGCCTAGGTGAAGCTTTTAAATAATTCCCCAAACCCCCAAACCCCGCCCTCCACCTCTCTCCCCAATATGAACGTCTAAAGAATATAAGGAAGACTCCCAGTGCATGGACACTAGGCATTCCCGCCTTGAGCAGCACAGGTTTCCGAGGCCCTGCCCTGGGTCTCGGACAAGCCCAAACATTCCGCCATATGGAAGAAGATGTCAATGGAATTGTAAACACCACCAAACAGCTCCTGACAGGGGCCTTGTGCAAAGACCGGTACATCGGTCAGCGAGTGAACTCCCTGGTCAGCATCAACGGGTAAAGTGCCGTTGATCAGGAAGCCAGTGACAGCGTCCTTGTAGCTGACGTAGAAGTCATCTTCCTTGCCATTGAGCTCGACAGCAGGAACGCGCGGGCCTTCACTGTGAACCTGGTAGTTCTCCCGATGGTCGGGGAAAGCAACGACACCGGAGTGCAGAGTGTAGCGGGGGTCCCAGCGAGCAGGGAAATGCACGCCATCTGAGTATCGCAAGGCGTCGGGCCCATCGACGGTGTACTGCGAGAGACCAGAGTCTCTGTAGTAGCCAATGGACCGGCGCTTCTCGCGATCCTCCCGTTGGGCGCTCATGTATTTGGTGTCAACGGAACCCGTGACGTCAAAGCCGTGGCCATGGTCAGCCGTGACAAGGATGAGAGTATCCTCGAGCTGACCAATTGACTGAAGCTTCTCAATAGTCGCGCGGACAGTGTCGTCGAGCTCCAGAAGCTCTCCCAAGGCACGATCATAATCCAGAGTATGCATTTGCTTGTCGATACTGGCAGCCTCAGACATAAGGAACCAGCCCTGGTCGTCGTGTCGCTCCTGTAACACGTCAATCGCCTTGAGAGTCATCTCTTTCAGACCCGGCAAATCAGTAGCATCACGATCAGAGCCGTCAGGGTAGTTGCTCTTGTTGTGGAGGTTGTCCTTGTAAACGTTGCGGTCGAGCCAAAGAGCGAGGTTACTAGTCTGGAAGACGCCAAGCAGCTTTTCGTCATTTGATGCATTCTGCATGGCAGTGTTGTTCCAGGCCACATTGTAGCCCTTCTCGGCAAAGAGCTTGTAGTAGTCACGAGGGGCGTCCTTAGTCTGGAGGAAATTCTCCGCACCGGTTCCGAGGACTACATCAGGGCCATCCCAGTTAGTCCAATTGTGATTGCTGACACCGCCCTCATAGAAAGCACCAATGACATGGTCCAGCTGGCTTCGCTTGCTGGTGTGAGCAGCTAATGCAGCGGGGGTCGCATCAGCCAGGAAAGCTGTGGTCACAATACCAACGCCGCTTTGAGGGAAGTGGCGTCTGAAAATCTCAGTGATGATCTCAAATTTGGGATCGTCGAAGGGATCCTTGGAGGAGTCGACATAGACATTGAGGGCGTTGACGGTACTCTTGTGACCGGTGTACAATGCTGTCGCAGAGTTGGCCGAGTCGGTGATGAACGAATCCATGGAGTGGGTCATCTGGTGGCCCAGTACGGGAAACTTGTCAAGAGCCATTTTGGTCATGTACTTGCCATTAATGCTGCGGTGAGCCATCAGACGGGCAGCAGTGATCATATTTGTAGTCATGCCATCCCCAATAAAGAGGATAACGTTCTTGGCACGCCGCTTGGTGGGCAGGTCACGAACGTGCCAATTAGCAACAGTCTTCTGAGTTCCATAGTAGGTCAAGGTAGCCTCGTAGTCACCAGGCTCGTAGAGAACAACACGTCTGTAGGCCTTGGCAGTGACATTGACGAGAGAGGGTTGGTCGGCATCCTGGGCGAAAAGGTCTGTCTGACTCAGTTCGAGTCTTCTCACAATAGTAAGCTCAAGGGCAAAGACATCTTACCTTCATACCAAGTGAAATTCCAGCGCTCCAGCTCGGGCTCCACGACTTTGAAGTACTCAGTAGCAGAGACAGTGGTGCCGCCCTTCTTGGAAATGGTGAAAGTGAAATTGGGATCTGGCTCACCGACTCGCGCTTCGGAGCCATTGACAGGTGAATGGACTTCAAGTCGGATATCGAAGAACTGGCCAGCAAGGAAGTCAACCCTACAAGACGAGGCTTGAGTCGATTCACTTTGCAGCAGTACAGTTTGGTACTTACTGATCAGGTGGGAAGATGCAGCCCAGGGCAGGGCAGCCTCCCAGTCGCTGAAAGGTCTGAGCAGTAGCGCATGCCGCAAGACATGCGCCTATAGAGACAAGCAGAGCACGCATTGTGATAAATAGGACAAGCGGGACTGGAGATGATGAAGGATGGTGAAAGACGAAGAGGCGTGAGAGGGAAAAGAAAGAAGGAACGAGGAAGAGTGGGCAGGTATTTAAGCAAATCGAGGAAAGGCTCTGACTTGTTCATCGATATTTGGGGTCTCTCACTATCTAGCTAGCCTCACTCGGATTTTCTGTGCAAGTGAGGAATACATTTAGCAGATATCGGCCATCGGAACTCACCAACCTCCCAGGTATCATGCCATGGCGCTTGGCAACTCAATGTGTATAGGCGGCTTGATTAACTGGTTCTCCGCAACAAATCGGAACATAATCTCAGCCACACGTGGTGAGATCGTGAAAACTCGCGGCGCTTGAGACTTCTTTGCCAAGGTCCAAGTCTTGGTAGTCTTGGCCGGCGGTCACACGTGCGTTGCGCACTGAAATACACAGCATGAAAGGGATACGGCTTAACATGAGATAAGACCGGGGAGCAAGAAGGAACAAATAAGAGCCGACAGCTTCAATCCTCTCTTCTTATCGAGACTTGGACGGAGTCCCGTTCTCGCTTGCCATGGGAAGAGCAGATTATTGAGTAGCATTGAAGAAAACCGATTGACTGAAGATACAAGACGTGCCGAAAATCAGCTTGAAGCCGTGAATTCGATTCATCTGATACGACCAATTGGTCTCAAGCTAGCTTGAGGTAGTCCCAGATGTGTGCAACGAAAGACGTTTAGCTAGGAAGAAATCAGTATGCATACCACAAATTTTAAATTTGCTCCAGAGCGTGAGTAGTTGAAGATCTTTGCAATTTAAAAACAAATAGCCTATGTCTCCTTCACTTCGTAAGCCGCTTGTCCAAGTCGTACCAAATCAGCATTTGAGAGCACTTCCTTCTCAAATCCATTAACAATTTGGTTCAGCACCGCAGATGAAACCTCCTCCAGCGTAACATTTGGGATAGCGCGAGTAAAGAAATTTGTCGCGCTGAAAGCAGAAGCCATCGCGGCTCTTGCCCATGTATTTGAGCTAGTTATCATACCAGGCCGAGCCACGCAGACCTCGATACCTTGGTATTCCTCAGGGAGTTTTCGAACCATAGCTTCTGTCCTGGACTGAGTACGGAATGTAGTCAGCAGAGGAAAAGCGGATCGAGAATACCAGTCCTTGGACTCACGCGCATAATCATGTAATCGCCCAAGAAGAATGGCTTTTTGGCACCGGGGTCTTCCATGATACCCTCACCGCTGAAATACACGAAGCGGAAGGGCCGTCTAGAGCCAGCCTCATAGATGGTTTTGAATCCAACCAGGGTGCAATCCTGGCATATGCGCTTCACCTCCGAAAAGTCAAAACTCTTGGATTTGAGAGGCGTCACTCCAACTGTCCTGAGACCTCATTGTATCAGCAAGGCCATCGCCAGGCATGAAAAATGGCAATTTGCTCGTACCATATGCACGCATCGGCCGCAGCGAGCTCAGACCTCACTTGTTCAGAATATTCGCCGTAGTCCTTAATCGTGACATTCTTCAGCTTGGACGAGTCCACGTTGTCGATCTGGACAGGCTTCCGCGCCAAGGCGATCACCTGCGTGATGGCACTCATCTGTAAGCTCTGTTTGATGAGTTCTGAGCCGACTAAACCTGTCGCACCAGCTACAATGAGCTTCATAATGATCTTGCAGGGTCCTGTGAGTGAGTTCAGTAGATCTCGAAGCTTCAAGTCGGTGATGTTTGTCGGGATTGAGCAATCCAATTCCATTCGCGGGGGCTGACGGCGTCACCTGCCGCCTACCAACCTATGAAAAGGTACGTCGATTATTCATCGGCCCAGGGTTAACACAAACATTACCGCATTTACTCGGGCGCATCTATAATCCCTCGAATTTAAGGAGTGGCATTTTGAACGAGGGGGGTCCACGTTCATCTGACTAGCTTAGTTCACGGGGGCGACATGCCGAAGACGCTGGATTTGATCTTTGATGACGAAGCCAAAGCATTACAAGTATATGAGACATTTTTGTATCCTATCTTGATCTAGGATTCAGCATCATCCCTAACGTTAATTTTGTGGCTCAAATGAAGCATATCTCGACTGACACTTCTCATCCCTTGCCGCAATCGCGACTCGACCTCATCCACGGCTTCGGAATTCGACACCTTTTCAGATCGGTGAGTCTGAGACTTACGGTCAGGATAATGTGGAGGGTTAAGCATATATGACACTGGCACCCAATGGCTTTTTAGAGACAAATAGCATGCATGCAGCAATGGGGGCCAGGCAATTGTAGTAAGCAAGTATTCGACCAAGCCGTCATGATGCATGGATATGGCGGTAGAAAGCGAGTGGAAGATTGCCCATAGGGTAGCAAGAAGTATAATCACGTTGTAGAACACGCCATTGTCCCATAAGTCTCGACGGAGCTTCGTGACCAAAGACATGGTTGTGATACGATTCCAAGAATTGACACTGCTTCCAGTAACGAACGATCCCTTTGGTTTGCTTGACAGTAAATAAAAGCGTATGACACCCCAAATACTCTCTGTAGAATTTGAATTTAGCCACAGCTTGTTCTAGAATGAGCGTATGCACGTACCACTAGCAAGCCACTTGTTTTCCAAGTGAGCGAATGGTGCACTTTGGAACCCGGTAGCTACAGCCTGCAGATACTCGTATATCCACATCGAGGCGACATGGCCGAGAGCCAGGACAAATTGAAGCTGGATCAATGCTGGAAAAGGGCCAGGAATTTGCTGACCGACGACCAACAGGAAAGGAACAGCAGCAAACCCAAAGAGACAGCATATCTCTCCAAAGATGATGCCCGCTCCATCCAACGCGATATTAAATCGAAGAAGTCCAGAGAACTTATTGCTGCCAACTGAGAGCATAGCTGGAACTTGCTGGGCGTGCCCGATATTCCATCGCTTTCTTTGAGCAGCATGGCCACTAAGAGACGTCGGAACAAGACCAAATTGAAGGGGTTCCTGTACTTGTATAGTACGGTACCCCATGCCATGCAGTATCTGGGACAACTGCCAATCCTCAGAGAAGGAGTAGGTCGGATACATGCCTACGTCCATGATCGCTTTTCTTCTGAACACTGCCCCGGACCCTGCGTCAATAGCACGACCGAGAACATCCAGATCGGCATTCTGGCACGTGTAGAAATGGCTGCGAGTCTGGGAAAGCGGGTCCCCCTTTGGCAGGTTCGAGAAATACTGCCGTGTAGAGACTAAGGCCGACTCCGGGCTCAAAAGTAGATGAGGGAGTGTCGCGCGGAGAAATTGCGGCTCTGGGATAGAGTCAGCATCCAGCACGGCGCAGAACTCTGGCTGGTACTCTTGTTGCAATGTGCTCAGGGCGTAGTTCAGGTTCCCGGATTTGGCAAATACTTGGCCAGACTGTCTGCCGCGGGAGTGATATGAGAGCTGTGGCCATTGCGATCGCGTTTCGCTCACAGCTTTCTCGAGTATGTTTGAACCGCCGTCATCAAGTACCAGAACTCGGAATTGAGAGATCGGATAGTCAAGGTTACAAGCTGCGTGCACAGTATCCATGATCACACCAACCTCCTCACCACAGCAGGGCAGTAAAACATCCACACGAGGCAGGTCAATATTGCTCATGAGTCTGAGTCTTTTGCGAGGACCATCATGCGGAACATTTCCTGCGGCAACAGCCCGGAGCTGCTCTTTTCGAGACAAATCTATGATAAGTTCAGATGAATTGTCTGTCAATGTGTTGAAGCAAGGAAACTCACGCCAAAATACTCCTTCAACTAAAAGTAATGTCCATACCGGCCAGGTCCATGATGGACTACACAGGACCGAAAGTAAGCGCAAAGTGAAATACAGATGGCCGATCCATATTCCCGTTTGGGCCGCGTAGTAAACAAATTTTTGATACCGCTGACCTTTCAGAACTCGCTGATCCTGAGCCAGCTCTTGGATATCGTACTTCATTTTCCCCATTATCTTCGCAGACTGAACCCTCCAAAAGCCACAGGGAAACGAAACGTGGTGTGGCAGATTCGGAATCAAATGTCGTTACATCAGCTTTCAGCCATCATAGACCTTGCAATGGCTTCATTCTCTTTTTGAGGATTGATTTGAGACAGGGGTAGAAATTAGCCACACGAAAAGGGGGAAACTAAGGCGTGTTTGTGCGCTTCTTGAAGCGGCGTCGGTTTAGATCGCTCTGGCCTCAGCCACAGTGTGGAGTCGGGCCCGGAGCGAACCGTTACCGAAGCTTTACTCCGCGGCTTCCCGGATAAACGCACACCGCTACCTTTATCGTTGTTGAAGATCATGATGTCCTAGAGTTTGAGAGGCTTGCTGGATACTCTTGTAATATGCGCTGATATGGAGGCACGAGGGGAAATGGGCGGAAGACTCGCCACACAGGATCATTCAAGTGGACCAAAAAATGCTGTGTGGGGATGAACGCCTGTCAGAAATTTCTCCGCATGCCCCATTTGTTTTCAAGCTTTAATACAAATTTAGACGTAAAAGGGCAATTTATGCATATCTTTCGGTTCTTCATTCCTTGTGACGAGATGGATAAGCGCAAGGAACCTACAGTGCCGATGCAAATACTTGATCAAGGGACGCTAAGCTCTGAAGCCTAAGCTCTGAAGCCTATTCTTAGCATTCTAAGTATAGATTGTGAGTAGATTGAACATTGTGATATTGATCTTTCTTGCTTTTGCTTCATCGCCTTCTTTGAATTATCGCACTCGTTCGGGCTTGACTCTATGCTCTGCACATACATCCACGAGGCGAGACAATCCACTCATCAGAGCCAACTGCGGTCACCCCATAGAAGATGCTGTGGGGATCGTATTTTGCTTTGATTTGGCGCAAAGCCTCGTAGTTATCTCCATAAAAAGCAGTCTTCCAGTTAGGTTGGCGGAAATCGGCCTAAAATTGGTTAGCAACTTCTCTTGCGCTGACACAGGCAAGACGCACTTCATTCAGATAGGCTGGGCCAAATTCTGCAATTGAGGAACAAAATCCCGTGTCATTTTTGTTTTGGTTGGAAAGCATCTCCTCGGGGCTGTTGAATTTCCACGGGGTCTTGAGATATGCATGTGTAATAGCATCCCGCCGGGCAGTAAGGACGGCATTGTCAACATCATCAGAGACATTTTTGGAGACATTCATACCATTAAGACTAATTTTTCCTCCATTACTGACGATATATCGAATAGCATCGGTGAGATCATCGCTCTTACCCAGTACGACCGATTGTGGGATCAACTAGCTTCCGTACTGTGCAACGCCGACTGTAACCGATCGCATCATTGCATCAAACTCGTCAAGATAGGATTCAAACTGCTCCGAGTTCTAGGTGTATTGAACTCCCAGTTTATCTAATCCCTCGCGCAATGGCCCTGTGATGCTTTACAGCTTCTCGACTGGGATATCCGGAGCGGTCATAGGAGAAATTTGGAAAGAAGTGTTCGAGATAGATCCCATGCTTATGATACCTTTATCCACAATAGCGGATAGCTGAGAGTTATAGAGCTCTAAAGCTTTGTAGGTTAGGTCGTCTGAGTTGTTTTCTGTCGAAATAGTCAAGTTTAGACCCGAGACAGGTCCACCTTGATGCGCTTTAGATATCATTAACCAGACGACGCCATAGGTTCCACCGCCACCCCCCCCAACTCAAAGCCCAGTAAAGATCACTGTTCTGTTCGCGGGTAGCTACGATAAACTTGCCTGTACCGTCAATCACTTCCCACTCGAGCACTTGATCTGCGACGAGACCGTATCGTGGACTGAGTGAGCATCGAATGGCCACCGCCCTGACTGTATCCGCCCGTGATACCCACGCTCGGGCAGGCTCCACTGAGAATCCGCAGACCATGGGCATCTGCTATGCGGTAGGCTTCGATGCCTTGGATGCAGGCGCCAAGCTTCGCAGGTTTTCCTCGGTAGTGTTTATCATTATGATCTTTGATATAACCGTCTTTGAGGTTGTGCATCCAGACAGCCAGAGCACCAGCCCCTGTGGATTTCCCGTTGTAGCTATAGTAAATCAGCAAAAACTCGATTTGGCGCTAATTTTCTGCTAGTTCCTACTCGTGGCCAGTGGTACGGACGACAAAGCGAATTTGATGCGTTGTTGCAAACATCATTGCTTTCGAGACATGCTCAGGCTGCGAGACGTTCACTGCATAGTGAACAAGGTTTCCAGTTGTACACGGTTTTGAGACCGGGTGGAATGGGTCGCAAGTTCCGTTGGTAAAAAATGGTGCCATTATAGAGGAAGGCGATTGGTAACTGAAAGAGTCTTAAAACATATGCTGTAAACAAGGGAACATCGTCATACTGTTCATATGTCTGATTCCAGCTATTTCTCAACATTTCGCACCTGTCTCCGTCATAGTTTGGGGTATGACACGGAGTTGCCAGAGGCACTGTTCTAATGAGACGCCCACCGATAGATTCATTGAAGGCGTTCCAGGTGGCAACAGAGGGCCAGCAATCGTCGCCAGGAGAACATTTGCAGGCATGGTCCTGACTAGCTTGCACTGTTGATGTGGTCGCTAGTAATCCGGAGATTAGTCCTGTTTTGAAAGTCTGACAAGACAGCATTTTTGAAGTTAGTAGAAGTTTCATCCCTCAAGGCCGGGGCCCTCTCCATTTGAGTGGGCATTGAATGGCATCATTCATTGCGCCTTGGTGGATCTACCTTTAATGGTGCCCTGTTCTCGCATGGCTCGAATTGTTAGAGGCTGGTGCATACTTTCGGGGATCGACGATCGGCTTGGCAGCCGTGCAGGACCATATGAGTCGGACGCCTGCCGGCGGGGTGAGGTTGGCACTTTCAGGATCGTAGCTTTGTGCATATAGATTCGTGTCTCTTTTGATTAGATAATATTGAATCAATCATAGATACAGTTGAGTCGTGGCCACGAACGGGTATGTAGCTCATCAGGTCATCAGGTCACCAGGTGACCTGATGACCTGATGACCCACATTTGGTTATACCCGGTGATTACTAGTAATTACTAGTAGTTTATACCTTAAAATGAAAATTCTGAAACTCCTCTATTTGTCATGTGATCACGAAAAGCTCATCAGGTCGAAATTAGACCCACTTTTTTGACCTGATGAGCTTTTCGTAGTCACTACTAGTAGTGACTAGATAAATGGATTTTTTTTATTATTTATCAAAAAAGTGTGTGACCTGATGACCTGATAACCTATATTTAGTTATAACTAGTAATTACTAGTAAGGATAAGAAAGGATAAGTAATATAAATAGGCTAGTAATTCCTATTCATAAAGACTATAAACCTTTAAAGGACTAAGGCATTTATAAAGGTTTAAAGGACTATAGTAAGGTATTTATCTATTTCTAGAAAGGAGTAATCTCTTCTAGTAAGAATAAGTAATATAAATAGGCTAGTAATTCCTATTCTATAAAGACTATAAATCTTTAAAAGACTAAGGTATTTATCTATTTTTAGAAAGGAATAGTCTTTTCTAGTAAGGATAAATAATATAAATAAACTACTAATAAGTAATTATCTAATAAAACTATATTTTTAATTACTACTAGTAGCTTAATTAAGGTATTAATATCTTTTTCTTATAGATATTACCTTTAAATTTCTCTATATATCTATATATCTCTCTATATATCTCTCTATATATATATCTATATATAGTCTTTAAATATTGTTGGGATATAAGGGGAAAGCTACCACGAAGCAGATCGTGGCCCCTTAAGTCCGTGGGATCAACCTTAGTCCGGCTAGGTCAGTCGGTGCCAGACAAAGGTAGAAGGTCAAAGGTCATAGGATAGACTATAAGCAGATATAGCCTAAACGAAGGCAGAACCACAGTCCTGAGGATCAAAGGAAGAAGGTAGAGATGACTTTTGGAAAGTGGAAAATAACTTCAGGAAAGTAGAACTGACTTGATTCTTTCTGCTAGAAAGGAGGGACATATTTATAGGCTAGGATAGCCTAGAAATGATATCTAGAATGTTATACAAATACTAGGCAGCAACATAATAAAGGTGGCAAAGAAGGGAACCGAAGAAAACCCAAAAGAATAATGTCAAGGATCGACGGTTTTAGCCACCCCGAAAGCTTCCCCGCAGTATCAGGCTATGTATGCCGGGGAAAGTGGTCCGCCTATCCTTAAGGGGACCGAAGGTCGAAGTCTGTTCACCGAGGTCCGAAGACCATGGTCGAAGTCCGCAGGCAAGATATGCCCGAAGGCACCTCCGAAGGAACGGACCATTCATGCCTGAAGGCGGACCATTTACCTCTGAAGGAAAATGGTCCTGCCTATCATTCGGGAGAGGGCCGCGGACCAGAATCAGAAGTGGTCAAAATATCATTTTGATAGAAGGAAAAAAATCTGGTCACGTGATCAATACAATCTGGTCTTATATGTTGAATATAAGGATAGATCTTTCTATGTAGCATTAGTCTATATTCCAATAAATATAATTTATATAGAGATTAAAATATATATTTACTAGAAAAGACTAATTGAATTCTAGTTTTCCTTGATTCTTTTTATAATTTCTAGTTATTACCAGTAGCCTAATTAAGCTATTAATATCTTTTTCTTATAGATATTACCTTTAAATATATATATATATATATCTTTATATAGTCTTTAAATAGAATTTATATAGAGACTAAAATATATTTTTACTAGAAAAGACTAATTAAATTCTAGTTTTCCAAGATTCTTTTTATGATTTCCAGTTATTACTAGTAGCCTAATTAAGCTATTAATATCTTTTTCTTATAGATATTACCTTTAAATAAATATATATATATATATATATATATAGTCTTCAAATAGAATTTATATATAGAGACTAAAATATATTTTTACTGGAAAAGACTAATTAAATTCTAGTCTTTCTAGATTCTTCTTATAACTACTAGTTATAACTAAATATAGGTTATCAGGTCATCAGGTCACACACTTTTTTGATAAATTATAAAAAAATCCATTTATCTAGTCACTACTAGTAGTGACTACAAAAAGCTCATCAGGTCAAAAAAGTGGGTCCAATTTCGACCTGATGAGCTTTTCGTGATCATATGACCAAATTAGGAATTTTAATTTTTTTTTAAAATTACTATGTAGCCTACTAGTAATTACCAGATATAACCAAATGTGGGTCATCAGGTCGACCCCTGACCTGATGACCTGATGAGCTACACGCCTGCCACGAATCCTTGGTCGCGCGATATGTTTCGTGGCTACAGTCGGCTTCGTTCCCGAAGCACAGCCCAAGCAAGGGACAGACTAATAGTCCCGTAGCATACCCACACCGCTTCGGGTGTTGGTCCGCCAGGGCCCAACACAATTCCATAGCCCAACACACATCTTGAAGCTATTCACACCTATTATTCCCTCCACACCTATAGATATCCCTTATTAAATTGATAATTAGGCGCCATAGTCATCCTACTTGGTGTCTCTATATTTTTAACCTCGTCCGTAGCCGATTTAGGGGTCAAAAATAAGCTTAGAGGCGCCACCTTCTTCCCTCTCCGCACACTTACCGCATGATCTTTGTCCTTCCTTGTCGAAGTCCGGCGTCTCGCATCCTTTGTGGTTATGGCTCCGAATTTGCCGACATGCCTCTGTGATTTGCGAGCATTTGAAGGCATAGGCGGTAGCTGGTGCTGAATAGTAGACTTTAGAAGGCTGATCTCCTCTGCTATCTGGACAATATAGCGGGAAAGCCTATCGATCTGCCGGCCGATATCTGGGTTTATAGCCTTATGCTTAGCTATCCTAGATATTTTCCCTTATATACGGCGTGCCTGGGTCGTAGATTTTGGCGGGGAATTGGGTAAACTGGATGATTGAGGCGGCGGAGTATCCCCGTCGGGCCAATAAAGCTCTGGCGTAGGTGATCTTATAGCATCGAGATGTTAAATAGTTGGATCTGGATTAAATAGATAGATACCGCGATCAGTAAATGCCTTCCGAATAGTGCGAGATGTTATAGCTTGCTGCCGAATCCTAGTAATCTCGCGAAAGAAGACAGCAATATCCTTCGTATCTCCACCCCACTGCGCAATTATATTATTCTTCGCACGGAATCTCTCCTTTAAGGCTCGAAATGGGCTTCTATCGAGAGGCTAGATAATATGCGTGGTATACGGAGGGAAGACAAAGGCGATAATATTCTATTATTCGCAGAGGTCGAGGAATTCCTAGGTAAGATGCGAGCTATGACTATCGAAAAGTAATAACCTTTGACTACCACGAGCCCGATGATAGGTATGTTGCTAGAAGAAGCGAAGCTAATTAACTATAAGGATATTATTCGAATATCCAGACGGCGATACTGTAATTCGTGATTTATCTAGAAGTGTGTCGTTATTATACTATCGCTCGAGGTGCACCACACCTAGTGCAATAAAGTATAGCTCTATAAGCTATCTATCGGCAGCTATACACTTAATGCCGGTCAGGAGATTACCTCGTTCGCTTGCGAATAGCCTCGTGCGATGTTTATTATAGCTAATAACCTTTTGAGGCTTCCCCTGACTAAGCTAGAAGCCAGTCTTATCGAAATTATAGATATTCGATAGCGGGATTCGCTTTATATATAGCTTAAGATAATTATATCAGGCTTATAGGATACTAATATCCTTAGCCTCGATCCTTGCCTTCTCCGCTGGCTTGTATTTCACCTAATAAAGCCTATCGGGGAGGCGCTTCATGAATTCGTACACTCATATCTTATTAACCGGTGTTCCCCCATCTCCCTCGATTATCGCATTCGCACTCGCTTCAACCATACGCGCGGTAGGTGGAACGTGGAGACTATCAAGCGTATTGATCCAGCTGATCAATGCTGCCTCTTGCGAGGCATCAAGGCGCTTAGTGGTGATAGCACGCTATGAACGAGACGGCCGACTATGGAGACGCGCCCGTAGCCGGGTCACGGGAACGTCGAATTCGCGCGCCAGCGCGGTGATTTTGGCGTCTTTTCGACTTCTGGCGGCTTCACACGCGGCCTGGATACGTTGCTCAATGGCGATATACGAAGAATTCATGGTGGGTGGAGGAATAATGGGTGTGAATAGCTTCAAGATGTGTGTTGGGCTATGGAATTGTGTTGGGCCCTGGCGGACCAACACCCGAAGCGGTGTGGGTATGCTACGGGACTATTATTTGTTAGGTACATGAATGATCGGCCTCGAAGTCAGCTACACAATCCACCCCGGAATCCGTTTATAATACAGCAATGTTTTTCTTGGCTTCCAGAATGCCCCTTGACCCATTTTGAATGCCTATAATCGATGGCTTAGTTCCGAAGCTTGGTGAAATTAATTGAGATCTCGGAGATGCATTATCCGTACTGCCCCGCCGACCTGGAACCTTGGAAGGTCGATCGGCAATCTCAAAGTTCTCCACCGTGCTTGTTCAGCATTCTAAGGTCTACTGGCTGTACACTGCCCTTGATCTACAATTGAAGGCGAGGTGCTCGAAGTCCAAGGAATTGGTAGCAATCAATGTCCGGACTTGCCACCTTCCAGAGCACGCCAGTATTGGCTTTTTCCGGCATGCTCTCAACGGAAACATCTAATAATCTGCCCGCAGCTTCCTCTAGTTCTTTATGCTTGAGATCACCACTTGATGTTTGGGACTCCGACAGTAAAATAGAGAAGTCAAAAGCGAAAAGGCCCCGGTGTCTGAGCCCAAGTGGGGGCTGGTCAGGAAGTACCATTAGGGAATCAATTGATCACTTCATAAACAATGGTTAATCGATTGACAAGTTGATTGCCATATTGTAATTACGGTAGGCACGACTAGAAACGAAGCCACCCTTTTTTGATCTAGACCCAATGCCTGACATTTCACGTACCTCTCAATCTCAGTGACGCTGGATGAGGGGAAAGGCCAATGTGCTGGACTTTAGATATGTGATTGGATCGCCACGGGCCCAGGTGCTCTGGTGTTCAGGCACTTTCACCCGCATAGTTATCCTTGTTACTCGACGTCAAGGATCAATGGTCACTCGCTTCGCGTCGCTTAAGCGTGTTAGCTAGATCCACTCAAAGATTTCGCAAATATTAATGGGCAAAAATCATCTAGATCAGTTCATGTGGGCCAATCCATAATGTCCAGAGGAGTGGCCGCGTGAAATGAAGCAATTCGGATGGGAGCGGGATGGTCCGGAGTAAGCGATGCGCCCATGCGAGATGGGCCAATCTGATCCTGACTCAAGAGTCATTTAGCATGTCGGGAATAATGAATGATTTCGAGATCTGACGGTCGCTTTGATAGACTTGATCTTCCAGTCATGATTGTAGGGTGGACCGGTAGGTGCCACTAACAGATTGTGGTGTGTTCATCGACCAACTACACGTCATTGACTGTTGCCCGAGCATCATACAATGCAGGTGTCAGACCACTCCACCAAAGGTTGGCTCTAGCTCCACATTCACTTTCATAAAAGCAGGGAAAGGTACGAAGTATCTCCATCATGAATCATTCGAGTTTATCTGCCTTGTTAGTGCTACCTTCGGCTTCTCGGCAGCCTCATTTTCCTGTCTCCCTCCTCTCACTTCCTTTACATACTTGATTCTTCCACTTGTTTTCGACCTTTGTTCCCTCACACAATCCATTGGCCATGGCATCTCAGGCTGGTGGCGCTGATGCCAAGAGCATCTCTGCATATGGACAGGCTCGCTCAACTCTGCAGGGGAAGCCTCTCAGCTCCGATGAAGTCCGCAAGATGAACGAGTATTTCCGTGCTAGCATGTACCTCTGTCTTGGTATGCTGTATCTTCGAGACAACCCACTCCTCAAAGAGCCGTTGAAATTGGAACATCTCAAGGCCCGACTTTTGGGTCACTGGGGATCAGATGCTGGTCAGTCATTCACATGGATCCACATGAACCGCCTCATCAAGAAGTACGAACTGGATGTCCTCTTCATTTCGGGCCCCGGACACGGTGCCCCAGGAATCATCTCCCAGTCGTATCTGGAGGGTGTCTACTCTGAAGTCTATCCCGACAAGAGCGAGGATGCGGAGGGGATGCAGAGATTCTTCAAGCAATTCTCTTTCCCGGGCGGTATCGGCAGTCACGCAACTCCTGAGACTCCTGGTAGCATCCACGAGGGTGGTGAGCTGGGATACTCAATCTCTCATGCCTTCGGAACCGTTTTCGATAACCCAAACCTCATTACATTGACCATGGTTGGAGATGGAGAGGCTGAGACTGGCCCACTCGCAACTAGCTGGCACAGTACCAAATTCCTCAATCCCTGCGTGGATGGTGCTGTCCTCCCGGTTCTTCACCTCAATGGTTACAAGATCAATAACCCAACCGTTCTTGCTCGAATCAGTCATGATGAGCTGACAAATCTTTTTGTCGGTTACGGCTGGAAGCCTTACTTCGTGGAAGGTAGCGACTTTGACAGCATGCATCAAGCCATGGCTACTACCCTTGAGAAGTGTGTGCAGGAGATCAGAGAGTATCAACAGCAAGCGCGCTCATCCAAGAAGCCGTTCCGCCCACAATGGCCGATGATTATTCTTCGCTCTCCGAAGGGATGGAGTGCTCCTCGCGAGATTGATGGAAAATACCTTGAAGGCTTCTGGCGCGCACACCAGATTCCCATCACTGACGTCCGCACCAACCCGGCGCACTTGAAGGTGCTGGAGGACTGGATGAAGGGTTACAAGCCGGAAGAGCTGTTTGACAAAAATGGAAAATTGATTCCGGAGCTCAAAGAGCTTGCTCCCACCGGTAACTTCCGCATGAGTGCCAACCCCGTTGGTAACGGCGGTCTTCTGCGCAAGCCGCTCATTATGAATGACTTCCGGGAATATGGCTTCAAAGATATCGTGCCAGGACAGACAATCAAGGGAGGCATGGCCAACATGGCTGGATTCCTGCGTGATATTGTCGCCAAGAACAAGACCAACTTCCGCCTCTTTGGTCCTGATGAGACCGAGTCCAACAAGCTCTCAGAAGTTTACAAAGCAGGAAAGAAGGTCTGGATGGGTGACTACTTTGAAGAAGACAAGGACGGTGGAAATCTTTCTCCCGATGGACGTGTGATGGAGATTCTCAGCGAGCACACTTGCGAAGGATGGCTCGAGGGCTACATCCTGTCTGGTCGTCATGGAATACTTAACAGCTACGAGCCTTTCATTCACGTCATTGATTCCATGGTCAACCAGCACTGCAAGTGGATCGAAAAGTGTCTCGAGGTCGAATGGCGTGCCAAGGTCGCCTCTCTCAACATTCTCCTCACCGCCACTGTCTGGAGACAAGATCACAATGGGTTCACTCACCAGGATCCTGGGTTCCTTGACGTAGTCGCCAACAAGAGCCCACAAGTTGTTCGAATCTACCTTCCTCCTGACGGCAACACGCTCCTCTCAGTAATGGACCACTGCCTTCGCAGTGTCAACTACGTGAACGTCGTCGTCGCCGACAAACAGGAGCACATCCAATTCCTCAGCATGGATGATGCCGTCGACCACTGCACTAAGGGTCTCGGAATCTGGGAATGGGCAAGCAATGATCAAGGCTGCGAGCCTGATGTTGTCATAGCATCCTGCGGCGATGTCTCGACTCACGAAGCCCTGGCAGCTACCGCACTGTTGCGCGAGTACCTTCCCGATCTCAAAGTCCGCTTTGTCAATGTTGTGGACTTGTTCCGATTGATCTCTCGTATCCACCACCCTCACGGTATGCCCGACCGGAAGTGGAAAGCCATTTTCACGGACAATAAACCAATTGTGTTCAACTTCCACTCGTATCCCTGGCTCATCCACCGGTTGACCTACAAGAGGCCTGGTCAGCACAACCTGCATGTGCGCGGTTACAAGGAGAAGGGTAACATCGATACGCCATTTGAGCTAGCTATGCGCAATGGAACCGATCGATACAGTCTTGCCATTGATGCGATTGACTTGGTTCCTTCTTTGGGCAATACGGCTGCGGGTGTTCGGGAGAAGTTGATCAACCTCCAGCTTGCAGGTAAGAGTGAGGCCTTCAACAATGGGATTGATCCCGATTACATTCGGAATTGGGCTTGGCCTTATTCTAAGAAGACCTGAGAAGTCTTTCGTGGTATCGCTAAGGAGCTTAATGGTGGTTGTCTCTAACATGAGGGTGGCATGGGATATGTACTTAATTTTGACTAAATTGCAGCAAACATGGAAGCAATATCAACGATTTACGATCTCAACTCTTTCACCCGGTAAAGCTTTCACTGAAAGCCGAGTAGTAGCTTGAAGCTTGGAGCCCTCACACTAATTCCATAATACAGAGCATTCGCTACCCTCGTAAGTGTTGGGTATACAGATGATTTCAAAACTCAGCTTATAGATTTCCAAAAGAAGTCAAAAAAAAGGATAACATGTAAATGAACGTGACAGCTCATCAAAATGGAATTAAATTGCACTTGAAAATTGATTATCTTGAAATCCTGATAAGAACATCGGGCATCTCCGCGGGGTTCAAGGTGGAGAAGGTAAAACCCGCAAGATGACATTCACCATATCTTGCAACTACCCTGTGCAGCTCAAATGCCACCATTGAGATTGAGCGACAGGCTTGGGTCTATCAAGGGTGTCAGACTGACTGGTTCATCTCACACCTACGACATCAACGTTCAATATTCATCAGATACCTGTCAAGGCACCGTCGCATCCATCACTCCGCACGATCTTCCCCACAATGAACCCTCTCAGCCTCCTCTACTTTTGCCAGCCCTGGCCCATCCACACATTCACCTGGACAAAGCATTTGTCCACAGTGCATCTAAATATTCCCATCTTCTTCCTTCCGCCGGTACATTTCACGAAGCGCTGTCTTTCACCACCGAAGCCAAGGCAAGCTTTACACGGTCAGATCTCTTGACCAGAGGAGAATGGCTACTTGCAGAGTCCGTTGCGTCGGGAGTGACAGCCATGAGGGCATTTGTCGAGATCGATCACACTGTACAACTGATGTGCTTGGACGCAGGAGTAACGCTCAAAGACCAATGGAGCAATGCTTGCGAAATCCAGATCGTATGCTTTGCCCAAGACCCTATTTTTTCAAGTGACTTTGGAGAGGAGAATCTGGCCCTCGTTGAGAAAGCCCTCGCCGAATATCCTCAAATAGACGTCATCGGAACAACGCCTTATGTCGAGTCAAGCATCGAGGCTGCCAAGAAGAACATCAATTGGGCAGTTGACCAAGCTTTGCAGCTTGAGAAGCATCTTGATTTTCATCTCGACTACTATCTTGACCCAAAGAAGGAAGCCCTGGTTTGGTATCTTCTAGAGGCCCTCAAACAGCGAGGCTGGACTACGACCTCGACCACCAAGCGTGTGATGCTCGGACATTGCACACGATTATCCCTATTCAAAGAAGAAGAATGGACCGAGATCTCTCGCATCATTCACGAAGAGGATCTCCCTGTCAGTTTCGTTGGCTTGCCAACCAGCGATCTGTACATGGCTGCTTCTCCGCAGAATCAAGGGAAGCCTAGAGGCACCCTCGACGTACCTGAGATGATTCGCAAGTACGGATTAGATGTGGTCATGGGCGTGAACAACGTCGGGAATGCTTTCACTCCGTGGGGCTCTGCAGATCCATTGTTCTTGGCTTGTTTAGGGGTTGGCGTATATCAGGCAGGAACGCAAGCCGATGCGGAGCTTTTGTACGAATGCGTGTCAACGCGGGCTCGAGCTTCAATTGGTCTATCATCTTCAAAGAAGAGCCTGGCAGTGAACAAAGGCGATCGTGCAGATTTTATAATATTTCGCGACAGAGACGAAACAGGGTGTGGCACATTACGCCCTCGCAGAAACGTGGCAGAGATTGTGTGGGATCCTCCCGGGCGCATCAACAGAGACTTGGTGATTAATGGCCGATCGAAAGTCCCGCCTGGAGTCAATCGCGACGCAGAGGCTATATATCAGTGTTTGTGAACTGTTACATTATACTATACACTCCGAACATCGTCACCGTTCGTGGGATATTAATAGTAACTATCACGTGATAGCATCCCCAGATCGGAGACCAGATGGCGGGTGTCAGCTCTCCGCATCTCAGGGGCGTGATCAGTAGTGTGGATAGATTAATAGCCAGTATAGGGAAGCGCACCCGGGGCCAGCAGTGCAACCCAAGGGTATCACCAGGCACCAACGAGCGCTTTTTGGTGCCTGACGCGTGGATCGATTATGTCATGGGCGTTCCTGTCGGGTATAGAGTCAAATAGTGGAAAGATCTTGGAACCAGACCAAGAGAGATCGAAGGTGAGACAGCAGAGAGCCCAAGTGAAACCACGACCTCAAATACAATTTGGGTATCAGCCTTCTGCGCGACAGGGCCCCTGTCGCCTTCCTGTACAGAACTCCGCCGCATCCATCCCAGAAACTCCATCTCTCTCCTTCCACCCCCTCATCTCATCTACCTCGGACCCCTCCCGCCTCCTTTCATCCTTGCCGTGTCCGTTGTTTCATTCTTTGCCATATTTGCATTCCATTCCTGCTTGATTCTTGTCTCGTGGGGCTTTCTCTGGCCACGTCCCCGCCCTGGCTTAAGGCAAACTTGACCGCTGCAGCACCATTCGCCTCCGGTCGCGATGTCGGCCCCGGCTCCAGCGTCGACTTCGCCGACGGTCGTGCGCAGTCATTCAACATCTTCCCGTCCTCCCCGGCCTGCTCAGACCGATCTCCCCCATCGCACACGCAGTGTGGCGGTCCGATCGTCCAACTCGTCCCAGCCCCCTCCACAGAATCAGTATTCACACTCGAAAACCCCTTCTCATGACCGCCGCCCGCCTTCCAACTACGCTGCGCTCGAAAGCGTAGCCCGTCGGGACTTCGAGGCTTCCAATGTTGCTAGGATTCCGTCGCGTCGTGATCCTTCCTCTGAGCGCTCGCAGGAACGCCCATCAACCGCGACCCGGGCCGAATCCACCCGACGACACCAAAGAAATCCCTCAACACAATCTCATCAGCGAGAAAGAAGTGATATGACTGGGACAGTTGCGCCGGATCGTGCTGCTGACTCGTCGCAGCATGCGACCGAAACGCATCAGGACCCCGACCGCTGCAGCACAGCCCCGGCGCCGTACAACAATCACGACGCCGACAGGCCAGTGGGCCCTGGGAAAGACGATTGGTGCGGGCAGCATGGGTAAAGTGAAGCTGGCGAAAAACATGGAGACTGGAGAGCAGGTAAACACCCTCGTAAATGGCGGCTTGATATAGATATATCGAGCTTCATGGTAAATTCCACAAGTACTAACCCCCATCGCAGGTCGCTGTCAAGATCGTCCCGAGACTTTCAACCGAGGAGCACCGCAATAGTCGCGAATCCGAGAAGGGCGGATCGCTCAAAGGAAATTCGAACGGCTCGAGAAGCAGCTATCGTCAGCCTCACTAGCCATCCTTATATCTGCGGCATGCGAGATGTGGTGCGAACTACCTATCATTGGTACATGCTCTTTGAATATGTCAACGGAGGTCAAATGCTGGATTACATCATCTCTCACGGCAAATTGAAGGAGAAGCAGGCCCGCAAGTTCGCCCGCCAGATTGCCAGCGCGCTAGATTACTGCCACCGAAACAGCATTGTCCACCGAGACTTGAAGATCGAAAACATCCTGATCAGCAAGACAGGTGATATCAAAATCATCGACTTTGGTCTCAGCAATCTGTTTTTCGCCGAGAAGCCTTCTGAAGACGTTCTGTGGCAGTCTGTACTTTGCAGCCCCAGAACTGCTTCAAGCAAGACAGTATACTGGCCCTGAAGTAGATGTTTGGAGTTTCGGAATTGTGCTCTACGTTCTAGTTTGCGGCAAGGTGCCCTTCGACGACCAGAGCATGCCTCAGCTGCATGCCAAGATCAAGAAGGGTGTTGTGGAGTACCCACCGGGTCTCTCGACAGGTAAGCTGAGCGCTGCAATATCTTCCATACTCAATTAGATGCTAACAGAATTAAGAATGTCGCCACATCATCTCGCGCATGCTTGTTACGGATCCCAAGCAGCGTGCCAGCTTGAACGAAATTATGAACCACCCCTGGATGAACAAGGGCTTCAGCGCACCACCAGAGAATTTCCTTCCCCACAGAGAGCCTCTACAGCTCCCACTGGACCAGGAGGTGATCGAAAAAATGACGGGCTTTGATTTCGGCCCCCCGGAATATATCACGGCCCAATTGACCAAGACATTGGAATCGGAGGAATATCGAAACGCTGTGCGAAACAACCACCGTGAACAGCCCGTTTTCAGCCAAGCCGAGAAAAAGCGCGGCGTCTTTGACTTCTACAAGCGCCGCAACTCTGCCGCTAGTCGCGATACACTATCAGCACCCTCGATGGAGGCAATTCAGCTGGGCAATGACCCCTTGAATGCATATAGCCCTCTGGTCTCCATTTATCATCTCGTCAAAGAAAAGATCGATCGTGAGCGCGCCGACGCTCGACCGGGTGCCCTTGGCATTCGTCCCACTACCGCCGATGTTCATGTATCTGAGTTGTCTGCTCCGACCGCTCCTGAGGCTGCTCACACCAATCAGTATCAACTCCCGGGAGACAAGGACACTGGTCGCCGGTCTCGCCCGCGGGCCCGGACCCACGGTGAAGATGAAGTCACTGAGGGCATGAAGCACCTTCATACTTCGTCGCCTTCTACGCACGCAATGCCAATTTCCTCGCAACCCGAGACTCCCGCAAAGAAGGAGAGCGCTGCTGCCGGTCTTTTGAGACGCTTCAGCACTCGCAGAACTAAGGATCGCAGTCGTGAACACGAACGAGAGCGCACCAGTACCCCCAACACTCCAATCTTGCATGTTCAACCCCCTGCCGACTCGGCTTCTCCCCTCCACCGAGGTTTCAGTGTGCGACGAACCCGACGGGCCGAGCCGTCCCCCGGCTCTATTCCTACTGGGGGGAGCCAGCCGCAACAAGAGTTCCTTGCTGCTCCTGGTTCCACCGACCAGACTTCCTCTTCAAACAAGTTTTTGGGCCGATCCACCAGTGTCAACTCCGCTGACTACCGACCCCGGAGAGCAGCTCGCAGGAGCGATGTTGATACGCTGGATGCAGAGCATCAACCCCCTTCAACCAGCGGGTCCGACCAGGTTGCGCCCAAGGAGACCATTCCTGGGACTGGTGGCCGTACGCACACAGCCCGAACCATGTCGCTAGGTCATGCTCGCCGTGAAAGTATTCAAGCTCGTCGTCAACGACGGGAGGCGGCTCGGGAAGCAAATGTCCCAGAAGAGACCGATGCGGACATCTCTGGGGCAGGAACCGCATTGGAAAGTGCAAACGAAGGTGAAGATTTGTCCAAGCCAGTTTACCTCAAGGGCCTCTTCAGTGTTTCCACGACCAGCAGCAAGCCCTTGCCCCTTATTCGGGCCGACATCATCCGCGTGCTTAAACAACTAGCGGTGGACTATGTCGAGATCAAAGGCGGTTTCAGCTGCCTCCATGCCCCAAGCATTGACCTAGAGAAGGTGGTTGATATGAGCCCACCCAGTCCGGATCGACAGGGACAGATTTCTCACCGCCGGAGAATCAGCTTTGGCGGACTTCTCGGGCAGGATGACAGCCGGGATGACAGCCGTTCGACTCAGAACAGATCTCAACGCCGCAGCCAGGCCGCGCCAGATCACAGCTTCACTACGAACTCGGATGGTTCTGAGGAATATGTTGCCCGGGAACATAATCAGAGCGCTGTTGGCGACCGAGTGGTTGGAGAGACCACCACTCGCGTCCAAAGCGACACCGGAGAGAACCTGGTGCTTCGATTTGAAATTCTCATTGTGAAGGTCCCCCTCTTTTCATTGCATGGCATCCAGTTCAAGAAGGTCTCAGGTGGCATGTGGCAGTACCGAGAGATGGCAAAGAAGATCCTCGATGCCCTACGCCTATGAGTCGACCTCCTTACCTGGCCCTCGAAGTCAATGAACAGGGATCCAAAAACCATCGAATTCCCCAGAAGGGCGCTTTACTCAAGCTTTTGCGTCTGTGTCTACATTTTATCTGTCTTTTAGGTACATTAGTCTATGACTCATCCGCGCGAGCGTTCATCTGTCGCTTCAGCTCATTTTTGCATGCCATGGACTTCCGGCTTTTCATAAGTCCCATTTGCCATTCAGCATTAGCCCTATCATTTTAGTCAGCATCCATCTCTGTTCGCTCCCGCTCATCTACCCCAGCACGCATCGTTGGCCTAGACAAGCCCTCGATCTTCATGGTGTACATTAGAGATGATGATGTCTCGTTTCATGGTTTCCTTTCTCTTTCTTAGATTTTGCCTGTCCTCGGTTTATCTGCGGCGAGGCCGGGAATCGCGTTGTATAGTTTGTGGAATATTTGATCATGAGTGTCCCGTCTATGCAAAAATGTGATGCTGTTAATGCCGGAGATTACCCAAAGCTCTACTGTAGATCCGTACGTAGCCCTGGTGTATGGCATATTGTGTCATGGTATAACTAACGGACCCGGAGCATGTCAACGCCAATCTGTTGATGCTCTCTTTGGCCGAATGGTGACAAAGCAGTTCTAGTACGCCCAGGGCAGCCCTGCCTTTCACTCAACCCCTTGTATGGATGCTCCCTCGAGAATAGTACTCAAATGAGCCGAACATTTGTTCAGGTAAGCGGAGCAGTGATTTTGGAAACGATCACACGAGAATTGGAATAGTGGACGTTCGTCAAGGTCTCCAAACAAAAATTTACAAATGAGGCTATCGCGGCTTGAATTGAACAATCGATGGACCCTGAACTTGAGGCCGTTGACTTCGGTGCTAAAGCACGCCTCTAGCTTCACTAACTTCGGTGATCATTCTTTCATTTATAATTTTGTCAACTTAACAGTGAATCAACGCGCCATCCCTTAAAGTATTCTTGGAATTTGAGCGATAGACGTGGTTCAAAACCGCGGGTGGGAGGCTCGAAGCAATTGCATAGATGTTGCGGCCGGCGGAGGTTGACTGCCAGTTGGGCACTCTCGGGATCGCAGGCATGATCGCCCAGGCGTGCTTGCAGAGGGGTTTCGCTCGCTAGTCATCACTCGAACGCGTCTTATGATACTAAAATCATCGGTGCATGGACTCCAAATGGAAATCGATCATTGCTTTGTTATCATCATCGTCGTCATTATAACTATTGTTCTTTTTTTGAATCGCAATTTTTGATTTCTCAATTTCTAAAGTTCAAAATTTCTAGAGGTTGGGGGGTTCCTGAACTGCGGGCTCTGTGCCGCCTATATCGACATGAGTACAGGCACCACTCTCGGCAATGCCGCCTATTGTCAGGGTCCATCACGGGGTGTCACCGCCTAAGCAGTGGGCGCATCGCCCCCATCACCATCCAAAGCCCACGCAGCGACCTTAACGCAGCATGGGGAGGAAATAATCAGATGTATCCATAGCTGGGAAGATATAAAATAGAATAAGATATATTAGTCAAAATTAGGATCCCGTCTGGTAGAGGAATCATGCCTTGAAGGAAGCCATCTCACTTTGGACTCACTTCCGGCTCGCTCATTTTGGGGCTCACTCCGGCGCCCACCATTTTTCAGCTTAATCCAATGCAACTTGACACCCGATTCTATCTTGTTTGGAGCCAATTCAATACAGCCAACTGGTTCAGAATACAGTTAGGGTTCTACTTACGAACTCAAAGCTATTAAGATATTGACGAACATTATATATGGAATCACGTGATATCTATATATATCCCTAGGCGAGCGTACAAAAAGCTCCAGCGCCTTCACTTTCCATTCTGGGCTGACACCACTCAATGTAATAATAATATAGACCGTATTTTGGGCCTACTAGAATATCCAAATGTATCAAATAGGCTGAGAGCATATATTGATTAGTCAGCGCTTGCGAAAGACCTCATTGGACAAAATCAAGCGAGACCGACTTCTTCCGTAAATGACTAGTTTGCCGACACCGGAATTGGCCTAATTTGCCTGACATGTTACGTACCTAATCTCCCAAGGCTCCTAGAAGCTCTCCCACGCCCTTGAACTTGTCCGAAAAATTATCTCAGTCTAGCAAGAAAAGTCCATATATTAACGTGATATACTTTATTTGTTTATAAATTTCATGTGGGGTGTGACGCATGGTTCGAGGAAAGGTCACGTGTGGTGAGCTAGTCCCGAAGGGGACATTGGGGGGGGGGAGTTTATTGTTTCGTAGTTGTTCTCTTTCTCTCTCTTTTCTCTTTCTTTCCTCAGTTTAGAACTTTTCTGAATGGCACACGAATTCTTCCGTACTGGCCTGTGACATGGGGTCCCAAAGCGGCCCGATGGAGTTCAGGAGCATAAGCCACAGGAAGCTACCAGCAAACCCGCTCCAGTTAGACGGGCAAATGCTTCCGTTGGCCCGGTTCTGACAATCCCTTTCCCGTCCAATCAAGATTCCTCAATCAGAGCATCCAGACTGCAGCTCCACGTCAAGCCGGCGAAAGTTCACTGAAAGACAATGTGGTTCCACGCCAAACCATTCGTCTACCTTCTATGCGCTTTTGAGATCATATTAAGCCTATATACGTGACTGCGTGAAGTTCTATAGTTATAATGAACTTTTCATTATACAATATGTTGTATGACTAAGCAAAGGGGGCCAACCACAGACCGGTGGCGCGGTAGTCGTCTCTTCTGCATCGCCGCCACTCTTCACACTGTGAACTTGTAGCTGTGGAGTCTCCTGTCCTAGGTGATTCTGTTGCCTGTTTGGCCCTCTCTCACTCACGCTAGCTTCCTCGATCTGATCGAGGCGACTGGAAGTTTTCCCCGTTGTGTCTCTGACGCGGCCCTTGGGTTCCTGCACCCCGTAACTCCTCCTGACTCCTGAGTCCTAGTCGTCCGGGTGTCCCGACCCGCCTCTCTTTCTGTGTTCTTTTGTTATCGGCAACCCGTCCGCATCCCGCCTTCTGACCCATTCGCCCCCACGAGCGTCCCTCGCCCCCGGATGAGTGTCTAGACTCTAGACGCCTCGTCCGCCATGACTATGGCCGCTCGTTTCGGTCTGGATGGGGCCCCCCGAGCACCGTCCGGCGCCAGTCTTTTATGACCTTACCGGCGACACGGAGTCGGAGACAGAGAGTCTGGTAAGCTTTTCCTCACCCGTTGCTTCCCCATTCGACACGCGATTGCCAGTATCCTATCCTCCTCATCCCATCCCCATCTCAAGTTTCATCCCCATTCTCCGCAAGACTAGGGCTAGTTTTCAACTGCCCGCATTCTTCAGAATTTGCCTTCCACTTGGCTCTTCGCAATTTTATTTTCTGTTTTCGATCTTCCTGATCTCAATCCTTCTATTTGCGCGTCACGTTTCTTTTTATACCCCTCCCAGCGCATCCACCCGGCACGCGATCAATTACGACGCGTTTTTCGCGTCAAATATGGGAGTACTCGCTAATTTGGGATCATGGCTTCAGCCAACGTTCTCACCTACCAAAGAGGATCACTCACATGTGACGAGTTCATCACGTCGCCCATCTTCGACACTCCGCCTACCGCACAAGCGGACGATCGATGATAGTTCTTCAGAGGAGATTTCGCTTCCTTCTCAATTGACTCAAAACAAATTGACTGGTCATCAAAACAAGCTGTCAATTCCGAAGGTCCAGCCTTCAAGCAGGCTCATGACTCCAAGCCCTGCCCCGAGTGCCAATATTGAAGTGGTCATCCCGTCGCCGTCTCAACGACAGCAGAAGCTGATCAAGACGCTGAAGTCGGTTGATTCTCCTCGCGATGGTTCCTGGGACCATCGGTTCCCGACCGACGCCGAAGAGCGTCAAAAGGCAGCTTTGCGGGCTTACCCTCATGCGCGCAAGGTAGACCGAAGCATTATCTCGTTTGCAATCGCGCCTGAGACATATGCCCCATACTTCGATTACCCCGGCACAGGCGTTGCGCTATGAATTGAACCAAAAGCTGAAGCGCATTAGTGGACCAGAAGTCTCGCTCGATATGGACGACGAGCAAGTTGCGATGCTATCAGCCAACTTTGGTTTCCTGAATGAGTACAAATTGCAGGATGGCATTACTCGTGCGGACCCCGCATTCAACGCAGGATGCACCTGCAATGGTCCCTGTGATCCTGAGTCGTGCGACTGCATCGAGATGGAAGAGGACGAAGATAAGCCGATCTCGACCTATCGAAGAGTTCATGACAAAATCGTCCTTGGGTCAGATTTCCTCAAGCGAAAGCGTCACCCCCGGATCCTGGAGTGCAATGAAGCTTGTGGGTGTAAAGGTAAATGCTGGAACACAGTCGTCCAGCGAGGGCGGAGTGTTAGACTTCAAATCTTTGACACTGGAGTCCGTGGTCTCGGTAGGCGTCAATACCCGACTTTCCTGAGAGCCATCTCTCTCACTTCCACAGACTAATTGTTTCACTTAGGTCTTTGCTCCCCAGACCCGATCGTCGCCGGTCAATTTATTGACATCTACCTTGGAGAGGTAATCAGTAAGAAAGAAGCCGACGCCCGCGAGAACACAGACGAAAAAAATCAATCGTATCTATTCACTCTCGACCACAATCGGAACGATGGCGCTGTGATCGCGGAGTATGGCGAAGACTTTGATGACTTCTACGTGGTGGATGGTCAAAAATTCGGCTCTCCCACACGGTTCATGAACCATTCTTGCAATCCTAATTGCATAATTGCCCCCGTTTACACTACGAACCACGCCGATCATCTCGTCTATTACCTGGCTTTTTTTCGCTCTCCGCAACATTCAGCCGAAGACCGAGCTAACATTTGACTACAACCCAAATTGGGACGGTAACAACAAGATCGACCCCAATGCTGTCCAATGTCTTTGCGGAGAGCGCAACTGCCGCGGCCAGCTATGGCCTAATGCCCGCAAAAAGGGTCGTAAGGTCTAAAAGCCCAGGCTCAGGCCCAGACCTCTCATTTTGCCTCTCACATGTACCTTTTTTTGGTTTCCTACACCTTGCATGACAGGAGCGCCGGGGTTCCCATTCTAAGCATTCCTAGCGATCTCTCGAAACGCGGCTACGTTTCGATACAAACTCAACGATTATGCACTTGTATTATGTCCCCATGAAGGGGCGACCCGCATTTACCATACGATACCCTACAAATATCATTTCCTTCAGGTAGATGAAATAGCAAAAGAATACCAGAACATCCATAGGTCTCAATAGAGCGTGCACGCTCGAAGAAATTTATTGCACAGAGAGCGTAGTATATTGAGAGAGTCCAGATACCGCTGAAGGACTCAATCTCTGTACAATGTGGTAACCAACGCAGTAGTTTCCATATCAACGCCCGGCTATACAATTCCCAAACGTTTTACAGGTTCTCGACCAAATCCAGACGGAACCCCTCCCAGCAAACTCAGAACACTCCAAAATGTAACTCCCTTCCAGACACAGGAAAATATAGAAATGAATGTAAGTGGCAGAGCAGAGCAGAGCAGAGCAGAGCGCAGATTTATGCACGCCCCTCCATCACCTCAAAAATCCCACCCATGACAAACCGCGGCTGCTGAACAGGCACCTCCCGACTCTCTCGACTCTCACGACTCTCAGCGCCAATACTGCGCGGCCGCGACGTCGGACCCAACGCATGGAAAGCGGGTACATCGCCCTTCATATCCACGGGGCGGGGTTCCATGAGATCCAAACCCGCACGTTCGATCGCATCTTCGTCACAGCGGGATCGCTCCTCGTTCAGCGCCATGTCGACTGCCGAGGGACGGCGGCGTACGATCATGAGTGATGATCGGCCGCGGAGCACGGCACAGGCAAGATGCTATGGCCACATTGGGCGGAGCCTAAGAGGTGTGTATCGTCGGATTCGGATTTATGCGAGTGCGGATAGAAGGAGAGGTTGAAGAGGTGGTAGGGGGATCGTTTGGAGGATGTTGGAGAGGAAGGTGGTGAGATTGTTCGAGAGCTTGGACTTGAATTGTCGCTTGGTAGATTAATATTTCGAGAAGGGAAGAAACTGGAGGAGAATTGGTGATACATTGTTTGGGTGGGGTGGTTGTGGTGATTTTGGTGAATTGTGTTTTGGAATGTGAGTAGGATTTAGTGAGGACAATCCATAATCTTTGGAAAAAGTAGAGAACGAGAAAGGACGAGAATGGGCTAGACAGAAGTACTTAAAGAATAATTAAGGCCACTGCAAGGACCGAGGCTGCAGGGAGGATTGTCTCAGTACTTGTAACGCATGCGGATAATACAATTGTTCCTGGATTAACTACCGCATCCGGCAAATCTCCCCCCCCCAGACGCGGGCAACTCACGGCTCACATGGCTTTCTGATGTTCGTTTTCCCGGAAATATGAACTTCATTCTTAGCCCCTAGATACTGAGATCAACCTAGATCAACCTAGATCATGAGGTTGCTATGAGCTCATTACGTGCTAGCTTCCGACTGCGGTAGTTCGTCAATAGTTCGGACCCACTTGATTCAGCCTCCCCGGTGGAGTCATAAAACGTTTCAATCGATAGTCCATCTAGTCCATGTATACGCCACATTCTATTGACGAAATGATCAAGGAAGAAAAGGAAAATGAAGCACTGAAATGGCAGAATCCCACGCCGCTGCTATGCAAAATGCTCCCGGGCTAAAGGGTAGTGTACAGCATGAAACTAAACAGAAGGGAAATGGGTAAAAAACGACCTCGAGATCTGGAAGTCATGCGAGGATGCAACGGTGAGCATGTGATGTAGGCAAGAGACACCAAAAAAAAAAAAGGAACAACACCCACTTATCTATCAAAGATCCGTGTTCGCATCTCGTTCAGACTTCATTCTTCTTCATGATTCGGAGGATCGGTCACCCGATCGTCGCTGCGTGAAACTGCGTCGGATACTCTCACCCCACGCGGAGTTGTCTAGAGAGGTCATCACGTCTTGTACGCTCATCACGCTATTCTGTCGTGAATGGTCGGTCCCCGCGGGTGATTGGTCACGGTTGCCGTTGCTGGTATCGAAGGAGACGCGCTCGCCGTACATGTGGCGCGGGGTACGTGAGGGGCTAATACTGGACCATTCCGTTGGGGTGCTTGTACCCGACCCCCGGCCGACCATAGTGGTATCGATTCGAGGCAAGTCGGCATGGCGCGCAGCTGGGCTGGACTCGGCCCGTCGGCGAGAGGTGGATGATGGCGAGAGCATAGGCGTGAACGGTCCATCTGGCTCGGGTTGTGTCTGCGGTGTCATCGTGCCAGTGGGCTGCTCGCCCTCGTCGGAGTCTCCAGGATCGTCAACAAAGATTTCCGGCACCATTAATTGCGGTACGGCGGTCATTCGGCTAGACTTCTTGCTGTCGACCGCGCGACGGAATTGACGAGACCAGTATAAAGTGTCGAAGAAGCCAATGACCGTATTGCGCCGGACGGCTTCCTGCACACGCTGGAGTCGCGCACGGCGACGGAGGAATTCCTCCAGCCGTAAACTCTTGCTGTCACTGATGACATTGTAATGGGCAATAATCATCAGGCATTGATGGAAGGAGATGCCGCGCTCAGGGTCTGCAGACACGAGAACCTCCTCGTAGAAGGTGTTCAGTCTCTGGCGCCGCTTCTGTATGGTTTTGACTGGGATGCGGTTGATGATGCGAGAGAGCTCTTTGATATCAATACCTTCGGCGAGGTCAACAGGGCCTTGCTGCAACGAGGCCATTGAATCTCGCGACCGAAGGGGCAATGAGGTATGTGATGTGTACACAGACGAACTCATTGAGTCTCGAGAGTTAGCCCGACATTGTTCTAAGATGGCGCCGACTGTGAATTCTCCTTCGTAAACGCGCATCGCGAACACACCAGAAAGTTCCTATGGTCCAAGTTATTTAGCTGAAAAGAAAAAACCAACCCCACGATGACTTACCCCGAGTAACCGTGGGAATGCCTCCTTTGTGATGAAGCCGGATCCATTGGGGTCATAGGTAGCCCAAGCCTGCTTGAAGCGGCGAATCTCCTCACGACTAAGGGCGTACAAGCCGCTACTTCGTTGGTAAACGTAGGAGAAGCTCTCGAAAATGAGCGAAACGAACAGCGACACGAAAATGTACATGCTGATAATGTTCCAAGCGATGAACAGGGAGCGAGCCCAGCCAGCACTACCGCAGTCGTCGTCAAAGAAGTCGGAATCGTACGTGCAAAGAGGCGGCACCATCGTCGCATAGTCCTCCATGATTTGATTCCATCCCTCACCAGAACTGCATCGGAAGAGCAATATGAGAGATTTGGGCACATCTCGAAAATTCATGTTGTGATTTTCCTGCGAGCCGAATTTGGTGAGGCCAAAAGTTTGGTTCATCGCAATACCAAACACGAGGAACAGCACGAACCAGGTGGCGAGTAGATTTCCAATGACTGGCAGACTAGCTGCGGCCGTTTTGAAGAGCTGGTCCAGTTGATTGTTTCGGGGGATCAGTAGAAGTGCAATTGCAACGAGGAAGAGCTTGTTCAACTCAAGAACGGCCTGTGATTTATGGAGTCCAAGGTCTAGGATAGTCGTGGCAAATGCACCAGGAACGGCAAGGAGAGAGTACAGATCCCAAGAGCTCCTACTGAATCGATGCCATCCGAGGCCGATCACTCGAATTAGCACGTTCGCAATGTAGACAAACATGAATAGAAAGAATAGAATAGCTAAGCTGGGTTAGTAAGATTGGCCAAACAGGGTCATGAAGTTCACCAGCGACTTACATCGAATCGTCTCCCATAGATCCGGCTCAGGATAGAATTCTAGCACCAAAAGGAGCAGATGCACCACAAGTATTCCAGTGACAAACCGTGCCCATCGGCCGTGCTTCTTCACTGCGATCCGATAGCACCACTGTCGCCACTTCGTCGTCTTCTCGTTGAAAGACCGTTTTGAGGGAGAGATCTGTCGAAGCAATTTCCGCAGTTCCAACCACGATCGTTGTTCAGCTGTCAAGAATGCCACACCAGTTTGTTCCGTATAATTACGCATGAATACAGATACAAATAGTGTCAAGACGAAAACTGCACCGAGCAGGTTGAAGACAACAAAGAACAGGCCGTTTTCCGGAGCGACATTGTTTCCGGGTTGAATGCCTGGCGCGATGATGTTCATCGATGTCTCTTGGACATCAATCCATCCTTCTTGAGACACAATTTGGAAAAGAATGAAAAGGGAGTTGCCGAAGTCGTCGAAGTTGTACCATGGGTTAGCCACGACTCGTGGGGCAAGTACATCCCAGTTGAAAGGTGAGCTGGCATATTCATTGACGCACGCAGTCAGGTTTCCGGAAAAATTGCCATCATTACAGCTGAGCATCTGGCCATTGAACAAGTTGACGCCATAGATGGCAAAGGGAATCAAGAAACTCATGGAGACGGCCGCAGCAGCAACAACCTTCCACCCACCAACGATGATCACGGAGTGGAATGTGTCTTTTGCGCTGTCGCTGACATTCAGCAGTCGCAGAGCTCTCAGAGCTTTAAAAGCTCCAATAGCTCTGGAAACACCCCAATCCTTCTTCAGAGAGCTTCCAACGTTGATCCAAAGAGTGACCAACACAATTCCGTCAATGAAGCCCCAAGAGCTTCGGAAGTATGCATTCGGTGTCCAGAAGAATCCATCAGCGATTGTTTTGATGGCCGCCTCAACAGTGAAGATAACGGCAAAGCCTAGATCGGTGTAGGTGAACCAATCGCGATCAGTGCGGAAATTGTTTCGCTGGTACAAGGGCGTTGTGAAACAGGCAAGAAGCACCATTGCCACGATAGCCGCGTAAATGAAAGCTGAGAATGTATACCACACTGGTTTGTATGGATCCACGCCCTCGACTCGATTATTACCTCGGCCCGGACCGACGATCCGTTGGCAGAAATGTCGGACTGGATCCTGCGGCGCGAAAATGAACAGCGACTTATTATAGTTGGGATGTTTGACGAGGTACTCTCGCTGTGCCCGCTTTCGCGCCTCTGCTGCAGACACGACCTCTCTAGCCATGGTTCTAGGGTCGAGCTCCTCGTAACGAGCGGAGAATTGAAGCTTCGAGTAGAATGGATTCGGTTCGCGACCCATGACGAGGGAAGTTGCCTTTGTCCATAGCCGTGAAAGCGCACCAGGCTGGACAGTGTCTTGAGCCGCTCCTTCAGGCATTGCATTTTGTCGTCGAGCATCCTGTTCTTGTTCCCGTTCTCCCTTTTCCTCTTCGTCGAGGAACTCTCGGACGACGGCATCTTTCAGGAGCATTTCAAGTGCAGCAGGCCCATGGTCAAGTGGGTCCTTATAACGATCTGAATCTCGACCTAGGCGGAGAATTTTTGAGAGTGCAAGGTTTCCCTGCTGGGCGGCGCCGCCGACGTGGCGCTGTTCGAGGAATGCTCGCACTTGCTGGAGTCGTTTCTCGTCTTCTGACACATCGAAACTCTCTTGAATGACAGCAATAAACATATTGAGAATGATGAAATTAGCCACAATGAACCACAGAATTATGAATGCCGCAGATATCCATGAAGTCTTGAATGGGACAGTGTATGCGGTGACGTTGTAAAGAATGGTCGTCCAGTTCTCGCTAGACAGGATTTGATACATTCCGAGGAAGGAATTGTAGATATCGGCAAATGTGACTGTGATAGAATTTCCATCCGGGTCTGTGGAAGGAATTTGACTTCGGAAAAGTTGGGTCGCAAAAATAGATACCAGGAACGTCATCAAGAAGAGGAAGAAGATGAGGTTGAGAAGACCAATGACGTTGCTGAAGACAACCATGATGAGCTTTCTGGTCACGGAGAAAGCCAGAACAACACGGTAGACTCGTAGAATTTGGAAGAGAGTCATGACGCTGTAAGGGCGGCCCGAGTTCCTGATGGAGGGTATCTGTATAACGCAGGTTACAACCACAAGGAACAAGTCGAACCAGTTGCGGCGCTTTCGATGAAATACACGCCAGTCCGATGCAAATCGCAAAATGATTTCAGCGAGTAAAACAAGCGTAACGACAGTCTCGGAATTGTTGATGAAATCATCACGATCTGCCGACATAGTTGAGCTTCTCATGGCCTGAATGACAAGATCGCAAACGATAATGCAGATCCAAAACCAGTCCGTGTTGGCGTAAAGTTTCTTCAGCCCGCTGACCTTGCGTGCAGCAAGGTCGTCCTCTTCAACTTGATCAAGTTTCTGGACAGCGAAAGCACTGCGTTTGCTCTCTTCTCGAATGACCTGGAATGAATGGGTGATAACTGCAACCAGCAAGTTCACCAGCCACAAGCTCAATATGACTAGACCGAAGGCAAAGAAGAGGGCTGCTGCAAGATAGTCACTGTCGGTCGTATAGTACAGCAAATCGGTGAAGGTGTTTGAGCTCATGATAACAAACACGGCCTCCAGCGACTGTACAATATTATCGAAGCTTAACGTTCCATTATAGGGGTTTTCGCCTTCCACGCATAATGATCCTTGGGGACAGAGGTACCCTTTCGCGCCAGTACTCGTTGCTGATGGGCTACCCGTTGCGTCGAGCCAAGGCATTTCCTGGCCGGTGACGTTATCCAAGTAGCCTCCGCAAAATTGAAGCGTGCCATAAGCGTCATTCGAAGTGAAGTTGCTCTGGCCCAGGGGATCGACCCAAACACAGGTTCTGCGCAAGCTAGACTTGAAGCTTTGAATACCCACAATGGCGAAAAGGAGCCAGAAGAAACCGATAAGGAATCCAACGTGGACCAAAAGCGGCGCGGCTCGTTTCAAACTTCGAAGAATGACAGATGTACCATTCGTCAGGGCAAGGAGGCGCAAGATTCGCAGACAGCTCAGCATGCGAAAGATGTACAGCTGCTGCGCCACCTCGAGACCCCTCAAGGAGAGAATGAAAGATATCCAGAAAGCAGTAATGGCCACAAAGTCCAGACGATTGAATGAGTGTCGAAGAAACGCTCGGTGAGCAAGCCTCACGCGGCGTTTCTGAAGCGGATCATCAATAGGTTCAGCATCCAGCGCGTTCATTCCAGTGAAAGTCCGTATGATCGACGCTTGTGGTTCCTGCGGCAGAAATGAAACCTTCTTGGTCGTCTGTCGATGCGGAGTGATGAGATTCTTTCCCTTTTCGGCTATCGCTTTCCTGATTCCCAGAGAGCGATTGATTGTACTGTATTCCTCCGCGTTAAAGATGAACCCAGACACCAAGATTTTCGCCACGATCTCAAGGGTATATATAACGAAAATGATCAAGAAGACCCAATCCATGGGGTTCGAGCCCCATAAGACAGCCAATGGTCGGTCAAAGACAGATTTTGCAGATTCTACGATCAGCAGGATCGTCTGAACGATAATGATAGCCAAAATGAAAGGCTCTGTGAAAGAATGAACGAGAATGTCACACAACCAAAGGCGAAGCGGATGATTCGGTCCGAGAATTCCAAGGGACCTGCCTCGGAACGGATTGTTTCTATACTTCCACATGTTCTTGGACGCCCGCTTCTCTCTCGGTGGTAACTGGGAAGTAGGATCATGTGCGTAATCTGACATTGCTGGTAGTTCCGGAGGCCCATCCAGGCGTGCGCTTTTGTGATGCTCCTCTCGATCAATCGACTGTTGGACAACTTCGGGCTCGTTACTCAGATTAACCACACGTTGCGACATGGATTTCACCATCGAACTAGCCCTTTGTAAAGGCCCGCTGGACGCTGAAGGTGACAGAGACCGGGACCGGGCACTGCTGCCAATGCTTCGTGAACGACCTTCCTCGACATGGGGCAGGTCATCACCGAGCCTAGAAGAGGCACCACCTTCACTACCTCGTCGCTCCCCCGCATTATCCACACCACTGATCGGTTGAAGGAACCGAGGGTCGGTCAAGCGTGCAGTGTCATCTTCGGCGTCATGTTGAGGGGCGTAAGTATGGTCGTGAGAGTGGTACCCGTCCAAGGGCACATTATCGAGATCGGAGGCAGCATCGTCAAAGCCATTCATGGCCGAAGGGCCCCCTGAGCTTGTTGAACGCGGCTCATTAAAGCTAATGCCAAAAGACATCGCTTGCGCCAGGGCTCCCAAGTCCTCAGGAGCCTGTTCCTCCTCGACACGCGCTTGAAAAGGGTTTCTGCTCACAGAACGTGAATCGACCGGCGAATCCTCTGCGACGCTCTGGTATTGGGTTCGCGACCCTCTCCTCATCATCGACTGGCGTGAGAAAATCCCACTCGCGGCGCTGTTGGCGCGACCTCGACCGCGTTCGTCTGCGGGGGAATCATCGGGTCTGGAGAGATCCTGGAGGGGTATATGTGTACTTGAAGGGCTATCATCGTGGCCACGGTTGTGGTTATTCGGCGCCATCGTCAGGCTGTATTAATTATTATCGAATCGCATACATCGCAGGCTGTGTACGGGGAGGTCGAATAACCAGGGTGCCGCGACAGGTGGGCGGGAGATCAATCTTCAGGAGATAGTAAATATGAGGTGGGCGGAGAGCGTAGGTCAGAAGAATCGATATGACGGATCAAGGCGGGCACATGTCAGGGTCTAGACGTCTAGGCGCAAGGCCAAGTTGCAGAGCTGAAGGATGTTTAGGCCAAAACCAGAACCAAAAAAGCGCCGGTCGCAAGTTACCGGCATGTGGTGATTGGCCCACACTTCGCGATCCAGCGGATGTTTCGTGTTTTGAATGGAGTTCAGGCTGATCGACTGTGGCTAATGCTGTTCTCTAGTTTCTTTAGTTCGTTCTACATAACGCTGAGGTCTCTTAGTGGACGTCGCTTAATTCTTTGGGAAATTAATTATGATCCTACAGGGTGTTCACACACTCGTAGACGCTGACGAAGCCTTGCAAAAACAGTGGTGCCTGGTGGGGCTTGGGTTACCAAATATAGGTCACATCGTCTCAATACTAATCTGTCTCCATCGCACCCGAGTCCTCCTTGACATGTTGCCGAACGCCCTCTAGAAACGCTTCCACTGCGTCGCCTCCACCTAGGGGTACACCTCCTCGTCGCATGAACCCTCCATTGGCCACGGGAATCTGCAGGGCCTCGCTGATGCTAGGTAGTCCACCATCCCCGGAGCGCAACGGTCAGACTAGCCAGACTTTGCATAAACTGGGGGGATCGGAGCACTCTGCGTAGAATATCTTTTTTCTGGGCCAGATCGAGTGACAGGAGAGCCGCTTGGGCCAATTCGGGGTCCGTGTCGGCTTCCGCCGCCTCCGCATTGCCTGGGCCAGCAGGAGCAGAGCTGGCGGTAAGAAGTTCAACAGGTGATCAGCAGTGGTCTCGTCTCAGGGATTCGATGTATGGCAGCGTAGTTGGGGGAGGAAGAAGGTCCTGAAGGGTCGTAGATGGTCGTTCAGGGTCCTGGGACTGGGACTGGCTCTGACCGCCACCCAGAGACTTTAAGAAGTCCTGGACTACCGACGATGGATCTCCTGGGGCAGCTCTAGATTGAGAAAGGTAAAGCATTAGAATTACGTGGCTCGGAGCAAGATCGATAGGGTTATGTACCTACGCTCTTCCACCATCAGCTCCACCCTCTCGCGATTCCTGGCCCTCCTCGCGAACATCGCCCCCAGTTGCGTCCGGGCCAGCTCCGCCACTGGTGCTTCCGTGCCTGTGGTTGGGATCATGGTCGGTGCCCTCCACATCCTCCATGGTCTCGTCATCGTCGCCGCCGGATGGTCGGCCGGGGAGGTTAGCGATCTCGTGTTCCACGTCCACGTCCTCACCCTGCAACAGAACATCGACAATCTCTCCCAGCTTCAAATCTCGTGGGCTAAACCAACTCAGGTCACCATTTTCGTGCTGGGATTTGGATTGCATCCAGAACAGATAGCGCTGAGAGCTCGACGAGAACTTCAATACGAAGATACGACCATTTGTAGCGTCCTTGCCTGCGGGCTTGTATGGGGTGAAGCTTCCATCAGACGGAATCATGACCAGATCCAGCTCCGGCTCATCGAGAGATGCGCTGCGAGGGCGCCAGCAAAAGTGCACGAGCTCATCTTCGGAGTAAAGGTAAACGTAGCCGGGAGTCGGCTTGGGCTTCACGGAGGGAGGGTTCGTAGAGTCCTAGATTCAGGCTGTGAGTCCAACTCGAGGTATGATCATTTCTTGAGACTGAGAGGAAAGGAAAATGAATACGTAGATCGAGTGCGGCACTTACATCGAAGTCGCAGATACCTGCTTTGAAGGTGATGATGGGAGCTATCGACATGGTGGAGTCGTGCAATTGTGAGGAGTCAATGAGTCTCAGAAATTTTTCAGGTAGATGTCAATGGAGCCTTGCCTGATAAATGGCAAGTGTTGGAGATGAAGGTAGTGGGCAAGACTGTGTAGTGTAGCTTCGGGATACGTCAGTTCCTGGTTGTTTGTGCTGAGCAGCTGACTTGCACCGAGTGCTCTTGTGCCCGGCCTTAGGTCTTGGCCTTATGTTCAAGGCACCAATTCGTCAATCGCCGTCATGTGACTGTTTGGCACTCGTCACCGAAAAACCCTCAGAAAGCCATCCCTAAATCGCTCCGCCAAGAGGTTCCCAAATGCTACGGACCCAGAGTGGCGACGTGTTCGATCAATCGCTTTCATTTAAATCTACCTCGATTAAGACGCACAATGAAAGCGCATCTAAATTTTCATTTGAAAACATTCCCGACTCTCCAGCAGCTCCCAACACAGAAGTCGGTGATCTGCGAATATCCCGTAAAAGACCGCAAACACCGACAGCCTTCCGACAGCTAGTACTTCAAGTGGGAAAGGATATAAAGGACGTCACATCTTCCATAGATGTACAATTATTCTAGGAGTTCCTCTTTCTCAACCTTCTCTTCCTCATGGCACCTCTACGAATCCTCATCTGCGGCGGCGGTTGCGCAGGGCCCGCACTTGCTTACTGGCTAGCGCGTAGTGGTCATCAAGTCACCGTCATCGAAATCTTCCCTGCCCTCCGGGCCACAGGTGCCCAATTTGATCTTCGTGGCCGGGGAAATGAAGCAGCGAAACGCATGGATTTACTCGAAACGATCCGCAGTAAGCTTGTCGATGAAGATGGTGTAGCCCTCGTCGACTCGGAAGGTAACATCAGAGCAACCGTCATGGCCAACAAGACTGGGAGAGGTGCTCAATCTCTCACGTCTATGTTTGAGATCATGCGTGGCGATCTAGTGCGCATTCTCTACAACGCGACAAATGATAATGTGAAGTACTTGTTTGGAAGATCGGTTGATCATTTCGAGCAGAAGGTGACTGTCTACTTCTCCAATGGCCCCAGCGAAACATTTGATCTCCTCGCTGGAGCAGACGGCCAGGGTTCGCGCATTCGCAAAGCCATTTTGCCTCCTTCTTCTCCAGATCCTTATCGACGATTGGGGATCCATATTGCCTACTGGTTCATTTCGCGCATTGCCAGCGACAACAATATTCGCAGAGCATACCTGAGCCCCGGAGGCCGAATGATCAGGCGCCGAAGCCACAGTCCAACAGAAACACAAGTCTATTTTTATCTCAGAGACGATGCTTTTTGAATTCTCGAGTATTCACAGGGCTTCGATGAAACAACAAAATGATTTTGGACTCAGAAATTCCGCGGCGCTGGGTGGGAAACTGATCGGTTCTTGGAAGGCATGAAGACGACAGACAAATGATACTGTCAAGAGGTTGTCCAAGTGCAAACGGAGACATGGCACAAAGGCCGAGTCGTTCTTCTAGGAGATGCTGCCCACTGCCCGTCGCCATTCAGCGGTATGGGCACCACTGCGAGTCTCGTTGGTGCCTATGTTTTGGCTTGCGAGATCAATCGAAACACAGAGGATCTCTCTCAGGCCTTTAAAAACTACGACAGGGTCCTCCGGCCTTTCATACATGAAGTGCAGAATGTGAATCCTGCGTTGCTGAGACTGGGAATGCCGAAGACCTGGTGGGGAATCGCCAATCTACGCTTCTTCCTTGGGATGATATGTTTTTCTCCGGATTCCTAAGTTGATGTCAATGTTTGCGAAGGAGAGAGACGTTAATTGGAAGCTACCAGATTATTCTGACTTAGGGATACCTAACGAGTAGAGGAAACCACTCATCAACATGAGACTGACGTAATGGGGACTGCATTTTGTTCAGAGTAGTACTACGGCAAGAGAAGAGAGAGATAACACTCGTATGTTATCCCATCAAGTATTAGATTTTCTTAAGCCAGAGCTAGCATGTTTCGGCGAAGTTCTGAAGTAGAGAAGAACAAACTTTTCAATTGCATCGCTTCCAAAAAGGCAATGAAAGCGTCTACAACTTTCCTTATCGGTAATGACGGTCCACAAAGCTCAGTTGTTAGGGCAATCTAGACCCACCCGGAACAATAATCAGGCACCCAGGCACGAAGTGTGCCCCGTGGCTGACTCAGATCGGTTCGGCTAACCCGTATCACGTGAGGTAGGGCTTGTTCTTCCCACAAACTCTCTAACTGTACTCCACTCGCAAGTCCGCACATCAACCTCAACACCCAACCACCAACCCGACAACCACCTACACCAACTTCGTCGCAGCCACCATGTCGGACGCTACTGTTGGCCAGACGAAGCAGTTTGGAAAGGGCCAGCGGACTGTGCCGCACCCGGCCCAGAAGGCCATGAAGTGGTACCCCGTGGACGACGAGTCGCAGCCCAAGAAGGTTAGCATACACCACGACAATAGACTTGGGGTTGGCAGAGGAAATGGGTATGCGTTATACGCTTGGATGTGTGCAACAATTGGCGCCGAGTCTGTTTGAGTCGAGTCTGCACGATGCACGACATTCAATTCAACATGACCAGTGACAATTGCCGAAATTTGAGATGAGCCTTTGTGGCCTCGCAACAATCATCGCTAGCATCCGAGCGAACCAACCATGCCTTCGATCCTGCAAACCGCAATGTCTCAACCTGTTGAAGAATGGAGTTGCTAACATTCATTTGTGCGTATAGGTTCGCAAGACTCTGCGTCCCACTAAGCTCCGCGAGAGCCTCCAGCCCGGTACCGTCCTGATCCTCCTCGCTGGTCGTTTCCGTGGCAAGCGCGTCGTTCTCCTCAAGCACCTCGACCAGGGTGTTCTCCTCGTCACCGGCCCCTTCAAGGTCAACGGTGTCCCCATCCGCCGCGTCAACTCCCGCTACGTGATCGCCACCTCCAAGCGCATTGACATCTCCGGTGTCGACTCCAAGACTCTGGAGAAGATCTCCGCTGCCGACTACTTCACCAAGGACAAGAAGGCCGAGAAGAAGTCCGAGGAGGCTTTCTTCAAGCAGGGCGAGAAGCCCCAGGTGCGTTTTCAGTCCACTCAAAATAAGTTCTCTGAAGCCAGCAATACTAACATAAATTTGTTCTATAGAAGAAGCAGGTTGCCAGCGCCCGTGCCACCGACCAGAAGACCATCGACCAGTCCATTCTGGCCACCGTCAAGAAGGAGGAGTTCCTTAGCAGCTACCTCGCCACCACTTTCAGCCTCCGCAACGGCGACAAGCCCCACGAGATGAAGTGGTAAAAAAGTGCGCTGCGGCGGCCGCGGGTTCGGTAGATAGTTGGGGAGGACTCATCTTTCAACGAGGGCGGCTCGATTGCACGTCGGCATCCTTTCGCAGTGACGGAGGAGCGGTTTATGAATCATGTAACTCAGTATGGGATCGGTTAATTCGGACACTCGGCTGTTGTTTCTCTTTCAAAAAACACTCCCCTTTTTCACGCGTGGCCGGTTCAGCATGACTCCCTTCTCCTCTTTGTCGGAGGAGGAGGGGGGACCAGCCGTGATGTGATGAAAGACTTCAAACAAAAAAAGATTAAAAAATACCTCACTCCAGCAGCCCTGCTGGATTTCTTTCATGTTCAGTACGACATACACCTCCCATTTCCAAGGTTCAGGCGGCACTCCAAAAAAATTGGGTCTTCTTTTATAATTTTCTCTACGTCCGTATTAACGTCTAGACTCTATCTATGTAGATTAAGCATTGAAGATGCAGATTGGATCAGTCCAGAGATTAGGTAGGCGCAGGCGTCTCCATTGTGCGGTAACGACGTAATAGGTTCCGGAATCGGAGTATTGTTTTCGATTATATATCTCCGCATTACACTGGTGACTCTGCACCAATATTGGCCACTTTACATGAACAAACCCAGTCAAAAGTTGTTCTAAATACATCAAAATAAATTGCAAAATTCACAGATCTCATCATAAATCATAAGTCCCATACAATCATTCAAGCATGTGCGTTCCTGCGGGTGCGCGCAGGTGTGTTTCTCCGCAGTGTCCCCTCGCGAACCTTACGCTTCGAAGCCTCCAAAGCCTTCCTCACCTTATCTTCAATCTCATGCTCTTCAAGCTCACCCGCCAAATCATCCTCAATATCCCTGTCACCAGCAGTTGTCCCACATATCCAATCCAACAGACCCCAAGGTCCAAAGTTCCCGACTCCACCATCGATCAAATGCATATCGGTGCGGCGCGCAATGCCTCCCAAAAAGAAGCTAGTCGGCATGATCGTGTACCCTGAGTATGCAAATGTCTCCTCAATCGAGATACTCGACAGATAGAGCAAGAAAGTGAGCATGTGGAAGCGGAAGAGCATAGCCGGCAGGTAAGTCAGAAGGAATTTATGCACAAGGTATGCGAGCGGGTGATCGTAATGCGCGGTGAGCGGGAAAGGCGCATTAAGCTGGTGGTACCAGTTCTTATGGTACTTGGCAAGGATATTCTTCGAGTGCAAAACATAGCGGTGTACAACGTATGTAAGGATCTAAAACCGGGCTGTGAGCATGACAATGTCGAATGATCACCCACGCGATCGGCTTACCTCTCGAACCAACAGCCCGAAGAACATGTCCTTGACCATTTGCCATGGCATTGGGAGCTTCATGGAGACCTTGATTGCACTGCGCACGCCAAGTCCACTGACTAAGAGGGACTCAATCGCGGCTTGTGCAGCAACGCTTAGACAGAGATTGAAGATCGTCCATCCTGCGACTTTGAACTGTTTCAATTGGAGCGTGTGTCGCTTCTTGCCTCCAGGTAGACCGGATTCGCCTAGCGCTTTGACTGCGACCGCGGTGGATGGGGCGAGGATGTCAAAGAGGAAGAAGATGAGGGAGGGGAACGCGTGGAATAGTAATCGTGCGGCGGTCGAGCCGAATAGCTCTACTCGGAGCGGAGAGTGGGAGAGTACCAGGGTGGTCCACGTCATATAAAAGAAGAGTAGGTTGAGACTCGTACTGTAGGACGATATGGCGGGCACGAACAAGAGCGACAGAAAGGGGATTGAGAACAGCGCGTCCATTGTGTCGTGTCTGTCGCAAGTTCTCGAGAGGAGGCACGGGAAGCTGGGGATGGAAGCTGCGAGCTTCTGCGAACTAGAGTGGAACAATTAAAGCTTTGCAGTCTGTCGCATCTTCGAGTGAAGTATGCCTGAGTGAAAAAAGATCGAGTAACAGACTGCAAATCGTCAGCGGCGGGCAAGAAATTAGAATTGGAGAGGCCGGGCCCGATCCAGCACTACGTCACCGCCCGCATTCCGACTATGCAGATTCACTTGACGTGGGGGGGCATGCGATTGGGAATGCAAGGTGTTATTTCAGAAAAATCATTTTCTAATTATAACTGTTCAGTACGAGCGTAAAAGCCCCAGAGGCTAAACGAAGGTAAAGGCCACACGGGGTGACAAGCAACGTGCAACACGCAGGGTATAATACAGACGCAGAACACAAGTGGAACTTAGGAAGCGGTCTCCCCAGGGCACGGAGGTGATGGGAGTCCGTTGGTCTTTCCCCAATTGAAGGCTTTATTACGAAGATCTGGAATGACCTGGAGGAACACCAGGTTGCTGAGCCAGCTTAGCAACGTGTCTCCGATGATGGCGTTTCGGGGACTGGGTCCAAGAGCGGTACCCTTCATGATGTTGCCGACGAACATAGTGGTGATTAGGTATTCGCCGCGCTCGAGAGCAGCTATGGCGATCCGGGCCACCTCTTCGGGTGTCTGAGGCTTGTCAGCCTCCTCGAGCATCTTGGTCAGCTCGGGCTTGAGCTTTTGCTCGTTGTCAAATCCGGGACTGAGAATGCCCATGGGAAAGACTGTGTGAATCTTGACATCAGCAGCAGGAGCCGAATTACGGTGTCGCTGAGAGTAAGCTCCGTTGTACATCTCAATCTCCTGACTGAGAGTGTCAGACAAGGAGCGAATGGCAGCCTTGGCAGGCGAGTAGGGACCGTAGCCAGCAATGGGAGTAAAGGCGAGAGTGGAGCAGGTGAAGATGAGGTGTCGGCGTGGGTTGATCATTTGCTCACTTGGTGCGACAGGAGCCAACCATTTACGAAGAGTGGCGTGGGCCATGTTGGCAGCAGTCCAGTAGACGGTGTCCATCTGCTGCTTTTGGACTGCGAGGGGCACTTCAGTGAAGAACCCAGGGTGGCAGAAGCCGGCACAGCACCAGACGATGTCAGGAGCAGACCCATCGTTCCAGGCAGTGACTTCACCGACAACACGCTCACATTCGTTGGCATCGGTGAGATCAGCACTGATGTAGTAGAAGCGTTGCTTTTTAGAGTTGCTACACTTGGCCTGGGACATGCGTAAGCGGAATGATCAAAAAAGCCAAGGGGAGTCATTTGAACCTTCATCTCGTCAACAGTACTCTGGAGCTTCGAAAGTGTGCGAGCAACAACCACAACATGAGCGCCTTTTCTGGCAAGTTGGATGGCGGCAGCTCGGCCCATGCCATCGGAGCCACCAGTGATGAGGACAGTCTATGGGGAAAGGATTAGCTGTAGTGACCTCAAGAGAAAGTGGATTTCTCACTCGGCCCTCGATAGGGAACTCGTTTTTGCGACCAAATCCGAACATCTTGGCCAGCGTATAGGCGATAACGGTGCAGACCAATACAGATACTCCCCAAGCCGGGGTGGTATTGATGTAAGAAGGGATAGAAGAAATACTGTAAGGCATGTAGAAGAAGGGAAAGGAAGCAAACAAGGAGAGAGGAGAGGAATTGGGGGGTGACTGCCGTCCGACTATTTTACGATATGGATGAAGAGAAGGAGCGATGAGGGATGACCCTTACCAGCTGAAACACATTTACCATACGGATGTCATTCAACACAGTAATCTAACAGTGTGAACGGTATCAAGACGGCAAACAGAACAAACATTGAGTTTTGCTGCCGCCCGCAAGGCGGTGAGCGCCGACCAAAAAATTATTTTGTCGCAGTTGATCAGCCTGGAGAAAACCAGCTACACATATTTCAACATGGGTAAAAAGAGAAAGGCTGGCGGCCGTCCGGCGCAAAAGACCGAAGCCCCTGCGCGCACCAAGTTTGATGTCGAAGAACGCTTCGACGACTCCGAGGATGACTTCCAGACCGGCCGCGACCAGATCCTGCTGGACGATGGCCCAGAGACTAAACGGCGCCGGAGAGTTGCTGAAGAAGGTATGTTTGTCGATTCGAATGCAAAGTATATATATAGAAGCATTTCTGATTGTTCGTTGCAGAGGAGATGCTTCAGCCCTCCGACGAGGAAATTCTAGGCTACGAGGACCAGGACGAGGACGATTTTGAAGTCGAAGAGGACGAGGATGAAGATGATATGGGTGTCCCCAAAGGCCGTCGTGGAGAGGAGGATGACGAGGAAGAAGATGGCATTGCTGCATGGGGCTCTTCAAAGAAGGATCTGTACAACGCGGATCAGATCGAGACCGAAGTTGATGCCTTGGAGGAAGAGCAAGAAGCCAAGAGGCTGCAGCAGAAGCAGCTGCAGGCTATGGACGAGGCTGACTTCGGATTTGACGAATCCGAATGGGCGGACTCCGGCAAGGCGGAGGGCGAAGACGATGCTGGTGTAGTCACAGAAGTGCTCCCCCAGCTGGAGATCACCGAGGACATGGGAACCGACGAGAAGCTCAAGATCCTCAAATCGAGATACCCCGAATTCGAGCCGCTGGCGAAAGACTTCACCGACCTTCAATCCACCTACAAGGATCTACAGAAGGCAGCATCGAAAGCCTCAACAGCGACGAACGAAGATGACGACGAGCCTCAACCTGCCCCTGTGGCTGTCGTGAAGCTGCGTGCTTTGTCGGCTTACCTGGGTACTATCAATCTGTACTTTTTGCTTCTTGCTTCATCCTCCGATGGAACCAACGCCAGCACGCCGATTTCCCCGCCGAGCTTCGACAACACCCTGTGATGGCTTCTCTCGTGAAGTTCCGGAAGCTCTGGGAGAAGACCAGGGATCTCGAGCTTGAGGAGGTTGTCGAGATTGCTAAGAAACCCAAGGCTGCTGCCAAACCCGAGTCCATTGCCCAGAAACAGAAGAAGACCAATGAGGTCAAGGCAACCATGCCCAAGAAATTGAGCAAGGCAGAGAAGGCAGCTCTGGCAGCGCAAGCCGAGGCCGAAGCCCGCCGCGCCGAGCGTCTCGCGGAGACCGAAGCCGGCTTCGCTGATCTGTCCAACCTGACCACCGAGCCTGCCCTGAAGCGTAAGACTAAGAAGACCAAGACACCTGCCCATGACGACGACTCCGACTTCGGTGACGAGGACGCCCTGACTGCCCGTGAAGCCGAGGAGAAGGCCAAGCAGAAGCGTTCTCTCCGCTTCTACACCTCTCAGCTCGCACAGAAGGCCAGCAAGCGTCACAACGCCGGTAAGGATGCCGGTGGTGATGCCGATATTCCCCGCCGTGAACGTCTCAAAGACCGACAGATCCGACTCAACGCCGAGGCTGAGCGCCGTGGTCGTCAACAACCCGACATCGGTCAAGAGCTCGGCGGTGACAGTGACGATGAAGACCGCCGAGTTGCCAAGGAACTCCGTAATAACAACAAGTCCGGCAGTGACGACGACGAGTATTACGACATGGTCGCCGCACGGGGCAAGGCTCGCAAGGATGACAAGAAAGCTCGCGCCGATGCTTACGCCGCCGCAGCTGCCGAGGGCGGCCAAGTCCACATGCAAGAGACCGTCGGACCTGACGGAAAGCGTGCTATCACGTACCAGATCGAGAAGAACAAGGGTCTCATGCAGAAGCGCAACAAGGACTCGCGCAACCCGCGTGTCAAGAAGCGCAAGAAGTTCGAGGAGAAGAAGAAGAAGCTCGGCAGTATTCGCCAGATCTATAAGGGTGGCGAGAGCCGCGGTGGATATGGTGGTGAGCTTACGGGTATCAAAAAGAACCTGGTCAAAAGTGTCAAGCTCTAAGGCTGGGATTGGGTTTAGAGATGAATTTGTTTTTCTCACGGCGTCTACGTCCTTGGCAGATACTGGCATTCAATGTGTATATAACTCCAATTTCACCATTCATGCTCCGGCTCAAATTCCTTTTCTCGCTTTCACGCTTTCTTTGACCTGATGGGAAATAAAGGTCCACCTTCAGCAAATCCAGGCCGACCCAGAATCTCCATCATCCGCAACTTGACCTTCGATTAAGAGCTAAGTCTTATTCGTAGGTCAACCATCTATCTTTCTTAAACTTGGAACACGTTCCTTGCTAGTGACTTTGGAACATCCAAAGTTTCCTCTTGGTCATCATGCTTCGCCTGACCATGAACCTGAGACCGACTTCGCTTCGGCATCATATCCCTCGAGACCAGAAGGAACTTCTCTCACGGATCCGCGTCATTCCCGACACTAGACGCCCAGCTCCCTGTTTCCGGTTTGTGATACGAAACATTCGAAATGGGAACTGGTGCTGTTTAGGATCTTCTTTGTGTACACGGCGGCAATGTATTTCTAGTAGTGATGTCGGAAGTCTGAGGAACGCTGAGCAGCATCCCTAGGGCTTGCGGATGCCTCGCTGCATTGTGAAGTGAGGTTGAAGACCAGGGAATCGTTTCTCGCCCCAGATGTATTGCTGAGTGATTTCGACTGAGCACAGGTGTGACAGACGCGACTAATTCTTCATAAATGTCACCGTCGATGCTCTGACTTGTAGGAGATGGAGATAGCTCTAGCGTATCTAGATAAGGTGCGGCACGTAATGCGCGGGTTTAACAAGAAGGAGCAATGGGAGAGAGTTCTATGAGCAGTAGTAGGATATGAGTAGATGGCATTCTTAGAAATACAACATTTAGAGGTTATAATCGTGGAAAAATACGAGTGTAGTTTGCGGGCCGCAATGCGAACTGTCTCTCCAGTGGGCACTCACCACACCAGACAACAAGAAAACCGGGGTAAGAATTGGCCCTCGGTGCACATTGGAGGAGTCAAGCGGGGGTAATGATGGGTGCTGCTAAGCATTAAGATTGGCACCTCGTACCGCTGCCCTGCGCGCCCTGGAAGAATAATTGCAAGGCGCACACAAGTGATCGTAAGCCTTGAGAAGTGTTTTTTTCTCGCTGATCGACTTTTACTCTGTTGGCTGGAATAAATCTTCCAGAATTGTCTTCGCGTCGCGACCGGATCCCTTCTCTAGAGAGAAGTCTACTTTGAGAAAACTTCGCGCCATTGTGTTCTGCCTCCTGAGTCAGTGATATGAATGAGCTCACCAAGTAAAGAGTGTCCCTACCGCGTGCTGAAGGGTCTGCATCTCTTCAACGGATAGCGTGGCACATGCAACAACAAGATTCTCGCCTCGGGCTGCGAGAACTGCGATCTCATTTGCGCGGGAGACAATGGCCGCGTCGATCCCGTTGATTGCAGCGCAGCTATGACATATTGTCAGCAGGCCCGTACGCACTAGTCTGCATTCAAGTAGATTCATACATGGTACCAAAGCTCTTGCTACTGACACCCGGACGAAAGCTGTGCCGTCAGTTAGCCAGGAGATCCGATCACCGGCGAGTCTTTCTCAACGAACTTATAAAGATAGGTGACCTGATCTTCGACATCCTGAAACTCTTCACAGACTTTGACCTCCATGTGCCCGAGCTGCAATCTTGGATGTGGTCCAAGAAAGTTATTCTCGAAAATTTCGTGAAAATGAGTGGCAGCGATGACCTTTGGAGCATTTTCAAGATTGAGTAGATGCTCGAGAATCCCACAGGCTAGACCTATTCCGTCTGCAATATAATCAGCTTGTTCTTTGCAAGTCTCGCAATGACACTCACCACTTTCACTTGTACCCTTACCAAACTCGTCAATGAGAACCAGGCTTCGACCAGTGACCTGCTTGAGACAAAGCGAGATCTGCTGCAGATCACTCATGAAAGTACTTTGAATCTGTATTTTGGACGTCAAAAAATAGACTACCATTTGGAGGGGGTAGACTTTCATACCTGGGAAACACTCTCCTGAGTGTTGATCTTGGTCAACATCTTGTCTGTTATACCGAGCTCTGCGCTTTTCCGCGGGAACAAAACTGCCATGACGAGTCAAAAAACATCTCAGGGCGGAATCACGAATCTACGTACCTCCCAATTTGCGCAAGGTAAACAATGAGGGCAACCTAGACTGATCTTAAATTATGTACAAGGTAATCAGGTCTGGTATCAAGTCTCACCTGCTTCATATAGACACTTTTGCCAGAGTAATTTGGCCCTGTCAATACCAGCATGCTGGGAACATGGTCTGCCGATGAAGAGGCCACATTGCTCACTGCAGCCTCCCCTCTAGCAGCGAGGAAGGTGTCATTTGGGACGTATGAGGAAACGGTGAGTTCTTGGAGAATGTGGCTAGACAATGTCAGGAAATATACAAAACAACATGCATGAATAGACATTTTCTCACCGACCCCCCCTTGATCTCGATACCATGATGCGCCAACATCCGTGGCCGTGTAAGCTTGAAAAAGCTAGCTGCCTGTGTGAGGGCAAGGAGGCTGCACGATATTAGTTTGATTCGTACCTACATTTCCTGGGTCACAAACCTGTCCATCTCGCCACAGATATCAGATGCATCAATCAGCACATTCTCATACTGAAGGACCCTCTGGGCCAAATCGTAAACGATTTCGATTTCTTTCTCTAAGAGCAATGGTCAATAAATGAAAGTGTGGGGGGGGTATCATGAACATTTAAATAATCTTACCACAGATAAGCCCATAGATATCACCGAGCTTTATATCCAGCTCTCGCATGCGAAAGTCCTTGAAGTAAGCTCTGGTCTCTGTGGTGAATACCAGCTCCCAATCTCCAATAGCGCCCGAATAGGCGGGTTCCCTTCTGTCATTGAGGGCGATGGCAATATTGAAGCCGAGTTGAGGAAAATAGATCACGTTCACTTCAATGTCGAGCTCTGCTGGGATTGCGGTTGCAATCTCAATGGCCACGGCTTTGAGAAGACTGTTGAGGCCGTCGTATCGGTCTTTCATCTTGTCGAGCTCTCGATCAAGACCTTGTTTGACCACTGTCCGGCCTTGCTCTTCAGAGTTGTCAATGTCAACAATCTCCTGAATCATTCGTCCGACTCGATGGAGCTGCGCTGCTTCAAGTACTTGGAGTGCCTTGTTCTCAGTTAGAAAAAATTTCCTCCTCTCTCAATTCCGAGATGTGAACCTTCGTTCGAATTACCAGCCCATCCGCCCCTGAAGTCTGACGAAGTGCATCATGGATGTCAATCGAGTAGAACGCAAACTGATTATTGCATCAGTAGACAAACCCACCAAGCTGTAAAGGAACATACGGCTAGAAGACTTGCCCACACAGTGGACTTGAATCCAGCGATCTTTCCACTCCCCGTGCTAACACCTTTGTGAAGGTTGACCATCACAGGCCGCAGGTTCTTGACATGCTTCAACCCCTTTGTCATTCTTTCGATGGCTGTCAGGTTTTCTGGTCTTGAGATAATCGCGATGAAGTCATGCCGCTCTCGAATTGTCTCAAGGTTGAGACTTGGGCGAAAAAACATCTGCTTAAGTCTGGCTCTTCCCTGTGTCGTGTATGCAAAGCGACAGAAAAGGCCATAGACAGAGAAGCCCTCTTTCCTAGAAGCCGATTTTTTGCCTGGGCCTTGATTGAACATGTTTGGGTGCGACTCGGACTGTACAATTTGAAGGGAGAGAAGTGTATTGCTTCCGATCCACCTGGGAACGTGTCATTAAATGCATCTTGCCATGGTGGTTATGTGAAATACTAGCATCGTGTCTTGCAGACTGAACATTTCTAAATACCTGATCCTAAAAGGATCGGTTCGGATTGGTCCGATGTTCGTCTCAGCTCGTCGTCTCTGTAGGTATGAAAGAATTGCCCCAGCACAGCCGACAGTTACTGTGTTCTCCATCTCGACAGAGCTGGAGATGTGTAGAAACCTTCCTTCGTGAAGCGTGAAGCCCATGTCCTCCGGGTTCGTCTCCTCATCGGGCCCGTCGAGACCATTCTGGGGTACGAAGAAGCGAAGTCGCTCCTCATGGGAAGATGATATTTCTAAAGCGATAAGATTGCTCTCTGCGTTGGCATATGCAAACTCTTGCGAAGGACGAATTTCAACTTGGTAGGGCAGATATGACGATGAATCTATCCCTCAGTGAGCGATTAGATTCAAACATCACGAATGGACTATTGCAGCACTACCGTTATCGTGGGCGAGATTCTGTCCTTGGAAATTGAGCACATCGACTCGAGGAGGCGTCAAGATCACAGTAGGTCTGATCTGAAGAATCACTGCGTCTAGTCAGTAAGCCTTCTCGAAGCTTTGAGAAACATCACAGCAAGGAGGCGAACAAGCGTTAATGGTCTCCATCTCCCCCAGCTTGCAGTCTCCCAGGAGGTAAAGCTTCTCCTCTTCTGCAGAGTAGTATGAGCATCCCACCGTGCCGTAGTCTTTCATGTCCATGGCAGCAATGATGTGACCAGCATCATCATCCTCAATAGATCTCTCATTACCTTCAGCTCCAATCTGACTTTCTGTTGGAAATGGAGTCTGCGGTTGCTGAGCCGCTGAGGAAGCTGGTGGGTAGACTGGGCCTCTAAACACAGTGAATGCTTGGCTCGATGGGCGAGCATCCTGACCACCCCTCGATCCAGTGGTATGAGGTGTAATGGGTGGTAGCCGATACCGAGACACTGCGGTTGAATGCTTTCTTTTTTGAGAGGAACGCATCCTGCAAAAACCGGAGGATCTGGGAAAATCGTGTCGAGAGATGTGTGTTGGTAAAGACCCGGGCTTGGTCAAATTACATCTAACAAAGTCTAGAATTCGCAGCCATTCTTCAAGTTGCAAAACGTTGTTATGGAAATTATGTATGAGTGAGAATGTTTTTAATTACACTCGTGATGACCAGACTAATATACAAAATTCACTTTAAGCGAGGACGACGTATCAAGAAAAATTTTGAGCACCAAAAAACACCGTCATAAATGCCCATTTACGCCACCAGAGACACCATTGCGGAAAAAAAATCATGCACTTTCTTCCACGCCCTCCGCAGAAATCTGCAATGCAGTCTTATCAGCACTGAGAGAGACACGAGCAGTCTGGCCAGAGGTGATCTCGCCGCGAATGATCTTGTCAGCTAAGCGGTTTCCAATCTCCTTGGCGATCAACCGGTTGAGAGGGCGTGCGCCAAACTTGGGATCATAGCCCTTCTCACAGAGCCAGTCCTTGATCTCGTCATCCACCTTCAAAGTCATCCGGCGGTCGTCAAGGCGTCCCTGAAGTTCCCTGATTCTGATGTCGACAATGTCACGCAAGGCCTCACGAGAGAGGCGCTTGAATATGATAAACTCATCAATGCGGTTCAGGAACTCGGGCGGGTAGGAAGCCTGAACAACGTCCATGACAGCCTGTTTGATGTCGGGTGGGACCTCAGATGTGCCATCATCCTTGTAGGCATGCAGAGGGTCAGCACCGACCAGAATGTCGGCTCCGAGATTCGAGGTCAAAACAATCAAGGTATTTCTAAAGTCAACCTTGTGGCCTTGAGCATCCGTAAGGAAGCCGTCATCGAGGACCTGGAGAAGCAATGCGGAAATATCACGATGGGCCTTCTCGAATTCATCGAAAAGAAGCACGGCATATGGCTTGCGCCTGACTGCTTCAGTAAGTTGACCAGCATCATCATAACCAACGTATCCAGCGGGAGACCCGATCAGACGACTGATAGTGTGCTTCTCCTGGAATTCACTCATGTCAAAGCGTACGACTGCAGACTCAGTGGAGAAAAGGAATTCGGCCATTTTCTTGCAAAGCTCGGTCTTTCCGACACCAGTCGGTCCAAGGAACATGAACGAGGCCAGCGGGCGATTCTCACCGCTGAGACCCGCCCTCTGCATGCGCACCGCATCGGCAACAGCAGAGAGCGCCTCGTCCTGGCCACGAACAGACTTGCGAAGAGTGTCCTCCATGTGGATGAGCTTCTCGACCTCACCAGCCATGAGCTTATTGATCGGAATTCCGGTGGTTCGAGAAACTACATTGCCAATATCATCGGCAGTGACAGAGTCGTGGATCAGAGATTGGTGGTCTGCATCTTGCTCTGCTCCCTCCTTGGGCAACTTGGCCTCGAGTTCAGGAATGGTGGAGTATCTGAGCTCACCAGCCTTGGCGAAATTGCCTTCACGCTGAGCCTGCTCAAGCTGGAATCTTGCAAGTTCCAAATCCTCCTTGGTACGCTTGATCCCGTCAATCTCGGCCTTCTCCTTTTCCCAAACCTCGGTCAATTTTGCGACCTCATCTTGCTTGACCTTCAGGTCTTCTTGGAGTTTGTCCCTTCGTTCGCGACTGCTCACGTCGGTTTCCTTACGAAGAGACTCGAGCTCGATTTGGATAGTGGTAATCTCCCGCTCGAGTTCGCGAATTGTATCAGGCTTGGATTCTTGCTGAAGGCGAAGTGCGGAAGCGGCTTCATCCACCAGGTCAATGGCCTTGTCGGGGAGGAAACGGTCGGTGATGTAGCGATTGCTATATGTGGCTGCGGCAACCAGGGCACCATCCGTAATTCGAACACCGTGGTGGACTTCATATTTGTTCTTGATACCACGGAGAATAGAGATTGTCGAGGCAACAGACGGTTCATTGACAAGGATAGGTTGGAAACGGCGGGCGAGAGCAACATCCTTCTCAATCAATCGATATTCGTTCAGAGTCGTAGCCCCGCAACATTGAAGCTCACCTCTGGACAAGGCAGGCTTCAACAGGTTACTGGCATCAATACTACCTCGGCCTTGCCCAGTCCTAGCAGAGTGTGAAGCTCGTCAATGAAGAGAATGACCCCGCCCTGCGCATCTTCAACTTCTTTTAGAACCTTCTTGAGACGTTCCTCGAAGTCACCGCGGAACTTGGCACCTGCAATCAGTGAGCCCAAGTCCAGTGAAATCACGCGCTTGTTTTTGATGCTCTCGGGAACATCGCCTTGCACAATGCGCTGGGCCAGGCCTTCCAATACTGCAGTTTTACCAGTTCCAGCCGCACCAATCAGCACGGGGTTATTCTTAGTACGTCGCGACAGAATTTGAATAGTCCGATGTATCTCAGCATCTCTTCCAATGACCGGGTCCAGCTTGCCAGCTTTAGCTTTGTCCGTCAGGTTCACACCGTATAGCTCCAGGGCGGGCTTTTCTTCCCCGCCACCCATGTCCATGCGATGAGTACCACCGGGAGGGTGAGGTCGGCCGGAGGCATAATGGCGAATCGCGGGGACGGGCACGAGTCTTGTCGCCGGCGCAAGGGAAGCCGAAGTCTGGGGGAGTCGGGGTGATCTAGCTGTAAGTGAACGTATGGTAGGCGTGTGGGGACGCCACAGCCGACGTGAAACAAGAGAGAGTCTAGCTGCCATTGTGACTTGTGATGCACGAGGAGGGCAGCCGCATGTGCTTTAATACTTGAAGGGCGGCAGCATCGCGAGGATTCTCGAAAGCTCCACCGAGAAGACGTTGAGTGGCGGAAGCAGGTCGAAGCTCCGCCTGTCGCTGGACCCAGCTCCGTCACCACTCAGGTCACATGACACCACGCTAATAAACCGAAAAAAAAATGTTTTACCCCTCGCCCACTTTGTTTTCCCCCCCCCCTTATCTTCCTCTTTCTCCCAACCTTCACTCCCTCACATTCACAATGGGTTTCACTGACTTCGTCTCTGACGCCGGCCTGACTCGTAAGCTTCGCCTCGGCTTTTGTCTTTGACATCAAGAACTGACTTGGACCCCTCAGTGGCCAACAACTTCCTGGCCACCCGCAGCTACATCGTTGGGTAAGAGACCACCCCCTTTTTTTCCGAAATTGTGTTTTTCCTTATCTCGCCTTGCTTTTATGATGAGAAAAATTGGTCCGTGTTTAGGAGGCGGATTAAGACCCCGCTATAAGACTACATCCAATTGCGAGAAATCGCGTCTCTGATCTTGACTTGCAAACTTTGCGCATTTGTCCATGCCTTTTTTTGGGACTCAAGTACTGACTGTACTATAGCAACGCTCCCTCCCAGGCCGATGTTGTGAGCTTCAAGGCCTTCAACGGCGCTCCCGACGCTGCCAAGTACCCCCACGTTGCCCGCTGGTACAAGCACATTGCCTCCTACGAGGCTGAGTTCTCCACCCTCCCCGGTGATGCCTCCGCTGCTTTCACTACCTACGGCCCCGAGTCCACCGAGCTCCCGTCCAACCCCAAGGACAAGCCCGAGGATGATGATGAGGAGGATCTCTTCGGTTCCGACTCCGAGGAGGAGGATGCCGCCGTTGTTGCGGAGCGCAACAAGCGTCTCGAGGATTACAAGGCCAAGAAGGCCGCTAAGGGCCCCAAGCCCGCTGCCAAGTCCCTTGTTACTCTCGAGGTGAAGCCCTGGGGTATGTGATTTCTTTGCCTTGGTTCGATTGAATGCTTGCTAAACTTACATTACAGATGATGAGACCGATCTTGCCCAGATGGAGGCCAACGTCCGCGCCATTGAGCAGGATGGTCTGGTCTGGGGTGCTTCCAAGCTTGTTGCCGTCGGTTTCGGTATCAAGAAGCTGCAGATCAACCTTGTCGTTGAGGACGAGAAGGTCTCCACTGATGAGCTCCAGCAGCGCATTGAGGAGGACGAGGACCACGTCCAGTCCACTGACATTGCTGCCATGCAGAAGCTTTAAATCATGCTTACTGTATGAAGTGGATGGCGTGATGAAATTTTTTTGATGTGTTAGGACCTGATTACGACCTAGAACCCGGCCGGACAGTGGCTAGGGATGATGAAAAATAAAAAATTTTCACGACCATATTGTTTATCTTCTGTATCGTAGTCCTGACTGTAAACCGTGCCTTCGATATATAAACCCGAGGAAGCCCCTCACGGCTAGCGGACCCCGCGATGCGGGTTGAATTGGCCACGTCAGAAGCTACCTTGGGAGCATGTGGAAGTTTCATTGGTTCCAAGGATCGATAGTGTTCTTCCCAAATTCAATGCCGGGTGAGGGCGCATCATTGCGAATATCGAGGACGTCGAAGCTTGTAAATTGTAAGATTTGCGAATAATGCTGGGTACTCATGCTAACGAATCAATGCTCAAATCTTGCCTATTCATCCTCGTCAATACCTGGGTTCCTTCCACTACGTATGATTGAGTGATTGCCCTATGGTTCGATATATGTTTCGGGTTTCCAGCAGCTTTCCCGAAGAGTGGCTCACTGCTGTTGAATCTCAAATCGAAAAGCATTCAGATTCAGAACGGCAGAACATATCACGTTAGATGTAATAAATTATTACAAAAACACAGGGCAAGATTGCCAAAATGAACACTGAGTCCATTTACCCCAGTATCTCTGTTAGGAAAGGCGCGATTACCTAAGCACTCAAGCGGGACATTGCCCAAGCACGGTGTTCGAGCTGCCGCAGCCATCTCGACTCAAGACGGGCTACTCCAGCAAAGTCAGAGCTCCCGACACTCACAAATTCGCAGCGGTCTCTTGTCCCAACCGCTCTACACACGGGGGAGATACATATAACCTCTCACAACGCAAACTCGGATCTCAAAACGACCACCTCACCACCGTCACCATGAGCTTCCTCTCACGCCTGGTAACACTATTCGGCCTGGTCCTGCTGGCTCATGCGTACGTCTTTACAAACCTACCCCATCTGATCCCCCCATCGTACAACCACTGATAAGATCCGCAGAGGCTACTCCGCCCACGAACATACTGTCCTATTCAATAACACCCGCCTCGCCCTGCCGCAGGATATTGTTGTGGAAACCCTCATCGCCGTAGTCATTGTTTCAGTCGGACTAGTTCTTGGTGCGGACAAATTGAAGCCGATTAGCTGGCGCGACTGGGCAGGTCAGATTGAGCAGAACGGCGGTGCGCGAAACCCGTATCTAGGCTTGGAGGAGCGATATGGATTCTGGGATATTCGGGTGAGTTTGTCCTTGCCTTTGTCTTTCCTTCATTTGCGGGTACTTTGGAGCCTGGTTTCCCGAGGAATAAGTTTCCCTGGGGGAAGACCCTGTACCAGGATCAAATGGCCATGGCATCGCCACGGAGATCGACGCGAAGCTAATACTCATTTATCTTTCGCAGGCTAAGCGGAAGGAATTTTCGGACTGGATGCGCGGCCAGGATATGTTGGTTAAGGAGTGAGAATTGATGATTGATGTGGGAACGCCGCCAAAAATGTGGTGCAGTGAAATTTGTATAATATGCATTGCTGCGAAGAATCTCAATGGATACTTGAAGATTGGCGTTTGTAATGGTTTCGAAGTGCGTGGCCCTGAAGCTGCAGCTTCAACTTGATTGCATTCAAAGTCCATTTTGGTGTAGACTGGAATCCATGTGACTCGGTTATATGAGCCGGGAGATCTACAGTGCAGACAACGGTCGAAGTCCAGGTTCACGCGGGTAAAGGAGACTCGAGCCCGGAAGGCGACGAGGTGCATCTGCAGAGAGCAGAGCTTATTTTCGCGGCTCATGACCTAGACGCCTTGGTATTGCCACCCGGCATTTGGGTGAACTATGTGTACGACCCCGATTTCAACGGTTGCATCAAGGACGCGTTGCCCGTCTCACAGACTTAGCCACAGAGAAACCGTTGCCTGCACTCAAGGTTTACACTACCAAGACGACAGAACGTAGTCTAGACCGGAATGGGTGTGGCTATGTATGAAACACGATTTCTGAGGGCAACGGATTTCTACGAGCAGGACCACGCCTGAACTTGTCAGGGGGCGCAGGCTCATATTATTTGTTCTAGGTCATACTATCAGGATTTCTGCATGCAGGATATAGTCCTCTGGCCAAATTGGCTCGATATGTGTACCTGTGGTTTACTTGCCTGGCAAGTAAGAAGACCCGCCGGTGCCTTTCCCGTGTTTCGATCTGCGCAAGTCTGGACCGTTGATTTTGTTTTGTTTTGTTTTGTTTTTTTTTAGTTGTCGTGGTGGATTCCAGGTGGAACTATGCCTTGTGAGAAGGGCAAAGTGGAATTGAATCTGTTCGGGAAAGGTCTCGCAAACATCAAGCAGATCATTCCCGTCCTGTGTGGGCTAGTGTGGGCACATAGTACGATGATGCATCATGTCTCACACGGACCACTCCACTCGAGCTGCTCGCGGGTCTCATGTGAGCGCCACTGAGAGGGGGAATGGGTGTGAGGCCTTGGAGGACGGCGCAGAGCTTTTACCTTGTCTATGAGCAATGAGCGACCATGGTTGACGACTGTACATAGATTTCTTGGCCTCGACGCGGTCTGCCAAGAGATTCGGGCTTCTGGGGGAAGTGTCAGCTCTTCCCTGTCCAACTTCGAGCAGGAGGCGCCTAAGGTGCCTAGGGTGTCTATGGTTTCTATGGTGTCTATGGTACTTGGGGTAGGATTGAGGGGTCCGAGGGTGCTGCCACTTCCTGGATGGTTCCACGCTCTTCTATCGCAAAAGGTCGCCAAAAACCATGGCAGTGGCACTGTGGGGCAGATACTAAGGGAGTCGTGTCTCGACAAAGACAATTATCGCCGGGGCTTACGTCTCCCAGATGCACGGGAGCTGGTGCGACCCCCCCCAAAATAGAAGAGCGCCACTCGAGCTGCAGGTTCAGGTTCAGGTTCAACGCGCTAGATCGGCCAGTCCGCACGGTGACTGGACCACAGCCGATACCCTTGTCCCGTTCCAGGGTTGATGGCGTCTTCCAAGGTAAGAGATATAAGACAAGTCCAAACACCCTGTCACCCTAGACAACCGTACAATCATAAACTCTTCTTTTCTCTTCTCTCTTCTTCTCCTCTCCACACTCTCTTCTCCGCACATCTATATCTACATCGACATCGGCATCTACATCCCACATCCTACCCAACTCAACACCATCACAATGCGTTTCTCAATCGTCTTCACTGCCGCTGCGCTCGCTCTTGGCGCCTCCGCCGAGGTCAGTTTCACTCCCAACACCTGGTGTTGTCATGGTCAATGTTTTCAGCTGGACACTAACGCGTGCGAATAGACCTCATCCGTCAACTACCTCACTGAGACCAACTCTCTGGGTGTTGTCACTGGCCAGCCCACTGTTGTGACCTCTCAGCCCACTGTTGTCACCTCTCAGCCTACTGTTGTGACTTCGCAGCCCGCTGTTGTCACTTCCCAGGAACCTGCCGCCTCTATCCCCGCTGGTCTCACTTCTCCCGTTGTCACTCCCGTGACTGTCAGCGGTAGCAAGACCCTCGTCACCTCGGTCAAGTCCACTGGCACTGCCACTACTACTGGCACAACCACCGAGACTACTGAGACCACTTCCACTTCCACTTCTACTTCTACTTCTACTTCTACTTCTACTTCTACTTCCACGCAGTCCGGCTCCAGCTCCTCCAGCTCCTCCAGCTCGTCCGGTGCTGCCAGCTCCACCTCTACTGGCGGCGCTGCCATGGCCACTGCTGGTCTCGGCATGTTCGCTGGTGCTGCCCTGGCTGTTCTCGCTCTGTAAAGCAGCAGCCTATGACCATGTCCTCGCCTTGGCGACTGGGATCCCGGATCTGCAAAGACCTTGATGGGGCAACAGTCGTCAACGCGACGTTGACTGGTTGAAGGGATACAGATCGATCTGATCTTGGGATGAGGGACGCGAACATGTAGCGATTTTATTTTCTGGACTTTCCTTGTTGATTCTTATTCTTTTATTACATTAATCACGGTCACGGGGGACTTGTAATTGATCATTGCTGGGACGTGATACAGGAGGCGCACCCGTTGTTCAATGGAGTCCTGATGCTCAGTCTAATGCTCAGTCTAATGCTCATGATTAGTCTAATTCTTGGCAAATAGTAAATACATCGTCGAATAATGGCCACTCCTTGAATATAAACTAGTTCCGACGCCGTCTTGCCCTTCTCTGTACGTGCTCCCAGATCACAGTCTTATGTGTGTGTAAAAATCATAGATGTGAGTAATCGCATCTCAAAAGAGATGATTCAAATTGCCTCGAAAAAAGTAAACAAAGCGCATTGGGCTCATGTCAGGGGCAATCACGAAGCAAATGTGATCTATCAAGGAAGTCACCCCGAAAAGGAAATGTAATGAGCGACGCGCTTCGCGTTGCGAACGCGTCACCGCTTTGGGACTAGTGGCACTAAACAGCCGGTCGACGAAGTAACCGGCTGTTTTGCTTCAATCCAACCATCAACATCCACTATGGTGAGTTCCAGGTTCTCCAGCTAGCGTTTTGAAGATACTTATGAGATGCAGCCTTCCAATCTGCGTCGACTCGCGGCAGACCATGCCGCCCTGCACAGCGACAAGCTCCCACCGTATTACCTGTTGCCACCTGATGATGGTCGCTTCGCTGCGGCCGACGATCTGTCGCAGTTGACGGTCCTTCTGACCGGTCCGACCGGTACACCCTACTCCCAGGGCCTCTGGCGACTCCATCTCAAGATACCCGAGGACTACCCGAAAAGTCCGCCCAAGGCGACGTTCCGAACCCGCATTTGGCACCCCAATGTGGAGGAGATGACGGGCGCAGTGTGCGTAGACACATTGAAGAGGGACTGGGAGTCCAAATTGACCCTTCGCGACGTACTCATTGTGAGTTTCCAAACCCAACCTACCGCCCGAACGCTGTTCTAATCGTCGTCAGACCATCTCCTGCCTCCTTATCAATCCCAATCCCGACTCCGCCCTCAACGCATCAGCAGGAACCCTCCTCCGAGAAGAATTCAATGCCTTTTCCCACCAAGCCAAACTGATGACCTCAATCCACGCCCCCATACCCCACGAGCTCGAAGGGTCCGTTTTAGAAGCCAAACACAGAGGCGAAGACCCGAGTTCAATACGCCACGAGGAAGCACCGACCTTGCAGCGCTCCCACAGACAAAAACGCCATCACCCAGGCACAGTCAAGAAAACCATCAATTCAATACCGTCAGAAGATACAATGAGCGACAGCGAGAATGAAGACCCAAGCAAAGAAAATGACCCGTCTCTCTCCTCAACGCCAGTCCGCCTCATACCCCCAAGCCCACGCAAAGCACTTGGCAAACGCCCCCTCTCCGTCCTTACAATGCCATATCCCGACGACCCTGACGTGGACATGATGCTCATTGACTCCGATTCAGAACATGAGCGGGATCTACCAAAGAGCTCTTCTGAGCAAAACATCTGTGCAAACACCCGCACACGCTCGTCCTCGCCACAGCGCAAGTCTCCGAAGTTGGCGCCCAGTAAAGGCAATGCTTCTCGACTCCGTGACGATCTTCAGATTTACGAGGACGTTCCAGATCGTACGCTGATGGACTTCTCGCACCGTTTGAGCGGTGACGGAAAAGAGAACCGCGCTACAGGTGGGACCAAAGGTATTGAATTGCAGGGCAAAATTACATCCAACGCTCTTGCTCAGACGCCCGGACTATCAGTGAAATCATCCTTGAATTCAAACCCGTCGCGCATTTCGAAAAAGGTCGTCGGTGGTCTGCGGAAAACACCTGTATCGAAGGCTAAGCCGCGCATCGGAGTTCGACGACTCTAACGATTCGATGGGAATTATTCGATGTGATTCTTGTAATTCTGGGTCCGATTGCGTTTTCGGTGTCTTTGTTACTCTATATTTCGATACCCCCTTCTTTCTCTTTCTCTTTCTTTAATAATATATTGCATGAGTTGGACTGGTTGCATGGGATGGATATTACTGGTGAGGATGGTTTTCATAATGGAGTTACGGTGCTTGAATAATGCATACTACACACGTACCAGATGCCCAGCACTCGAGACAGAGCCGCTTCAGATTCCCTTAGGTTCAAAATTGAACCACGAGCGGCAGCTCCGAGGTTCCAAGATTGGACCCGTAGAGAGGTTCATGCTGAGGTCTAGCAGCGACAAACTCAAGTACGTAGAAAAGAATACATTCATAGGTCCAGGCCTCCAAAATTAAAAACCCAACGAAAGGATTGAGTCACTGAACCAATTGCAGTGTGCGTCCAGCACATGATCAATGCCAGCGACTTTCGAAGTTTACAAAAGTCAACCATTCTTCTCAGTCTACGCTCTCTTCTTAAATCTTTGAGATTTCTATAGAAAGTCGCATCCCAGTCTCTTTCAATCCTTGACCTTTTGCGAAATGGACAAAAGGAGACTGTATCGTCTGGTAATTGCTGCGAGTGAAATTTATTTCCTTGATCGGACCAGGCAAGGCACTATCAACCATGGGAATGATTCAAACTTCGACATTGTATACCAGACACCAGTCCTCAAGTCTCATCGCAGTTCTCATGTATGGGTCCAATAATTTTGCGTGCCTCGATTTTGATAATCTTGCTTACGTCCCAATCAACTCCTACCAAAGATTTGGGATTACGCTGTTTCATTGACTAGGCGAGTTCGAGTGCTCTGTATCCATATCACCTGCTCCTTGGGGTCTTTTGAAAGCATATCAACGCTAATCAAGCTCGCCGTCTTCCTAGTACAGCATCTCATGAAAGGTAAATGGTGATCGATACAAAAGCCACCGATTTCTACTGCGTCGGATGTAATCTTCATGGAAGTGTGGTGGTAAGGAGTTCGCTGGCCTCATCTGATCAGCGGCGTCAAAGTAGACTGATAGGATGATCAGGCTATCTAACTACGAGGAAGGAAGAGGGAATGTGTAACTACTTGATTAATGGAAGGATTCTCCGAGACTATCGAGCTTGAATCAATCTTGACCCTCGCGCCAATCATCTCAGGGTCACAAAGCCCCGGCCTTTTGTCCAAACCAGGAAAAGAAGACCGAGACAGGCTCAGACGGGAACAACATTTCTTTTTCCCGGAGAAGACTCAGATGCTCTCGATAAGAGGGAAACAAAATCAGACAACCGCTGCACAACATATAACAAAACACTAAGTATACGAGCCCAGGACGCGCCAGAGATACGACGAGACAACTGGGGATTGATCACACCAGGTGCACAAAAAGGGTGATAGCGGGAGGAGTTGCCCGATAATGATATGTTCGATCCCGCATGTCTGGGGAGGAATATGTCCGAAGGTATGTGTGAACACCTTGAAGATGTCCGGCACGCCCAAAGAATCTGCAATTTAGGCATGCAATAATATATCCCAAGAAAGGGAAATTAACCACCGGTCAATTCCTTACAGAGCGTAGGGGTTGACAGAGCGAACAGTCAGGCATCTGTCAAGACTTGAATTAGCGCTGCAAATCATGCAACTTGTAAAAATGGTGTACTCACGGCGGGCTCTTGCTCAGGTCGGTCTTTAGGATGATAGGGAGACGAGTCATCTCAGTGACATCCTGGATGAACTCGCCATTCTCCTCACGCAGCTTGAAGAGCTTCAGGTACTTCTCCTTGTTGGTCATTTTGTTTTCGGGCGCATCGCTGGTGCTTGAGGCAATCTTGGGGTCGGAGCGAGTGCGGTGAGGACCCTGTTGAAGGTGACCATTGCGGGTCGGTGATGGCGGCATGCTCTGGGTCGAGCGGTCAGCCGAGTTCAAAGAGACACCGGCAGCTGCCTCAGTCACCTCATCCACATCCTCGTCATCGTCGAAAAGGGCATCAACAGCGTCGGCAGACATCGTTCCAGTCTCAGTCTGCTTGCGCATAGCTTCGTCATGTTCACGAGCACGCTGCTTAGCAGCCTCAGCTTCGCGGGCAGCGGCAGCGGCCTGAGCAGCGCGGGAGTTGCCGGGCTTGGGACGCTCATCCTCCGGGATGTAAGCAGAGGAGGGAACGCCCTTCTCCCAGTACAGCTCAAGCACACGAGAGTCTTTGCGGTACTCAGCCTTCTTCAAAGGAAGCTGGTCACAGTGAACACGCTTTTCGAAACCGTATTCGGGAATAAGAACGTCGAAGGCAGATTCGTACACGCAAAGCACGATACCCTCGCTGATGAGATCGCCACCGATCTCACGAACCTTGCGGTCCATGTTGCGGCAGGCCTCTATGTGGACACTTTGCTCCTGTGCGTTGAGAGCAGAGTCTTTTTTGTTGTTGCAGAGGTCGGCAGTCTTGTTCAAAGACTCCATGTCCTCGGTAAACTCAATAGCGCCTTCCGAGAGGACTGCCTCGAGCTGACGGTGCACAACGATATCAGCATAACGGCGGGATGGATTGGTAAAGTGAGTATAAACTGGCACATTGAAGGTGTAATGCTGGCGCTGCTCATCGGGGGAGCCAGTTCCAACAAAGTACTTGGCCCGCTGCATGGCCTTCGCAAGCAAGACTTCCATACCCTTGCGAAGATCGACATCTTCAACCTTGCAAAGAGTACTCTGCAAAGTCCCACTGCTTGAGGCGTCAAGACCAAAGCCAAGACGGTTCATTCTCTCGATGAACAGCGTAAGACGGCGGTCGCTGGGAGGGTCCTGGCGGCGAAGGAATGCCTTCTCGGGCATGGCACTTGATAGCTTGCGAGCAACGAAGAAGTTGGCCTGGCGGCTCAGCTCCTCAACCAGCTCATGGGCAGGAGTAGAATCGAAGATGTTGTACTCAACGGGCACATTCTCATCGTCGAGCTGCTGAAGCAGACGCAGGCTAGGGACGTTAGTAGCACGGTTGCCGAAACGGGCATCTTGGAACTTGTTGGCAACAGTCTACAATGGGGTTAGCCTTCGCAAGGTTGTTGGAAAACCAGAGGGGGTGAAACTCACGCTCAACAACTGAATGTTGTCGTTGGTGATACCGGCACCGGTAGAAGTCGACTTGCCAGTAATGACTGAGTTGACCTCCTCGTAGCTGAGTCGGCCTGCGCTCTTAATGACACCCTTGCCAATCCAGACATCCTCATCAATTGCGCCAGTCTCAAAGCTAGCCTTGAAGACAACACTGACAGTCAGACGGTCCTCACCAGGGAGAAGGGAGCAGAGCTCATTGGACACACGAGGGGGAAGCATATTCATAAGACGGTCAACCAGATAGACAGCAGTACCGCGCTTCTTGGCCTCACGGTCAACAAGAGAGTTACCCTTGACAAAGTGGGCAATGTCAGCAACGTGAACACCGATCTCAACCTTCCCATCATCAAGCCTCTTGACGTGGAAAGCATCCTCGAGGGCCTTGGTGTCTTGCGGGTCGATGGTGAACGTGGTCTCACCACGGAAGTCACGGCGAGTGGCGAGAGCCTCAGCGTCATTGGCAACAGACCAATCTTCCCAGCCGATGCTCTTCAGCACGGCATCGGGAGAACTCATCAGATCCGAAGTTGTTGTCACGAAGGAGGGCATCCGTCTCGACACGGAGGTCACCCATCTCTCCAAGCTGCTCAACGAGAGTACCAAAGGGGTGCAGAGAGGTGATGGGCCAACGCTTGATGGAGGCGACGAAGATGCGGTTGGCGTAATCCTGGTGCTTCTCCACGAAGTCACGCGGCGCCTGCTCAGTAGGAATGGCAATTAAAGGCACACGCTTATCGGTGGGCTTGAACCAAACAATTTTAGGCTTTTCCTGGTGACGATCTTGGTTACGACCGTGGGCGCCATCTCTGGCCTGCCGCTCGGCCTCCTGCTTTTCCTTGGTAGCCTGACTGCTAGGACGAAGGAGACCGAGAGTACCGGAGAACATCTGGCCCGCAATGCGTTCAACGACCGCAACGACGTGTCCAGCGTACAAGGGCTTCTGCTCATCGCTGATCTCATCCTCCTCAACAAGCAGAAGACTCTGGCCCTCAACCTCGACATCATCATTCTTCTTCTGCGTAGGGCGCTGACGAAGACTGCCACGGCGGCGGATGCTTCCATCCGGGCCAATTTCTTGCCTATCGCCAGTGGAATCGGAGCGACCCAGCTTGTCATTGCCAGCATTGCTGCCCGAGCGCGCATCGGTGATATCCTTGCGCTTCTTTTTTTCCTCCTTTTCCTTCTTCTGGGACCACACCTCATCCACATCGAGCAGCTCGATCGCAACGTAATCACCCTCAAGGGCACGGTTACGGTCCTTGCTACCACAAATGAAAATGTCGGCATCAAGATCAGGGGTGGTCACATAGGCATCGGAGCGGTTCTTCTTGTTCACACGAAGGACACCGGCAACTAATTGACCGTTGCTGATAAGCGCAGGAAGGTTGGCCTGGGGCAAATACGGAGTGAAAAGGGTCTTGCGCTGTTGCTGTTGTTGTTGCTGCTGCTGCTGAACAGACAGCTGGGGCGGAGCGTGCTGGCTAACACCGAGACCGCCCATACCCTGCCCATTCTGTTGCTGAAGGGCCTGGAGCTGTGCGAGCTGGAGCGGGTTCAATTGCTGACCACCGAACATTTGAGGGGGGGGCCATCATGACTTGTCCTTGAGGAAGCTGGATCAGCTGACCAGGGTACTGGAACTGGCCGATGGAGCCCATCGACTGGTTCATAGACTGCCGCGAGCGGTGTCCAGGCTGGAAACCACCTTGCTGCTGCTGCTGCTGCTGACCGAAGTTCTTCTGCTGATCCTGTCCCTGGTTCTGGTTGCTGGGTTGGCGCCAATTGCCATCAAAGTTTCGGGAACCCGTACGAGCGTGACCACCAGGCTGGCTGCCTCGGCGTTGGTTGTCATTTGGCCCTCCTTCCGCAGGAGCAGCGGGGAATTGGAATCCACCTGCACCGCGACCAGATATGGAGCCACGGTTACCACCAATAGCCATGGACTGGCTTCGGCCGTGACCACCGGCCCGAATGTTGCCAGCGCGCTGCATGCCGAGGCCTTGCGGCGCAGGAGAAGTGCTGGATGCTGGCTTGTCATCAGACTGGCTCTCCGAGCCACTGGCACCAGGCGCAGGAGCCGGGAATTGGAAACCCGAGGCTGTTCTTTTCTGCTGGGCGAGTTCGGCGGCCTTCTTAGCTTCTGGGAGAGCTAGAGAGTGGCGACGCTGGTGTCCACCACCAGGTGGGCCTCCACGGCCACGGCCATGGTTATTATTCTCGTTCCTATGGTTGGGACCTTGCTGGTGCTGATCGGCATAACCGGATGCTCCCGACGACGGAGCAGGAGGAGGGCCCATTGGGAGACCAGGCAGAGCAGATTGGTTGCGGCGGTGTGAGTGGTTGGGTGGAGCGTGCATCGAAGCCCCGAGCTGCTGCGGTTGCTGCTGAGGGAATTGGAAGGCATTGTTGACCTGAGGAGAAACACCACCCATGTTGCCGCCGGGAGAGAATGCGTTGACCTGACCCAGCTGCTGAGGCTGAAGAAGGCCCATGTTAACGTACTGTTGATGTGTGGCAGCAATTTGCTGCTGTTGCTGCTGGAGCAGCTCAATCTGTTGTTGGATGGCCAATTGTTCCACTAATTCCAGGTCAGCTATCAACCCGTTGTAGTCGTAAGCAGGGAAGAATCCATACTCATCAAAGGGGTTAGCTCAGAGGGACTTCTCCGATGAGCAATATGGAGCTTGCGCCCTCCGGGGCCTGGCGGCCCAGACTGGCCTTGTTGATCCATAGTTCCAGATGAAGGAAGGCGGCTATCACTGTGGAGTGTAATATGCGGGAGGCGGAGAGGATCCGGTGACAGGAGAGACTGGTGATGCCTCCAAAGGCAATCGAACCGAGAGATTGGGATCACAAACCGACCGCAGAGGGTACTTTATGTGTAGACGATAGTTCCAAGACGAGGACGACGCAATATACTGGAGGGATGAGAAAGAGTGGATCAGTCAAAGGCCAGAGGGATGGTATCACGAGTCAAAAATTAGAGGAGAAGAGAGAAGGCAGGCAAAGTGAACAAGACGAGACAAGTGTGGGAAGGAGGGACACAAAACGTGGAAGTTGCGATGAATCGGACAGTTTGCATTGCGGGCGGAGACGAAAGGAATCCGGGCAAGACCAAAACAATCGCGAAAGAGAGCTTGAGGCAGCAACACACGCAGGAAACGTGGATCAGGGGTCCGACATGAGTAATGAAATGGGTAGAACCAAGACGCCCTTACCTGCAAGAGAACTAATGACAACCTCGGAGCACTAGCATTCCAAAATGACGTCCGTGCTGTCCAACGTGGGATGAAAATCGCTTCAAGGCCAACGAAGCGGTCAAGTCGTAGGATCGAGGGAAAGTGACAATCAATCAATGGCACGAGTCAATGCGCGTTGAAACGACGAACCAAAAGATCGACTGAAAGAGACGACGCTCGCTTGATTCGAAATTAGGAGTTAGAAGGACCGAGTCAACTGGAATGAAGCTTAAAGTGCTTAATAGTCACTCTGTAGCTGACAACCAGATCAAGTACAGGTATGGTTGAGGCAATCCTCGATCGAGAGCCGAGAGTCGGGTGCTCGAAAATCACGGAAGCCAAAGCTGGGGGGTAAGGAGCTGTTCTCTCCAGGAACTCCCGTCCAGGAAAACGGGATTAAGTTGCACGTCCCAGAAGAGAATGACGTGTAGAGAGACAGAACAGACGATGCAAGCACCGACAAGGAACGATGGGGGAGAGAGAGAGAGAGATGAGGAAGAAGAAGGAGGAGGGGGGAAAGGAGAAGTGAAGTGATGATGGGATCCATACAAAGGCGGATGTGGGGAGGGTAAAAGGAGGGTCGTACTGTTATTACAATACATCGTATATATTACGGTTCCACATTATAGTGGGATGTAAATACATTGTTCGAACGCACCTCAAACACATCCAAGAGCGGATGGCCATGGATGATCTCCATTGCTCCCCATCTCGGCCCCCGTTGCTTGTATCCTTATCTTTCTCTAGAGGTGCATTTCCTTCTACTCGATACGACTGAGATAGGAGAAGCTGTCCTCCGGGTGGGGAGATCACTTCGTTTGATTTGCAGGGACCGACCCTCCTAGTCACAAGTATACGCTGGTAATGAGTTGGCGGCTTTAAGGGCCATCAAGCTGGAGCAGCGACTCTCGCGCTAATGGCGACTTGTCTAAGAAAATTCCTAAGAGGGTCTGAATGGCCTGTGTCGCGCACAGCTTGACCATTTTGATCCCTGGTCAAAAGTAATGTCTTCTACAACCCATGCAATAGACATTGAAAAAGAAGCCGCTCAGCTTGAAGCATAAAATGGATGATGCTCACGATGATGCAAAGTGAACCAGACTTCGACAGCTGAGTCAGCACGTAATTTATCTTACGATTTGGTGATAAACACCGAGAAGAGCTTTGGGACTTTTGACAATAAAGACCAAAAAAAGAAGGCAATAAGGGCCAGGTAGTGAACTCCACCAGAAGTGCGCTAGTCTTATGATACTGCCCCTTCACTGCTTAGGTTCACAAGCGCTCTCAAATCGCATGTCACCGGCTTGAACAGTCTGCTAATCTCGATCACGCTCTAGACTACCCCAGACCAACCCTCTTGCGACTCCTCCTTCGCGAATCACACTCTTTGAGCATCTCGCTCGTAGTTGGCTCCGGTTGCAGGGGACTTGGGGCTCGATCTAACCCACTATACGTGTACGATTGCTCCTGTCAATCAGGACACTGCCACGAGACGTTGCTAGGGCTTGAACAACCCAATTGCTCTCACTTGACCCCGAACGACAGCAAGACCATGCCTCACACTCAATTCGCGTAATTAAGATCCGTCTTGCGCTCTTGTCTTACCCTGCCTGACCTTTCACTCCTCGGGTTGCCCTTTTCTACCCAAGAACTCTCTCTGCGCGCTCTCAACTTTCTGCCGCAACTCCTAAAACGTCTTTCCGCCTACGACCGCTCCAAGTCTCCTGCCTGTCACAGCTGGCTGGCAGAATAATCCAAAATGACTCGAAAGAGCGGCCACATGCCGCCGTTGGACAGCCCGTCGAAGCAACTCATGATTGATCTGATCCGAGACCTTGAGCAGGCGAAGCTCTTTTCTACCGAGCTGAAGAAAGTCCATGCCTTCGAACGAAAAGCCTACTACGAGAGCCTTGACCAAATCGATCGTGAACAGGAAGCAGTGCACACCGCTGCCCTCGATAAAGTCGCAGCGTTTCATAACCAAGTTCGCGAGGAGGCCGAGTCTATCCTAAAGGAACACATTCGTGCCGAAGAAGAAGAGCGTCGGCGCAAGGAAGAGCGGGAGCGCAAGGAACGCGAACGCGTCCAGCAAGAGCAGGCCGAGAAACAGCGGCGAGAACAAGAGCAAGCTGCACGTCTCGAAGCCGAGCGGAAGGCTAAGAAGAAGGCTGAAGAGGAAGCGAAGAAGAAGGCCGAAGAAGAAGCTGAGCGTGCACAGCGGGCCGTGCAGGAGGAAAATGACCGCAAGGACCGCCAAGAAAAGGAACGAGTCGAGTCAGAGAAGCGCAAGCAAGAAGACGACGCCAAGAAAGCTCAACAGGCCCAGCAGGCGGCGGACCAGGCAGCAGAGAAGCAGGCTCAAAGCCAGCAACAACAGAATATCGGTGCTAGTCGTCTCACAGCCAAAGAGCTCGCCGCGCAAGAACGCTATGTCGCAATCCACAAGGCACTCAAAGAAATGCGACAGTCCTTGCGAAATGCCGGCAAGCAGAACCCCCTTGTCAAGAAAACCATGGGTGATATGCGCCGTTCGATCAAGAAGTGTGTCGGTCAACTGCGAGACGGAAAAGGCGCCAATAAAAAGCAGGTAAGTCGCCTTTTTACAGGACTGTGTTCACCCCAGGGACGTGGACGGAGCGATTTCTGACATGAATTTCCTTATAGCTCCAAGACATCAAAGCCGAGCTTCTCAAAGCTTCCGCTGTCCCCGAACCCACTGTGGATATCCGCCAATTCCTTGCTAACCCTCCTCCGGAGATCGCTGCTGAGGAGAACAAGGTCCCTGCTATGCTAATTTACGGACTCAACATTTTCGCGAAATGCCTGATCTCAGCTTTAATCACCGAGGCGTCAATCAACCACGCCCATGCCGAACCCGTTGGTATTGTTGCTGCGCAAATATTCTCCATGGACGAATTCATGTACAAGGGAATCCACATGTCCGACATCCTTTGGGCCAAATACCGGGTAGTTTGCCCAGCCCTTTGGGGGTTCAGCGGCAGTGAAAAGACCGAAGCAGGCCGAACGGCCTTGGGTTGGTGGCGCGAGGAAGCTGGTGGCCTCTTCATTAGCGAACAAACCCATCTGGACCGTATGACGGCCCTGGGCGCCGGATTCTCCTCGTTGACTCTTCGCAATTTTGCCAAAGCGAAACGAGCAAACCCATTCCCCAACACACTCTTTTGGACCTCGATCCAAAAGATACTCTCTATCCCCCCGGGCGAACTCCAGGATACACAGGTCACCTTGCTGCAATCCATGCTCAAGTCTTCTGAGGAGCGTATCCTCACATTCTTCGGCCAATTTGGTCTGGTCATCATGCGGAAAGCTATTGTGGAGCTACCCGCAGCCATCCCCCGCAAGAGCATGCCTGTGACGCAGCTCAAGCTCCTACAGGAGACTTACATGCGGCATAGTAATATCCTCGTGTAGGCCGGGGCTTCTAGATTCACGACTCGGCCACGGCCACGGCCACTCTTCCTGGTGGTTTTGTAACCGAGTTTCCTGCACCTTATATTATACAGGAATTGGGACATGGGCAACGACAATCTTGGTGATACATCGCATGACTATTTTATGAATAGCATATCCTCGTATTGATCCAATAATCTCAATGAATAGAAATTTGAACTAAGCTATCTTCAGAATTGCTAGGCTCATGTCACGACACTCAAAAGAGTTAAGTTCTTGATCGTCAGGGTCCTCTCCCTGCCTAGATCAGCGGTAGATAGATACATTTCGAGACTAGCGCTTGAGTCACCTTGGAATAGACCCCACTCCGAAGAACTCTCTACAGACGATACAGAAATCTGGAAGACCCTTTTCATGACCCGCCCAGTTCATACTGAAGGATCTTCAGGATGAATCCAAGCATCGTCGCCTTCCGCCCCCCTCTCCAAAGCAACCTGAGAGTCCTCCAAGCACGGATCCAGGTACAAAGTCCCCCGGTCCATAGGGTACTCCGCAATCCACAGAGCAGTATTCCGTCATACGCACTCATGTTCTCGACCAAATCGATGTCCTTACACAAGATTTTGATCGAGCGCAAGTCGGTATCAAAAGAGTCCGACTCAGATCTATTGCAGACCCCATCCATGAGCCTCGAGTCTCTCGGCATCGGAACGAATTCGAAAGCATTCCTCATTGTCACTCTCTGTGTACTAGGTACCATCGAGACTTGGTTCTGGTGTAAAGCTATCCGGATCTGGTGGAAAGGAAGACAAGAGGATAGTGAAGTGGCGAGATAGGATCTGTGGAATTCTCATGTACTAACATACAATTTAATCTCATCTCTTGGCTTTTAGCAGGAATCAAACGCTAGTTATGTATGTGTCGGAGCCCTGGGATCACACCATACAGCAAGTACCAGGAACTACGCTGAAATCTCTCGAAATCAGTTACATGTAACCATCACCCCTCCCATGCAATGATTGCGAGGGACTGCCCTGAGCCACATGGCAATCTCCCTTCATTTTGAATCCATGATCGGCCTCATAGTCTCTTAATATGGTTTCATTGTAAGCCCATGGGCTCGGACCATTCGCAACAGCAAAAACAACAACAAGACACGTTGAGAATCAGCGGCACCAAACGGACGGTGTTTGCAAGCCGTATAGGCTTGAGTAATAAGGTGCTTACACAGGAGAGCCAACTCTGCGGGTAGGGTAGCATAAGTGGCCTCAAATGCTTCAAGAAGGGCATACAAATGTAGCCTCAGGGCCGTGGCCCTGGTGTATCCGACTTGATAGCAAAGTCGTTAACCAACTCTCGAGGTGGGAAACTAAGCTATCCAGACAAGAACCCACTGGTTTAGAAAAGAGACTATCCTTTGGTCATCGAAGCCAAGGCCAGCAGTAGTGAAGGAAACAGTATACTTGTCGGCCACTGTGAAGTGAGCTCTACTAGTGAGCCTTCAAGTATCTATGGATAACTCGGTACATCTAGCTGAGATCCTCAATCAAGGGTAACTCAGAAACTCGACGACCGACTGCGGTAAAGAGGCCGAGGCAGTTTGGTTCACAACCGAGGGCAATCATCAATGGCAGACCGAAAATATCCACTCGCTACATGACTTACATGAATGCATTAGAATGTTGAACAATCTAGAAGCAGGTTGAATCCACACTATGCGGAAAGAGAAGTTGGTTCCCAGACGGTGGTGGCGTTTTATGTACCGCCTGCGATACCTCGAACGATTCGACAGGGGTTTGCCGATGAAGCAGGGGCAAGATGAAAATTCCGGTACTCCCCGGGCATTACTCGCTAGGCCATCCAAGTTTCGATCAATTTGAGAAGCAAAGCAGACTAGATGAGCCTGATGAGCGGTCATTGCATCCACAGTAACCCAAGTACGAGCCAATTAGTGAAGCAAGAATCAACACAATTCCCTGAAATACAAAACTACCACTGTTCAGGACCCGCAAGTAAAAGCCGCCGACCACAGTCGAACAACCGCCAAACCAGCGTTCGGGTGCTTCGGCGGGTCCGAGGCGAATGAGTGTTGTATTACGCATTAGGGGACGAACCGGGTCACCGTAAGAGTTGGGAGGCAAATGAAGGCTCCCCTGAGGGCGACTACGAGGTCTAGACAAAGCAGACTCGAGCGAACCACGAAACAGGCATTTTAAGAACTGCCTGTTATGGATCAATGTTCCGATCAGGCCGACTGAGGACCCGGAAGAAGCCGTGGCGGGAGGGTCGGGAGAGCTGTCCCATCGTGATCGACTCCCCGGTTTACTCCACATTCTGCAAGATCCCAGGGTTCGACAGTGCTGGACAATCTCATAGCGTGGGTGAGTGACATCACGACTCTGTTAGACGTGGACGCGAGGTCTTGGCACCCGACCCGATGGCGAGTTCGGGGACGGGATAAAGTCGAGAATGGAGACGTGTGGAGAGAAGTGCAAGTCTTGTCGTACAAATCATCGATCAAGTAAATGGTTGAAACTGCACCTACACCCGTACCTGCAGATGAACCCGAATTCCGAACATTATGCGAGAAATTGACGAGCGAAGCGAGAACCAAGTGGAGATTGAGAAGACCCTGTCTTATCGGGTCCGGGAAATAAGGGCAAGTTATTGGATCCCCCTTGATCAGGGACCCCAGACCCTCCCAGGTCGGGACCCTTTGCATTCGGCCCTTTCATTGGGCCTGTTGTGTTTTCCTCTGGTCTGCACCTTCTTTTGGGTCCCAGGAGGCGTCCGGCTCTAGTACCGCGGTCTTCACTTGTCCTTCTCCACTGACGTTGGCTGTGCACTCCTTTTAAAAAGTCTTCAGTCTTCCCCAATTGCCACTCATTAGAAACTTTCGCTCTTCTCTTTTCTGCTCTTGATATTCTTTCTTTCTTTTCGAGGTTCACCCAACACCGTAAACATGCGTGTTTCTGGCCTCCTGCCTTTCATTCTGGCCGCTGCGCCGGCAGCCGTCTCCGCTCGCGGCACTCTGGGTTTCTCTTTGGGTGACAAGAACGCAGATGGCACTTGCAAGTCTACAAGCGACTATGAGGCCGACTTCGACAACCTGAAGAATCTCTCCACTGTCGTCCGCACCTACTCCGGCACCGAATGTGATACCCCTCAGAACATTCTGCCTGCTGCCAAGAACAAGGGCTTCAAGGTCGTCCTTGGTATCTGGTGAGAACCCCATCAATTGCGAAGTGAATTACAGACTTTGAACTCAGCTAATACGCACCTGTTCTCTCCTAGGGTCGGCGCCCAGGACAAGAGCGATATGAGCACCAACGATCCCTCGTTCACCGGGGACTTTGCCGCTCTAAAGAGCGCCATTCCTGGCAACGAGGACGCTGTGGAGGCCATCACAGTCGGGTCCGAGACCCTCTACCGTGGTGATTTGACCGGTCCTCAGCTTCACAACTACATCAGCGCTGTCGCGAAGCAATTCCCCAACATCACCGTGGGTACCGCCGACAGCTGGAACAAGTTCGCTGATGGCACTGCCGATGACCTGTTCACCACCAACACTGAAGCCAACCCTATGGTCACCTACGTGTTGGCCAACGCCTTCGCCTACTGGCAGGGTACTGCTGCCGACCAGGCCTACAAGACCTACTTTGATGATATGTCCGGTGCCATGTCGCATATCCAGCAGATCTCTGGTTCCAACTGGGACAAGATCAAGGTCCTCAACGGCGAGACCGGCTGGCCTACTGGTGAGTGATCCGTGTGGATGCAATTTTTTGCATATACTAACAGCATTCCAGACGGCGGCTCTGACTATGAGGCTGCCCAGGCCGGCACCCAGAATGCCCAAACCTTCTGGAAGACTGGTGTTTGCGGTATGCTCGCGTGGGGCGTCGATCTGTTCTACTTCGAGGCCTACGATGAGTCCTGGAAGCCCGACTCCGTTGGTGACAACGGTCAGGCCATGGACGAGAAGCACTGGGGTTTGTTTACCGCCGACCGCCAGTCCAAGTTCGACATTTCCTGCCCCAACTAAGCGATCAGTGGGGACTGGTCCTGTTTCTTTCCAATTGTATCTTTTTTCTTCTGACTGGGTCAGATCTCCGGGATCACGCATAGATGAGATTTGTTCCTCCATCTGGAGATCTTATGGAAATACGGATTATTTGTGTAGTTGTACAGAAAACTTGGGCCTCCAGTGTCTCGTACACGTATAGCTTCGGGCTTCTCGGGCACGCATGTATGACCTTCAGGGAGTCCTAGTTTGACTGGTCAGAAGCGTACAGACGTCATGGTCCAAGCAATATGAATTTGAGAAAGTTGAATCAGGGCTCGACACGTCGACGCGTGGGATTACGTGATTATGTCAGCACAACGGAAGTACGGTAAATACGGGTCCAATCCACGGTTCGTCTACCCCTGAATCCAGCCAAGTTCGACTCCACGAACCACGCGAGCTTGTTTATTTTAGATCTTGAATCATAGACCGAGATGCAGATGAATGAGACTGTCGAAATATGTGCATATGTGCGAGACCGAGCAAGGAGGTCAAAAACCCAGAGCATGCATCCACTGTGGCGGTCAAGAAGCCAATGCCCGGGGTACCTGCGCAGGTAAGGGCAGTTGGGATCCATCGGCGCCCACCGCTAGCTACATGTGGGCAACTTCAGGACACTAACGGCCTCGGAAAGAAATTGAGAGTAATAGAGTGATTGAGACTAGGTTCACAGTACCTGTACACTAGTCTCCCTAACACCCTCCATATTCCAGCAAGTACCCAGTACACGGCTCCGTGACGTGACATAACCTGCACTTTTCTTCCCCTTTCCGTCTCTGTGTCCTTGTACGTGATGCTTCTGGTGTCTTTGTGATATCTTTCTTTTTTTTTACACCTAGGTCCTTGGCGGCGGAATTCGAGATCGACTTTCAGTGACTGCCTGTCCCACCCCTGATTTCAGGTCGCTTGGTCGTTTGCAATTCCGGTTGGATTTCCATGCGTCAACATTCTGGACGATAAGCGGAGCGGCAAGCAAGTGCTTGCTGCAGGAGTCGACACGGAAGGTGAGCTTCAGTGTTTTTGCCCTCAGTTTTGGGTCTCGGATTGCCGAGGTGGGAAGGTGGAATTGAGTTGCTCCTTTTGATCTACTTCTACTTCTCCGCGTCTCCCACGCGCATTCCTCCCCTTGAATCTAATACCCCTCCACAAAAAGAAAACTCACCCTCGGGAAAATCTTGACATGACTGACCTTCCGGATCGGATGGAGTCGCAGATCTAGATCCCTCCGTTTCTTCCGCCAGTTCGGCGTCTTCTCCACCGTTTCACCCGAAAGAGGCGCGCATCCTACGTGACAGATCGCGACTGGCCCCGTCAGTGCTCCTGTCCTCTCCACCGTCAGGAGACTCGAGCCCGTCGGATACTAGTTCGTCATCCCAGCGACATTCCCCGCGGAGCATCACCCTCGAGCCCCCGCCGCTGCCATTCCTTTCGGCCCATCGAACCGGCGAATCCTCGATCTCGTCACCGGACAATAAGAGGGCTGAGAGCAGTGTCTACTATACCACTGCCTGGGGGTCTCCGTATGCAGCACCAAGCACCCGTCGACTTTCTTTGACCCTGAGCCAGTACGCCGGCGCGAATCACGATTCGCAGGAAAGCTCGCCAATCAGTGTAACCAACAACCCCGAGTTCCGGCGATCAAGCATCGTCATCAACGAGGAACTCGTTGGTAATCAAGAGGGTAGATCGATCCGGGACTTTACGCAAGATTGGATCAATCAGTACCTGACCGGTCAACCACGAACCGAGCGCAGCAACTGGTTGAGCGACGACTCCGGAAGCGAGGCACCGTCGTTTTTCACTGCCCAAAACCAGCTCGTCGACGAGTCTTCTGACGATTGGCTTGGTTTGGAGGACGATATCGGCGAAAGCGACCTTCTCAAAACACCAACGCTTTCTGATTTTGTAGGTCGAAGAGCGGCCGCTCGCTCAAAGCCAAAGAAAAACCTACACAAACGCGCGGAAACTCTGCGCCAGGAGGATTTTTGGGGTTTCGCGTACGACAAAGAATCACTTAACAACACGATGTCGGATACTAAGGAGCCACAACCTCCCGCCGAAGTGACTTCGGCGGAGAAGCCTCTACCACCCCCGCCGTCATCTATTGAGGACAAGATTGGTCAAGTGGAGGATACACAAAAGTCCGATGTACTTCAGAGGCAGGCCTCTGACCTCAATCGTTCGGCCACTCAGACCCCGAGACGGAAAAAGAAGTTGACTTGGCGTGGGAAGGCGTGTATCATTGAATTGCCCGCGGATGACAAACGAGGAACGGAGGAATCCGGTGTTCGTCTTTTAAGCCATGCGGATGTTGAAACGCGGTTGAGGAACTGGGAAAATGAGGGTTACGATGTTCGTGGATTTACCATTGGCGAGACAGATGGTTCTTCTGAGCCCACCGAACTGGGAGGTTTGAGCCGACCTTTGTATCCCGATCCGTATGAGGTCTACGAAGAAACCAAGTGCCAAAAGGTTCATATTTCCTTCCCGGATAAGTCCGTTTGGGACTCTTATGTGGCAAACTTGCAAGAAGAGAAGTTGCGGGCTTTGGGTGTCTCCTTTTGGGGACCCCGAGCCTCAGCACTCGCCTTCCCCTGCATCGGCATCAATTCACCCATCACACACACCATTTCCCGGTCTCGTGGCATCCCCACCGATTCCCACTGCGTCTGCAGCAAGCAATCCACTTGCCTCGATGCACCCTTTCTCACCGCATTTTGGTCAGTCAGCCAGTACCGCAAGTGGTGGAATGGGATCTTTGGCCTCGCCTGGCTCATTTGGCATTCAAACTCCATTCATGGGCATTGAGCAAAACTTGATAAATGGATATCCGTTCCAGTTCCAGCCCACACCTCCTGCCCAAGGCTCCATGACCCCACAAAGCCTGGCCAACGTTCGTCATGCCAATTCGTCGGTTGGTCCCGGGGCACTCCACAACTTCAACTTGATGCTGTCTCCCGTTTCCCCGATGCATGAGCAGGGTTATTCTGAGTATGAAAAGGCTGGGTTTGATCCTAGCTTCGGGCATGTCGGCCACGATGCTCCTCCTTTCCAGACTCCTCGTACTCCAGTTAACGATCCTGGACACTTCCACGCGAATGTTGAAATCGCTCATCCAACTCCTCGTGGCCACGGCCACAACCTCAGTGAAACTCTCCAGCGAGGCGTGGAACAGATGACACATCCCGAGTATCAAGGTCTACCAGGTCAGGTCGAGCACCATATGGAGGATGATCACGATGCTGTCCACCATGGAATGGACTTTGAGTCGATCCAAAATCGTTGGGAGAGACATCAGCAGGAGAACGGTCTCTATCAGCCACAGAACGATTATCAACATATGGCTCAAAACGCACCTCGTCATGCTTCATTCTCTCAGCATCCTCATCAATTCTACGACGGCCAATTCGGACACCAAATGCAGAACGCGCATGAGATATCCGACGTGGATACAAACCCTAGCCTGGCTGGAACACCGCATACACGAAATGCTGTGCCAAATCAAGGACCGTGGCATGAATCGAAACCAAGTTCTGGCTCCTATCAGGGCCACCAGTCCAAGCTTTCTATCTCATCGCTTAACGTGCAAGCTAAGGAGTTTGACCCAACTGTTGCTTTCGGATCTCAGGCTGCACAGCTCGGTGAAAACGCGTTCCAGTTCGGTGGAATGGGCCAACAGGGATTCGGCTTCGCACCTGCCGCCCCGACCTTCAACCCCTCCGCAAGTATGAATGCCCCAAGGGACAATCCTCTCAAACAGAGCACTAGCAGTTTCAAGTTCTCATCTGCATCTTTCAACGTCGATGCCCCGATCTTCAACCCCTCTGCCAGTCTCAACTCGAATGCCAGCTCTGAACAGCCGCCTGCCAACCGATCCAAGATTTTCGGCGACATTGACATTGCTGAAATTTCTAAGCCTTCGAAGGAGAATAAGGCTATTCCGATCGTGCGGCCTGATGAAAACGAGTCCTCTAAAGACGAAGACGAGCAAACGGTCCACGATGATGCCAATGGCCGACCTGTTCCCACAGACCGCCACAAGCGCGCTCGTCGCGGTATCGGCCATGCTGAGGGTGAGGCTCGGTACAGCATTTCAGGTCATCCCCTGGGTGAAGTTGGCAATGTTCAGGCGTCCAACAATCTCCAATCTGTCGCCGAGGGCAAGGAAAAAGCTTTGCCGGAAGATGACAAGGCTCTGGAGCGCAGAAGCACTCCTATGAGCGAAGCTGATACTTGGACTCTGTTCGATTACAGGAACAAATCAAATGCCGGTTCGCCCGTTCCCGATGAACAAAGTCGAGAGATCCAGGAGGATCCTGCCCAGAAGCCGGCAGTGGAGGAGCCTGCAAAGGAGGCGGCTCCTCAAACTGAATCGAAGCATGCTGCTCAAGAATCAAAGAGCTCCATCAAGAGTACGATGCTCTCGGCCACCGCTCCGCCATTCGAGTTCAAGCCTGCCGTCCCTGCGTTCGTTCCAATTACTGTCCATCCGTCCAACTTTGCTGAAAAGCAGCTAGAGTTCCAGCCGGAGCCAGCCAAGATCCAACCCGCCGAGGAGGAGCCTGTCCAGCAGAAGTCTGCCGAAAAGAAGTCAGGTGGGCTCATGGCCTCTCGCTTTGCTACCGATGATCCACCCAAACCACAGCCAGCTGCGCCTCAGCAAAGCAGGGGTGGGAATCTGATTCTGGGGCTGAAACGCCAGACTCTGAAGATATTGATGCTGTCATGGACCAACTCAATGGTGATGGATCCGACATTGGCATTGAGAGGCAATACACTCCTCTTCCACCTCAGCACTTCTCGCAGTCTGTCGGTGGCCCTACCAAGGAACAGCGATTTGGCTCTGTAGAGGGCAGAAGCGAAGCCCCTAGCCCTAGCCCTGGCGGTGGTCAGAAGACCTACAATCTTGATATTCCCCGACTGGATTTCGACGATGTTCGTAGCCACGCCAGCCCCTCTCCCAAGAAGGGCTTCATCTCTCCTCAGAACGCCCAGATGGGTCTTATCACTCGCTTCCAATCTCCCATTCGCCGGGACCCGTCTCCTGCTCTATCCTTCCAATTCCCGCCCCGCCAAACTGACGAAATTGAGGTTTGGGATACCGATTTCGATCCGAACGAAGATGAAAAGTTGCTCACAAACAAGGCCTGGGCTGAAAACCGCGCTAAGGATGTTGTCCACTCTGTTATCTATGAGCAGGTTGCTCCCTTGCAGCGTTCCATGGCATTGATGCAAGCAACTTTGGCTTCCATTGCCAACGAGACTTCAGGCAGGAAAGGTCGTCGTAGCATGTCCGCCGAAGTCGAAGATAGCGATGCCGACGATGAGGATGACGACGAGCAAGAGGTGAAATCTGTCACGGCTCGCTCACCTCGACAACTGCGCGATCGTAAGCTGATGCAGAGTGTTGTCATGGAAGCCATGATTGCACTTGACCTTCCTGGACGCTCCTCACAGCACTCCAACCATGGAGAGATGGCTCAACTCAAGGAGAGTATCGCTGAGTTGCAAGCTTTCGTTATCAAGAAGCTTGCTCAGGATCCTGTTGGCGATATACAGGAGATCATTCAGGAGACTTTGGCGAGGCAATTTGCCCAACAGACGCCTCGTCTAACAGAAGCTGAGGAGATCGGCGCTGATAGCCTCATGCTCCAGATTGAAGGACTCAAGAGCATGTTGCGACTGGCCGACGAACGTGCTGAGCAAGAATACAAGATTCGTCGCGATGCTCAAGACTCAATAACCGAACTTCAACATTTGTTGAAGGCTGCCGAGGAGGATGCTGCTCGTCACAGCGCTGCTGCCGAGGACGCCGAGGCTCGTCTCCTTCAATTCAAGGAAGAGAAGATACCCCACTTGGAAAAGATGCAGTTCCGCAGTGCCTCTCTCGCCGAAGAGAGCGAGACCCTCAAGGTCACCATTGCCGAGTTGTCCTCAAAGAACATTGCTCTCGAGGGCACTCTGGATGAGTACCGGGTTTCCAGCGACCACTTCCGTCGTCAACTGGAAACCGCCAAGGATGAGAACAAGTCTCTACATGAAACTGTTGACCATCTGAGGACTCGTATTGAGGACAGCATGGTGGCTCGACAGAACCTGGGCGAAAAGTTCGATCGTCTTCAATCGGACATGGTGACTCTTACATCAGATGTGATTAGTGAACAGGCCTCATGGCGCAAGAAGGAGGAGCAGCAGACTGCCAAACACAACGAATTGCTCGCCTCTTACGCTCGTGAAGTCAAGCTTCGCGAGCAACTTGAGCAGGAAGTCGCTGAACTTGCGAAGCAAGAACGCGAGGCTGCCAAGATGAAGTTCATCCATGAGCAATCCCAACAGGAGAACGCTAGGCTGGAAGAAGTCATCGCCAACCTACGTGCAGAGAACCATGAGCTGTCGCTCAAGTCGGCTCGTTTCGAGCGGGAGTTCAACGAAGCCCGCGAGAGTAGCCGCATGGAAATCCAGCGTACGCGTACCTCCATGGAAGCCGACTTGGAAGCTTCCAATGTTCAGGTCAACATTGTGCGCGCCGAACTGGAGGCTCAAGTCATCCGTCTTCAGAGCCAACTGGAGAATGTTCAGATGGATGCTGATACTTCTCGGGAGCGCTACGAAATGCTCCTAGAGGAGGCCAAGGAGTCCAAGATCACTGCCGTCGCTACTGCCAAGGAGTCTCGCGAAATTGCCCTTGAGGATGAGCGCAAGACACACGAGCGGGTCCTCAATGACCTCCGCGAGCGCCACGCTCGTGCCTTACATAATTCTTCAGAAGACCGCCGGCGTGCTGACGCATACATGGAGGAACGCATGGCTCTTGCAGACGAAAGGGCTAAGCACTTGCAAGAGCGTGTAGAGCACCTCCAAGAGAGACTCGAGATCGCACAATCCGCTGCCCGAGCTGCTGCAGAGGCAGCCCAGAAGGGTGGCGCTTACCCCGTACCTGCCCCCGCGCCCGCACATTCGAGCTCACCCTCTATGTCTTACAACAAGGGTTCCCAGGAGCCAGAGAAGATCTCTCCACAGGCTCTGCGCGAGTCTATCTTCGTCCTTCAAGATCAGCTCCAGCAGCGCGAGACCCGCATTGAGGAGCTTGAGCAAGAGATCTCGTCCGTGGACAAGGAGGCTCCGAACAAGATCAAAGAGAGAGACACTGAAATTACTTGGCTCCGTGAGCTTCTCGGCGTTCGCATCGACGATTTGCAGGATATTATCAAGACCCTTTCGCAGCCTTCCTTCAATCAGCATGCTGTCCGTGATGCGGCTATCCGTCTGAAGGCTAACCTGCAGATGCAACAACAGGAGCGCGAGCGTGATGTCTCTGGTCAAAGCCTCCAGTTGCCTTCTATCTCCGACATCGCCGCCTCTCCGCGCGCTCTTCCTCTAGCCGCAGCCGCAGCCTGGGGCAACTGGCGCAAGAGCAGAGAAAACTCCAATGGTGCAAGCTCTGCAGAACAAACCCCTTCCAAGTCTAGCAACGCTAGTAGCTTTTTATCAGGACTCTTGACTCCGCCGACCTCCAACGTCCGACCGAACGCTACACTAGCCAGCACTTCAGGTCGTTCATATTCCGAAAGTCGGCCCTTGAGAGGACTCAATTCGACTCCTCGACGAGGCTCCATCCGCCAGGAACCCCCCATCGCCGAGCCACCCAAGACCCCTCCGCTCCTCCGTCGCTCGAGCTATGACCATGACGCCGAGCCGACAACCTACGAAGACAACAGCTTTGCTACGGACGACATCGAAAGCACTGTCGACGGCATGGTCTCTGAATCACCCCGAGATCTCAGCGGCCCATTTGGCCCTCAGATCTCTGCTCTCGCCGAAGAAGAAGAGTGATGTCTTGAATTTCCCTGATTGTCTTGTCCCAAAATTTACGCCCTGCTGTCTTGTCGAGACTGGCACCCTGTGTGATGTTGTGTCTCAAGTTTCTGACTTTGCTTCTGCTCACGGCGCTTGTCACCATCACCTACCCTTTACACTTGCATCTTCGCATTTCTTGCCACTCTTTTACACCCATACATAGTACATTTCTTACACAGATCTGCGATTTTTTGATGTCCTTTCGGATTTGATACCACCCTTGCCCTGTGCTGATTATGTCTGGCATTTTTCATTGACCTTTGACCTTTGATCTTTGAGAATCCATAACCCTTGTACATTGAACCCATCTATACCTTCATGTCCTATCGTTTTACCTTACATATTAATACTTGATCACTCTTTTTAGAAGTTCTATCCATGTTCTTATCTTCTTTACGTCTTTGCAAACGATTGAGTATTTCCAATCTGTAGTCTGGGTTATTCAGAGAGGAATACGACGCTCCTGGGCCAACTGCAAGATCAATCACCGAGCGAGCAGAATCAAAAGCTATAAACCTCAAATCCTACCAGAATCAGCTCTCATGACAAAGGAATTATTCTTAACCTTCTCTGAGAGATGATGCAAGTGATCCAGTACACAAGATAGCATGGAGCGTCATTAAGAGGAGCAGAACCTTCTCTCGGTGCTCCTTCACTAATATCTCAAGCCCTTAAAGGAATATTACATTTTCAGACTGAGAAGGATCCCTTCCCGTCTATCCACCATTTGTCGTATTTTTTAATAAAAAAAGGGGTATCGTAGAATGGCTACATATGTGTCTGGAAGATAGTTCCCATGGTTTGACGGCTTAATCTTGTTGACCTATGTGGATAGTGGGGTGCATGAATATCTTTGCTAAAGGTGTTAATAATCTACACTAGAAAGTGGTGATGAGTCTAGTAAATAGTTGAAAATTCAAAGCCAAGGCTATGATTCACCATGAATGGTAAATAACGTCAATCATATTCTTGCCAGTTTACTTGACTATTGCAGTTCACAGATTGTCGGAGGTCATCCACTGGCCGCTGTTTACAGGTGGTCCGAGCGCCTCCACTTGACACCTTGCGCGTTGTCTTTCAACATCGAAGTTGACTGGACTCCCCTCATCCTCAACCACCCTCCTCTACTCGCCAATTCGAACAAATTTCCAGCAGGAGCCTGGTCCCGACCACATCATGCGTTTCTCCGCCGCTACCCTTCTCGTCACCGCGCTGGGCTGGGCCTCCGCCGCGACCGCACACACCATCCAACTGAAAGCTCACTCCCGCGAATGCTTCCACGAGACTCTGCACAAGGATGACCTGATGACCGTAACCTTCCAGGTCGGCGACCGCGAGTTCGGAGGAAGCGGAAACCTTGAGATTGACTTCTGGGTACGTCTGCCGCACCGCTCTGCGCTCCCTTGACCTCGGGCTTCAGGCTCGAGGGGTTAGCCTCAGGAAGGCGAATCAGCGTCGCAAATTCAAGTCAATGGGACTATCTGGTGAACTATGCTTGCTGACACGAGGATTCACAGGTCGAGGACCCCCTGAGGAACCGCCAGTATTACAAGCAGGCTGTCTCCAACGAAGACTACTCGTTCACCGCACACGCCGACGGCAAGTACAACTACTGCTTCAGCAACGAGGGATGGACCTCAAACTCGAAGGAGGTCTCTTTCAACGTCCACGGCATTGTTTACGTTCCTGAATCCGAGATGTCGCAGGACCCGCTGGAAGCTGAAGGTAAGATCAGGAGGGGCGACTCGAAGAATCACAAGGGTTATGGGCTGATCTGGTCATTTGGTAATTTTAGTCCGCAAACTTTCCGACGCCCTTGCACAGGTCAAGGATGAGCAGGGATACATTGTTGTTCGAGAGCGCGTGCACCGGAACACAGCCGAGAGCACCAACGGTCGAGTCAAGTGGTGGAGTATCTGCCAGTTGGCTGTGGTTATTGGCGAGGGTGTTTTCCAAGTGTGGTGGTTGAAGAGATTCTTTGAGGTGAGTGACAGCTCGACAAGTTACTCTCGGCCTAAGGTGCGATGTCGAGACGAGACTAAATTGTGGCGTTACATCTAGGTCAAGCGCGTCGTTTAAGCTTTTCTCCATTTACTATTCGTCGATATACAAAATGCGGTGTCGCCGACCGAATATCAGGGTTCAGGTCCTTTGGGACAGAACTACGGCTATGAACTCGGGAGATACTAGATTTCCTACGGCATTGTCTCATGTTTTTCACGTCATGGACTCATGCAAACCTCCTTGGATAGCTTAATATACCTGTACCACCAGCGCGCGGATGACTCAGGAGCCTAATGTCCGGACGTAATGTATTTGCCCGGATTCGTACGTACAGTACTTGTGTGTCGGGCGCCAGGTGCTCATGCTTGCAACCAAGCCCGGAACACCAAGGAGTACGCCCGCCTGCGCCTCTCCTTCACAAACCTTTCAAGTTATTTCTGAACCAAGATGATGAATCCATAAATATCCATCTCACACTACCTACCTCACTTGCGTCAGGGGATTTCGGCCGGGCTATAAAGAAAGCCCCCCCTCTAGGGTTTGTCAGAACCAATTCTATATCCTCCCCGCCCCGCGTACTTTTGTGCTCATTCCTGCTCTGCAAGGAGGGCTCGTGTTGATATCCTACCATCTGACACACTCATCCGCTTCCTTTCGTACCTTGCGGTAGACCGAGCAAACAAGCATCGATATGATTTCCCGCCTGAAAGCGAACCCAGAACACCATCGCAACAATCTGCAAGATGTTCTAGATTCAAGTGACCCACTCTTCAACATCTGCTGGAGCCGACAGTCCTGCTCATCGTGCCTGAGAGGTGATGTTGCCTGCAGCTGGTGCGCCATTGTACGTAGCGCCATTCCCATTTCTCAGTCTGCACACCTTTGATTAACACCGCGGTGCAATCTGCCTTTTTTCTCAAGTCTTTTAGTTTCTTTCCTTCTTCTATTTTGATTCTAGCTCCGCGCACTGCGTTATATCTTGACCTTGTTTCGTACCCCGATCCCTTGCGTACATAATGGCGGTTTAACCTTTCCCCTCCAAACTTCTCGTTCCAGCGAAATTGTGTCCATACATCCCAATGCCCGTGCCCGTGCCCGTGCCTGTGTCACTGCTGAGCTGACGTCCTCGATCTAGTCCTCCACCTGTGTTCCCAATCCGGCTCATCTGCCCATCTTAGCCCCGCTCTACTCCACACATATCTGCCCACTTGATGCGAAGGAACGATGGGAGCTGAGGGCACTGCCCTTTGGGTGTAGTGTGAGCACTACAACTTTCCTGAGCACTACAGTGGCCGCGTTGAGCACATTCGCTTTGATTGGCATGATTTACTTGGTGATTGCAATTGTCAAATGGGCGCGCAATAGATGGAAGGAAGCAGAGCATGAGCAGCTAGATGACCAGGAACGAGAGTTCTCCTGGTGGGGATGCTTAGATCCTAGGCTAGTTGTGTGTTTATGGACTGGTTTATTTGGGGAGGGTCAAGGGCAGCAGGGACAAAGTCAGAGGATATTGGGAGATGAGCAGGACGATACAGAATCTAGACCGTTGCTGGAGTAGATCAAGGTGAAGGCCTAAAAAAACCTTTGTTCTGCTTCAATGCCCATGTGTACAATTTAAGCATAGATCTGAGGCCGAGAACATCACACCGATTTAGAGGAACTCAGATTCGAAGATTACAGGACAGTCACGAAGCCCCGAGTCCGTGGTATGTGGAACCTGCAACACACTCTTCAAAATAATGATACCAAGCTGTCTCACATGCTCCGCTTCTCCCCTTGCCAGTGCAGGCACTCCTGATGCCACACGATCCGGCAACGACATATCTCCCGCGATCACAATCAAACAATGCCACACCCGCGACGCCGCCGAGAACGACCTTGTGACTTGGTATTTGCAAACGACCTCTAGCGTTGAAACAGGCAGTGAATTATGCTTTCATTACATCCCATGAACTGGGTTGCCGTTGACTATACTAAGATGCTCGCAAACAAGAAGTCAACCAGCCTCAACTAAACTTGATTTCACTGGTCACAGCCTCCAACATGCAAACTGCCTTCAAGTAACACAATACTCCCTGTTTTCATAGAAAACGATTGTAGCAATGGGAACTATCATCAGCTCTGAACGTGACCAGTAGACCCCGAATTGATCAAGCCAAGGTCGCCGGGCTCGTTCGCTGGGTGCAATCAAACGGTTCATCAATAAACCAAGTGTTATGTTGCGAGTCATAGACAATGGGATACTTGGTATCGGGATCGCAAAGCTGATCAATTTGAGACATTTCTCCAGAGCTGATGGTGAACCAGTACTTGTTGGTATCGAGACTGATATTCTCACACTTATAGAAGTAGCCTATCGCCCCGTTCCCAAGCACATCGCTCCGGAAATTGACGGCGATCTTTTTGTTGAGATTGATGTTCTCGCAGTCTTCGTGTAGACCCTCGACGCTTGCCGTGCTGGCATCTTTGGAAGTGTAGCCCTTCGCAGTGTGTGTTCCGTTCGCCGACCAGGTGTACATTGGCAAGGAGACTGTTGCGGCAATTTGCTGGAGTAGGAGGCTGTTTGGGACTGTACTCATCGCGGAGCATTCAGCGACGAATAGAAGACCCACAGCTCCTAATACCATTTGGCGTGGGGAAAAAATTGAAGGCGCCATCATGGGGGGGAACTCAAATTGTCTGCGTGGCAGTGTGAATAGTGCAGCTGAATCCGGGGGATCATCCACAGCTTTATGTATTCTCTAGGTTCTCCATGTTCCCCAGATCCACTTCAATCCGGACATGGTAAAATTGCCCAAATGAGTTTCGACAGGCTATGATCATGATGTAACGGGTCCGACGAGGTGGACCCAGGGGGTCCAAGTCTAGAAACGGATGGGCTACGCGCGCTTAAGAACACTTGAAATGGATGTGCCCCTTTTCCGAAGCAATAGATCTGCCAAGAGCCTTCCAGAAAGGGTAGAGCTTAGAGTATTGACAGAAGGGGTATGGAACTTTTTCGCTTCTACCCTGGTCAATCCGTGACTGAGTGTTTTACTCAAAAATTCCTCCGAATTTGACCAGGTGAGTGCTATAGTTCTGCCTCACGAGAGTCTCTATAGGCCAATTCATCTCACCGCCTATATCCCGGCCCGCCTGTATTTGAATGCAGTGGAAAACATCTGAAATTACCATCTCGCTGTCGCCATGCCTTCATCTTCCGACCTTGTAATGCCACCTTTGCACGCAGCAGGGGCACCCATGGCACCTGAGGTACCTCCTTGTCGCCCAAATTGCCCACTAGTCGCACAAACCTTATGCTTACCAGTGATTGTCAAATTATCGGAGCATTGAGGCTCCATTAAGCAATGCACAACCTATGAAAGTCGATCGTGTCCATGGTGGCCACTTATAGGCCGATTGAAAAGGCAAACTTTGTCAATTTCTCGCAGCGAAATACCACAACTCAACACAATAATGAAATTCCTTGCAGTTGAACTGCAGCTCGGATCCCTGCTTTTCATGGCATGCAATTGTAATACATCAATTGGGAGCCTCGGGAACATGTTCGGACATGACTCGAACACTACAGATTCCACGCAGAAGGACCTGAGACTGAGTCACGTAATGTGGCTCGATCTCAGGAACATACTTCCTCGCCTGCGGATGTCGACATCCAATGAACATCCGACTTTTTGCTTTTTTTCGGAGCCCCATTACCAAGACCAACTCAGGGGACAATGCCGCTGTGGTGCGATAATGATATACTATATTCTTAAAAGTTCGCTATCACGAAACATGCAAGCGACTTTTTTGAAGGAAATAAAAAGGCAATATCTCAATCACAGAGCTATAAATTTCTACCATCGCGTCCGCCACCACTACGACCGAGATATCAAAGATCCAGTGATAGCCAATCCTAGTTTACACCATTACCATGTTCCTGGCCAACGAGAAGTAGCTCCCGTCAGCACCGGGGATGGTAGACCTTGTATATGCAGCCTCTTATCTGGGGTCGTGTGCCCAAGCGGCGAACGCGGAGACCGACAACAATCCCTATTGCACCCATCTGAAGTCTAATTGGCCAAGCGATGGCATCCGTATAACTAACTCTTATGGAGATCTCCGATGGATATTTCTTCTTCTCAGGCTTCATATTAACAGACTGGTATGAACTTCTGTTATAACACAATCGGTGGATGGACCTAGATGTCCGTCCTGTGCTCTCGTGTCTGGCCGACTGGACATGTGATTGATTATGTCTCTCTTACCCAGAGATTCGCATCCGCATTATAATGCTGGTCCACAATTACTTCGAGATGTATGGGGCCTTACGGCGGTCGCAATTTTGTTTGTGATTCTGAGACTTGTTGCAAAGTCCAGGATCAGGAAGCTTGGAGCAGATGACCTGCTGATGGCTTTTGCATTGGTTAGCAAGCCTCTTTATTTATCTCGTTTTGACAAAATTTGAATCTTGTGAAACACTGTCAGATGTGTTTCACGTTGACCGAGAAATTAACCCTACTTCCAGTGCACGGCTCTTGTCGGCTCAATTATGATCACCGTGGCTTTTCAAATTGGCTTTGGTCAGAAGGTGTCGGCTCTGAGTGATGCCGCCGTGCCAAAGGTCATCATGCATGACTATTTGGCGCAGACTTTTGGGCTTGCTGGAGGGGCTTTCGGTCGGATCTCATTCATTGTCTTCATCATCGGGCTACTGGTGCAGAGGTCATCCCAAAGAATCGCGTTGTGGACCTTGGTCGGTGCGCAGGCTGTGATCAATTCCTTGTTCATCATGATTATTTTCGTCCAGTGTCCGGGACATGCATCGGCGATATGGAGCCATTTCGGCAAGGCGAAATGCTGGAACTTGTATGTGCAGGCTGATTATGGGTACTTCCAAGGAGGTAAAAGGGGACAATCTATACCCGCGTTCTAATACCGCTCTAACATGCATTCAATTAGCTTTCAATGCGGCCACGGATTTGGGTCTTGCAATCTTCTCGACATACATCTTCTGGAACTTGAACTTGAGGTTACGGGTCAAGGTGGGACTGGTTGCTCTGCTGGGATTGGGGATATTGTGGGTTTTATCGTATCAAGAGCCTGGTTGTCCACCAAGATACTAAACCCAATTCAGCGCGATGATCGCTGCAATCATCAAAACTGTACAAACTAGGATTCTCGCGACCTCAGATAACGACCCTACAGTTGCGACAGTCACCTACGACCGCTGGCTATTCATTGACACGTATCTAGTGATCGTCACCACCTCCATCCCTTCTATACGTTCCCTGTTCCGATCAATGGACGGCCGCAAGATTGGCAGTACGAACACACACGAGTTGAGCTCTCGCTACGTCGTGAGTTCTCTGCATACGTCACGCACAAGACGACGAGCTCCATCAATCAATGGGAAAGGCGGGATTAACGTCTCGGAGGGGGATATCAATAATGACGGCTTTGCCAGGATAGAAAGTCCATCATGAAACGCCTGAGTCGGGACTATCACGGGAGTCGGGGGTAATCTGCGTTTGATCTTCTGTTTTTTAGTGTCATAATATGTGCTCCATCGCATAAAATTTCCCCAGAATAACCACGACCATGTAGATCCCACTCCCACCCGACTCCGACCCCGGTCACCTGAGATTTCTCGAGTATACTCAAACACCGCGGCGTCAATTGCCGGCCTACCCGCTCTCCAATGACACCTCTCCATAGAATTGGGATTTCAAATGCTTATACGGGCGTTCCTTCCTGAATCGGCACTTTCGAAGCCACGAAGGTTGATGTGGGATTCGGCAATCGAGATCTATTGCCGACGGCATTTGCTTTTGAGGGGACGCACGGTGATGGGCCAAATACGAGTGACCCACCATGAAAGTTATCACATTCCCCAAAACCACAGAAGTAAACGACTCAGTAGCTCTGCAATTATATAGCACGTCAGACTCAACGACTATGCGGGTCGATGTAGTTTATAAGGCCAGGACAGCGAAGTTATAGTGGGCCGGACGGACAACCTCCTCGAATTCCATGAATCAGAACGCGGACCGTCAACTCTTGGCCTCGGATGGCCCGTGCAGCATTACCCGGACCAGCGTCAATCACAGCTAGGCATGCCAAGGCCGAATGCTAGGTACGAAAGCAGCTCTGGCGCGGCCTGAGTGGACGGAAAAACTAGCAGGGCCAGGGCATGGCCAGGGCATGGCCACTCCCCACCGCATTTCCCCGCGGCGTCCCCCGCTAAAGTTCCCCAATGCGGGTCTTCATTCCCCCATCTCCCCGGGTTTGAACCACTTATCTCCTCGGCTTGATTCCGTACACAAGTCCCAAGCAGGGTTGTACGGCAAATGCCTCAACTGATTCTCTATGATGCTTAGCGTGAGCCGACCCCGGGAAGTGGCTGGCCCACTGATTCCGTTGCAGAGGGATGGGCCGAATATAAAGGGGATCCCGTCCGGGCTGGAATCGAATTCTTTCCCCAGTTTCCCAATCTTAGACACGGCAGGCCGTTTGTCAACCTCTTTACACTTTTCCTCCTTTTACTCTCTTGGTACTCGGGCGAGGCCTCAACACCGCCATCATGGGAAAGCCAGGGTTCATGAAGAACTATCGAGTCTATGTACTCACCTCCGTCGCCTATTTGGGCTCGTTGCTCTTCGGTACGAGCTATCACAGCATTGTATGGACAGGAAATCGAGGCTAATCTTGCTTGACAGGATATGACACGGGTGTTATGGGCTCAGTCCTTGCCATGAAGAGCTTCAAGGAAGATTTCGGTCTCCCAACCACATCATCCGGCTTCTCCAGCAATGCGAATGCCCAAGTCTCCTCGAACGTGGTCAGTCTCCTGACAGCAGGATGCTTCTTCGGATCTATTTTCGCCGCCTACCTCAACGACCGCATTGGCCGTCGCTACTCCTTGATGATCTTCGCCTCTATCTTCCTGGTCGGAGCCGCCATTCAAGTAGGCGCGCACCATGCCATTGGCCAGATTTACGGCGGGCGTGTCATTGCTGGTCTGGGAATTGGAGGCATGTCTAGTATTACTCCCGTCTTTGTCAGCGAGAACTGCCCCCCGGCTCACAGAGGTCGGATTGCGGGTCTGTTCCAGGAGTTTTTGGTCATCGGAAGTACCTTTGCTTACTGGCTGGACTATGGTGTTGCTCTTCGTGTACCCGAGGGCACTAAGCAGTGGCGCATCCCGGTGGCTATCCAACTGATTCCCGGTGGTTTGATGCTCATCGGTCTCTTCTTCCTGAAGGAGTCTCCGCGTTGGCTGATGAAGCAGGGTCGCCGTGACGAGGCTTTAAAGTCCCTGGCTTATATTCGTAACGAGAGCGAGGATAACGAGGAGGTCCAGAAGGAGATTGCCGAGATCTATGCTGCAATCGAAGAAGAGACTGCCCTATCCGAGGGCGTGACCTGGAAGGAGTGCTTGCACAAGAGCAATCGCTATCGATTTTTCCTCGGGTTTGTCATCATGTTCTGGCAGCAGTTCTCTGGAACAAACAGCATTGGATACTATGCGCCGCAAATCTTTGAATCGATTGGTGTTAGCTCGACAAAGTCGTCGCTGTTTGCTACTGGTGTCTACGGTACAGTGAAGGTTGTCGCCACGGCGATTTTCCTGCTTATCGGTATCGATCGCTGGGGCCGCAAACGGAGCTTGATTGGCGGTGCTGTGTGGATGGCTAGCATGATGTTCATCATTGGCGCTGTCTTGGCTACTCATCCCCCAAACCCGGACTCTACCTCTGTGTCTCCTGCCTCCACTGCCATGGTGGCCATGATCTATCTCTACGTGATCGGATACTCCTTCTCCTGGGGCCCGACTCCTTGGGTGTATCTCAGCGAGATTTTCCCCACTCGTCTGCGTGCATACGGTGTAGGTCTCGGAGCTGCCTCACAGTGGCTCTTTAACTTTGTCATTACGGAAGTGACCCCCCCGTGCTATCCACAGTATCGGGTGGAGAACTTTCCTCATGTTTGGCATCTTCTGTACGGCCATGAGTATCTTCGTTACCATCTTTGTCAAGGAGACAAAAGGAAGAACTTTGGAAGATATGGATCTTATCTTTGGTGCTATTGATGAGGAACAGCGAAAAGCCGATGTGGAGAATACATTGCACAAGACCGACATTCATGCGGAGCATGTGGAGGGGGATAAGCAATTCGATCACAAATAGATGATCTCCATGACTGTATTTTAATCCAGAACCGTGAGAATGCAAGTGTCCTATTTCGATTCGTTTCGTTTCTATTAGTTCCACGCCTATTATGCACTGTAGGTCGTCAGAAGCCACAACATTTGGGCCTCATCAACCAGAATCAAATCTGAATTCGTCTATGATACTAGCTGAAGTTACTCTAGTAAGATGGATGGCCAAATGATGTTGTCCCAAGTACATCGAGGGTAATCTTCATTGATCACGGCTAGTTTCGGCGCGACCAAATTGTTTGGACCGGACCCACAGCAAAAATGCCGCGGGGAAACAACCCCTCGCCATCACTTTTCTCAGACGTTGCGCTCGCGACTAAGTGTCAATGGAGAGTCTCGAAGACACTTGCGCCTCACTCCGAGCGCAGATTGCAGCCACAGAGACCGAGCTTGAAGGCCTCAAGCGCGACCTCGCCAACGCCGAAGCCGCAGCCGCAGCCAAGTCCGAAGCAGGCTTGACGGGTGAGCCTCACAAAGGCCAGAATGATGCCGGGAACCGCTGGCCGCTGCTGCCGGAGGAATATAAACGATACGGGAGGCAAATGATCGTATCGCAAATCGGTCTACGAGGTTCGTTGGATTGCGCGGCGCTCATAGAGGAGCGAAAGATCACTAACTGTCGCATTTTCCATTCTCTACAGGACAACTCAAGTTGCGCGCCGCTAAAGTCTTGCTCGTTGGAGCCGGTGGTCTAGGATGTCCCGCTGCACAGTACCTTGCCGGCGCCGGTGTCGGAACACTTGGTCTGATTGATGGCGATACGGTCGAGATTTCGAATCTACACAGGCAGGTGCTGCACCGCGGCAAGAATGTGGGGAAGTACAAGGTGGACAGTGCGATCGAGGCGCTACGAGAGTCAGTAATTATTGTTAGAATCTTGTTTCAACTGGGCAGCCGTGCTGACATTGATTATCTCCCCGATCAGATTAAATCCCCATCCGACGTACATTGCGCATCGAACACATCTCACGCCCGACGAGGCGCCTACCATCTTTGAAAAATATGACCTTATTCTTGATTGTACGGATAATCCGGCGACGCGATACCTGATTTCGGACACTGCTGTGTTGAGGGGTAAACCAGTGGTGTCGGCGTCTGCTTTGCGAACGGAGGGTCAACTCGTCGTGTTGAATAATCCTCCTCGACGTCCGGGTGAGAAAGACGGTGGCCCTTGCTATCGCTGTGTATTTCCAAAGCCCCCACCAGCCGAGAGCGTTGTCAGTTGTGCCGATGGTGGTATCATTGGACCGGTCGTTGGAACCATGGGGGTCTTGCAGGCCCTGGAGGCGATCAAGGTGCTTACTGCGCCTGAGACCGACGCGGCCACACATGGCACCACACCCCGCGAGGCTCCTGTGATGCAGATATTCTCTGCGTTCTCAAATCCTCAATTCCGTTCGATTCGGATTCGTTCTCGCCGAGCCAACTGTGCGGTGTGCTCCGCCGAGGCCACCGTGACGCTTGATACCATTGCGTCGGGATCCACTGATTATGTATTCTTCTGTGGCTCAGCGACAGTGCCATCGTTACTGGGTCCCGATGAGCGCGTCTCACCAGAAGAGTATCGTGAAAAGCACCCGTTGATTAATACCCGGACAAATTGGGAACCCAAGGACTCACACACCGTCATTGACGTGCGAGATAAGGCGCAATTTGGAATATGCAACCTCGAAAACAGCATTAACATTCCTATTTCCAATTTTCTGGGCTCCGCCCCAGTTTCAACAGCCGACCTCCAAACCAGTCAAGTTCCGCCATGGCTGCCATCAGAAATGGTCTCTACCGAGTCGAACGACCCAATTTATGTGGTCTGCCGTCTTGGGAACGATTCCCAGATCGCAGTGAAGAAACTGAAGGACCTCGGCCTCGACCGAAACGGCCAAAGGTACATCGGAGACATTCGCGGCGGGTTCCGCGCATGGCGGGAGCAAGTGGATCCAGATTGGCCCGAATATTAGACGAACATCACCATTGAACGATTGAAAATGTTCTCAGGATACACTGTCGGGCAATTTATCCAGCCAGGCCCACTCCATGGTAACTCGCCCCTGGGCGATTTCAGCGACCTTTTCAAATACAGACTCGGTGACATCAAGGTCATCCACTTTGCAGCCCACACAGCGGTCCACAACCTTCACATCGACGCTCTTCCCGTTGCGACGAAGCCTGATCTTCAGTCCGCAGAGTGGATTGTCATTTGGATTCGACCCTGTCGACGCGGCGTCGAAAAGGATGTGAGAGACGGCGCAGACAGACTCCGATTCCGTACTCGTATAGCCACATGATCCCAGACCTGGGTCGTAGTAAGTTAGGTCTCCTGAGTAAGGGCCGCCATTGGAGGTCGGCAGCGGAAGATTCGAGGCTTTCCTGGTACAGGTTAGTATGTTTGACGCCTAGTGAATTGACTGTTTAGTGGGACTCACTTCTTCCCCACGGTTAAACCGACTGCCAGACCAATTATTAGCGCAAGTAGAAGAACAGCGGCGACGATGCCGATGACTAGAAACTTGCGCGAACGTCTCTGTATTCTGAGCCTGGAGCCAGAGAGGCTGAAAGGCCATACTCGTTTGCTGGAGATGTGCGCATCTGCGCTGAGGGTGCCATGCTTGTTTTCAGCTCCAGTTTCGGCTTCATTTCCCGTTGCCAATCCATCGTCGACTGCTGCAGACCCAGAGAATGTCTCGGGGCCCTTTGTCAATGGAAGTGGCTTGCGTCTGGGTACTGATGCCCAAGGCTCTTGCGCTTGTACAGGCGGGTCAGTTGCAATTGTTTTGTCAGACATGGTCGAGTCCGAGGTCAGGTCGTGATGATACTCTGTATCCATTGCGACGATTCATACCGGGTATAGAGATTCAAACGCGAAACAATGTCTCACTGGGTGCAGTAAAGCAGTGGAGACAGTGACACTGGGAATGAGCTTGTTTAAAACGGTAAAGGGTTCTGGTTCTGGTTCAGGGGTTTTTAGTCTCGGTCTTAGTCTCAGTTCAGCGGTTAAGGAATCCTGGTCGCCTCGGGTTCCTACTGACGTTGGCACACCCACTCTCGTACACTGCCCATGATTTACATTTCCTAGGATAATTGACCATGTATCTGTCAAAGCCGGGTCTTACAATAGACTCTGTCTTCTGATGAATATAAACGGCTGAGATCCACATACGTAAACTCCCCGCAACATGACCCACTGGGCGCGCAAGCCGCAGCCCCTCATGTTCCTCTTCTCCCGATTCTGATCTCTGACCTCTGAACATAAATGGTTTATCCCTGATCCTCGAACGAACTCCGAATCTAACCCCCTCCCCCCCCCCTTATATCTCCGTTTTGAGAGTCCCCGGTGCCTGAATCGTGCTTGGGAGTGCCGAGGTCGGATCAGGTCACGTGTGATGACATGCGCGTGGCCCGTCGAAATTTGACTGGCGTTTGGCATTAAGAGGGCGCTTCGCTAGCCTGCAGATATGGCCTCACACTCTAGTTCATCGAGTAATTCTAGCGTGGACGATCCTGCACTATCGCGACGAGACACACAGGCCACAAAGACCACCACCAGCGAGCGCAAAAAGTCCTTGTCCGGCCATATCAAGGCGATATGGCAGAAGACGGGGCTGGACAAGCCCACCATCTTATTGATGCTAAAGTACGCGACTCCTGATGGAAGTGCAAGGTCTGAGCTAACATTTTGATTAGGGGCGGACTCTCACCCACGATTGCAGTGGCCATGTAAGTATCTGATAGCTTGCCAAGACCTGTTTTCCAGTGAAGCTGACTCGCGTCCAGCTACCAAGCAATGGATGTCGCCGATGAGTATACCACTCTAGGCTATCTCGTGGCTATTATCTCAATTCTGGGCTTCGCCATCATGCCGCGTGCCAAGTTTATTCAAATGATGATTTTTGACGTCCTTGCTGTCTGCCTTGCAGCGTGTTTTGCGCTGTTGACCATGTACTCTAGCGTTAAGGCTCGTGAGCATAGTGAGAAGAACGGATCTTACAACTCTTCGGCCTCTGCCGTCAGTGGAGTATGGCTCTTTTTCCAGATCTGGCTGGTTCATACTTTCCGGGCCAAGTATCCGCAGTTCCAATTTCCCGTCGTCATCTACGCGATTTTCGCAAATATCTCCTCAATCTACGCACCGCAGATGCAAACCATGACAGCTGCAATTAACATGGTGGTGAAGTTGATCAAAACTATGCTCACGGGATTGGGCATCTCCACTGGTGTATCTTTGTTCATTTTACCTATGACTTCGCGCAAGGCAGTTTTCAAGCAGATGGGTGGCTATATCGGCGGTCTTCGCTCCGTATTGAGTGCACATGCAGCATATTTTGAAGCTTTGGAAAGGAATGACATGTTCGGTCGTGCTGAGACCTTCGATGACTCGAGAGAGAAATTTGGCGACAAAGGGAATAAGGTGTACAGCCCTGAAGCGGAAGCAATCCGTGGTGCAATTCGAGGGATCACCGATATCCATGCCAAACTTCACGGTGATCTAACATTTGCCAAAAGAGAGTTTGCTTTTGGGAAGCTCGGTCCGGACGACATTCAGGCCATGTTCCGTCATCTGCGACAGATCATGATACCCGTTGTTGGGCTTAGCTTCATTGTGGACATATTCCAGAGATTATCCGACTACAATAGATGGAATCAGCCTATCGATCCAAACTCCGAACCGCTTTCGGATGACATTCGCAACCGCGTTGTTCAAGATTGGAACGATATCATGAGAGCCGTGCATGACCCCTTCAAAACTATGATTCAAACAATCGACGAGGGGCTACTACATACTTCTTATGTCTTTGGGTTAAGCAAGCCGCCGAAAAAGATGGCAGACGCAGTCGTAAATGATGCTGGCGAAGGCGAAAAGGATGTCGAGGCTTCGGCTGAAGACACGGCGCCTGGAGGGAAAGGATTCACGGCCCACTTTAAAAAGAAGCTGGGCGAGTTTCGAGGCGCCAAACGAATGGCTCTGGCCACTTGGGCGGAGGACAAAGGGATCAAGCTACCGGAGGATTTCTTTGACCATCCGTCGCATGTGGACAGCTTGAAGGGCGACTTTTTCGATGCTTCTGCCTCGCATCAAGATCGAGCTCGACGACAGCTCTACCTCTTCCTCTATGTATGGACTTCTTCCCTTTCTCCGCAATGCAGCTACTTACTGATGTCTTCTAGATGGAGCAATTGCTCTCCTCGACTGGGCAGACCGTGCTCAAATTTGTCATTTATGCTGATAGCGTTGCGGAAAAGGGGAAATTGTCTCGAACAAGACTTATCATCCCGGGTGCTAAGCGTTATTGGAAATGGGCCAAGTCGTTCTTGAAAGCGGAAGATACTCATCAAGACGACAACATGGGCGACGTACACCCGCAAAGTCGCATGCTCGAGCTTGGCGAGGCCTACCGTCTTCGCAAAGATCCAGAACACCTACCACCCGCGTCAATCTTTGAGAAGATCGGAGACAAAGTGCGCGCCATCCCTTGGTTTCTGCGCTCGTTCGAGTCTACTTATGGATTCCGAGTCGCGTGTGCCACAATGACCATTGCCATCATCGCTTTCCTGCACGACACTCAAACTTTCTTCACGAAGCAGCGTTTGGTCTGGGCCATGATCATGGTCAATCTAAGTATGTCGCCGACGTCGGGTCAAAGTATCTTCAGTTTTGTTCTTCGGATTGCTGGCACAACGATCGCAATGGTGGCCAGTCTCCTTTGCTGGTATATTCCCGATCAGAAGACCCCGGGTGTGATCGTTTTCCTTTTTCTGTTCGTCTCATGTGGCTTTTACGTTCCGATAAAGATGTTCCGCTTCCGCGTTGTTGGTGTCATCAGTATTGTCACCACAACCATGATCGTCGGATACGAGCTCCAAGTCCGCAAAGTGGGCGAAGCAGTCGCCACTTCAAACGGTCAGGAATTCTATCCCATCTACCTGCTCGCGCCCTATCGATTAGCAGCCGTGAGTGCAGGTATCGCGGTGGCCTTTATATGGACATTTTTCCCGTATCCGATCTCAGAACACTCTGTGCTCCGGCAAAACCTTGGTGCATCACTGTATCTCCTAGCGAACTTTTATTCTATCATCCATGAAACCCTTGACGCCCGTATGCGTGGAGACGAGGGTGATCTGACTCTGAAAAGCTCTGCAGGTCGCAAACTCGAGAAGGCTCGTCATAAGGTGTTTTCTAAACAAATGCTGATGCTCACTGGTTTACGAACCTATTCTGGATTCCTTCGGTGGGAGGTCCCAATCGGTGGCAAATTCCCAAAGAAGCAATATGATTCCATCATTGTATGTGTCGAGAAGTAAGTTATCCCACCACCCCCAACTTATCAACATTTTTTAAACATTGCGTCCTTCCAGTATTGTGAGCTACCTCAGCTTGCTCGGCTATGCATCCGACACGCTGATGCGTCTTGGGAATGACGAAGACGATTCAAATTCAGCTTGGATGCATGATTTCCGCCGTCTTGTCGGTACCGCCAAAGTTACCACTCATGAAGTTACGTCTCTGTTGTGTCTCCTGTCTGCCAGCATTACGAATCGCCAACCTCTACCACCATACCTTAAAGCCCCTCGACCCTACAGTTTCTCAAAGAGACTAGAGGCTCTGGATAGCGAAATCTTGAGTCTGAAGCACATGTCCGAACCCGGATTCGCGGCTTTCGCCGTCCTACAGATCTCCACTAGGTGCATAGTTGGGGATGTGGAAAGACTCATGCGGTTCGTTAAACTCACTTACACACCAACTCAACAATCTATACAAAATCCATACTGACTCTGAAAAAGACATGTGAGAGGATTAGTTGGCGAACTTGACTTTTCTTTCCATGCAGTCAGCACGGTTAGTTCTGGAATGACCGAGTCCAGGATGACATCGCGTGCACCATCGCGAGTGGAGGTAAATGAGATTCAGGAAGCAGATCGGCGGAAGCGGGATTGATTCCTACATCTATGTCTTGCGCATTGCATACAGTTTCTTGAGCGAGCCCGGCTCAAATTGGATTGCACATAGTTCTAGGCCTTTAAAAAGAGCTCCAGATGTTCTTTGTACATGTATGGAACCGATGAATGCCAACATTTGATCTGTCGCCATTGGAGAGGTACCAGCCACATACTTCTCCGCATTCTTGGTAAAAGCAGCGCAAAATGAAAATCCACCCTCGAGCAGCAGAGCCCAGGAACCGCCGACACAAAATGGCCCAAGTCCAATTAGATTCTCGACTCCTCACCCCGGGCAACGTACAAAACAGCCCTCATCACAAGCGCAGCTCGCGGCATCGGCGCCGCAACAGTGCGACTCTACAGCCACCACGGCGCGTACGTCGCGATGGCCGACCGTGTTCAATTCCGTCATATAGCAGAGTACACCATCGCAGCATTTGAGTACCCGGAACGAGTTGCGGAGGCTGTTGCTTTCGTTTCTCTGGATACAGAGAGGAGGAGGGAACTGTGTTATGGCAAGTACTGTACCTCTTCACTTGCCGAGACTATATGGGCCTTATCTCGATTATTAGGTCGTTGGCAGAGACCTGCGCGAAATGGAGTCTTCTAGGACGAATCCATTGGCCACGTGGATCGCAGATGAAGTAGCAGAATTCAAGGGTCGTGCGGTGCAATTTTTCGTCAGTATTGAAGGCTATATGTCACCGAGGAAGTATTGAGATTCAATGTTTTAGATAATATATTTCTTGGTCTATTGGTATCTCAGTCGATCTTATCCAGCAGGTCTTTGTCACCTTCCCACTGGCTTTGAAAGACGATTCTATTGAGGTACTCGCGGACCAACACTTCGCCAGAAATCACACCGCAGTCTGCGTCCACCTTCCCAGGTTGCTGCATCAGCTAGACGGAAGTCGTTTGTAACACCGGGATCCTTCCGGAGCCAATAGGCCAGATGATCTGTGACTGTGTCCCGAACGAGGGTCCCCCCAGTTGTATTCAGGTTCATTAATACCGGCGAAGACTCATGCCACCTTGGCCAGGAAATATTGCCATCCGTACCGCGAGGCACCGTGGCATTACAAGCGCCACCCTTTGCATCATGAGTAGATATAATCGGCGTATCGTTGACAATGAAGTTGCCCAAGATCTTCTGAAATGCATGTTTGAATCCCTGTGTAGGGAATTCCTCGCCAACAGAGAAATACGCTTTCAAATCAGCTCCGTGGTATGCTGGTGTGACGGAATACTGATATTTCCAGCTCTCTTTCCCCTGAGCTCCTGAAAATGCATCTGCTAGCCAATATGATGGACAGTCAAAGGTTGTTTCGGCAAATATATCGAAGATTGTCTGTTGTAGACCGTTTGCGAATTCGGATTGATTCAACGCCGTTAGGCCGCGGTCACCGAGAGTGTCGTAGAGAGGTATTGAGCCGTTTGGAGAGATCCATGATCTATATGCGGCTAAAAGAGCGATATAGTCGGAATTGGTGAAAAGAGGGAATGTCGATTTGACATATCTCCAGAATTCCGTATCAGTGGTTATTGTTGGAGGGCTTAACGGGACACCGTCATTTGCGTTGTTCTACAATCATCAGTACGGAATTTTTTTATCTGAGATGAGGACAACTTACACCCGATAAGATACGCTTCCCACTGATCTTCTTTTGAAGGAGCTGCTTGGAGGGAAGCTCGCGAATGAAATCTCCGTCTGAGACAGGCAAGAATGCAAACGTGCCCCAGGCGCCCGACGTGGATATGTTGCCACTGGCATATTGCAGTGTATCGGTATCTGAACGTACAAGACATTCAAATACTGAATCAGGAGTGTGTCGTCCATGATAGCAGCCTGCTCGAGCTGCAAAATCATAATAGTTGTTGGTGGGCACTGTGTCGTTGTAATGATACTGAGTGGGTGTGTACGGACTTGCGACGATGATCTAGGCGAGTCAGCATCTCCCATACGTACATTGTAAATAACTAAAATATTGAAGGGAAGCCTTGCATTACTGAAAAGGTGGTCTTCTCGACCTCCGTAAGCCATCGCCTGCAACATTGCCGCGCCAGCCCCGGATGATTCGCCTCCGACCGTGACACGAGAAGGGTCGCCGCCGAATTGAGAGATGTGTTGTTGGGTCCATTTGAGAGCGAAACGCATATCCAGCAGACCGGCATTCAGAACGCCATGCTTATGGACATCTTCCGAGGCCAAGAAGCCAAAAGCGCCCAATCTGTACTGGATCATGACGGAGATGAAGCCATTATTGTTGGTTTTCATCCATTCACTAGGGTCGTAGATCGCCCCGTATAATCCATATCCACCACCGTCTGCGTTCAAACAGTCAGTATATGCTATTTCAAATTCCATTGGAGTTGCAACTCACGTATCCACAGCAGAACAGGCAAATCTTTTGCTCCCGGTGGAGAATACACATTGAGAAATAAGCAATCTTCATCGCCCAGGGCTGATGTGAACCCGTAAGCGTCCGGTAGCTTTGCCCCGCCAGATTGAGGACACCGAGGAGGCTGGTCTACAGCCGACAAAATGGCAGTCCGATTCACTTCTGGCTCCTGCGGAGCTTGCCATCGTAGGTTTCCCACAGGGGGGTGCTGCATATCGGATTCTAGGCAACTGGTGAGCACAGGGGGGGGGGAGGTATTAGACGCATAACATGGAGAAATACCCTTTGTACACATTGATGTTGTATGTACTGTTATGAGATCCCTGGTATCTCGCATACCCCAGATCGACTACTGGACTGGCGGTGTGAGTCGGCGAAGCCAGGGAGGCCGGGGCGATGGCTACAGCCAACAAGAAAACGATGCCAGCCGCGAAGCCCATGTTGTGTGTCTTGTCCAGAAAATGCCGTGAGAGAATAATTGGAGGGGCCAGGGGGGTTAGCGTTGATCCCAACCGCATAGGCCTTGCAGGTGCAAACCTTCCGCTGACCTGGAGATGTGACATAGGGAGGCGCCCAGGCATGCGTTCCTGAAAGTGTCAGATTTGAACGAGTCCTTTTCTTGTATCTCTCTGTGTGTAAGTGGGCCTGTATTACTCCAACCTCTTAGGCCTGGGGCCGAATGAGATACACTACCCTAAAGGGTTAAAGGGCTAGTGCATCGCGATAGTGAACATTTCAGGGCATTGGCTGGGCCCACAGGAATCATTTAGACTGTTTCATTGCCAATGTCAACAACAGATCCACATTCCAGCTGTGGTTGCAAGGCGGCCCGGGGTGCGAGGCCCGCAGGGGGGGGGGTGGTTTCGTCCAAGATGGTCCTCCGAAGGGCAAACTGAGACCATCTTTTATGGGTCTAATGCCCCATCTATACCATCATCCTCCCCAGGACTCCGTTCATAGGTGAACTGACTCTATCTTGATTCTTTGTATCTTGTTCAATGGCCGTGTCCTCGACTGGTCTATTGGCATCGCACTATGACCGAGGCCAATGTTGACCTCAACGCTTCAAGGGTTACAGCGGTGGTTGTTTGCTACTCAGTGCCGATCCCATTCATTTTATTATTTACCGGCCTGAGGCTTTTCATCAAACTTCGACCGTCATCGCGGAATCCTATGAGTTTGGATGACTATATGATTATTGGAGCGACCGTTCGTACCTCTTGACTCCGATATCCACTTCTGGACCCACCGCAAGGAAAAGATGATTAACTTTATTTCACAGTGCATATCGCTAGGGTTATGCATCAGTGGTTTGGTCTACGGTAAGTAACCCCCTCTATTGAGCATGACCCATTGCACCGAGGTGTCTCTAGAGCCAAACACTGACAACAGCACACAATCAGGCCCACCCTACGGGTTCGGTAGACACAAAGCTGCTCTATCTGAGAAAGATCTTCAGACTTTTATGCTGGTAGGTAATCACCAAAGATCGTTCTTGATCAAAGCTAACCCACGTCCATGTAGGGCGACTATGTTTTCAGCCACTTCTACAACTTCGCCATCGCAAGCACGAAACTCGCAATTCTAGCTCTGTATTACCGCATATTTAGCACGAAACGATTCCAGCGGATCCTAATTGGCACAGCAATCTTCATCTTCCTTTGGATCGCAGCCATGGAGATCGGGCTCGGACTTCAATGCGTGCCGGTCGCGAAAGCCTGGGATCCGAACGTAAAGGGTAGATGTCTGGATCTCGTGGCTTTTTCATACTTTACCAACATCACGAATCTGGTCACCGATATCTGGGTGTTCCTGCTCCCTGTTCCCATTATACTGAGGCTCCATATTGACCGGAAGCGGAAGTTGGAGCTAGCGGGGATATTTACGATCGGTCTCTTGTGAGTTCATCTTCAGTTGCTCTCCTCACGATAATCAAATGCTGAGATTAATCAATTCAGGACTTGCGCGATTAGTATCACGCGATTGACCGTCGTTGTTTCACAAGGATCATCCGATTTTACATGTATGTTCAACCAACACTTGCCACACAACGACCAAATTGGGGTTAACAGCAGTATAGGGGCCGGCGTTCCATTGGGAATCCTCTCAGTCTATGAGCCACTTGGTGGAATACTTTGCGCCAATCTACCCTTTCTGTACAAACATGCCACCAGCATGCTCAAGAAAGTCATGTCATCATTCGGTGTTCAGACTGAGGAAACAGACCCCGAAAACGGAGTGAGAAGGCCTCAATACTTATTGTGGAAGAGGAAACAAGATCTCAGCATGCAAAGCGAGTGGAGCAAGCTCCGACGTGACACTGATAAGAGCACTTCAGCTACACTGAGCGAGGTGCGCTCTGCTCATGCCACGGACGGAGAGTTTGAGTTAAAAGAATCTAGATCCCGAGGATCAGAGCCATAGCATGACAAAACCATAAAAAAACTGGCTAACAGAGTGCAGAGTGGTGTGAGGGCAAAAGCAAAAAGAAACAAAAGAAAATATGTACAAGTCGCTCATTATCAAGAGAAAAAAGCCAGCTTGGAGCTTCTCTATATCATAAAGATCATCAAATCGGATTCATCATCGTGACATTTGGCACCGCAGGCTCAACAGCGACTATACTCGCAGAGACAGGACTCGGTTTTGTCACCGTGACTGGGGAAATGGTCGTCGGAACACTCGTATCCAGATGCGAAGGACTGCGCGAGCTCCTGCTCCGTGAAATGTGCGAAGTGCTGCTCCCCGCTGTGCTACTCCCCGGTTTGCCGCCGCGCTTGACCATCTTGCCGAGTACGCCGACGATCTCGGCGGCGTCTTCAAAGCTCTCATCGTCCATTCCTTCTTGGGCGTTGTAGACGTCCGCGATGGCGTGTTTGGCGAGACGGCGGCTTGCGAGGGGATCCTGGAGGCAGTCGTACAGATAGGCTGCGTATTCGAGCTTGACGGAAAGGCGTAGGGGATGTGAGCCCGGGAGAAGTTTGTCGGCTAATAAGGCCGCGTGGTTGAAGCAGGCTGTTGCTGTTGCGGTGTAGTCGAGAGGAGGGAGGAGGAATGAGGAGGCTGGTTGGATTGGTTGGACGGGTGCGAGGCCTGGGGGGGAGAGAAGTGGATGCTTTGGAGTAGTTGAGAGCACCCAGGGCGGTTAAGGAGTCTGGACCGTAGATCGAGTCGTGTTTGGAACTTTGTGGTGGGTCTCTTGGGTTGATGATGGGGCGGTTGTGGAATAGGACGAAGATGTGGTAGAAAGAGGCGCGAAGCTTGTATGATAGGACCTTCAATTCGACAAATGCGTTCACCAGCGGTAGGATGTATCCTTCTAGTATTATTAAGCCTTCTCGGGAAAGCCAGATGATGTGATGGTATTGCTGGAGTGACTTGGTGTCGCGGGTGGTGTCTAATCGGCGAAGTCGGCGAGCTCGGAGGAGCTTCTTAGATAGCATTACCGATAGTCCGAGTATTTTATACAACATGGCCGAGAGAAATGGGTTTTCGAAGGCCATGACAGCCGCGAAATTGCCCAGCGCCTTCTGGTCTACCTCGGAAGAGGCCATCCATAAACCCAATGCGGTGGCTGGAATGGTCAGATCGACGTCGTCAGCCATTGTGTTCGCAAATTGGTTGCTGAGGTTCATAGAAGTGGAGAAAGTTTTTAAGGGAAAGTGCAATTGAGATCATTGGGAAAACGAACAAGGAAGAACAGAAAATGGGATCGGAAAGAGCTTACCAACTAGCGCGCGCGCAAACCCGAAGCTTCAAACGAAGTCTTCAAAGCGCCTGCAGCATGAACGGATCTTGCCGATCTTGACCCATCCAATTCGCACAGTAGGGCTGGAGAGCTCTCCGGGCTCAATTCTTTTGAAGGTGTTGTGCCAGCCCCAATGGACGTACTCCTAGCTCCAGTCCCAACCACAAAATAATGATCGTCGACAGTGCGCGATTCACGCGTCGATGCGTGTCCAATAAAATGAAGTCAAGTCGGCCTTGGAGTCATGCAAGCTCAAGAGGTCCCGCAGCTAGCAACGCAAGGCACGAAGAAAGAGCAAAGAAAGGGAAAGTCGCAAGACCGAAAGCATCGTGCGCTCAGAATTGAAGTCGACGATATTTCAGCTTTGCCAGCGCACACTGTGCGGGGAAGGAAAGCCGAGGGGAACAAAGTTGGAGAGTGAAGAAGCGAGAACAGAGAAATAGAAAAATAAGGTAAGGAGGCTCTCTTTTTTCATATCACGCAGATATGTAATTTCGAAGAAATGACAAGTTCGGAATTATCAACTCGAAAATCAAGAGGCAAGTTGTAATCTGGTATCTCCTGGGCTGTAATGTCCCACTCGCCCGCGTCAATCTATTTTCTCCAGGCTAGGGAAACTAGTGGCCGACGTGTACGATCATCGCCCAACGTCAGTGGCAATATAGTCTCTAGCTTCTGAGCCCGATCCTCTCGTTGAGTTTGTTTTCGATTGTAGTGAAGCCTCAGTGAAGCTGTGAAGCCCCGGAGTATACGGATCGCGCGCTACGTGGCAGCGGCTCACAACAGGGATTCGCCTCGCGCCCAATTGGTGTGCCAGCTCACCCGTCGTAGCGCCCCCGAACATCGGATTGAACACAATGGAATAGCGCACTAACATCTAACAGGCGTAGAGCACGGACTGCCACGCTGGCAGTGGCTTTGCTGGATACCCGACGCGGGGGTAACCTGTACTGGCCTGCCCGTGGGCAGACTGTGGCAATCAACACGATCAGCTCATGGTTTTTCCTTTTTCTCTTTTTTTCTGGTGCACAGATGGTACTTGAGGAGAAGGTACACAGGTACATAGGTCCCGACTATGTGTCTGAGATTTTCAGAGCTGTCAACGGATCGGAGCCAGGGATCGGGTGGAAATCCAAAGTGGCAGTGGATCCGAGACCCTGGTACCGCTTACACGAAGGGCCCGTACACCGCCAGAATGATGTTATCGGTCTAGTCCCATAACCTTTTAGAATGGAGTGGAACAGGGATTACAGCAGTTGAGTCATGATTCAATGTTTAAGTCTATACAACTCTTAGAAAAAATAAAATAACAAGAACACCCAGTGTATGCAAATGGGATGAGGCCCGAATTAACGCAACTCATCAATAGCAAGTGAAGCGACCGGTCCGATCATTGCGGGCTCTTCACTTTTAATTCGTCTGGATTGAAGTATCCCGTAAACGCTCGGGAAAGAAATGTGCGCCACGCCTCGTTCACCTTCTTCTTCTTCTTCTTCTTGTTCACCATCGGGTCGGTATCGACGTCTTTGGAGGCAACGCCATCTTCGCCGATCCGCGTGGCCAAGTCCAGGAAGCTTCGCACGGTCAGGTCCTTCATTTGGGAGTCGCCCTCGTCTGACGTAGTGTATTCGATTTCGTATTCGATGTGAGGCTTCTCGCTCTTGGAATCAGCCAGGTGGTTGAGTTTGGTCAAATTGGCGAAGTATTGGGTCCAGCCAAGGAGCGTCAAGGGTTGATTGGAGTACGCAGGTCCCGGAGGAGCGGTTGATGATGGTCCGTCTGGGATCTTGGAGTCAGACTTCTCGTCCCTGTTGTTTTTCTTTCTTTGAACATCAGGAGAAGTTTCTTCCTCGATAGAAAATAAGACATCCTCGGTCTCGTCGTAGAGAGTCTCTGCATCCAAGAAGACATTCTCCAACCCGCTGATATTATATTCCATGACTCGGAGCGTTGGGAAGAAGTTTGGCACCACGCTCGGTGCGACCAGCGACACACTGTACCGCTCCGCAAATTCACCTCCGATTTTTTTCAGATACTTGCGTTGCTTCTTTGCCTTCTTCTTGCCCTTATTGTGCTTCCCCTTTTTCCCCTTCTTGCCCTTTTTGGTGGAATCAAATTCCTGTGACTCGTCCTCGGTGGTCGTGTCTTCGAGCACACTGACTGGGGGCTCAGGCAACTCAGCCCACTGCTTCCGAAGGGATGTAAGATAATCCTCCTTGGAAAGGGTAGTCACAGCACCGCCCTTCGCTTTAGAGTCGATTTCGATATCGTGGCTGTCTTGCAGCATGAAGTGGTCGATGTTCATATGTCCATAGAGACTGCCAACAATGACGTCGCGGAATCGATCCGTCCAGAGAGTGTATTTCTGCCAGCAGGTCTCATCCCAGCTGGTCTTCTCTTCGGAGCGGGCAGGAGCCACATGGCCCATGAGGATGGCCTTCATACTCTTCTCGCGCAGGAGCTGCAGCTGCACATGCAACCACTCCATATGTTCATAGCCGGGTTCAGACTTGGCGGCACACCCATCCACAGCACTGTTGGACTCGAAAAAGTACATTGTGTTCAAACTGATGACGGCCAGCCTGCCGGGGATGACCTCACTCAGGAACCATCCACCTTCCACAAAACTGTGTCGCTGATCCTCAGGGATGAAGTGCCGCCAGATATCCGTGTATTTTTTAGTCCACCTGTTGGGGCCTTTCCTGAAGATGTTGTGAGGCGTAATGTCGTTGTTGCCGAAGGTAGGAATCACAGGAACAGCCACACGCGGGATACTCCCCGGTCTGTTGGGGTTCTTTCTTGTTCCGAACAGCTCGAGCCATTTCTGAGCCATGAATTCGTTGACTTCCGCGATCTCGTCATTAGTCCTAGGAATGCGCTCATCGTTGTCGTGACGAGCCGAGTCACCGGTCCAGATCACAAAGTCGATCTGGTCCTTCAGATTCGCCTCGATCCAGCGGAATGTCTCGTTCACGAGGGTCATGGGGGAATCGCATTCGGTGCCTTCCTGGCCAAAGTATCCCGCGGGGCCCTTGCCATGATGACATGACCCCGATTCCTCGCTGATCTTGGAGCCAGCCCTGTAGTATGGGTCGGGGTGGAAATCTGTGACACCATCAGTTATCGCAGTCATGCGACCGTCAGGGGAAGTGCTGCTGACCGGTAATGTGCAAAAAGCGACCGTGAAGGGTTTGTTTTGTCGCGCCTGTCAGGAGATCGGCAGGGACTGGCGCATCTCTGCTGGCATCGGTGATCAAGGGTTGCTGGTCAAATGGTACGGCGGTGACAGACGCTACCAAGAGGCCCAGCAGCAAAGAGAAGGATTGCATTGTGCTGCAAGCCGGTGGTACTCGACCGCGCACGGCTGGAGATTAACCGCTGTTATTTTTTTTTCTTGGGATCTTATCGGGTCACGTCACTCCCGGGTCGTGCGGCTTCAGGCACGGCCAATCACGGCGCTTCGCGGCCTAGATTGCTCGAGAGGGATCTTGAAGAAGAGACGAGATCATTGATGCCGGGAGAGGGGCAAGATATACAAAGTACGAGGTGGATGAAGTGGATGCGACATCGGGGACATAAGGTGTGCCCCAGATCGACGTCTTGGTGTTTGGTCGCTGTTGCCCAATTGATGACCCCACGTGCCCGTGAGGACCTTTGAGGCACGCGCGCGTTTGCCCCATTCGCGGGTCTTGATCGGCCGTCAATCTGCTGTTCAGCTGGTCTCCGTTCTGGTTCCCCCCCCCAAGGTCTCTCCGATCCCAGTCGAGGTTGGGGCAATTGCCCTTGTGTGCGCGCGGTCACCGCCATCGTGCGTCGGGTCAGACATTTTTAAGGTTGATGAGCCCCTAGCCGGACTCGAGCCAAAGTACCTTGAAATTTTCAAACGGACAATAAATCCTCTAGTTACTTGTATTTGAAGAAAAGAACTGATTTTCTGATCATACGGTATAGCCACCGGATAGTGTTCCACATGAGAAGCCTTTCCTTTCCCAGATTAGTGTTGTGCTAGCTCAGGAGCTTGGCGGCCGGGTCGGGTGTCCTAAGTTTCTTTAGCTCACCTGCGCATCCAAATGGGAAATTCGTTGCCGGTGGCATTGTCGATGCGATGTTTTCAATTCTCAGACACTCAATGCACCAGATACGCAATCAAATGTTTTCATGTAATAAGTTTCTTTAGCACCATCTATCTTTATAAAATTGGTCATTCATCTGTTTAGCGCCGAAGAGGGTACCCTGTGTCGCGGTAAGACGACGGATCCCGGACGTAGAGGGGCACCTCTTCGCCAAATCCGTGGCCATCAGGAAATCTCTGTCCATCCTCTTTCTCCTTGCTCCGCTTGTGACATGTTCGACAATCACCCCCGCCCCGCAACCGCTGCATCCATTACAGTAGAGGAATTTGCCAATGCCACTAGATGGCATCCTTGCATCTGGACCCGTTAATACAGCTCCTGGCGGCCCAATGGCCCAAGGACGATGGCCACAGCCATTGGAATCGCATCAAACACAAGCATGTGCGGGATAAAATTTGACGCCGAGTATCCGGCCGAGGATCCCATCAGCCGGTAGATAACGTGCACCGTGATGGCGAGCAAACCTGCCATACAGGACATAGAGAAGTCGACGCCAACTTTGCTTCTCACCAACCAGTCGGTCTACACGATCCAGCTGCAGCATGAACCGGTGGAAATGCACGGCTAGCACCTAGGAAACATGTGACTTTGAGATCTGGACTGATTTGTGACCGACTTCAAACCAAGTTCGGAATATTTGAAACCCGGACAGATGTATACAGTCCCTGAAAGTGTAGTGAAGTTGCCTGAGGGAATAAACGAGATAGCCCAATCAGGTACCCGGAAGGGGGTCCGAATCAACCGTAGTGGCCAAGTGTGAAACATCCCTACAGACCACAATGGACAGCTGCGGGGTTTGTGTCGAGATCCAGCGCTAGCACCCAGGCTGTGCGGCTACCTAATGCACCGTACTTGGACTTGGCCGCCAAACACTCTCTCACCCGTATCACATCCGATAATGTCCGGGCCAGTAGACGAATTTCTCATGATCAAATTCAGTCGCAATCACCTGGGTTCTCTGACATGATATCGATCAGCCTTTTGATTTTTTTTTTTCAAATGTTAGCTAATTTAGAGGAACACTTGCGCGATGTTAACACGACAGCTCGTCTGGATCTTGATCATGATGCACGTGTGCCAGCTGGTGGCTACATTTGCTTACTCTTTGGGTAAAAATAGCTTAGTGGAAATTGCCGAGATGAAATTGAGCAGCCTCGTGAGCGGCGACATGTCTGGCACAGAGGCCCCACCGATGGAGAATCTGATACAGAGAGGTGCTTTGGCTATGTATGTGCCTCTGGAGAGGGAGAAGCCTTGGAAAACCCATGTAGCAGGAAGTAGCTATTAAATGAATAATTACTCAACTAAATATTTCAATCCTCACAATGAGGTATACATCACAGGTGGATAAATCAGCCAATGTGGTGATCCCACCTCCCCCGATTCCGAAGAACAATTAAATCTCAGCTCCAAGCTATCCCATCCGTAAATGAGATATCGCAGATTCTTTAAACGATTCAGGCATCCGCTTCAATTTTCTCAGTAACAGTACCATCCTCCTGCACGACGACCTTGTCTAGGTTCTGCGATGCCTTGACTGGATTCGGCTGCTGGTAAACCCACTCCAACTCCTCAAGAGTACGACCCTGAGACTCAACACTACGAGATGATTAGCTTTCAGCCGATACAAATTTGGAAAAGAATTTCCTTACCAGAAGAAGTACCAAAAGACCACCTCGATGAGATCCCAGCCAACAAAGATCCAGAAATAGTTGGTAGAAATATTTCCCAAGCCAATAGGTGATGCGAACTGGCTGATGAAACTGATCGAGCTGACCATGAAGCCTGAAAGCGCGAGACCCTTGGCGCGGGTGGTTGTTTCCAGTGCCTCGGCGGGAACGACACCCTGTAGGGGGGTGTAAGTGAACGAGAAGACGATGTTGAATAGGTAGTAGAATGCGAGAGCGGCCTGGCCCTTGCTTTTACTGATACTTCCGTGCTCGGCGATGGGGACGGAGATAGCGGCATTGATAGCCATTGTGATGGCGCAGGCTGATCGGCATTAGTTCGTAATTCTCCAAGCTTTGTAATTTTCTGTCAGTTTGGACTTACCTGAGAGTACCCCAAATAAGAACCGGACGACGGGGCATCTTGTCTGTCAGGGAGACTGCCACACCAGCACCGATAGCTGACACAATAGAGTTGATCAAGTTGAAAAGAAGTTGGATCGAACTCGACGTGTATCCAAGGGTGTTGTAGATTGTAGCGTTGAAGTATCCAAGACCATTACCAGACCACTGTCCAAAGACGGAGATCATGATAACCTGCGCAAATCGCCAACGACCGCTATGGGTAGTAATGAAAGGTCGGTCTTTCAAATTTTGAGCACTATTAGTGTCTGATCAACCATTCGAAAAGGGAATCGAAAAACTTACAATCCCACCATCTCTTATCAATACCGTCAATGCGAATACCCTCCTTCATCTCCTCGATCTCGAGACGAACAAGACGGGCATTGGGGTCTCCGTTGCCGTGATACTTGACCAAGAAAGCAGTCGCTTCTTCATCACGACCCTGTGCGAGCAGCCAACGGGGCGACTCGGGAATGAACCACACGAACACAATGACCATGACGCAAGCAAAGCACTGGCAGATGAAAGGGATACGCCATTGGTAGTTTGTATCCATATAGTTGCATCCATAGGTAATCGCAGCGGCAGGAATACTGCCACCGAACCAACCGCAGTTATAGAAACCTGATAGATTTAGAAATGCTGCTGGGTTCCCAAAACGTGGACCATAATGGAGCCTTACCGACAGCACGACCGCGCCAATGCGGCGGAGCGATCTCAACGGCATAGGCAGGAGCCGAGACAACCATGATCTGAATTCCGACTCCGAGGACGAATCGGCCGACAACGAATTGGGGCAGGGTCATGGCGGTTGAAATGATGATGGAGCCAATAATGATAACCCAAGCACCAACGAACATACACTTGCGCCGACCGAGCCTATCAGAAATGACTGCACTGAATGGAGTCGCAACAATAGATCCACTAATTCGAGGATCAATTACTGGGTTCCGAGGAGTATAGAATGAGTGACTGCGCTTACACGGTGTAGAGAGATGTGACGACGGACACCTTTTCGCCTGTCAATCCTGCTTTGAAGACGGCTTGCCAGTGGTCCATGGCGAGGACGGATCCCATGAGTGATCCTGTAAGATATTAGCTCTGATTGTGCCAAGATATGTCACTTTTTGCTAGGGTCGCCTTGGGCCTGGAACATACCATCGTACCCATTCGCACACGCGCAGAGGAAAGCGACAAAGATACAGACTGCATGATGTGAGTAGATGTTCATTGAAAGTTCCGCGACACTGCGCTGTAAACTCACAATAAAGGTGAATGGACGTGGCGCTCCAGCGTTCAATTTTGGTCTCTTCAATAGCGGCAAAGAGCTCGGCCTAGCCATTCATAAGCGCACTAATCCACGAAGCCAAAATTTTTTAAAGCTAACAGTCAACTCACATTGTGGACTTCTTTCGTGTGCGCACCTGCCCGCTTGGCAGTTTCGCCGTATCCCGCAATGACCTGAGGAGTGTCATCCACCGCATTCGAGATGCCGTGCACCTCTTCATGCATGTCTTCGTGACCCTTCGTATCCGACATGGTGATTTCGCTTCCCACTGATGCCCGAGTCGACGATGCAGTATAATCGCTTTGGAGTGTCTCAAGCGCGGTACAGATCCACGAGACGGCGGGACAACATGAGATTCTTATAAGAGTAGGCCAAGAATGCCGCCTTCGCCCGATCGGGTCGAAGTGGCCGATTGTAGTTCCTGGGGAGCGCCTTTCATTGCTCTAGAGGCTGCTTTCCTTGTGACCCTAGACCCCTAGATCCTGCCAGACAGCCTTGGCCAGTGGCTTGCATTAAAGCTCCGTATCCTGATTGGAATCGGCGCATTCCCCAGTGAGACCAATTGTACTGGGGCGAGTATGGGCGGCAGCACACGATCCGAAAAGATTCAGGACTGGATCATCGGCCCTGTGTTCCGTTGCACGGTTTTGGATCTATGCCATTTGCACCTGGGGTCGGTCAGGCTGGCCCCCTTCCTATCACGCCACTCGCTAGTCTGACCTCGGATGATCTTCTGGGGAATTTTAAATTACTGATCACTAATTTGGTTTAGGGTATAATAGAACGAAATTAAAAAAAAACGGAACGGAATTACAAGAACACATTGGTGCAAGGAAAGAATTTCTCCAGGTTTTCTCCGATTAGTCCGACAGTCTTGCCTCTATGGCATGTCCTGTCAATGGAACAGAATCAATAAGTAGATGGTATGAGATGCGGTCAAGGTTTCTACCCCGGATTACCCGAGCTAGACCCATAATACATACCGTCCCAAAAGATCGCGTGAGACCGTTGGAAATGCGGAGCTTTCCTCCGTGCTGAATTCTCCACGGGCCTTCCCCACAAAATGCTAATCCTTTTTCGGAACTCAACTGACCACCTTTTACCTTTCATGGGCGACCTCGCTTCTCCCTTGTCGGTCCGAGTCCCCCGAATTTCGAACCTATCTCGGGAACGCCACTTAAACCCGCTGATCGGGGTTCCATGACCTGCGGCCCGAGCTGAACGTTATATCGCTGTCAACCGGAAGAGTCAAGCGTGGACCAAGTCAAGAATACGAGTCCTACCTGATTCAGCAAGGATGAGGCAAGGACTTAGTGACTTGAAGAACTGGATATGAATATTTTCATAGAGATCGCCTTTCATTGGTGCACACTCAAACAGCTAATCAGAAATTCTCGTAATATGTATTGGTTATCATTTATCAATTAGGCAGGAACAGGGAAATTTACACATATTATCGATAAAAAAAAGACATATCCCATGCGAGCATTCTTCTTTTGCAGGTCCATCGCAACCTCAAGCATTATTAAAAGCGCAATTAAGCTTTAATTGCAAATCCGATCGAAGGTGTCGAGGGTGTGTTTCCAAACAATAGCAGGGAAACCCTTCTCTCGCAACTCCTCCATCAAGGCCTTGTTGGTCGAATCCTTTCCGTCGTGATTAAGAATGTAGTAACCCGCGGCGGATGCATCAGTGGAGTCTTTCTTGGAGGGATACTCCGCAGAGGTGGCGAGGTAAGTCTGCCACTCCCCAGAATCAGCCATAGAGATGATGAATGGCTTAGCGAGGAAGCTAACGATAGTTCCGAGAATGGATCCCAAGGTTTTGCTAAACAAAGGTGTCGCAACAACACCCGGGAAGACGTGAAGGAAGCTGACAGAAGGGTGCTCCGAAGCGAGGGTCTCAAATGCGAGAGATGTCATGGAAGTTGGATAACCCAAGCTGGCGGAGAATGAAAACTCTTTTTGAAGATCTAAGTTGTCTTCTTCGATTTTGATTTCCTGACCTCCCGCGAGAATGCTGACCACGCGAGGGCTGTTGGCGGCTTCAAGAGTCGGGAGCAGATTATATACGAAGCGCATGCGGCTGTAATACCGAAGGATATGGTAAATGTCAATCTTATCGTCGGTCTCTGTTCTTGAATTAGCATCTCTGAGGTGAAGGTACCCGGAGGCGGAGCAGGATCACTTACCCTGCTTGCTGAATGTGACACCTCCAGAACTGAGGAACAAGAGGTCTAGAGCTTTGACCTTGGACTTCAGGTCCTGACAAACCTTGTCCACCGTGCGAAGATCGGACACGTCTGCAGGGATGAAGTGATAAGAACCATTCTCGTTGGCTGCCTTCATCTCCTCGAGAACCTCAGCACCTGCCTTCTCATTCCGGCCAACGATGTATATGGTCGGTTTGGCAATGGAATCTGCCAGTCTGACCGCGGTGCTGCGTCCAATACCACTGGTACCGCCCACAAAGAGGGCAGTCAGCTCAGGACGAGCGGTCTTGAGGGTGGAATTCCACGCGCGGGCCTGGGCAAGGGTGTGCGCCATTATGAAATCATAGATTATGAGTTTATGGATAGAATAGCTGGTCGATACTGAAGAGGTATGTATATAGAGGAGTAACTTGGGTAAGAGACAACTTATATACGTGAGATCGTAGGGCTGGTGACGTGCCGGAAAGTGGGGCGGTACGGATCGTCGAGAGAGGAAAGGCGGGCGGAATTTAGCATAATCCCGAGCTCCGCACGCTGACAATTGTCGGCCTCTTAAGAATGTCGACGCCGAGTTCCAATCACTAATAGACCATATCTTGCAAGGCTCATTCTTTCAAATCGATGAACGCTCTAGTATCAGGTTGCATCTTTGACCTTCCAGGTATCGCCGTGTCAATCACCAGTGATGCCTATAGCTCCCAGAAGGCCAGCCAATCGCGCCAAGAGCCCTACCTAATCAGCGAAGTCGCATGAGCAACAAAAGTATTATCTTCAAATGAGTCAGACATTCATTTGATTGATTCCGAGATTTGATGTTCTTACATTCGAAGTACACTAACAGTCCTTAATCGCACCGATAAGAATTTTCGCTCGCATGATAATTACAACAGGGAGCAAAATACTCGATAAATTCTGTGATGAATTACCTCTCGTGTTCGATGAGCTTGGTAATTTGATCGCATAGAACCAATTCCCCCTACTTGCAAACAAGACATATTGTTCCATGCTTAAGGCCACACAAGCCCAATTTATCATTTGGCGATCTATATATATATCGTCATATATGTCTCTGTCATCCCGGTTGAAGTGAACTGGATGCTCCTGGACTTCGTTTTCGACTCCTCCGAGAAGAAAAGACCTGTTTCAGTAACCATCGAACTTGATCTCAGTCTGATTGATCAGCCTGCTACTCGGACTAATGCCAACCTCATGGCCGTGATTACCTTTGATCCGGTCCTCATGTTATCATTTGCTTTGATATTCAACATCGCACTTGAGTATTCATGACAGGGTTGTCTACATATCGGTCATGTGACCCGAATCGCTTGTTATTGGCCATATGCTTTGACTGATTTGTCTTGCTACGGATATCTGACTAATTTGCGTAGATTCTACCGCCTCCTCTTTCCTCCCACACTGAGAGATAGTGGTGGCCGTGATTGCCGCCACTCGCAAGTCGACGTTGCATTTCCTGACGTCAGGCAAACCATAAATAGATCTCCCGCGCAGATCATCTTAGTATAGAATGTCTCATTACAACACAGAACGCCAGGGAGCTATTTCAAGTAAGATCAATTCATTACTACCCATGGTCTATGGCAAATGCCGAACTGGGACGTTATTGGACCTGAAACTGGCGTTCAGCGTGATTGAGTGGTGACGCAGCGGTACCGGGACGGGCGCGGAGCGTTTCCGAACTTGTTCATTTCTGGTCCGCGGCCAAGAAGTGGTCCAGCTTGGGTGATAATTAATTGGGGAAATACATTGATTAGCTAGACGTGAAATGTGTGATGCACCATGGGGCGCTTGTGTATCAATTGATCGGCAAGCGGGTCTCTTGTGGGGAAAGCTTGTAGTGAACAGCGGAGACAGTCGCAGCTCTTTCTGTCCATGACCGCGGGCTGACAGAAGCTTTCGCACACCCACGGTCAGCCTTGTTCTAAGCCAATAGGGGTGACCGGTTTGCTGGTTTGTGGCAGCTCAGGAAGGGAAACTACTGAGAAAGAAAAGAGCGGCCCTCAGATGGCATCATCGACATACACTCGGTCCGCCAGCTGCCGGAGCTCTATTGTCTCGCTGCATTTCTTCATCTACATTGCGTCTCTCCGTACAATCGAAGTGGTCGCCTGCCGGTCCTGTTCAGTTCTTTTCAATCAACTGCAGAATTGAAGCTGGCCATCTCTTCCAAGCTCTTATCTCTGCTGGTGTTCATAGTACGTATACTCCCCCAAACTTCCTACTTACCACACATCATACTCTCGAGTTCTCATTACCTCATCTCGTCACAACTCTATTTCACTTGGATCAAAAGGTCTTTCCCTGTTCATATCACTGATCTCATCACCTTTACAGCTCGCCTTGCTACTTCCGCTACTCTTCTCATCCAGCTGGTGACCTTACTACAGACTCTTGTAAGTGCACAGTGGCGTGTCCTAAAAAAAAGAGCTAGGAAATCGTCAATCTCTTTGAGATCGTTCATGACTGAAAACTTGGCCAGCATTCGACATCCAGACTACCCATCCTGCCCCTCCCAATCCCAAAACACCATGGCTCCGATCAGCCTCATCTCCCGGACCGAGTCAGAGACGCTCCGCCTGCTCATCAAGAGAAGCAACTGGGCCTCCAAAAACCCCGGTGTCATACTGGTCTTTTGCATTGTGTTCCTCGTCGCACTTGGAATCATCGCGCTCTTTGCCTATCGCCGATATTTGAAGCGGAAGGCCAACAAAGAGTCATATGAGACAACCGAGTAGGTTGGACCTCATTCCAACATAGGGCTGCTCATGATTGCGAGATGAATAAAGGGAGACGCTGGACATCCCCCTTGGCCCACAGCCGGGACGTTGAATTCCTGCCATACAGTCCTTATACTATTATCTTGATTGAATACCCATGGACGCGAATGGGAGGAATGAGAATTCAAGATATGGACAGGGGTCTTGTAAGCGAAGAAAAATGTGTTGTGGCTTTGCGTTCAGGTCGCAAGAATGGTATTGTTATGGCAATTTGCAGTTGATAATAATGAATGATATCGCCTTCTTCCCTACTTCTTGCTTCCAAGCTCTCATCATATGGAATATGCACAAACAAGCTCTGGGCTTCTGTACACTCATCAGTAGCTGTATTTCCTTACACATCCGATACACATCCGACTTAAAAATCTTGAGGGTCTGGAGGATCTGGAGCTCGTTCGCGAGTCGTCCAATGCACAAATCATTCTTTCTTGTAAATGCAAATGAAACCAATCGAAGAAAAAGCGCCAGAGATGCCAACACACTTTTGTGGAGTCGAGGTTCACGATCAAGTTGTTTAAGGGAAAGCCAGACGAGTTGCCAGGGATGCAAGACAAGTATCAAATTCCTAATTATTTCTAATGCAGTGACCATACATGCTGAGAACAAACCAGTGGTTTCAATGAGAGAACTCCGGACTCTTTTCAATCGCAACCCGCTCCTGCTGATATGACGAAACAGATCCTACCTCCTCCGATGCCGCCTTCTCCTCATCTCGCCGCCAGAAGTCCTTCTGCCCACTCGCAGCCCGTTTCAGCCAAGGCGGGAAGAAACCTCCGGGCAGCTTCCATGACCAAGGATCCGACTCGTCCTTGTTAGGAGGGACGATGCGACCGCCGCTGATCTTCTCAAGAATCCACGCAATCGAGTTGAGGCAGATGTAGCTGCAGATACCGGCGATGAGACCGTACGCGATGCTGTAGGTGAAAGGCATAATCGCAATGGTCAGGAAGGCTGGGATCGCGTCACCAGGATAGCGCCAGTTGATGTCAGCTGCGGCCTTGGCCATCAGCGCGCCGACGATGACAAGTGTACAACCCGTAGCCCAAGCGGGGATGGAGGCAAAAATCGGTGCGAAGAATACAGCGATGAAGAAGGCGATGCCTGTCATGCATGATGTCAAGCCAGTCTTGCCGCCCTCCGAAATGCCAGCTCCAGATTCGACGAAGGCTGTCACTGGGGGACTGCCGAGGAGGGATCCGATCGAGATGCAGATCGCGTCGACCATCTGCGCGATATGTCAGTGGAAGGTAACTTCAATCTGATAACAGGAGGCTTACATAGGCGATGGCACTCCCTTCAAAGTCTTTGGTTTTTTCATCAATTGCGCCAGCGAACCGAGCCATAGAGTACATGGTACCTGTGGTATCCAAGATGTCGACATACTGCAAATGTTTTCAGTCAGAGGTGAGCGAGGAAAGCCAATGGTGGTTAGGAACATACCAAGAAGGTGATAAAAGCCAATCCAAATTGTCCGCCGTGGCCCGAGATGTCCCACTTCTGAACGGCCAGAGTGTGCTTGATGGGGTGGAAGGTGACAACCTGCTTGAAGAAATCGAACATGCTATCTCCCAGCTCCGTGTAAGGGAAATAGGTCACAGGCGTAGTTCGTGGCCATGAAATAATCGAGACCAGCAGAATTCCGATGATCACAGCACCCTTGACGCGATACATCATCAATAGGGCCGTGAGGACACCACCACAGAAGATACCAACCCACATGGTTGCACTGCGCATCTTCTCACTACTAATACATAGACCTGTCTCAGAATCGATGTACTGAGGAGCACAACCAGCAAGCTCGATAGGAGTGTCCGATCCACCTTGTACCAACCCGATACCAGCGCTATACGTCAATCCGATAAGAGCGAGGTACAATCCGATGCCAACACCAGTGGCGAGTTTGATGGAAGCGGGGAGAGCGCGCGCCAGCCATTGTCGCATGCCAATCAATGTCAAGCCAAGGAATACCCAGCCCTCCACGAAAACAGCAGTCAAGGCAACCTCATACGGGACCAATCCCGACCCATGTACACCGACAACAGTGTATGCAAAGTATGCGTTCAATCCCATGCCCGGTGCGAGGGCGATGGGCAAATTGGCGAAAAGTCCCATGCAAAAGGTAGACAAGGCGGCGATGGCAGCAGTCGCAGTAACAATGTCGCGCTTGACTTCCTGCACGCACAACAGATACTCGGCATTGGTCTTGCAATAATCGGCCAGGCTCTCCGGCGGGCAGACACATGTGCCACCAGTCTCCGAGGTGATGTTGCTGTTGACCGAGATGATATACGCCATTGCGAAAAACGTGGCCAGGCCGGCGCGTAGCTCTGTGAAGAAGAAGCTGCCCTTGCGCTCCATAGGCTATTCTCTGTCAACTGTACAGTTCCCTCGTCAGAGCTGTACATGTAGAATGACTCACATGGCCCGAGTTCTCCAGTCTGAACCATCTCCCCACTGGACTCTGCGCAACCCGCAGGTTTGTGTTCTCGATCCAGGCCTTGTAAGCCATACTGGTACGGCTAAATGCGTCTACTGGGTTAAAGGCGGGTAAAACCACAGCAGTGGATGCGATGCCGTACTTGAAGGAAGTGCAACGAAGAAAAGAACAATAAAAAACTCAAGAAAAGAAAACCCTCTGAACCCTCCTCCACTCACAACCCTCTGATAAGCAGCAAAAAAAAAAAATTCGCCCCGAACATTTCGACCTCCACCGACGTCCTTGGCGACTCTTGGCAGGTTGCGTCCGAGGTTCCAAGTTGGTCGTCTGTTGCCGACGTCTGGCTCGGCAACTATAGTGGGTCCAAGGAAAATTTTGACAGCTGTAATTATTAACTATGTATTGTGCGACGGCATGAAGATGTCGAAACATGTAGTTCACAGACCTGAGGTGAATTATGGAGCAGAGCATGCGATGGATTACCCCGGGGCATGCACCTCTTTGAAACGCCAAGACGTGCTCAGCCTTCTTGGCAAGTGATTTCCTATCTTATCGACAGGATATGTAGGGTCCAGCTCGATAAGGATAACGGGGTGGGCCGATCGAGATGGCAGTTCATCAGAGTTCACATCTTACGCATGTACGATACTTATCCTCCTTCTCCAGACTAAGCGCATCTGGGGTAGAATGCCGGCCAACTCCGGCACTGTCCAGTGTTCTAGGCGCTGATCCGGGCGCTCACACCGAGAGTCGTGGCAGATCTGTAGATATCGGATTTGCTCTGAGTCTTAAGTATCTACAGAGCGAACGAGTGCGTATCGTATTTCATTCATTGTCATTTCATTCTGCATTCATTCTGCATGCAAACTATCTCCATAAGATTTGGAAAGGAGTACTTGACTGCATAGGTCTCTAGACTGTAGCGCTCGTCTCTTTTTCGGTCGGACTCGGCATGCTCGGGGCAAACTTGGACTTCTTTCTGAGAGCAGGCCCCCATTTTATAAAAGCCAACGGAATTGGGACCATAATAAGAGCAAGACATCCAAGGAGTGTGCCAGCCCATTGCACTCCTAGGTTCACGAACATCTGTTTCGCGAAAAGTGGGAAGGCGGCTCCGACAGAAGATCGAATGATGGTATTTGCAGCGAACACCGAGGCAGCACTGGTCAATATGTTAGATCAGATCTTACAAAAGACATCCGAAGAACTGACAATGTGAGGTAAGAGTCGATCAAGTAGTTGAAGCACTGTAGGAAGATCACGAAGATCCCGAATCCGGTAGCGACTCCACTGGCCGTTGGCGCCATCCAATGGATGGATTTGGTCCAGCCCGTCCATCCGAACCAGAACAAACCAACGGTAAAGCAGATGCCTCCAAGGATAGAGAGGAGGCAGCCTCCATTCGGGAATGGGGACGTCGTTGTTTGCTGCCAATTTCTTGGAGTATGACTTTTGATCATATAGGATATACAGCCCGGCCAGGAATTCTCCGATGATCAAGCCAATAAATGGAAGGCTGCCGACTCCAAGATTCATGCCATGAATTTTTTGGAAGACCACTGGATATGCACCGAGAAGTGCATACATCAGGCCGTATACAAAACTCATCCACAACGAGATCTGCAACATCGTTAGTCAAGTTGTACCAAGGTTAATCGAAAGAAAGAGCCGGGGGAGAAATACTAGAAACACAATCGGTTCGGTGAACAGCATCCGAAACGGTCGGCTAAAGTTATTCGTGATCAGCTCTTCCCAGTCCAATTCGACCTCTTCCTGCCTAGCCCGGATCCCCCAGTTGTGAGTCTGTCTGCGCAGTGTAATGGCTTTTTCAACAAGAACAGCAGGCGCATACGTTTCTCTCAAAAAGAGGACACAAAGGCCAAGGGCTAGGAAGCCCATGATGCTGGAAATATACATAGTCCATCTCCAGCCAAGGTACGACATTGTGATGAATCCTCCAGTAAAGGGCGAAGCGAAGGGACCAACAAACACCGCCATAGCGAATATGGCAATCGCCACGCCACGAGTCTGGTTATTCCACATGTCGGCATAGACCGCCGGCACAATCGCGATAGGACTTGCAGAGAAGAATCCAGCAAAGAACCGGGTCAGCATGAGCGTTTGAACATCCTTGCTCGTGGCTGTCGCAACCGTGAATACCGAGTACCCAAACATGCCCACTATAATGGGCCACCTCCTTCCAATCAGCTCCGAAGCCGGGGCCCAGATTGTTGGACCGCTGGCGAAGCCCAGGACGTACAGGGTCACACCTAGAGTAGCCACTTCTGTGCTGATGTGGAAGTATGGTGCGAGTGTAGTCACGGCCGACGAGTATATGGCACTGGCAAACGACGAGACAAATGTGGTATAAGCCAGGACGAAGGAAATGGTGATTTTCTTCTTCAGTGACCAATTCTGCGGATGCATAGGGTCCTTCGAGTCTGTGAATTCAACGACGAATTGCTCTGGGTCTGGTAGCTCAGGCGGATATTCTTTTCCAGCACCCATTGGAAGCCATTGTTCTCGCGGTGCGCGACCCGGCCCGGAACCGACCGTGGATCTATGCTGGAGACGGTAGGTATTGATACGCTCGAGCTCGACGTTATCGAGGTTGGTCGGTCGACGACTGAGGTTGCCTTGGGAAGTGGCCTCCTGCTGTGCTGAGCCGCGGTCAACAATAGTCGGTACTGAGGTTAGATTGTCGCTATCTTCCGCGGGAGAGCTGTCCCGGGGACTCGGTGGGGAGTTTGGACGCTTCATGGTGCTGGGTAATCTAGCCCGTTGAAAATGATAATTACTCTGCGAGACGACATGGAATGCTTTTTTAACGCGGGGAAGAACAGATACGTAATTTTGTGAAAGCTTGGATCTTGCTTTTGTTCTCTTTGAGGTTTGGCTTGGCTGTCTACGGCGTCATGACTAGTGACTTCGCCGCTTGATCCGACCTATCGGTGAAGACAAGGGACATATTTCCTGTTTCGGACATGATATTCAACTCGAAAGATTGGTCAAAAGCAGCCTTGAATGGCAATGATTTTCTGAAACTGTAAATCTCACATAGCGTGGACGCAAGACAATTGACTAGTTGGTAGGATTTTATACTCGGTTGATTTTTCGGCGAAGTCAACGACGTCATCGCACAGTCCCTGCGAATCACAAACTCCAGCCACGAAAGCTAGTGATTGGTAGCTGCGTCTCAGCGGCAACATCGGAGGGTCTTTCCATTCGAGGACGGCTTGGACGGCTAGCTAGACTCTATGCCAAGCATCCGGGTAGTAAATACGGCACCGAGACTGTTGTCAGGGCTAACTCCAAGTTCGGGACCACCATTGCACTCAAGGGTGGGTCCCGCCTTCCAAGTGAGTATAGGTCAAGGACGATCTCACCGTCGGGAATCTCGAACAGCGCCTTAGACCCCCTTAGATCCAAATGATACAGGAGCACTCCGCATTCTGGGGCTAACGCACGTGATAACCCTCATTGGGGCCTTGAGTGAGCACTAGAGGCATTGATCTCCACAGGAGATCTCACCTCTCACATAATTTATAATCAAGGCAGCTTGATTTCAAACACATCTGCTGACCGCCAGGTAGTAAGTACTATTTAAGGCTAGACTGTGGCCCCTGGCATCTCTCATGAGCGTATTCCCCAGTTCTAAGTGCATTCCTTAAAATGGCTGAAACACACGGTGACTGCGACCCCGCATTTAATTCGGTCCGCGAACTCCTAGCAAAGCAAGTCGCCAATGACTCCGAAGTCGGTGCATCCATCTGCGTAAACATTGATGGCAAAAATGTCGTTGATATCTGGAGCGGCCATGCAGATCCGAAACGTACTAAACCATGGAGTAAAGATACCCTGACGGCGGTTTTTTCCTGCTCCAAGGTGGTCACCAACATTGCAGCCTTGATTCTAGTCACTCGTGGGCTACTCGACCCGAACGAAAAAGTCTCCAAGTATTGGCCTGAGTTCGCAGTCAACGGGAAAGAGAGCATCAAGGTGTCTCACTTTATGAGCCATACGTCTGGTGTGGCGGGCTGGGAGCCGGTAATTCCTCTGGAAGATCTCTATGATACCAGAAAGGCAACAGATTGGCTTGCGGCCCAAGCCCCCTGGTGGACTCCAGGCGAACATAGTGGCTATCACCTTGTGTGTCAGGGTCATCTGATAGGTGAAATTATCCGACGGATCAGTGGCAAGTCACTGAAGCAATTCATCGCCGACGAGATCACTGGTCCTCTAGGCGCGGAATTCACACTTGGATTGCCCGAGAAAGATTGGCCTCGTGCTGCAGTGCTCATTGCTCCCCCTCCTCTACCGCTACACCAACTGGACCCAGCAAGTGTTCCAGGGAAGGCATTCGCAGGGCCCCATGTCAGCGCCGAGGAATCCATGAGCCCCGGGTTCAGGGCTGCGGAGATTGGTGCATCCAATGGCTTCAGTAATGCGCGTGCCTTGGCTCGGATCGGCTCGGTGGTTGCGCTGAACGGCAGTGTCGACGGCAAGCAGTACCTCTCTCCGGAGGTCATTAACCGCATGCTCGAGGAGCAGATCAGCGGAGTGGATTTGGTTCTGGGAACCTATAATCGTTTCGGTCTTGGCGTCGGGCTTCCCTCGCCGAAGACTCTCACTTGGATCCCAGAAGGACGGATTTGCTTCTGGGGCGGATGGGGTGGGTCGATCATGATCATGGATCTCGAGCGTCGGATGACCATCACTTATGCCATGAATCGAATGGAAAACGGCACTATAGGCAACAGTAACACTGCACTTTACGTGGAGGAAATCTACAAGATCGTGAATGCTCTTTAGCTAGTAAGCATTGAACTTACTTTGAATCTAGGAACAGTGAAATTGATGATGAATATAATGTTTCACTTTTACGTTACCCTCCATATTCGCAGTACTTTCGAAATGTCCTGCTCAACAACCAAGGGCACTTTTGAATTCATACATTACCCGTGTCCATTTAGGAAGACTTCTTGCTCCTACTGACCAGCGTCGTATCGGTTTCTCGGAAAACCAACTCATCGCGCTCCCACATCAGCTCGACCGCCGCACCAGCCGGGCCGGTCAAGGCAGTTAGGAGACCAACTTTAAGAAGAAGAGTTGGCCAAGAGACGAAGTTGAGGATTCGCCTGTGAGCAACAGTGTATAGGGTTAAGGCCCAGAGCAGAACACCAGCTGACCCGATAATATAATCCCATCGCAAGAAGACATGTACACCATCAGCCACAGTGTCAACCTTCAATCCCGACCAAGGAAGGGGGATTGAAAACACCTTGGAGGGATGAAGAGGGTCGAGGAACCGGTCGTTGAACAGACCAGGAGCCATCACAGTGGCAAGAGACACAATCCAGGAAACGAGGTGGCTCAGAGAAGCATTTGCGAAAGCAAATGCGTATACCCAGCGTGAGCTGGACAGCGAGGCGCGCTGGTCGTCCACGAAGAAAGGCGACAACACGTAATAGGCGACGGTGGTCAGAATCGAAACATAAGCAGGCCACGGCTGCCAAATGGCAATGGCGATCTGCTTCATGTCCACGGAAATCACGTCGGGAGTCGGAAGTACCATCGCCTGGGTGGGAAGCATGAAACCAACCGCGAAAATTGCAGGCAAGACGACGAGAACCACGCGAGGAATTCGAATGTTGTCAGCGCCGGGGCGGCTCGCTGTAATCGAGCATGCCAATTGGAGACCGCAGATGAGAGGTGCTGCGAAAGCAAAGGTCATCAGCTGAGCTGCGAGCCCGAAGATGGCAGGGCTATTTCGGGAGGTCAATCATTTGGCAATTACTGTTAGAGAAGAGCGGCCTACAAAGCAACGATGGTTCCAGCATTCCCTTTGCGCCACGACTCCAAGACGACCAGGGTCCAGGCGGCTCCAAAAGTACCTGAAAAGCCAATACTGTGAAGCAGAAGAGTCGGGCTTTGACCATCCAATGTAGGATAAAAGAACACCGTCAATAAAGTCAAAATCCGATCAATTGCTTCCACGCCGGTAAAATGAGTGCGCAACGGTGCATTGACTCCCGGGAGCTTCCCGGAGTCGATGGCGTCGTGACCAAGCGCATGAAGACCATTGACGTAGGAGAAGTAGAAGATGGCGTAGAGAGCGAAAGCGCTTAGCGAGAACAAAATGTATTTCATGGTTCAGTTGGAGCTGTGTCAATTGATCGAGCAGCCATGAGTCCGGGATTTGGCAGGGGCTCGACACGTTTATATCGGTGATGCTCAGATGTCATGTGTGGACCTTATAGGCCGAGGCTAACACGCACGTTGATGGGGGGGGATGAACCGTAACTCTCCAGAGAACTCGATATATCCGATCGGGGCCGACTGTCGATCATTGTCATCTTCACATGAGGTCCGCTAGGTTTCTCCAGGCTTCTCCTAGCTCGCCGCGTCCTGCATACCCAGATAGGGCTAGTGCGCCCCTAATGTTTCAGCGCCCGTGACAATACGCGAACATTCGGAGTGGATGGCATTTCCGGTTCACTAGGCGATGCAGTGAACCTCACGCTACTATTTTCTCCAGCTATTCAGTCGCTTTGATTGGTTGATGGACATCTATGTATCTCGGACGGGTTTGGTCCTTAGCTCAGCTCAGGTCTCATATAATCATGACATGTCCTTTCGCCCAGACTACACAATGTACTTTGGTGTCCGCCCCCCCCCGGAGAGCCGCGCGCTGCAACAACGTAGAGTTCAATTTCACATATCTTTGTTTTCACTCAAAATTCCATCGAATCTTGAGCCAAAGAGCGCAGATTGCGACCGGCCCTCTGACGACTTTCAAGGTCTGCACCCGAACTTCGACTGTGATCTTTTGAATCGACGAGTTAATCTCATTCAACCCCAATCATCTAAGTTTCAATTGAATATTATTGCTATAGATTTTCTTTGATCTGCGGGTCCGTTTTTCTACCTTGTGTAACATTCCAGAAACCGGGTAACACGACGGATCAACATCGGATGGCCACTAATGATCTCGTTGGTCTTTTTGCGAACATAGCTATTCCGTCGACCCAGTAAATCGGCCAGGGGCGAAAGTGGGAACTAGAAGAGCAAGGCTTTGCAACAAGCCGCTACCCGACTCGATGGATGGAATGGTGGCGGATCTCATCAAGATGAATCGTGCAACTGGATTTGTTCCAGGTCTCGGGTTTGTTTTGCTGTACGCTACTCCTGTAACAAGGTGGTAGGGTACCGCCGGAAGGTTTTTGGAGACTGATCTGTGCTTAAAAGCTGACGGATGTTCGTCTTCAGAAGTGTGAAAGCTGAATACGAGTAAGGAGATTCGCCAGATACTGTCTGCGTAAGTAAGTCTTTAGGCTGCAGCATGAGATTCTTTATCGTGGTATCTTTTGGGTCGGGAATGTGTAGGATCCATAGAAGCGGTCTAGTTGATTCACCCACGGTCTGCAGAATGAAATTCGCACATACCGTTGAAAGGTGCTCTGTGAGAATGCGCATCGTCGATTGACCTATCATGGCACCCTGAAAAACTACCAGAGAATTCTACAGCGAGAGGATTAAATAAGGAGTATGTGGTCTTCTTTGCTTATTTTGAAGTAACGGCGCATGAAAGGCAGGATATATGGAGTGCAGCGGATAGAATGGTGACCCGTTCAACAGTAAAGACGCTATGTATAAGTTGAACATCAAGGCTGTATATTGAAGGTCCATCCAGCTTAGTTATTTTGAACGTCTTTGAAGGCTTTTAATCATCAAAACCAGTCCTACGAGAATTATGTCACAGCGTGGATTGAAAGTCATTCAAACAGTGCTTGAAAAAATGCATTCCGGACCCACCATTTTCCTTCAAGGAGGAATTAATACACAGCTATTTATGGTTCCTTATTTATACCATGGTAAAAACACTGCCCCGAAGGCTCCGCACAGAAGCATGGGAATGGGGGGGGAACACCACTCACCTGTCCGATTTCGGGCCCGTGCCTAATGCAGCCATGAACTTGGGCTACACTATTTAAGTTTACGACACTGACCCAAGCTAAATCGAACAGTCCCTCAACTGATTCGAAGGTCCAGGCGCATGGCAGCATGTAACCTGGTCGAGCATGAGGCAAATGGCTATCTTTCAGTGTTGACAACTTTGATCGATGAGGTCAAAGATGAAAAGCTTTGGTATCCCAAACAACTGCTGTTTCTCCTGGACAAAACAGTTACCCATATTTGCCGAGCGCTTCGACACACCGTTGAAGGGCCCCGACACATAATCAGGCCACACATCAGTCAATGATGCTGCCTGACGTACCACGAGCGCATATCCTTCGCTGAATGCCCAGTTTTTTCTAATCAAAGAAACAAAAAACCAGGAAGCCTGATAATGCATGAAAGGAGGTTGCTGAAATACATAAGTTGTGCAAGAGGGATTCAGGGAACGTGGACCGCGTCGCGAGATTCATCGATAAGGCCGTGGGGATGACGTCTCCCATTCAATAATGGTAAATCTTTACCCAAGTAAGGGTTCTCAAAATGATTTAGCCAGGAAATGTCGGCATCGAGCCGACAGCATGGCCCAGACCAAAAAGACAAGGTATTCTGCATATGTTGATTAAAGCTGCATGATGTGAAGGACTTTGAAGATTCGTAGCTTCCAACGGCCTTTTCCAGAGGAAACGGCAACATTAAAAATTTGTTCACTCGCAAAAATGTGAGCGAATTTCTATTGTAGAAGATGAAAAGGGATCAAGGTAGATGGTAAGAGACAAGAAGTGACGAGATGTGGAGCAGACACAGCATCACGTGCCACACTGACCCCACTGTACCCAGACTGACCGCCTGCCACCAAGCTACAAATTTGTTTTCCCTCCCAGCCAGTACCATTCCCTGCGAGCCGGACACTGCTTATCCTTCAACAATTTAGCTTTCTTGCTGCTGAATTGAATGCTCTCGGTTCTCGTTATTCTCTTCAATTGTGCGGGACAGGCGTATGCCTTCCCACAAGCCTCGTCAACATGTTGCGGGAATCAGATATAGATTCCTTGAATAACCATCTTGCATCCTTGTCCGTGGAAAACAAAAAGCACAATGAGAATCTTCAGCATCTACTTGATCAGTTCCAAAGCCTTCTTGCGGACTACAGCTCCCTGCAAAGTGACTATGAAGAAGTGAAGGAAGGCCGTGAGAAATACAAACGACAGGCTCGCGGTCAGGTATGAGCTGTTGGGCTTCAACAATTTATGCTTTTGAAACCCAAGACTAATCTGGATGATAGGAACGCAATCCTTTCGTACTGGTTCTTGTTGATGGAGATGGCTACCTGGTAAAATGCCCACATGTTCACATCCATTGGTCAACTGGCTCACACCTTCTCAGTTCAAGGAGCACTTTTTGAAGGCTGGAAGTGAAGGTGGCATTGATGCCGCCCGCGAGCTGAGCGACTCAGTGAAAGAACTGATGCACTCCACTATGGGGTCGCAAGCAGACAATTGTCGTATCATGGTCCGCGTCTACGCCAATATGCTAGGACTGTCCAAGGTTCTTGCCCGCGCTGGATTCGTGGGCCATGAAGCACGCTCCATTGCGCCTTTTGTATCTGGGTTCAACCGTGCAGAGGGCCTTTTCGATTTTGTTGATGCCGCTGACAAGAAAGAAGGCAGCGATTTCAAGATCAGAGGTTGATGCCCTTCCCGTAACTCAGCGGATTTTTGCTAACTATACTCCGTTCTTTCCAGAGATGTTCCGTATGTTCGTGGATTTCAACCAATGTCGGCATATATATTTTGCTGGATGCCATGACACGGGTTTTAACTCGCTATTGACTCCTCATCGCGGTAGTGACAAGATCACTCTGATCAAAGCCGCTTCCTGGCATCGTGATTTTGAAAATTACGGCCTCCCGATCAAAGAGTTGCCGTCGGTATTCATGTCTGCCTCATTATCTACTAGCGTCAAACCGACTGGCCCCCTCAGCGTGAAGACCGCCAATACCATCAATGGCGCTAATGGTCACAACACCAATACCAATACCTACAGCTCTAAGCCAGTGTGCAAGCACTTTCAAAAGGTGAGTCTTCCTCAGCAACTTCCGTCTTACAATCACTCTAAGCTGACATATGACCAGGGAATTTGCAGATTCGGTAACACGTGCATCAAGCAACACATCATGCCGGAACAAGAACTGTCTAAACCAACGCTCGAATCTCCTAAGAAACTGTGGACTACTCCAACCATCGTCGGCCGCTCACTCGAGTTTTTTTTCTACTACCCTTCCGCTCAAGGGTAAAGAATCGCAAGACCTTATTCCCATCAATAAGGACGGGGATCGGCTCGACGTTTACTGCCCTCATCCCTCGGCGGATGCTATGGACCGTTATCATCGCCGGGCCAAGGAGTCGAAGGTCTGCAACAGCTACCACTTATCCGGAGAGTGTGGTGACATGAGTTGCCCGTATGACCACGGCGATGTTTCCGACACTATAATTGATGTCCTAAAATACCTCTCTCTCTCCAGTACCCATGTTCTAGAGGCGGAGCTTGTCGGTCTATCAAGTGTTACCTTGGACATATCTGTCAAAAGCCGAACTGCAAGGCCGTCAAGAGCTGGCAGTGCCGCTTTAACCACCGCGCGCATACCCTAGATCTCCATACTGAGAAGTGGGTTGCGTCTGTTGAGCAAACCAATGACGAGAACTCGCGGTCGCCATCGATCAGCGACGAGTCTGTTGGAGACACGTCCTCCCAGAGCTTCAACTACCTCTAGCCAATTCACCTACACAAATTTATTCCCTATCGACCAATCTTAACCCGGCATTTCACGCTTACTGACGGACACCTCCAATGTGTACCGATCCTGTATGTTCTGAAATATCCCGGGGCTATGCGCCAAGTCTGTGCAAAAGGTGGGGAATCGTTCGGAGTTACAAAACGAAAAGGCTTCCCTGTCAAATATTGAGCCGGGAATTAAACGGCCAGGATTACCGCGGTCTCATCCACAAAAGATTGGCAGTTACGACCTGATAGCAATATGCCCCAATCCTTATCCTGAAATGAGTTTAGCTACGCTGAAAGGCGTCCGGGTATTACTTGATGGTAAAGAGTCTAGTAATTGCACAATCCCATTGACAACTCTTACTGAACCCCTGGTCTTCCTAAAACACGTGAGCCGTACATATGCAGTCAATCTCTTCCTCACATTACAAGGTTCAGTTTACGCAGCGCAAGTGGATGTTCTTGTAATTGACACTGTTGCCTACACCGCCACATAGTGGGACGCAAGGGCTCGTAGCGGTGAGGAACTGCCTTTAACAGATCCTGTTTTGATGATGAAGCGTGACATGAGCCTCGTAAAGAGACGATTCCGATTGAGTTTGTGAGCGGGGTTTCTTACTTTTTGCAGTATTGGCGTAGATGCCGCAATAACAGAGCACTGATACCAGATAAGGAAACAGCCCCAGTGCAATCTTCTTTTTTCTTCGCGTAGTGATTGATTCATCTCAATAGACATATCCGTTGGAACAACCAAGCATTAATCCTGGTCTTGATAAAGTCATAGTTTAAAATGACCTGAAATAGGATACCGAAAATCGTCTTGGATACAGGGGACCCGGCGTTGTCGCCATAAGTGTAGGAGAGAGGAGTCAATAAGAGGGTCACAGGCAGACTCATGATTTCTAGTGCACCTCGGTGTCTGAGAAATATTCAGGCTATGCTTTGTTATCTCGAGCGACAAGGTTCTCCTGGCAACGAAGGCGGTTGCTGCTGACATTGTTTTCATGACTCCAGGCCTCAGTGTTGACTGTTCTTTGTCTGGTGTAAATCATATCATGTTCATTTTTCCTTCTTTTGCAACACGACATAATATCCACGAGAAAAGATAGAGTCCCTTGACTGTAAGCATCCTTGTGAGACCGGGTCTGAAGTATAGCAGTGGCGAACTAGACTTCATGATATAAGATCAAGCTTAGACGACATGGCCTCTATAGCTGGTGATAGTTGCTCTTGTGTTCTGTATCATATATCCCACCCCAAGACCGCACATAAATCATATTTAGAGCTTTCTAAAAAGTATTTCGTATTGACGTACACCTAAGCATTCTTGTAAGAGGCAGGACTGCCCCCTCTCCAGATATATATCGATACCACGAACTCGGACTTTAGTAGAACACTCATCAACGTGGCTCATTTCAAAAACACATCAGATCAATTTGTTTCCGGATGATACCTTCCCTCTTATCTGTCTCGAAGCTTGTTTACTTTCCCTTGCCTTGGACCCTACAATAAGCCTCTTGAACATCTTCTCGGGCGTCCATTAAAAGAAGCCACCTGGTGATACAAGGATAATTGTCCAAGGGCAGTCCGGCAAACTTATGCTGTCGGACCCAAGGCTCGTAGTGGAAATCAACCGCCGTGACCCGACCAGGAAGGATACTTTCGCCCCGGACTTCTCCAGTTGCTGCTCTAGAACATCGTAGCAGCGGTAAGTCTGCGCTCGATATCTCTGAAGAGCATCTTCATTCTTGGTCGGGTGGAAATGTCTTTCTAGAATTATTATCGTGACTTAGCTTCATCGGGATAGAAATTTACTAACGTGAACCAGTTGGTCTGGCCAGTCATTGGGCCAAGAGTGGAGAGCAGAAAGTACTCCCACTTGTCGAAGTCGATCAGTTCCTGGGCAGACCCACCGGGAGGTCCGATCATGTTGCCGACGTCGTATACTCTGCGGACATAGTTCATACATGCTCCTGACTCCCAGGCCACAACACCCGTGTTTGGATCTTCAAGTGCAGGTACCCTGCCATTCTCATTAATTTTCAAAAAAGAAGTACCCTTCACACCGGTGTTAGGGTCGTCGCTGAAGTCCCATAACTTGACTTTGTATGGAATGTGGAGCGCCTCTAGAGCGATCGCGATCTTGACTGGATTCGGACCCGAAGTGTGAGCATGCAAAGTAAGAGGTTCCAGATGGGCATTCATGTTTCTTAGTCGTAATGATTTGCTCTTGAGTATTTTCTTGAGAGTTGTAAATGTTTCGTGCGGGGAAGTGGACGTTGCGAAAACTTGGAAGGTTGAGTGAACTCAAAATGATGTCATGGATCTTCGTCAATCTGCGTTGAACCATGGACGAAATGGTGAGCTTATTTAGATCGGGTTCATAGTTTAAGTGAAGTAGTAGGTCAGGTCGACAGAGAATTCGTTTGAAGATGAGAATATACGAAGGTTACAGATAGAGACGGATGAAGTACCGGGACTAGTTGGACATCTACCACCTACTCGGTATATCCGGGTTCTTTCTAATTTCTGAAGGAAATACCTGGATATTGTGCCTGATATTTGATTATTGTGCAATCATTTGGCTTGAAAACCCTGACTCAAAAACACAACAAGCAGCTCGCTAAGTTCAAACATTCCAGTCAGCCGGTGTCCCTTGGACTACGGGTTCCACACCAGGTGCATTATCTGCTGGAAGAAAACAAGCAATTCTAGGAGGTGAACAATGTGAAGGTCATACCCGTGGCGTGTTGGCAGGGAAGTCCTATGCCGAGATGCAAGGGTACTGTTACCCATTGCCACCCAGCCCATGAGAAATCTCGGGTCCAGTCCAGAATGAAACCTCTGAGGAGGGTGCTGAATGCTACCCGACAACTCTTTGACTCGATATCCTTGACGGACAGGAGGTGCACATGGGTGCTGTGTCCAATCAGTCGTGCTCAACTGTAATTGTCGGAAGTGCCGGAACTAACGACAGGCGCTGACTGGTGGTGAGCGGAGACCAATCTGGGAAGTCATATGTTTCGTTTCACCAACCTCGTACTTCACAATTTCGGACTACAGGCCCTGTATCCTGTTCCCAAGTGGTTTTCATTCTTGCCAAATTGATTCACACTGCACACTCTGGTGAAAATCTCGGAAACATTATCTTTGTGCCATATCTTGTGCCAGACTTTTTACTAACGTTCAATACACGTTAGGATTACACTAAAGCCGCAGGCCACGCCACCGTTGACTCGGACAGCCAGGCCAGATACATATTAGTGAACGATGATGAGTTTCGGCGTTGAATTATAGGGATGTCTGATATATCGAAGGAATCGTGGTATCATGAGCATATTAGTCTATAGCCGCCAAAACTAAAAAAAATTGAAAATCAACGAATAAAGTGGAAGCTTCAGACAGAAATCGCGGCTACCAGCGCCTCCATGGCGCAACTATGGGTTGTAGCATCGGCAGGGTCATGCAATGGGCCAGCCCAATCAACGCCGAGTTGACCCTGTCCGTTTCGGTCGTTGTTCCAAATACTATCGGCAGAGCTCATGATCACCTCTTTGTAGATGTCGTGTGGTGATGCGCGCTGCAACATCTCCAAGTTGCGGATGAAAATACCCTTGAACTGAGTTGCGTCGGGCTCACAGTTGTCTGGCTCACACGAGTCATGTAGAACCTTGTTGGAATCAGTCAAGGTCCCAATTGCAGCTTGAGCAATTGTATTGGCAGTTTCGAGGTATGTTTTGTTTGGGGCGGCTTTGTTAAGCTCGACGAGGCCGCCGAGTACAACACCCTGGTTGTAGGACCAACTGAAATGAATAATGTTAGTTTGGTGTAGATTGAGGCTCTTTTGGTGGTCAACATACACAGTAGCACCGTTGTTTTGGCAGTTGTCTAGAAGTCCATCATTGATCGTATTGTTTTCGCCGATAAAGCCTTGGGCCAGGAACCAGTTCCACTCTTTCTGAGCCCAGTCGACGTAATAGTCTTTTTTCGAAGGCACTCTATTGGCAAGGTGTGCTGCGGTGGAGAGGAAGAGTTCGTTGGTAATTGCGTTCACGTAATCGTTGGACGGGTTCCATGGAATACCACCGTTACTGCAGCGGGTACCCCAAGCCTTGGTCTGTACAGAGAGTTAGTATCGAAACAATCCGACATAGGAACAGTACACATACCAAGCCATCGAAAATCCCTTCGGCAAGCTGGAGATACTGATTGTCTTCGGTGACATCGTACGCAGCAATCCATGCAAGGGCCCACCATCCATCATCGTCATACGCCGAATCAAGCCACTGTGAAGCATTGACAGCTTGATTGACTCGCGCGCTCAAATCACGCGCGCTATTAACCTTGACTTCGGGGCCTGGTTGGGGATTCTGAGCAGGGGCCATGATCAACGTATTATTGAAGATATAGCTAGCATTTCCCATGACGGATGGGTCAACCAAAGCTAGATCAGCAACCACAGTCATAACGTTGGCGCAATTCCACCATCCAGCAGTATCCCACAGGCCAGTACTGGGATTGTACCATGTCTGAAGGATCCTAAACGCATCCTCCGCTCTTGCCCTAGCATCGTCGGCAACCGTAGCACCTGCCAAGAGGGATATGGTAAGCAAATAAGTCAGATAGCCATGGGAAGAGAACAACATGATGCAGATGTGCCAGCACAATATCCTACTTAGATGGAATGATACATATGTGCTCCTTAAGTACAATTACCAGGATCTTCACAAGTTCCTGGGAACAAGTTGCGGAGCAAAATAGATATGCATCCTTGAGGCCGAAGACCCTTGGTAGGCTGGGAAGCTCAGCTTCACAGGCAGGACCCACTGATGCGCTTGAATGAGACCCCCTGATCTGCATGATCGACCATATTCATGTTTTCCGAAATTGAGGTGATTTGCGACTTGCAGTCGGAAGCTAGAAAACTCATCTTAGCAGACCGAATCGCATTGACCTCAGTTAGCTTGCAAATTGATGTGATTCATCAAGGGATGGTGTCGTTGTGTTCAGTGTTCAGTGTTTTGAGTAGGGCTAACATGGACCCGCATCCCTTGCAAGGCACACCCCCCAACCTGAGCTCTCCATCTTGGTACAAGTGCGTGGTATGATCAAGAATTTCTCGGAAGTGGTTTGGAGCCCACTGTTCATTCATCATCGCGCCCGCGCAGGTTCTACAAGTCTGAAACTGTTAGCGATTTGCGCGACAATCATCACCACACTTATTCACTGAATGATATGCCTAGGCCCGGGCCTTACATAAGGTTGATTGGGCATAATAACCCGCAATATGCCCACTTTAAGCGCTTCACCAAAACCCAGGAAACCCAGTCAGGTTTTTGCACAGACTGCGGTCTATCGCATGCTATACTTTCCAGCAGCAACGTGAAATGGGTAAAATGGCTTGACGCATTCAAGCCAGACACGCCGAAAAGTTTCCTCGCGTGCATGAAACATGCATTGTTCGTCCACATGCTGGTTTACCCCTTTTACTCTGACGTCAGCTGAAAGCCGCGCCTTTTACCCGGCACTTCATGTCTCAGTGCGAATCGAAATGGCTGCAATGATCTTGAAGACAGACTGAGTCTTATTTTATTGGGAGACATGACGTTAGCGTGGTGCTCGGTCGCTAGGGCGAGACATGCGTCTTTGAGAAAATAGAGAGCTGTTCATTGCGAGAATTGCGTGAATTGGCTCAATTGGACAGCTAGTAGTAGATTAATACTATTCGTTGGGACAAGAAACTTGTGGGTATCGATATGTCGCTAAAGATAAGCGATGTGTGAATGCATTTTGACCCTTGGCCCATAATATTTATCAGTTTGTTGATGGCAATTCTATATGAGAAAGGAATACTCAAGGAGTATGACTCATCACCATGTTTAGCGCTCTGATTATCATCCTAGATCATTTCGTAGTGGCTGAAGTCTTGAAGGCATCGTAGCCCGCTCCAAGAAACTGGAAGCGCTGAGTCCACTTTAGGTCACAATGACCGTGCAAGTCGACCTTGAGATAGATCCGAGGTGAAAATTGATCTCCTGATGGTGCAATGAATATGGTGATTTCCACCACTTTAGATGCTGGTTTGAAGGCAAAACTACAGAATCAGCTTCACGAGGCGCGATATTCCAAGATTGTAACATGTTTGCTTCAAGGATCCCAGGCGACTCTGTTTCTGTTTCAACTACCGTACACTGGTTACCTTTCAAGAATTTGGAAATGACAATTGTATTTGAATTACTTAGTTTCATCACGGATAGGATTAGTGATTCATACATACAAGCGATGCATTGCCTAGGCTAGATATCACGTGAACGCCTCTAAAGCGGTAGTCAGTTGAGACAACGTACATGTTGCTTTTTAGAGATAGCTCCTATCCGTAAATAGAGTCAATTTTCAAGGCATGCAGGGTATCGTGGAAATTGCTAAGATGGCGGCAGAGGCTAATATAGTGACTCTTAGCGCATTTTCAATGTCTTGCCATGAACTGCCATCTCTCGCAGCGACCGGATCAAGTCCAACAAATGCTCTTGACTTCAAAGATCCTTCATGCCAGCTCTAGCGGTCTTCATAGACGGCCCATAATCTTAAGGAGTGGAAGGCGGGGAACATCAAAGTCGACTACATCCCTGGATCCGAGATTGCCGTCGTTTGCTGAGACACCGGCAACAATACTAATGCGAGATTTTATTGCCAGAAGGAAGGTTTCGCTCTGGGGTCTCTGAGTGGGTTTGAAGCCAGGTAAGTTTTGACGTTCCCCCGGGTTGATCAAGGGGTGCGAATAGTGCGTGAACGTGGGCCCAGAGGCAGTAGGGCGTTGCAAGGGACAAGAAGTCCTAACGATCGATAGTCAATACGAAAATTAATATCACTAATTTGATGCAGACGTTGATTGCGACTAAATAAGATGGACATGATAGTCACTTTAAGATGCGGGAAATAGCCCCGCAAATGTTGTTAATTCTGACTCACTTCTCTCCGCCAAGCAGAGTTAACCGACATCTTCTTCTCAAGGTTGAGATCGCGCCCTTTCCCGATAAAGCCAGCTAGCTGGGTCTAAACAAAACAGGAGCCCAGGGTACATAAACCTCTCGAGTGATTTCATCCTTCGGTCAAGGCCTCCTCGACCTGCGCTCAGCGACGTAATAATGAGCGAATACTCTCGCTACTCCAAAGATGATATTTCAATCACCAATGCGACCCTCGGTGATATCCCGGTCATTGAGCAAATGATTCATGTTGCATATTCCAAATATATCCAGCGGATTGGCAAGCCACCAGCCCCCATGACGGCAGACTATCGAGAACTCATGCAGACACATGAGATTTTTCTTCTGCACAAGCCCGACGGGAAGATAATGGGGTCAATCATGCTTCGATCTGACCCACCTTCCAACTCAATTGAGATTAACAACCTCGTGGTCGATCCTTTGGCTCAAGGCCGTGGATACGGGCGAATCTTGGTGGGCTATGCAGAGAACATTGCCAAGGCCCGAGGTCATTCTAGCCTCACCCTTTATACCAACGTCAAGATGTATGAGAATTTGGGACTTTACGTCAAACTCGGCTTTATTGAGACGGAAAGAAAATTGGAAGATGGCTTTGAAAGGGTTTACTTTCGAAAACAATTGAATTGAGGATAAAGACCGATTCGTTTCGACTATGCAGTCACTCGGTGTGCCGAGTGGGCTCTAATGTCAGTGAAATTGACAATCAATCTCAATATTCGAACATCAAATTCAAGATTGAAAGCAACGTTCAAGGAAAACCCCCCTAGATGCTGAAGACTCAAAGCTTAATCTCACCCAACGTGAGAGCTGAAGGCACCAATGTCTCGATGCTCTCCAGAATCGCAATGGCGAGATGGACTGACGCTATCGCGGTGTGCTTAAGGCTTCTACAGTATGCATATAGAAATCCGGTTGTTCGCTGCTCAAAATAGAACTAATTGAAATTTCCGCGGTGTTTATTATTCAAGGGTTTTCACAAGGCGTTAAGAGGATACAAAGACGCCCCAGATGAAACTTCTTTATTGTGCTTACGGCGTCAAGTTCCCCGAGTCTTTTACAATGACAGGCCCGCCGGTGGGTTGATGTATAAGCTTACTTTGGCATCAGCCGTTCGTGAAACAGCGATCGAATCTCATTTCATTGGATAGGATAAACATTCTGTTACCCCGAGTTATGTTGTTTGCCTGATTTACTTCCTTATCACCTCGCACTTATGGGCCGAGGGAGCGATCAAGAAGTAATGCTCAGGCCTCATGCTCTTTTCACTCACACTCGGAGCCAGTCCCACACTACCAGATTTCCTAAAGAACTCTGCTGCTCCCAGACGTAGCTCCATCCAAGAGAGATGAATGCCCAAGCAAATTCTAGATCCGGCTCCAAACGGAGATAGTGCCATTCGTGCTTGTTCCGAAGCTTGACGTTCTCCCGGCAACCAGCGCGCGGGGTCAAATTTGTCCGGGTTGGGGAAGAGGATAGGATCTCTATGAATGGTGTAGCTCTGGGTGCTAACTGTGGTGCCAGCAGGGATGTAGAAGCCCGCCAGGGTCACGCCGCCCTCCGGTACTGTTCGTGGTAAAGAACCAGGGGCCGCACCATATAATCTGAGAGTCTCTGTGATGGTGGCGTTGAGTGTTGGAAGTGACTCAAGATCTGCTTCATTGTATTCATCTCTCAATGAGATGAGCTCCTCTTCGATCTGAAGTCGTAGTGACGGATGGGACAAAATGGCCCAGATGAGATAGGTCAGGGTCACAGCAGTAGTGTCCGATCCAGCAATGATGAGGTTACCTGCTTCAGTGGCAACTTCCATATCGCTCAGCGCCGAGCGGTCCCTCTCTGTCTCATACACTAAGCCCGAGAAGATGTTCCGGCAAGACTCGCTGTTCTTTCGGCTATTTTTCACTGCTCGCTGGCTGTACTTGAGCAAATACTCATCGGTCCTAAACATATCGCGGAATGACTGGAGTGGGACGTATGGACCGATAATTCTGAGTATAGGAAGCTCCGAGCCGATCCCACTTCCTTTCGTGGCCGACTCAAGGATTCGAATGTATTCATTTTTCTGGGTTGTAGGTTAGCAGTGGCATAGACAGACGAGGGTGTAACTTTACTTGTCCAGTTCCAAGCATGTTGAATGACTCCCCGAACATCAGATGGCCACTGACATCTGTAGCCAGAAATGTTGACCATTTCAAAATGTCGCAGATTCCGGTCGTCTCCAACTCATTACAGATTTGTGACACCATTAACTGGACTTTCTCCTTGACAACGTGCTCCCAAGAACCACGAATTGCGGTTTTTGAAAAAGGCCTGGCAAACAACTTTCTCCTTTGTGCGTGATTCTTGACGTCCTGCATGGCAAAAACTCCTTCACGACCTGGAGTGAAAGTGCTGTACCAATCGCTCTTCACAAACCCGGAACCAACACGATGTATCTCCTTAAAGTCTGGCAGTGATGAGACTGAGACCTCTGTAGGTGAGATCCGAACGATTTGGCCATATCTCTGGTGAAGATCATGGATATAGTAGATTTGCTGGCCGCTAATCGTCGCGAGCTTAAGAGGAAGGCGAGTGAACCTGGTAGTGATCGGTCCTTGGATATGCCAAAGAGGCGATTTGAACACTTTGTACAAGATCTAGAGATGCGTTTGTGTGAGTACAATCCGAGTGGATTGCGAATTCAAAGAGACTTACGTGGAAGATCCATCCCAAGGCGGCGATAGCCACATAGAGGCCAAGGCTGGTTCGGGCTTCCATCTTGAGACACCCTGGGCTCGAAAGCGTAGATGTTAACTTCGGGGGATGTTGGCTACTGGGAGTGAGTCTTATAGCAAGTTTACCGAGCCATCGCTTGGCCTGAGAGTATGCGCACTGGAAAGTTATAGGCGGTCCATGAGATTATCATCATGAGTTTACCATATCGGCCCCACACACCGAGTGTTGCGAGTGGGGAAGCCGACGTCCCACGAAATACCAGCGACTCCCCCGGTTATTGCCCCCAAGGAAGTACCCGAGAGCAAAAGTGTTCAGCATTGGGCGAGAACAAGGTGGGCCTTGTAATTAATCGTGCAATCTGACCGTCAGCCTATTTGACCAGGCCAGCAATCCTGATCATGTGATCGTTTCTCGTAGATCTGTCTGAAGACGAGACTACAAGCCTCACAGAGCTGGCGTGTTACTAGATTGATCAGATCAGTATTCTTCTATAGATATATGGAGACATTTGTACCAAAATTCAGTTGAGAATCACTCGTGAAATTTCCAATCCGGTGTAGTAGAAACAGTTACATGGGAATCCTTGAAAATACATGCCACGCCAAAAACAGAGGGCACCCTTGCCCCCCGGATAATATGTACAAAGCTCAGTCATGGACAATGAAGAGGGTATGAAAAGTCATTGAAAGTTAAAAGGAAAGGAAAAGGGTCAGGGACATGGAGGCACCAACATCCCACGCCGAGATGATGGGATAGGGGAGGCGAAGAGATTATTAGCAAGGTGCGACATGGAAAAAATTTCGTATATGCAACGAGCATGAGAATAGCTGAAAGCTTGAAAAGTAAAAGGCTGAAAATTTCTAAGGCTTATATCGCATGGTTCATCGTCGCCACATCGTTCGCGATGGACCTTCATTGAACTCGTCCTTCTGGAAGTCGTCTTTGCTCGAGCGCTCGCTGGAGCCTTCGCCGGCATATGCCGGTTCGGTTGTAATCTCGATAGTTGTCTCCTGGTACACCTTGCCCATTGGGTGCATTTCGACACCCGGCTGCACGATGTTGTCGGTCGAGCCCTCCCGCTCAACGATGGTCTCGTGGCTGAGGCCCATCTTGCGATTGGCGGGATCGGCGGTGATGGTTGTGAGGTGGTTGTCGCGTCCTTTGCTGCTGGCGAACTTGTTGTAGGAGCGATCGTGGCTGGGCTCGGAGTCGACAATGAGAGCGCGACGGGTAAGGGTGTAGAGAGTCACATCGACAAGTCCGGAGCTGGTCATGATAGCACCTATGAGGTAAGATGTTAGTTGATCCAAGCCAGGTGCAAGCATCTTGTTACTTCTACTTACCGGCGCAGCAGAAGAATGTGATGGGAGGAGTACTGCTGTTAGCTGTAGCCATACGACCAGCAGCAAGTGGCAGTGATAGGACGATGTAAACGATGGGATAGATAGTCATGTATCCGACCACTCGTCGCAATCGCTTCAGACTCTCCAGCTGGCTGTTTCCGAGAATAGCTGAGGCGGCAATCTGTCGACGAAGTTGGAAGTACATGATGGCGTACAGGCATACAGTTCCGAATCTGATGGTTTCTCGGTCAGTATGTGAGAACCCCCCCATAGATTGGAGATCATAACTCACTCAGCAAGGAAAATCCAGATATAATGAGTCCACAGACGAACAGTCTCATACTCCTCGCTGATCCAGCACCAGGCGCCCGAGGGAATGAAGACGTCGGCTCCGTACATGCCCAGAGGAATGATCACCATGAGGGCAATGAAGGCCCAAACACCGATGACAAACCAGCAGAAGGTTCTGTGAGACAATTTCTTGCCCCAGACGACAAGCAGGAAAGTGTGGAAGGCGATAGCAAGCACAAACAGACCGGATCCGGGATCACCAATCTGAAGCCAAAGACCCTGCAGGAAGCATCCGGCAGTGCCAGATGAGATCTTGTCGGTGGCGATCCATTTGAGGCAAATCAGGAAGGCCAGGGATTGTTGGAAATCCGCGAGAATCAGATTGTAAATCAGGACAATATACTGGTTGTAACCGATGTATCTTTGGTAATTTCCTCTCCAGAAGAGTAATCGGTAGGTGATGAGAGGAGAGAAGGCCTCCCGTGGCGAGGAAGGAAAGGAAAGCCATCACGGAGACGGCAATAAGGCCCTGCCGTTGGGCCCTGGGGAGCGGGTTGATATCCAAAGTGATATCGCTGGTCAACCGACGGTCCAGCTCATTTGCCAAGGGGTCGGTCCTCTGCATGAGGCTCATCAGAGCGATGGCGGCCATGCTGGATAGTTTTGGTGTGAGCTTCTTTATAATACTATTGCCAACACGCGAACGAGAAAGGAATGTGAGAGTAGCAGCAATACGATATCGGCGTCAAAGAGGTCGAAGTCGAAGCTCGCTCAATAGGCACAGACGAGAACAACCAGTCAATCAAAAGAACACCAGTCCGTTGAGATATCTGATACCTCGAGCCTCACCCACAAATGACCAGACAGGCGGGGGAAGAGTGAAAAGCGACCAGGGAGGCAAATGCAAGTGCGGGACAAGATTATTAAAGTTCTTCTGTTCAAATCCAGGTCCGCAGCGATGGTACGGGAATCCACCAAGATATTTTCCATACCATGGAGCGAACTCTAAAGACAGCTAGTCCACTTTGATTAAGGAGAGCATAGCAATCGGAGTCACACAGGCCTTCAGTCAAGACTCGGGTCTCCACAGTAGGACCTTTCCCTGAACTGAGCCTTTAGGATCATCTCCGTGAGGGCCGATGGGAGAGCCCATGTTTTGAGGCGAACAGCTCCACAGCCTCACACAGTCCAAGATGGTCACCTTGTGCCTAAGAACAGGGGGGCAACCAAGTGGGGAAGTGTATGAAAGTTCCGCCACGAGAGAGTCCGAATAGAACGTGGGCTAAGTTTGGTCTACTGTAAGGCGGCTAATATCCACCTCGATCAGCGTCCGAGCGTGCCTTACAGTATGCGGCGGATAAATCCATGGAAAGTGCCGAATAAGGGCAATGCTTGTTCCTGGCAGGCCGAGTGATCTCAATCTTTGCCTCTTGGTTTTTTTTTTCCCGGCACAGTTGTCACGCCGGTGAACCTTGGGGGGGAAATGCACGAAGCATATAGCGCCACCAAAGCTACTCTCCGCGTTACACCTAGTAATAAGACCGGAAGACCCAACCACTCACAACCTTTGATTCAATCCTCCCGGTTTTTTTTAATTTTTTTTTCAGCTGCAGGGGCCTTCTGGAACGCTAGCGGAAGACACGGGCAAGTTTCACCGCGTGTGCTCAGATATCCCCGGTAGATTATCTTTCACAAAGGCTGGGCCCCAGAGCAGCGTTCTCAACTTTTGTCAGCTTAACTTGAATGGGCCAGGAGCTCCGTGCCGAGTCGAGCGGGGACATGATGGACTAGAGCCACTCTGTAATCTTCTCAGGCACCAGCCAACGGTGTTGCAGAAAGTAGCAGGGGGTCCATCCTGAGAGAGACCTGGGCACCCCCGCAGAGGATACATAGCTGCCGACCAATGCCCCAGAGAGGAACTCTTGTCACGTAGGAACATTACTGTGGTTTGCGAAGGCATGATTTCAGGAAGAAAACATGACGATCGCTTTCAACGAAGGATTATTGAACAATAGTGTGAAATGTCGGGTGGCAGGGCGATTGGGCCGGGAATAAGCTTCAATCCACACCCCCTTGCCAACAAGTGAAACCGGCCTGTCCGCTAAGCATCATGGTCATTAATACCGCGGCTGTGGCTTCGTCATAGGCGCTACATTAGCTCTCTGTGCGAAACGGCTATATTGCGAGCGGAGTCTTGATCAGACTGCTAGAATATGCGGTCAAGCTCAATGTTGATTAAAGGCCAGCACTGAGCAATTCTGGGCCAATACGGCCTGGAGAATCACGCGGAATATATATATATATTTTTGGGGGGGATGGTGGTACGGAAGTCTTTTGCACATGAGTGTGGTTCACTCGAGATCCGACCCGCTGAAGATTTTCTCTCGGGACATCAATGGTTCCCGGCCGAGGAACAAGCAATCCACGAAGGGTTATGATGTGCAGACCAGGCGCCTTATTTGAACTAGCGCGGTTTTTGGATGGAGACCGGGCATGATCAGCAAAGATATCAAGGCCCATGATGGCGATGCCTGCACACGGCACCGGGTCTGGAGCCGCCAGGAGCAGATTGCTATTTCCACGCGTTGCCACTGTGGAATGCGCGACCCGAGAAAGCCGTGTACAGTACAATTACTGCAATCCGTCCTATGACAAAAAGGAAGGCTAAAAAATAAATGCATTGCGAATTGCGAGCCGGCAGTGTCCCCCGCAGAATTATCGCACCATGGCCGAGCACCACATTCTCAGGGGTTTTTTAAATTCTGTCATCCCAAACCCAATTGAACATCTGTGATCGGGGATGTACGGCGATACCCCAGGAACCATGGAATTGTGTGCCCTGCCAAGTAGAGCGACTTTGACTGATGTGTCTCCCTGACCTGCCCTTTTTTCGCTAGCTTTGGCTTCCCCCCGGGCCCCGCTAGACCCGCCGATCCAATTGAACATGGCGTCGGAGTAGAATCTGAAATGAGCAGTAGGGAGACTTTCTACCCCCTTTGACGTTGGCCCAAAGCATTGTCATTGGCACTCTATCGACTAAACGGTCCCACCGAATCTTCGGTGCAGATTCTCGGTCTTCCCCGCCCGCGGAAATGACACTCACACCGGCTCATCATTCGGCTATCGAAAGTACCCATGGACTATTCGAGATCATTGGGATCTGTTCGTGTCGGTCTTCCAAGAACCATGGTTACTGAGCCGTATGTCTGGTTCGGTTCGATCCAGATCGATGGTTGGAAAGATTGGGGCCGGTATGCACACATCCACTCATTCGTGGGGATGGTGGCGCTTCCCCCCTGTAGCAGATCACCGACCGGATTGATATCCGTCTGGGCGCTCGCCATGGGTGATAAGTGCCGAGATGATTGGCAGCATGGTTCTTCGGACGGAAACCAAGATACAGTACTCCTGATGTGAGTCGAACTCAGTTTCTTGAGTCAGTGTCGATCTTCATTTCCATTTCTCACTCGAGCACCCGCAGGCATGTCGTTCTGATGGCTCGTTTTTGGCGTCTTCGGCTTCATTTGCCCGCTCTACGGTATCAGCAAGAAAGTCGGAAAATTGTCTTTTCGTCCGTTGGCTTTAATCCTCCGGTTCTGAGGGCCGTGCAGATGGCTCACGGATCGTTGGAGCCTATACCCGGTCCGGGTCGACGATCACAGAGATCTGCACTGATTAGACTTCCAGATGGGACCCAGCTGCGACTGTCAACGGGAAAGTGCCACGAATGCCCCCTTGGTCAGGATGTGGAAATTGAAACCTCGGCAAAAACTTCAATCTTGCCGGTCATGGCAGCCGAGACGCGAGAGTTCAATAATGTAAGTGACAAGCGCCAACGGCACACGGGGATCTCGTGTCCAAAATGCGCACGACCAGCCTCTCGGGTCGGAATGAGACTCTCCATTGCTTGAGCCGACGAGGATCGCCTCAAACCTTGTCAGTTACCCTCCGATTTGTGTGAGTCTATCCGCACGCCAAACCTAATTCATATGTACCCTTCTCAATTCTTCAGTCTATTGATACGCCACGCCCACGAATTGAAGATCGGGCCATGACTAAAAAGCCCTCCCCACGAGACCAATTTTGAGGATCGGAATCCCAGTGATGCGGATCAATGTAGAAAATCCCCGTCTCGAATGGCCCAGGCTGTGACTAGTGAATCTGTGGGTTCCCTATTCCACGCTATCTCCCAGTAAGGGCCTTTTTAGGTGGCAAAAGAATTAAGAGCCAAATAAGCCTGTAAACTTCCAGCAGTCGTATCTAGCAGCCTCAGAGGCATAATTTTAATAATCTTGGTAGGCATGTACGTAAAAGAATTGCCGGATCTGAGCTGATGCATGATGAAGACACAAGAAAGAAGTAAACCACCGCTAGGCGATGCGATCCCCTCAAGGAGTGGGGAATTGGGACGTGGAAGTGGCCGGAAGAATCACAAGGTAGAAATCCCATGTTGAGTCAAGCTTTGCTCTAAACTACCAACTCAAGGAGCTATCGGCAGAATTCACCATCTGTTCTGAACGCGCACAGTCGCTTCATATCCCCTCTCTACTACAATGAACCTGGTAGAGCATCACATTGTCCTTTTTCTTGTACTGGTGTGAGACCGATGTCATCGGCAATACAAGACTACGAGGTAATACTCTATTGCGCAAAAAACCACCAGTACCCCCTCATTGATGCAGCAGGAGAATGAATTTCCGGGCTTATGGCGCGTCCGCTCGCAGCTGACCAAGGAAGAGGTGAATTGTAGACTTGGAAGGATAGTGCTCCCCGGCGTGAAGGGGACATGCGCACATGCGCATTGATGACTTCTCATCCATCCCAACATCCAAAGTACTCGACTATGCATATCTGCGGATGGAATGAAGAAGCGCTTAGACGGACGTCACTGTTCGCCAGGTCGAATATATATGTCTGTGTTGGAGAATGCTGAAGGTCTTCAAAGTGATCATAGAGCTCAGTTCTTCTAGTGTTGAATACATACATGCCATGAGTTTTCAAGTCACGTATCTTTACAGCGGCGCTAAACCACAATTCTGGAAAAGTATTGGTCAAGCTCTAGGACAGAATCTTATAATGCAGGATCATCTGAAGTACCAGATTTTGATCAGACGATTCTCAGATCTAATTGTTTTGAAGCGCTGAAACTGAATGTTCACATTTTTGCAGTGATAGCAGGCTTTCTAGCGTCCCAGCTTTTGGTGTGTCATCACCTACTCCTGCTCCTTAATTCAACTTCAATTTTGAATGATGTAAGTTGGGTGCTTTGAAGACAAGCATGGCTTTTACGGGCATGGCCAAAGAATACCCGGACACCTGAGTATACGACTGCCATCTTTAGAAAGATTATTTTTACATGAAATCAACCTGATCAGATTCAACGCAAAAGATACCCGTCATCTCATGGTATTCATAAATCATAAAAAAAAAGTCGAAGCGACCAAATGACTAAAATAAAGAGCCTCAAATGGCATGCCAGACCTCAGGCAATGTATTTTGGGATGGGAAGTGGGTATCATCGTCATCAACCAGCACAATGCAAAGTATTCTCACGTATGCAATCCTAATCTTGGCCGCTGACCTAGATCCGTTCTCGTGTTGTTGCCATGCAGCCGGATTACCTTCGGCGGGAATTCCGCGAATCGCGCCGACCGACCGGGGACGATTCTTCTTCGTCCTCCTCCTCAACGGGCGCGGGTGTGCGTCGCTCAGTGCGTCTTTTGGGCCGGCGCCGACGGTTGGAACTAATGTTACTAGCGGAGTCATCGGGGGCGAGAGAGCGATCGTCATCGAGGAAGTCGTCTTCCATTCCGCTTTCCCATTCATGTTGACTGAACGGGGTGCCCAGGCGTGCTTCGACGTAAGAGCCGCGTCTGCTTTGATTTGCGACCGAGAGCCCAGCGCCGCGCTCTCGAAGGGCGCGACGGACAACTTCGGCCTTGAGATGGAGGGCTTCAAAAGCGTCCTCCATGGCTTCCATGCTCAGGAAGATATCTCGTTCAATCTCGGCGAGTGCAGCAATTTCCGTCTCCTCGTCCAAGGCGATTGGGCCTCCGAAGGAAGCTGGGGATGTGGGATTGCCGGTCGGTTGGCTTGCGGAACGGAAGCTTCCATCCATATAATTGGGGGTCGGCCCGCGGGAAATGCCTCCTGTACTGAAGGGGGTGTTGGAGCGGCTGCCACTCGAGCGAGGATTGAAAGAAGGCACAGCATCTTCGGCACCGCTACGGAGGAAACCGTCAAAGCGGCCGGAGATGAGAATTTCCCATTCATCGTCACTGATGGCGGCGAGAGTGGCAAGAACATGATGCAGCTCCGGATTGTTGAGCATGAACATGGCGGTTTCGGGATCGCGTGGAAGGGATTGCAGCCTATACAGTCGCTGGATTGCCAGCGAGCAAGACACCAGGGCAGATGGCTTTGGTCGAGGTTTCTCATCATCCGACCGAGGAACAGGAGTTGAAGAGTTGATGCCAAGTAGGGCGCAGAACAGAGAACGTTGGTGATGTTCAAGGTGGGTGAGCATAGCAAAAGTCAAAGTCTCGTCGTCCACTTCTTCCGGCGCACTGGTCACGGAATCATTTTGCTCAGAGAGCCATTTGTCTACGGCAACCTTTGTCTTCCGAGACTGTCGCATGAAATGGTCGCGATATTCTTCAGGGACATCGATATCAAGCTTCTGCATCGGAATGTGTTCTTCTCCAGGCAAATCTGATTCCATGGATGAATGTGCCATCATGAAAGGCGGCCACATCGGTAACTCTCGGCGTCCAGAAACAAGCTCTAACACCTCTCCCCAGCTTACTCCTTCAGGGCGCTCCTCTAAATCCTCACGGTCGCACATCAGGCAGTGGCAAGGCTCCGAGGAGATATCACGCGCGAAAACGGCCTCGAGTCGATCGAGTAGTCGCCGTGCCACCGACCTGTAGCCTGTCGCGACAGCAAGAGACCCATTCTTGCTCATGACCTTATTGTAGTCATCGAGAAGGCGATTGAACGGATCGAACACTTTCGCAGCCGCAAGCTGAGGGTGAGTGGCAGACTGGGCGAAGGGATCAGATGGGCTGGGCCCGACCAAAAGTGTTCGAGGAACCTTGTTCTCGAGACCTCCATGCTGGAGCAGATAGTCGACTCTGGGAATGGAAACGGGCACCTGAGGCGGTGGTGGAGGGGGTGGGGGTGCGCCATATGATGGGCCAGACGGCAAGTGTCTTCCGTAGTCGATCGATTCATCACTAGGAGTATGACGATGGGATGCTGATGACCGGTTTTGTGACCGAGAGGGAGGCTTGATAGGCGGGGTCACGGACTTTCGAGGAGCCGTGTGTTGCTGGTTCGGGGCGATGGAGGTAGCATCTGATCCATTGGGTGATTGAGCGCCGGCATCGCGGACTGTGACATTTGATTGCGACAAAATAGACGAACTGGATCGCTTGGGTAGTTTCTTTTCTTCGGAAGACTTGGTCTTAGAAGACCTGTGGCTTGTCCGAGGAGATGTCTCTTCCGTCTCATGCTTCTCCGATTTGTCCGTTCTCGATGATTTCGATTTGGATGTATCAGTCCGCGATATCTTGCTGGATTTCGTCTCTCCGTCTCTCTTCGATCGCAGACTCGAGGACGACCTATTGACCTCGGTCCTAATCTTGATGCTCGCTTTCTTTGCCTTGGCCTTATTCGAACTATTTTCCTTTTCTTCTTGCTCGCCGATCGCACTGCCCTTGCGCGAGGAGGACTGGTCGAGTCCCGTCAGTGGCGGACTCGGCGGGGCTTGGTGGTTATCGCGGGCGTGATTGCCATTTGTCTTGGTGTTTTCCTGGTCCTCGGTCAAGTCGGTCGGGTCCGGTGTGGGGATATTGGCTTTGCGAACATCTTCCTTGCTGTGCGCTTGAGAGAACGTAGGATAAGGCAGGCTGGTCCTCGACTCAAGGAACGAGGCGTTTCCCGAGCGACTGGCGTCGAGACCTGGCATCGAGGACCTGCGAAGAGGGGCGCTGAGCGAGGTTGATTCGGAAGTGGAGGAGCGAGCCGTTGGGTCGGGGTCGGGATCCTTGGTAGAATTGCGGGAGGGCCGAACCAGATTCGAACCCTTTGGCTGTTTAGATGATTTCGAAGTCGTGGAGGAGGTTGGGGGGTTTGGACTTTCGGCTCTTAGCGCTATTAGGTCTCACCGGGAAAAACATGGCTCGTGAGAAATCGTAGCCGTACCAGGTGGATCCCTTCGAAGCCCTGGGGCCCGCTGGTTCATTTGGTCCGTCGGGGCTTCCCTTAGAGCTGGGGTTGGGCTCCGCCACTTGTGATGCTATTTTAGTTTCAATACGTGTGCTGCCTGGCGCTTAAGTCGCTTGATTTCACCGTGATGACAGGCGCTTGACGTCGATCGAGGGCGGGAGACACATTCCGCGCAGGGTCAGTATCGAGGCAGAAGTGGGCATTCAGGTACCGAATGCATGAGAACCGGAGACTGAGTTGGGGCAAACCACTTTATGCGGTGAACAGACCGACACTTTACCTGGTGGATCAGTTGGATCTGCATGAAAGCCCAACTGCCTCGAAGCCAACGGGCTGAAACGCGATTCCCGAGGTCAGATAAATAGATGAGTCACGTGAGGTGTACATGGGTTGACATGGGGTACATCGGGGTACATTGGGGAATCAATTGCCCTGGCCTTCCAATAGAATACATAAACAGATCACCTCCACGCCGTCCATGCTTTCTATCTCGACCCATACCCGATTTCACGCTACTTCGTAACAGGACACATAGGAGAGTCGTCTTTGAAGACGGGCAAATGGAGCCCATAATACAATTTGGACTTATCGCCACACAATATTTAGTTGATTTGCACTCGTCCACGTTAAATCACCCGAAAGTTCTCATTTGCGCGGAGTCCTCGATGACTCGGTTTTGGCTTACTGCTTACTGAGTTGAGTCACTGGAACTTCAGCGTCGTGGGAGCGAATCTTGGCACTCATTTAAAAGAGACTCTTTGGACGCTGAAATCAAGTACTTTGATAAACGCGATGCGGCTATGCAGGGGTGCTTCGAAGAAATTTCGATGTTGAAGCATACTATCGGGCACTGGCCGAGGAACAAAGCGTGAGTGTCTGGGAGATAACTTGTTTTCGAACCCAGGTTAAAACTCCTCAGCTCACTTGAAATCCATTCGTTGCCTTTCTCCCTGGCGAACATTCAAGTATCCAATTACCATCCTCTTGGTGTGCCACCCCGCCCTTCTGTGCGGCCCTCATCATCTTTTCGCTTGCCGGGGTTAGGTCGCCTGTGTGATGGTCCCAGATCCAGCCCTCCTTGAGCCACATCCAGGCCAAATAAGCGCGCAATTCCTTGTCTTGGGGGAGAACGGACTTCCATTCGGGAACAAATCCGTCCGTGGTGGCACCTGTTCCTTTCCAGTCCGTGGCGAGTCCACGCAATGCATCTCGACAGAAGATGCGCCAGCTGTCCAACGAATAGGCTCCAACACCGGGCAAGTGCGCAATCTCCCATGCTACCCGATGGTCCTCGTCATCGGCACATTCAAGTGGACCAACATCCCGACCGTCTAGCTTCCGGGGATAGTGAAGCTTGCGGTATCGCTTGTTTTTGACAGGAGGGCTGACTTGCCAAATCTGCGCAATAGAAATACACTTCCTTGCTCGCTGATTCTGGAAACCCAAGCAGTGGATCATGGATACAAGCTCAGATGGGTTTGCGATCGCCATGGCATCGATAGTCGGGTAGCGAGCAAAGACTCTGAACAAGATAGGAAGGGCGACCCCGCCTCGAGTACGGTTGAGGAAGATTGTCGCGATTATGAGCTTGAAGGGATCGTGGGCAAGCTGTTCTTGTATGAGACCAAATGATGGAGCATCGATAGGTGGAAATGGCAAACACGACTCTGGATCACCCGATAGGGACGGAAAATAAGGCGAGACTGTGGGAAGTTTGGGCCTTGAAAGCCGTGGAGTCTCAGGCCGGAGTGAAAAAGACTGTTTCACTGGGGTACTAGGTGGTAATGTGATCGGCGGCGATAGAAAACGTGTGCTTTCGGTGGAAGCATCATTCGTAGAATGGAGCAGGAGTTCATCGTCACAGTCGATATCGCTGAGTACGTCACTTAGCGTAGAGTCTGACGAGATAAAGTCCAGATCTAGACCCGTCCACGCTAGAATTTGGCGAGTTTCTTCGGGGATCGGTATGTGCCGGGTGGCAGTGGCACTGGTTTCATGGCGTTTTGGTGCGCTAACGACAGGGAAATACTTCGACAACACCTCATCACTGGGGGGTCACCTCTTGCGAATCATTGGTTGTCAAAAATCCACTGACCATTCTGCCGGATTGGGTGACAAGGGCCCATGCCTCATCATATCGGTGCTCCTGTTTGAGGTCCTTGAAGGAGGAGTCGCCGCAACTGCCGTAGATTCGCTATGGACGGGCGTATGCTGGCGTTCTGCACGCTGCTGGTCTGCGTTTGACGCATTCTGAATGTGTAGGTAACTTTCGCGCTTCTTTTGTCTCTTTTTTTCTTTTTTGCGATAATTCTTCGCTTTTTTCCCTGGAAGCGACAGCTCCGTTTTGGGGCCAGGCTTGACACCATGCGTCTTGGAAGACTGATCAGCAGCTTTCTCATTATCATTGTGCAGGCTCATCGCTTGATGATCTTGATTATGACTGGATTTTTCAGGGTTGGTCATGGCGGGTATTGTTTCCTCTGGCAGTTCGCTAGGGATTGCGGGTTCTGGGGAGTGACTACTTAGAGTCATGTCGATAACGGTGTGGTCGAAGACACTTTGTTCAAGGGTACTGCCTGAACCTATCCATTCATTTGAATAATATGAGGGCCCTTGGTTTCGCTGAAGCTTCTGGGGACGGGTTGCTCGTTCAACAATAGGCGGCAATTCTGGTTTCGGTGGCTGGCTGTCATGTTGACTGCCCAGAGAAACTCTTGGTGGGGCAAGTTCGATATGCCGTTCGTAGGGAAGATCATTCCCATTGATCACCTCCCCAACAGTAGCCAAATCATCGGCCGGCTGGGCATCCTGAGTATTGGCTTGTTTTGCTCCGAGATTTTCTGCTTCATTCAGATGGTTTGATATTTGCATGTCCTGTTGAGAGCCCTTCTGCACAGTTCCAAATCCCTGGGCCGGGTATTGCTCACAGGAAATGTACTCTGGAGTCTTGGGAACCAATGTCACATTCTTGTCTTTGCAGAGGCTTCCACAGCCATTGCGCTGAGAAATGCTTTGCACAGTTTGTTCCACATGAGGTTGGGTGGCATTATTGACTTCCGGAGTGCGCTGCGGTGTGGCCTGCAACGAAGAGACTGGAGATTCAGCCGAGTCCCGTCTACTTACTCTGCTCTGCCTTCTCTTACAAGATCCCGCCTGCTCTGAGTTGCTCAAATTTCTCTTTCGAGACTTGTACCCATCATTAATCTCTTCTCCAAATCTCAGGTTTCGGACGTCTCCTGTAGTATCGGCGGGAACACCGATGATACTTTCCATAAAAACCCTGCGCATGTAGACGATGAATGTATCAATGTCTGTAGCATTCATCCCAACTGACGCTGCCTCTCGGCGCATATCCTTGACAAACTGTCGCCGAGCAGACTGTCGAACAGGGACCTCCAGATTTTGCATAAAGGGATGCGCGAGCACAGACTGAAAAAACTCCTGCCTGCGAGACGGCTCCATACACGCGAAAATGACATCCTCCTCGGCTCTAATTTTCTCGGCTGCGAGTTCCTGGTCTGCAACGAGGTCATAGATTTCGCTATTTGTGGGGATCTGGGGTATGCCTCCACTGTTCGATTTGGCATCGGCAACGATATGGACATCCGCGTGGAGAGCTTCACTGTTGTGGATGTCGTCGTTGCTGTCTTTGTTGGTATTGTTCTCATCGTCGGTGATATCGGAGTCTCCTGTGACCTTGTTTTCATTGCGACCTAGCCTTTTTTCCTCGTCACTGAAGTTGAACTCCTTTAGCATGTTCCCATCTCCATGAGAAAAAGAACGTGGGTGACTGTCGGTGAAGTTGTAGTCCGCATCTTGACGGCTCGCTTCATTGTCGATTGGGATGGAATCGTCGAGGCTATCCGGATATTCATGGTGGTCATCAACTTGTTTGCGCTCCTGATTGTCACCCTGGCCACTGATTCTCACGTCTTCTCTGTTGAGCATGGAGCCAACATCTTCGCTGCTGAACATGGGATCATGAGGGTCCGTCATATCGCGGTAGGAAAGGCCAATCGTGTTACTTTGAGAGTGATCCTCTTTGGAAGCGAATTTCGCACTCTCCACTTCAAGTAGAGAATCGATGTCAACATCTCCCTCGTCGTCGGTGTCCAGATGGATCACAGTGATGTCTCTCTGAGCCGCACGCCTCGGGGTTGTAATAAGCTTATTCCTACCGGTAGACTGAGATCGGGAGAGAATCCGCGAATTTTCTGCCTGGCTCTCACTTTGAGGGGTGTGCGGATTCGATGTACCCGTTAATGACCGGCTGCCAGAGTATTCTGGAAAATGGTCATCTTTGCACTCGAAACTGGCATCCTCGGACAATATTTTTTCGATGGTACGTTCATATTCATCGTCGAATGGCTTGTAGGTCGCTGGATCGAATGTGGGAGGAGGAGGGACAACGGCAAGATAGTTTGATTGTGACATTTCTCAAAAACCGACTTAGCGAGGTGACTTGTACAGCAAGAAGGTAAGTCGCGCGAAAAGAATCGACCCGTGAGTGCACATACAGGTATTTTGTTTCAATGGAAAGGCAATTGAGCTCGAGTAACTTCATATGATCAAATAGGAAATGAGGACGTCGATGGTTGAAACGCGTATGATAGGGGTGGAACGCAGAAGTAAAGCAAAGGAATGGAGCTTCGGGATGTGACTAGAAGTGAGAGTGACTCTGGGGATTGAAGGTAGGCCTCACGCCAAACCTCGGCTCTCACAGAGGCAACAGCTCCTGATCTTTCTAAGTGAAGGGAGACTTCCGCGTCGCGATCTCCGATAGCCTTATCGCTTTGCGTCTAAAATCACGTGTGGTGAGATTGGTGACAACCCACAGTTGCCCCAAGTGCTTACTCCCAACTTCTCAATTGCCAATTCTTTTGTTTCTCCCAAATAATCAGGGTTGAACGCATTATTCTTACCAATATGGCTCACACTCTTTACGATGGAACGATTGTGGTGGATAAGGCCATCCTCAGCACCCTGTCCCACATACTCCACAAAGCGGAGGAACGTCCCAATGCTAGCGCCCTGCTCCAGGCACGACTCATCGATGACATGTACCCGTTGACCGACCAAGTTAGGGTCACCACCCAATTCTCAGAGTTCCTCGTCGCACGGCTGACTGGCCGAGAGCCAGTGACATTCGAAGGAAGTCCCAAGACATTCGCAGAATGCTACGAACGCATTGACACCGTGCTGAAGTCGCTCAACGAGGCCGACAAGGATGTCGTCAACCAACGCGGCGATGTATGTGAGCTGACGCAGCTGGGTCCAACAAGAAAGGCAGAAATGAGCGGTGCGGCATATGCCCATACCGTTGCGCTGCCGAACATCTACTTCCATGTTACTACCGCTTATGGGATCCTGCGAAAGGAGGGTGTGCCACTTGGCAAGCTGGACTTCTACACCGGCTACTTCCCCAATTTCACCGCTGCTGCGACTCAGTAGAATGATATAAGCCTCGCGGCTACACATTTGTAAATAGATGATCCTCACTCAATATTACAAAGACAGTCTACACTCCAATGACCGTACTCCAATCTTGTCCTTATCTACTATGCACACGTGTCGTACCTATACAGTATAACCGGCCGAATCCACCAGTCGTGGCTCAGCGGCAGCCTCAAATGTTCCATCAGGAAGAACACGGATTGCGTGTGAGCCACTCTGTCCAGGAGCAACCCACGTAACGTTGTGCCCGAGACTCTCCATGAAAGCGACAGTGGAATTATCGTAAGCATATTCGAAGGTGACTTGGTTTGGGACCAATTGATCATGGAGACGAGGCTGGGCGAGAGCCTCTGCGGCACTCAGGCCATGGTCGATGACGTGGATGATGTTTTGAACTGTTGCAGTGATGATTCGGCTGCCCCCTTCGGTGCCAGTGACCAAGAGTAGAGAGCCATCTGGTCGAGTGACTATTGCGGGTGTGATGGATGACAGAGGTCTTTTCCCCGGCCGGATGAAGTTGGCTTCAGAGGGAATGTATCCGAAATCATTTGATGTATTAGGTATGGAAAAGTCTGGATCGACTGGTTAATGCATCACATGTAGCAAGCTCTTCAGTACATACCATTCATCTCGTCATTCATGATGATACCTGTCTCGGGAACCATGACTTTGCTACCAAAATGAAGATTGATGGTACTGGTCAAAGAGACGGCCATACCAGTGTGATCGACCGTGGCGACATGAGAGGTCCCAGGACTAAAAATGTCAGTATTTGGTCTGAGTATCTTCTCACCGAGCGGGGGAAAAAAAATAACACTTACGTGTCCAAACTTTCGAGACCGGCGGGGTCGTAGGCCGACACATCGAGAGTATGCGTGTCTGAGATCTTTGATCGAATCTCGGCGATAGTCGACTCGTTGAGCATATTCTTTTGATACTCGTCCATGCCCTCCACAAATAATGGATCACCTAGGTTCGATCTCTATTAACGCATTTAGTGCTGGGCTAGAGAAATCTAAAGGAGTCTCTTACCTGGCCATAGCCAAAGCGCATAGCCTCATCCATTCGGTGAGTGCTTAAATTCACGGCTTTATCTGTTTTGAAAAAGTCTCTATAACCATCCAAAATCTTCAAAATGCTCAACAGAACAACTCCACTTGAAGGTGCAGTTGTACTTGTGACAGTGTATCCACGGTAATCGATTTGCGCGGTATCGCGGATGGCAACGGTATAATTGCAGAGATCCGCCAAGGTCATCGTTCCATTTTGCGCCTTCAGAGCATTGACCATAGTCTTAGCGATAGGGCCGGTGTAGAAAGCATCTGCACCTTGCTCGGCAATAGTCTCGAGGGTGTCGGCGAGTCGCTTCCGCGTCATCGTATCTCCTAAGCCCACTCGAGTTCCGTTCGGCGCAAAATCCAAGGCCCATGTGGGGTTAGTAGTAAGGAGATCTACACCGTCCTTAATGGCAGACTTCATATACTTCATCGTGTCTTCGGTAACAGGGAAGCCTTCACGGGCAGTGCGAATTGCTGGCTGCAGAACAGTCGACCAGGGCAAGGAGCCATAATTCTTGTGCAGATATTCAAGACCACGGACCTCTCCAGGAACGCCACTTTCACAGCCGTCAGCAGTTGATAGATCTCTTCTACCATCAGAAGAATGGACCTACCTTGCCAATCCTCCATGCATGGAACCTTCCACATTCGTGTAGAACATGTCCTCGAATGCGGCGGCTGGTGCGGTTTCGCGAAAGTCAATAAATTCATACGAACCCTTAGGCGCTCGCACAAGCATGAAGCCGCCTCCACCGATTCCACTGTGGTACATGGCTGGGACAAACTGGTTAACACCATACCTTGATGATGTGCTGGCTATGACGAGACTCACCAATGACCCCAACACAAAACTGGACAGCGACCATCTTTCGAAGTGAATCAGTACTTCTTCTCGTTCCCCAATCCATTTTATGCTGCACTTACAGCATCTGCTGCATTGCCACCCATCTTCAACATATCCGTTCCATGTCGTGAGCAAATGGAGCTTTCACTTGCGACAGCCCCTAGCTTGCCCGAGCCGAGCTCATCATTCCACTCTTTTTCACCTCCTGGGTGGTGATGTGGATGATCTATTGAAGGTTTCTGGGCGCGAGCTACACTTGTAATTATAAGTAGCAAAGCAGTAATGGCTAAGACGCCAAATCTTCTCAAATGAAGCATATTCCTGGTATCTTCCCAGCGGTGGCGCTGCGAACTCAACCACGACACTTGTTCTTTGATCGCCGACGAAGGTTGTAACAGGGGCTACCGCGGCGATATGTTAAATCATATATTCGTGACGCGATCTTGACGCGAATGGGGGGAGGAATGACAAGCATTTTTCGGAAAACTACCTACCTGCTTCTCCACATCCTGACCGGCGATCTTTCCTGGTCGCGTGTCATGCAGAGACCCTGCGACAGGCGCATCGCTCTGTGCTTGGGGTAACATTCTTCGCCAAAACGATAGTTCTCACAACCAGAATCTTACAGATAGTAAAAAAAGAAACATCTTCGAGCAAGTGCATAAGAAAAGAGAGAAAAGTGCCCGAGTGTTTATCTTAGTGTGCACTCAGATATCGGAGTGGGAGTGAACCCCGCTGATAAGGCGCCCGGGGGCAAGCTTCTATACCCGGCTGTCGCGAGCTTAATTATTAATCGCTTTGCCTGAGGAGAGAACAAGTATTCTTCCTGCTTTGTCATCCGTGCCGTGACAAGTTCTCGATAACAGCGATATACGGCCTTGTTATGTGTAAATGCTGTGTCAGACTGAAGGAAAAGCCGTGCATTTGATCGACCTTCCCCAATACCACAAGTCTCACGTGGTAAGTAAGCGCGATGACCCGGCGAAAAGCCTTGTAATTCGAATATTGCTGCATTGAATTTCTCTGGCTAATTCAAATAAAATTAAAAAGATAGCTGCGGATTGTACATGTGTATACCTTTGCTGGTGTCGAAGGCGTTCTTCGATCCCTTTAAGTGATATTCCAGGGGAGCACATAACCCGGTTGGCTTGCCGCGACTAGTATTCTTTAACCTATACATTTTCAGATTTGAGAATCGTTACTTCAAATACATTTCCATTTATGTTTTATAGAACACGTTGCCCTCGAAAAGGCGACGCGCGGTTCGGATAACCGCAACCTGCTTTATTTGAATCCTCCCATCTCCAGATAGACCCAAGGTAGTCTCAGCCTGTATCACACCAGCCGGATGTTTAATTCCCACTGGTACGGCATTTGCAATCTTCTGGCCCTCAATCTCCATTCCGTGCTTAGGAAGCTTACCCGCCACACCTTCGCTAGCTAAGCGCCATGCGACTGTGCCATGGATTGCCATAGCAGCACCGATGCACACCGCGCCGGTGAGTTGCAGACTAGTATGGGGTCTTCCCATAGTGAACGAAAGCACATCCAGATCCGAGCTTGCATCTGCAGGTGGAGATAAGAATGCGATTTTAGGAGTGCCTTGCACGGCACCTGCTGTCTCAATATTTGCCGCCAATCCGAACTGAACAGCACCTTCTCTTCGAATGTCTTCTGCGACGGAAATGAAGACTTCATCTGCTGGATCTGGCCAGCTGCAGTGACCTTTCCTCTTCAAAGATCGAGAGTCCACCAGAACGAATGGATTGGCCGCATCGACCAGACTCACTCGCACTTCTAGAACTCCCACTCTCCTTGTTCGAACTGCGAGAGTCTCCTGTGTCGCGCCGCTGGGGAACATCTTCCCAGTCATACTGCCTTCGGGATTGAGAAATGCAACCTTGATAGGACTTGACGTACCCTCCACACCAGGAATGCGACAATTTCCATACTCCTTGCACGTTCCGTTCAGAGACAGCTCGATTGTTTCCACGATATTTTGTCCAGTATTGGTGTTAAAAATGCGGACATCGATCTGCATGCCAAATTAACCTAGAGAAGATCCAAAAGATTTGAGCTTACTTACCTCGGTTTGACCAGGTGTCACCTTCACAAGTCCCTCATCCACTGCGAAAGGGCCCACACCAGATGCAATATTTCCGCAGTTGCCAGTCATGTCTATCTTCGCTCGGTCAGGAGCAACTTGGACGAATGTATACTCGACGTCGATGTCAGGTCGGTTTGATTTGGCAACCACGGCGACTTTTGAAGTCGTTGAGGTGGCGCCACCTATACCATCAAGCTGGCGGCCATTGCCATTAGACGATCCCATTGCCGATAGGAGGATCGGTGCCCACAGCTCTATTGTCTCGGGTAAATGTTTGCGGTGGATGAAAAGGCCTTTTGAAGTTCCTGATCGCATCCATACGGCAGGCAATGACTGTCTTGTTGGATAGGCAACATATTTGTCCAGAGGTAATGCCTTCAATATCGTATAAGTGTTGGTGATGGTCATGGTGTTTTTCAGGTGAAGGGTGCGTTGCATCGGCGACTTTCTTTAGATTATAAAACACCACCTTTGAAAGTCCGCAGCCCAGATGATTTATATATCGATGTCTACTCTCTTCCAACTGATCTTCAAAATTCCTCATATTGCCGTTCATCCGCATCTCCTTCACATCCATTTTTTCCTATGGTTCAAACGGTTCAAAACACCCGTTCCGCGGGAAGTCATCTTCCGCGGAAGTAGAAATACCCACGGCAACAAAGTTACCATGGCACGCTCTTTGACTTCTTTTGAGAGTTCCCCGAAGCCACGAGACAAAATGCGGGGGGGATTTTGATACATAAAAGCATCTCGCAAGGATGTGATGGAACAATGAGTACGCAACTGTTCAAGAGGTCTCGAGCTGAACCTCACACAGATTATCACCTAACATGACGCCTACAGCCCAGGGGGGAACCGTCGATGCTCCCCAGCATAATGTTCGGGTCTATATTCTCGCAATAGTCACCTCAATGGGTGCCTTTCTTTTCGGATATGACCTAGCATTCATCGGAACGTCAATTGAATTGGCGCCCTTCAAGAGGTAAGGCTTGAACGCAATCCAATTGGGTCATATTCTAAACCTCTTCAAGAGATTTCGGACTAGAAGGCGCATCTGAGGCAGTTCGAAACTCATTTTCTGCCAACATCGTTTCGCTTCTACAAGCCGGGTGTTTTTTCGGCTCTTTAGCGGCTGCGCCTGTCAGCGATAAATTGGGCCGCCGCCTGGGCCTGGCTCTTGGCGCCATCGCGTTCATTGCAGGCTCTATTATGCAAACTGCATCTGCCGGCAATAAGCCTGTGATGTTTGTAGGCAGAGTAATTGGCGGTGTAGTAAGCATCTTTTCAAGCAAGGTCTCCTTGTATTCTGATTTCTGACAAAATGTACCAGGGTGTCGGCTTTGCCAGCATGTTGGTGCCTTTGTATACTGCCGAGTGTGCACCACCGAAGATTCGAGGACGACTTGTTGGAATTTACGAGATCGGCGTTCAAATCGGTACCTGCCTTGGGTTTTGGATCAACTATGGCGTGGATCGCAACATGGCACCGACTTCTTCACAGTGGATGACACCATTTGCATTGCAACTTATTCCCGGCGGTCTACTAATTATTGGGTTAATTTTCATGCCAGAGTCACCGCGATGGATGGCCAAGGCATATGGGAGAAATAGAGCCGTCGAGAACCTCTCTCTGCTGCGTGGCCTTCCTGTTGATCATCCGGCCGTTGAGGAAGAGGTTAGCGATATCCTTCACCAGCTAGATATCGAGCTTTCTGATAACCTCAGGAATACTCGTGCTGCATGGAAGGAGCTGATGCAGCCCGGACTCCGGAATCGGGTGTTTATTGGCATCATGATTATGGTATTCTTCCAGATGTGTGGCTCAAATTCCATCAATTACTACTCACCTCAGATTTTCGGATCGATTGGTCTGCAGGGAGCTGAAGCAACCCTGGTATCCACCGGCATATATGGCATTGTCCGGTTGGTGGCCGTCTTCTTTGCCATGTACTTCGTTGTCGACCGCTTTGGGAGAAAAGCGATGTTGATCGGCGGAAGTGTGATGATTGTAAGTCCCAAAATACTGCTTCTACCTTTTAGAGAACCAACTGACGACAGCAGGCTATCTCAATGTGGCTCATTGGAGTGTTTGTCAAAGTTCAAACGTCAACTGCCAACTCGGGTGGATCCTTGAGCGGAACTTCTTACGCAGCGGTGGTTTTCATCTTCGTCTTTGCTGTCTCATTCTGCTTCAGTTGGGCTGGTGTCCCATGGGTAATTTGTTCCGAGATTTATCCCCTGCGCGTGCGAGGTTTGTGTGTTAGCATTTGTGTTGCCACCCATTGGCTGGTCAATTTTGTCATTGCAAGAAGCACACCATATATGATTTCAAACATTGGATTTGGGACATATTTTGTGTTTGCTGCTTGCACTACGTTGGCCGTGCCTTTTGTTTGGTTCATGGTGCCAGAGACTAAAGGGATGAAGTTGGAGGAAGTGGACGCTCTTTTCGAAGGGCGAGGGCTTATTCCGCGGAGGAAACAATGTGTCGAAACGGCGGAGGAGGGTACTGACGAGAAGGGTGCTATTGAGCAAATTGAGAGAGTGTAAATCTGATTACGAATCCATGATAATGAATTTTTCACAAGAGATTGTTGTATTTCTTTCTGCAATAACGTTAATTTCTTTGTGCGACGTCTTGATCGTCGGCCTGGGAAAGAACGCCGACATTTTGGCCTAATTAGTTGCATCAGCAACTGACCATCCCTACTAGACGATCATACTTGATTGTTTTTGACAATATATTCTGGCTTGAAGTGGCAGACGGGAACATGTTAGTTGCCTTTATTCGTAGTCCGGGGACACATTACTTTCTCAGGTAGTTGATATCATGTCGTTCTGGACAAAATTCAGAGATGCAGGGATACATATTTCATTATACTGAGCTAGATATAGTCTTACATTTCTCCCCTCGTTGTCAAGCTTTCATTTCTCAACATTTGAAGCTGCAAAATGCCATACTTTGTATCAACTGCCGTCATAACGACCGCCAATTGCTAACTATACAGTATGCTGTCTTGCACGGATCCATTAAAACCAAACAACATATCATCATCGAGCTGCGCCTCGAAGTATGCATCATGATACCCTGGGATGACGGCAGGGGCGAAAATACCAGGCGTGACAGGTGGAGCTGTAGTAGGACCAGCGGAACTACTGTAGCTTGGCTCATAAGAGACATGCCCTTCAGTGTGCCTGGTATCCTGTCGAATGAAGCTCTGGATAATCATATCCATATCCAGCTCAGATGCCTCTGTCTCCGGCGGTGTCATCTGACCAGGTAACACAGCTGGTCTGAGACCGACTTCGTCAAACTGAACCCGCCTCTCAAATCCATCCGACTGCTCATCGGATGACTGCCCTGGCCGGGAATTGCCGCGCCCGTGTCGACAACTACTCAAGTCGACCCCCATGCGGTCCGAGAGATGCATAATCACGTTTTTCGCCCGTCGGACAGCCCAGTTGGTTTCTTGGTTCTTTTGGAAGATTTCTAGGCATTTCCAAAGACTCGCGTGAGCTCTACTTCCACTTTCTCGCTGGGCAGCAACTCGCACATAAATGGTAGCGGCAACATAAGTCGCATATGAGATCAGATAGGGGGCATGTCTGATGGAGAACGCATTATCGTAAGCTTCTAGAATTTGTATTATGCGAGCCGCGGCTGCTGTGCAAGTAGTAAATGAGCTGATAGCAACTGATGGGTCGGTCGTGTGGAGATGTCCTTCTGCCACAAATGGTCGATGAAGAAGGATAAGCAAGACGTTGTACAAGGCCAAGAGTGAAAGAACATGAGGTGGTGGTGTAACCTGTGTGGCAGGATTGCTGAATTGTAAATGTTCTGGCAGTGCGTTATACCAATCCTTAGATTGTGTATCCAAAGCACTCAATGTGGTGAGCAACTCCTGGGGTGACCGGTTTGAACTTCGCTCTGAGTAGACCTTGTTCAAAATGCTGTTCAATATTAATGATAGCTTACAAAGCTCTGTGAATGTGGAAACGCTATAGGCAGGCGATCCTGGGTATGACTGAACATCTGTATAAGCAAAAGGCTGCCAATGTTCCAATTCTTCATATTGGTCCAAGAATGTCAACGAGACCTGGGTGTCGAAGTCCTGTAGGCTTGCGGGGCGACCTTGGTACAGAGATTGAATCTTGTCCACGACAAAAGCACCCCAGAACACCCGGCGACGAATTTCTATATCTTCGTCGGATAGGCGGCGCATATTGCTCAGCATGGTAGCATCTACATGCATACCGAGATCGATAATCATCCTGAACGCCGTACCAGCATAAAGCCACGCAGCACTGCGCTCATCGCCCAATGCAAATAAAGAACTGGTCATGACCAACAAAGCCTGAATCGTGGTAATTTCACTTCGATCCAAAGCACTTCCCAGCAGCTCTTTCACACGCTGGCGGAATGTCCATCCAGCAGTGCGGACATCATCAGGATCTCGACGAACCTCGGGGCGGGTGCTGAACTTTGATGCGCCGAAATAGATCGCGTTCAATAGAAGCTTCGAAAAGTAAGGTCCACCAGTGGCCATGTCCCGCATGAAAGCTGGGCGGTAGGTGATCAAGAAGGAGTGGTGCTGGCGATTCCAGTGCAGGGATAGTAGGTGCATCCCCAACTCGGGGTCGACCCCATCGAAGTCAAGCTTTCCCTGTCGCATATTCAAAGCTTCCAATTGCTCTACTTCATCGTCAGACGGTGGAACTCAATCGGAACTTGCGTGTCTTACGTTGATAGGCCGCTTCCCCCATCAACTGCTTTCGGATATGCTCTACCGGCACCTGCGGATCTGCCGACCGAGGATGGCCATGACGATCGGTCGGAGCATCATCAAACAATGTGCTTGTCAGTCCATGGTAGCTCGACTCGCCATTTGGCGAGATAAAAATCCGCGAAACAGCTGAGTGGGACCGCTTGGCACTTGTCACCGGAGCATCAATCTTCGAAGACCGCTGTGTTTCTTGCCGTAGCTGGGGCGGACTGCCTCCCTCAGGGTCATCTCCGTCTGGTGATTGAGTACCAATGTGACTAAAGTGCCGTCGGAGCTGCCTCCTAAGCTGCTGATTTTCTGCTTCCACCTGCGACAGCCGGGCTTTCGTGGGCCTTCAAACAATCAATTAAGGAACATACGAGTTGATGAGAGATGATGTACCTCGGCTTATCAGGACCCGGGATGTAGGCGCATTCCTGGGCATATGTCTTGCAGTTGGTACATACCGGTCTAGCGTTATCGCAACGGAACTGTGTGCACCGTTAGCCCATGCAATGCCAGGGGACCTCAAAGCTCTGGAATTCACTTGCCTTCCTCCGTCGGCAAAATGCGCAGGCCTTCGCGGCCCTCCGCGGCTTGGACGGTGTGATCCTTTCCATTTCCCAGATTGCAAGACATGAGGTTTCTGTGGCCCACGGGAGAGCAAGTTTGGGCTACGAAGGGGCAAGTTTTCTCCGCGGCAAGTCTTCTCCCGTTCCCCGCGTTCCCCGCCAAAGAGTCTATAAGTCCGGGATGCCACCGAGGACCAATGCCGAGTCTCCCCTATGAGCCAATACGACTAATGGTTGCCACTCTTACTATGGCCGCCCTTGCCCACTCAGAACAAGCTCAGGCGCAGAAGGCACAGCGCGTTAGTCATTCTAATCTCCCTCGATACTCCGAGTAACCTTGTATACAGGTTCACACTCCGCAATGGATTTCCCTCGTAGCTGGAGGAATTGCGGGTGGAGTGGAAGCAGCTATCACGGTCTGTGTATACCCCCTGGTATACACCTGCTCAGTAACTAAGTCTTCACAGTACCCATTCGAATATTCAAAGACACGAGTCCAATTACTGGATAACGGCGCCGTTCGGACGTCTAATCCCTTTCGTCTCATCTTCCAAGTTGCCAAGCTGGAAGGTGTCGGTGCTTTATACAAGGGATGCTCGACCCTGGTTATCGTTGGTCACCCCGGTAACAATTTCAGTCTGAACCCACATTGACCAAAACACCTAGGGAACCACGGTCAAAGCTGCGGTCAGATTTGTGTCATATGACACAATCCGCAATGCTGTTGCCGACGATCGTGGGGTGCTCTCACCTGGTCGCGGCATGCTAGCGGGAATGATTGCAGGGGCAGTAGAGAGTGTATTAGCAGTGACACCAACCGAAAGAATCAAAACTGCCCTGTCCGTATTTCCTATCATGGTGGAAACCGAGAGGCATCTAGGCTGACTTGATTGACACCCAGAATCGACGACGCGAAAGGGGCTCGCCAATTCAGATCCAGCTTCCACGCGACTCAAATATTGGTACAACGACATGGTATTACTGAACTCTATCGAGGTCTTTTGTCTACTGCGATGAAGCAATCCGCCACCTCTGCAGTCCGTATGGGGACATACAATATGCTCAAAGAGGCCATCAAGGCAAAGGGCATCAAGACAAACGTGTTCACAACGTTTGGGATCGGTGCCGTGGCAGGCGTGGTGACCGTCTATGCTACGCAGCCCTTTGATACAATCAAGACACGAGCACAGGGCGTTCAGGGAGCCGGCATTGTGGAGGCCTCCCGGAGCGTGATTCGCGATTACGGGGTCCGGGGATTCTGGAAAGGCAGTTCCATGCGACTGGGACGACTTCTTTTGAGCGGTGGCATCGTGTTCTCTATCTACGAAGAGGTCTCAGCCATTCTGTCTCTTGGGATACAAAGATAATTAAAATAGAAATAGAGATAGAACACATTGCCCACTCAAAGACTTTTGATTTCCGAATCCTAGGCCACTCACCATCCAAGGTTTCATATTTAACCTTGATCGATACACATTTCTTCCTTTCCTGAGTGAACTGGACCGACTGATTTTGCTCATAAATATACAGAACAGGTGTCATTCATAGACTACGCCTAAGCGGTTTGTTCAATCAAATTATACCGCGAAGTCAAACCCAGACTACCCATGCTATGATCAAAGACTTCAATCGAAGTTGATTCGATCATGACATTCGACTAAACCATAACCTATACTAATTTGCCATGCTAATTTGGCGGCTGATTTTACATATCAAATCCTTAATTTGATCGAAATTTGGAAGTTCAACGCACCCAAGACAGCCCTGACAGTGCAGCTTGACAACATCAAATAAGCATCGGAGAAGGTCCAAATCTTGAAAAGTATGCACAAAGACCTCATGTCACAAAATCAATCGCGCTATGCAAACATACACCAGGCATTCCTCTCATCAATATCAAAAGCCCGAACCACATTTTAAAGGGTTCTCCCAAATTCAAACTGTCGTGGTAATGTAATAATATAGCAATGAAACCCCCCTAAACGAAAACAACAATCTCTCCCCGGTCATTCCGTCTCAGTCGAAGCGAGCGCCAAAGATCCTTCTCGTCATCTTCCCTCCGTTCACGATCCGCGCGACTGCGGCCCTGATCAAGGCCCCGATTAGCATCATACTCATCCGAAAGATCGCGATGGAATCTCTTCAGAGCCTTATGCACCGAGCAACCGCGCTCACTATCCTTGGACACGAGAGATAGGAAATGCGTGGCCATCTCGCGCTGCAGGTGTGCTTCACCATGCGTCAGCGCCTTTGACTTGGAGTAGACAGTCACCTGGCGACTGTCACGGTTGGGGGAGCGAGAGTCAGAGCGATGACGCTCGTCGATCTGTTTCTGACGGCGTGAGGGCCGGTCATCAGCGGGGTTACTGCTCTTGCGCTTGGATTTGCGCTCCCGCTCACGGTCGTGTGTCCCTGAGGCGGCGCGCTCGCGGTGAGACTTCTTCTTGCGAGTTTCGAGTTGGCCGTCGTCGCTGGATGAGCTGCCGCGACGGGCGCGGACGAGTGCGCGAGCGTTGTCATCTTTGCTGCCATTAGAGACAACGGAATCGCCACCAAACATGGAAGAGACGAAGCGCTCAGCGCGGTTCTTCATAGAGATTCCAGGCCTTGGTCCCCGTTTGCTTCCTTGCCGTTGCGGCGCGTACGCTTGATGGGGGACGAGTTGTCGTTGTAGGGTGCGCGGGTAATGACGTCCGGGGTGTCGTCGCCGTTAGGTGAGGCAGAGCGCATCATTCGATTCAAGCCACCGGTCAGGCCAGAGTGAGCCAGCATCGGGGTCCCTGCGTTGTTGATGACGCTGGATGGGGCGTCCATCATAGGAGTATCGATGTCGTTTTGAGGACTGCTCATCTCGTCGCCATGACCACGCTTACGCTTCTTCTCGCTGGTTGTGCCAGAGCGCTTTTCCTTGCGGTCCTTCTTCTTCTTGGATGCTGGAGTAACGAACTCGGTCGAAGCATTAGCCGTCTCGTTGGGGTACTTGGACGGCGGGATAGGCCCTCCACCGTATGAAAAGCCATTCTCCTCATACGCGATGTCGTAATGACCTTCGTCATCCGTCTTAGTATCCAGCTTGGCGAGAGCGTCGCTGGGCTCGAACAAGGACTTGGCCTTGGGGTTCATTGCCATCTGCTCCTTAAGGGTAGCCAAGGTAACCTTGGACGCGTTCGGAGTCTCGTCGGTGACCAGGTAGTCGAAGACGTTAACAGCCTTTGTATCCTTCAACGCATCAGCGGTGGGCTTCGCCTCAGCCGCGGGAGGAGGAGTAGGGGCCGGTGGGGGTGGTGCGTTGATGTGGGACTTGGCGAGATCAGCATCCGACGCAGAAGCATCCTCGACCCGGGGTTGCTGATTGCGCGCATTGGTGTTGTTTTTCGCGTTCTGGTTGGAAGTCTTGGGGCCCTTCTTGTTCGGCTTTTCCTTGTACAGCGCTCCCTGATACTTTTGCGCCTCGCTCATGCAGGACTGGAAGACAAGAGTGTGTTAGCGGAGATCCTGGAGAAGAGGCATTCAAATCCATGAAGCCAGGTCCTCAATTATGCCATTCGCGAGTTTTACACCCACACGTAGCCGTGCGAAGACCAATTTGAACTCAATTCAGCCAGAGACGTACTGTATGCGCGCGATACTCCGTGCCGTAGAAATGGACCATGCAGTCAATGCAGGTGAAAGACGCGCCACGACACTGGTTACGGTGAGGATCGAGCTTCTTCTTGGTGAGAATATCACCACAGTTCTAGCATGACGATTGAGTGAGCAAAGAATTCCCCGGATGTCTGCGCTTTGATCGCCGGTATAGGCTTCCATCCCACTCACCTCGCACGAAAAAGACACCATGTTGACGGTTGACAGCGGTTTCGAGGAAAGTATACAATGCGCTTAAGTTGAGTATCAACTGCCGAGGATCGATATCAGAGCGAACGATGTCAAGCAGGATGCGACAATCACAGTCACAGAGGCGAGAGAACAACTGCGGAGATGAAAAAGGAGGAAAGTTATCCCTTGCAGACTCTCGGCGCTTGCACAAGATACCCGTTCCAGCCGTTCGCGCTATTCTCGACGATTTCTTTTTTTTCCCTTTTTTTTTTTTGCGCGTCGAAATTTGAGAAAGGGAAGGCGCGTGGAAATACGCTAACCACTTCCAGTAACCACGCTAGGCCGAATTGGGTTGTCTTATTGATCCTGCCTAGAAGATTAGGTGTCAATAGCAATAGAAAATGCTTGAAAGTAATCAAATGAATAGAGTCGAAACACGAAGGTTGCATGGACGATTGCATCAGGCACACAAGCAAAGCCAGGTGGTTTTATGGGGCCATGTTTCATCGCGCCTGAACGCGACAGCCCCGCGACAGAGGGGCCGGGGCCGATCGGGGTCCCGCCTACTGAGATTGGTGGTTCATGGGGACAAGGGGGGGGGCCACAGTCAGGAGACCAGATTCTTTCATTTGTTATCAGCTGAAAGCCCCAGCTATTTTTGGCCAAACTCAAACAATTAAACATAGGCGGACTTGGGAATAATGGGCCTAGGCTAATGTGACTGCGCGGAATGATCCAAGCTTCTACGTACTGTTTTAGGCTATGGGCCTGGTGGGGTGATAGGTTCGCATTTGGATTTTGTTCACACTGGAGTGCAAATACCAACAACGAGACCTCCTTGGAACAGTCTAGACTTGTCCACAAGGAAGCAACATGGCGAAATCGCGCGCTGGAGGATAGCTCTCCTTCCAAAGCTTTTGAAGACAGTCTTGCGAAACAAAGACTAGCGTGTGCGATAGATACAGGATTATGGTGTAGACCCTATCATGTCAGACCTCGAGGATAAAAGCCCAACCAGGACCGGGTCATGCGCAACGGAGCCTGGATCACCGGATAGGTTGATCCTGGACCGTCGCGTTCGGGTCATGCACTGAGAATTCGGGGATCGGCACGGTGACCCCTTCCCATGGACAAGAAGTACGGACGCACGGCGATATATTGGTCCAGAGCAAAGATTGAGTCTGAGCATAAATCTGGCGCACTGGTTGCAGCGGAACGGCACGTAGATGGAATATCAGGGATGAGGGATATATACGTTTGGATATTATCGGGAACGAGGAATGTACACCAGAGACCAGCTCCATATGCTAAAGCCAGAACGCCATGCAAGATCGACAAGCCTGTCGAGTCTGTTCGACCGAAGAGTGAATGCGCGACATTAATGATGTCAACCGCGCGTGGTCCTGTAATGCAAGTCAGTACGCTATGCGCTAGCGCGATGCGCGAAAGAGAGACACTGACGCTTCCTTGGAGATTTCCACGGCCAGGTGATCGTGAAGATCGACCGCGTTCTGTGGCGTATCTGCACGAGTCGCCGAGCGCCCATCCTTGGTTTTCTCATCGCCACTTTCTTCATCGTCGGCGCATCCGCAGTCGTAAAAGGAGCCGAGATCGTTGCAGTCGAATTCTGGTTTGTCGAGCATCGCGTTGACCTCGTTGTGAATAAAGCATGCCCCCCTGCTGCCGCATTACGCGAGGATACTTGTGGTGGGTACTTGCTTAAATGTTGTTGGAAATGTTCCGCGCATTCGCCGCTGTTTCACTGTTAGATGGATCTAGTACTGTATGTAACACGATTACGAAGGAATCGTAGGAAGGGTAATGTGGAAAGGATGTCCATCGTACCAAGGATAAAGTCGCGCGAAAAGGTGAATGTATGAGCGCAGGGCTTCCTGCTCGTCGAGGGTCGGCTTCTCGGGGAATCGCGCCATGACGGTGTGGAAGTACTTCCATGTTGCACGGCCCAGCTCAGCTCTGTAAATCGCGGCCAGAGAGTCAGTCATTCCATGATTGTCATCTCTATTAGAAAATAAATCTTACTTGGCAGTCTCATTGCCCAGCCTCGGCATCACAACAGCCCCTTTCAATAAATCTTCTTGACTGGTAATCCCTGATGCAGGCGGATTATGTGAAATGTGCCCTGGGGCTCGGACAGCGGGACTCGAAGGTCCCTGCGGACGGATAAAGAGGAAGAACAATAGGCATATTGAGATCGCAGCGCTGATGGCGATGCGCCGTGTGATTTGCCGGTTCGCCATGGCGGGTCGAGGAGCTAAGGTATTGTCGCCAAACGTCCGAACCAACTGGCGCTTAGAGTGATGAATAGGCAGGGCCTTCCCTGAACACACGAAAGATATAGCGTTCTGAGAGATTGAGATTGCTGAAGTTTGTACGAGGAGAAACCTTTCAAAGTTCGTCAAGTCCTGACGTGTCGTGTCCGATAACGGGTGGCTTAGTCATGTCCATATGCGGGCACATCTTATGGCTTTTGTCGTCGGGAGATACAGACTACTACCTTTTGGATGGCCAAGTCTTACGTTTTGAAGGTCCGCAATCAAAATCTTTTATGTCAATGCATTGGTATTTGCCGGAGATCAAAGATTCGGGATCGATGGCAGCTCATGCTCTGACCCATATCGGACATGCTCCGGGAAAAGCTTGGATCCTCGAAAGCTAAGAGGGCTCGAGTGACAGGCCGACTGGACACCTTTTGAGACCGCCAGAAAGGTGCGCCCGTCACTGGACACCATGCTGCTGGAAACTCGAAGGCAGACAAGAATTCAAAGCTACATCTATGCACTCTGCATCTCATCCTGTGCGATGCTGTCGCTCAAACTCGGAGGCAAGTCCTCCTTGCTTGTACCCCAGTTACTCTCTTTGTCACCCAGCGTCAGCTCGAGCGTCATGTCTTCCGTGAAAAATTCATGTCCGATCCAGCTCTTTGTATATGGCTTGCCATTGAGCTTAGCACTTTGAACATATATGTTCTGGTATGTCTTATCGAAGTTGACGTTGCGGATGGTAGCTGTCTGCTTGGTTTCTGGGTGAGTGATTTCAACCGCTTCGAAGAACGGGGGAGTGATGAGGTATACGTTTTGTCCTGGGTTTGGGAACAAGCCCATCATGCTCCAGGCCAAGAAGGAGCCCATGGCGCCGGAATCGTCATTTCCAGGCAGGCCGCTGTGAGTTCCATTGAAGGATGTGGGGATGTAGCTGTGGGCCCGACGGGCGGAGAGTGCTGGACGACCGGCATAGTGGTACTCGTAGACAGTAAGAAAGACGGGCTCGTTGCCGATATCGGCCAGACCTGACTCGTGGAAGTAATCGAGGCGAGCCACAAATTGCTCGGGGCCACCAACGAACTTGATCAATCGGGCAATATCATGAGGAACATAGCTATAAAATATAAAGTGTGAATTTGAAGCTGATAGCAGGGGTGATCCATACAAGAGATACTCCCAAATGCTGGACTCGAATGTCTCAGACGGGTTCGAAGTCAGAGAGCAGAATGTGGCCAAAGCACTGCAAGCAATGGGATCTTGGAAGCCCCAGGTGCCATTAAGGTACTTGGGTTGGAAGAATCCCTTGAAGCCAGTGTCAGTTCCATTTTCCAAGAATGATGTCTGATCAGGCTTAAAAAGATTTTGCCAATTGCTGGCGCGAGACAGGTATTTTGTGTAATCGTCCTGGTTAAGACCCTCGGCCACAATCGAGAGAACGTAGTCGTTATAGGCATACTCCAATGTTCGTGAGATACTGCGAGAATTTGTTCCAAACCCGAGGTAGTCAAAGTCGAGGTATGGAATGTAGTTCAGTCGTTTCCAGCTCTGAAGACCCCCGCGTCCTTCATATGACCATTCCAAAGGTTCATTCTCGGCGTCATTGACCATGGCAGTGTAGGCAAGCTCCCAGTCAATACCGGTCAAATTTTTGACATATGCATCTGCAATGACCACATCGGCATTGGAACCACCTTGTGTCCATCCTTTGCAAAGGGACATGCGGCAATCGGGCAGCCATCCCTCATGCTTGAAGGTATCGAGCAGGCTGCGGACCATGCGGGACTGGGCCTGAGGATCTAAGATGGTCAAGAGCGGGTGCTGCGCTCGAAAGGCGTCCCACAGGCAGTAGAAGGAGTCAAAATACGGCTCGTCACTCTGCCAAAGAGGGTTCTCTCCAGTCATGTCCTGAGGCGAGAGCATTGTTCTGTAAATGCCACTCCAGAAGGCAGCGAGCATATCGTCGCTCGTGCCGCCTGAAGTAACCTTGATCGGTTCGAGCTTCTCGCGCCACGCATTCTCAGCGTGTTGTCGTAGTTTTGTAAAGTCATTGAGCGGATCTGGGATCTCGTTCTCGGCGTTCGAGCAAGCCTGATCAGTGCTTAGATAGCTGACACCTACTCGCGCCGTGACAACCCCGTCAGCGGGTCTCTCAAAGCTCATATATCCTCCAGCCTGAAGATAGAAATTGTTGAATCCCCGAGTAACAAATAGCTCCTTCGGGTCCGAGCCCGCTCGATCATTCACCCAGATCCCACTATCCTGCACCTTCGCGCCGACAAAGTCAGCGCAGAAGAAAGCCTGATAATACCCAGCTCCAAAGCTTGGCAAAAAGGTTCCATTCCCCTGGATCCTTCCAGCTTCCGAGTCAACACTAACAGTCGCATTCTGCCGACCATCCCAAAGATCCGTCAAATCCAACGAAATCAACGGATTCAACAATTTCCCCTCAGCAGTCTTTTGCTCGGGGAACGTAAACCGATAAAGCGCCGCACGTCGCGAAGAAGTCATCTCCGCCTTCACACCACTTTGCAACTCGAGCGCAAAATACCCCGGCTTCGCATTCACTGAGCTCACCTTGTACGGTGTCGCACGCGCAGTCTTCGGAAATTTGCAATTATCTACGGCGTTACCGTCACAGATCTGTGGGAATAGAGGAAATTGACCCATTGAAGGATTCCCGCCTGTTCCACTATCATGCATGTGAGAGAAGCCGGTGACATTGCTTCCGTCCGTTGAGAATCCGCCTGTATTCTGCCCGTCGACATCGGCCACGGGCTTCGCGAGGCCGTATGGGAGACTTGCACCAGCAAAGACGTTACCACCATTTGTGGAGCCGATGAGGGGGTTTACGTGGATGAGGTCATCTTTGGCTGCGAGTGTTGCTGAAAGGAGAGCTAAGCCGAGGATGCCTTTGAGGAACGGCATAGCGTGGAATGTCAAGCGCGCGGTTTACGCGTCGCCGGTCCTGTTCATGAGAAATGGGATCTGGATTGAATATTAGAACGATCGTAAAAATGATATGGAAGCATGGTGGCTCAATCGCAATGTGAATTGCAATGTCGTAATGTCGCAATGTTGCATTGTTGATTCGATCGACGGTGGGAGCAACCGTGGAGCGTTAGCGTTAACGCAAGGGTTGCGGTGAAAGCGGGGTTGGCTGTTTGTATGAGGCAGTTTGTATGATAACAAAATGTGAAGTCAAGAGATATATTATGGACGAAAGAGTCTGCTGCAAGGACAGAAGCTGTAAATATGTGAAAATTTGAATAGAGGTATATACAATGTGATTGTACAGATCTTTTTTTTCTCGTCCAGTTCAGGACCCGCTAGGGCCAGGATGCATCTTCCATCAAGTTCGGAGAATTCCCTTTCGAGAACCAGGAGTTCGTGATCGTGTCAGGCGCTCTTCACTGGAAGACCATAGTTCCCTTGTTCTGCTTCTTACCGACGTCGTAATTCTTCCACATGCCTACGGCGGGAATCAAAAGAACCAAGATGCAGGTCGAGGCAATGCAATTCATACGTTGGGAGTACCCCCAAGCGTGGATGGTGGCGTCACGGAGAACGGATCCAACGGGATATGCATCCTGGGTGGTTATGCCGTCCATATAGATCTGAGTAGCGTTGCCTTTGAGGTCATCGGGCAGCTGGCTGGCGAGCGCGCTCACGAACGTGTTGTTATAGATAGCGGCAGAGACCGCATATCCAATAGCACCACCGATACTTGAGAACAGGCCGATAAGGGCAAGCATCATCGGTGTGCCTTCACGACCACCGCCAGCCATGACGGCCATATCCTCACCAATGACCAGAGTACCGCCAGCGAAAGCAATGAAAATCTGGCACATGATAATGTAACCGATGCCGTGGTCTCCGCCGCGGAAATAGATCATCAGGCCAGAGCCTAGGAGCATCAGAGGAACACCGAAGAACAGGCAGACGTACTTGAAGCGACGAGTAGCCCAGATGAAGACACCAAGCAATGGGGACCAGAAGCAAGAGCCAACATTGTAGATTTGAACCATGTATCCAGCCTTTGTGATGTCCAGGTTATAAGTAATTAGGACATAGTTGTAGAAGTACTGGTCCCACAGGTAAAAGCTGAAGTACAGAGTAGCTGCACAGATGCAAGCACCGAGAATGGTGCGTCGGCGAAGCAGCTCATAGCGGATGAAGTGGGTACGGGCGAACCACTTCTCCCAGGCAGCGAAGACGAAGAGCATACAGAATCCAATTACCACCAGGGCAATAAAGGTGGCGCTAGAGTACTGAGAGCGGCCATACTGGGCCAGACTGAAGGGCAGTAGGAACATCACCCAAGCCGCCATAAGCAGGAAGGCACCAACCACATCAAACTCGTGGATGTAGTGAACGATTGACTCCATCCTGGTGCGGCTGCTGGAGCGGGGCTGCCAAACACCCATCTTGATAGCCTTTTTTTCGTAGAACTTGAAGATGGCAGCCAAAGGCAAGAAAACGGCAGGCTGGATGATGCAGAACATGCCGTAACCCCAGCGCCAGCCGGCCAGATTGTAGATGTGCTCAGCAGCCAAGGATCCGGTGAATGCAGTACAAATGAAAGGAGTCGATGCAAATGCAAATGCAAAGGCACGCGAACGAAGACCCGTGGTATCCGCCACGAAAATGTCAAGAATCAGATACATACAATAGTAACCAATCCAATACAGCACATAACCGGCCGCGAATGCATTGGGGCCATTGCAAGCAGCCAAAATGATCATACCCAGAATATAAATGGCAGTCGAAAACACCAAGGCCTCCGCGCGGCCCCAGAGGTGGAGGGTCTTAGCCAGAGGTAACTTCAGCACACCACCGATGACTGTAGACAGGATGTAGGAAGTAGAGACTTGTGGGGCGGACTGGAAGCTGGAGTAGACGTAGTTGATGAGGGTACCGCTAATGGCGGAGTGCAGAGCTAGCATGAAGAAACAAACCCAGATCCTAAAGTGGGAGGAATTATTAGACATACAATTGACCAAATTCCCGGAATATATCCGGTCAGGGATTGGCTGCTTACCATGCGTAGAGACCGAAGACAACCGGACGGCTCCAGACCAAGGCGGCAGCTTCAGCTTTCTGCTGACCTAAACCAGCCTGGTCTGTAACATGATCGGGGTTCCTCTCAGCTTCCTTGACGTCGTCGTCGATGCCATTGACGCCGAAAGAGTTCTCGGAGCCGTCGCTAGTGTTGGCTTCATATGCCGCAGGAGAAGAACCCTTGCTGTCGGCGCGCTCAGCACCAGATTCCGCCGAATGGGCATGCTTCTCCCCATACGTGATCTCAGAGTCGACAATGGTGCTAGTGAAGCGGCCACCTTCATCGCGACCACGCACGTTGTCGAGAGCACCCATCCTAAAACCCCAGCGACCAATAGGCCGCGATGTAGGGGGACGATAGATCCTAGACCCCAGATAGAGCCAAAGAGCGGTCAAAGGGTGGAGAGAGAATAGAGGGATCAGCGTGGGGTTGCGAAGCACAGGTGGGAGAGACAGCGGCACGGCGGCTCTTAAAGCAGAAGATCTTCGAGCTTCAAGCACCGGGCAAAGGAAATGCCGCTAGAAGCGCCTAGCTTTTCTTGAAAAGTGCAACGGAGCGCATGGAACCCAGAAACCAAGGAACCGTAAAAGGATTTCCACACATGGAGACTGATCAGATAATCCGAGGCCCATCAGATAACAAGCTAGTGACCAATCGGATCACGCAATGGTGGGTGTGGTCTAGCGATTCAATTGGTCAGGAACCCGGCTCCTCCAAATGCGGTTAGTCGAAGTAACAGTGTCGCCCGATGCAGTCCTCCGTTTGCGTGCGACTTCTTTTTCTACAGGTACATTAGAAGAGTCTATGATGCATGATCAAAAGATCATTCTATTCAGAGACCTTTCTTTGTTTATGATTGTTGAACCTGTGGCTACGACTATAGTCGTAGAGGAGAGCTCGACCGGTTACCAGGCGGGAGCCGACGAATTTTGTTTGGTCCCATCAAAGTACCGTCCAATGTCTCTACCGAGGGCGACAACCGTGAGTTCTGAGTCGCTGTGAGTTTCCAGAGCTAGTGCTCCCAAGACAATGATCTCTGGCAGGTGGGTCCTTGACTAAAGGAAAAATGTGCACGGCGTCACTGATTCTTATCAGAATTCGGCTAAGAATCCCAGCACAGCCTCCATCGCAATATATTCTAGCGACTGGAAAGATACCAAGTCCATGGATGGTCTGGGAGGGACACGCCGCGACCGCGCAGATGCCGGCGTGTCCGAAGCATGCCGATTCACCGCGCTGACAGACATGACCCAATTGTGGGACCATGAAGTGACCAGCTCAATAGCCCTAGTGACGTGCTCGGGCCTAGCCTTCAATTTTTTTTAGGCCACACGATCCCTTCTCACGGGCTATTGTCCACTCGACTGTCCACTCTGTAGGCAACTCGCCCGTGAAGCCTGGCGAAATTGCCCAGTCATCGCATCAAACAGGAAAGGTTACGAAGGGTGACACGCTTGGCATGCCCGAGCTTCTTCTCCGCCTGTGGCAAGAACCTTGTCTCACGTCCATCCAGGGATGGCATACCCAGCTCACCCAATCGATCATTTGCCGCATCTAATCTTGATCTAATCAGATTTTTTATTTTTTTTTCCAATCCGACGAGACTTGGAGCAGGTTTTCGGCTAATGCGGCACCGATCCAATCTCTTACGTGATTTCAGGCTCATGCCGTGAAGTTTGGAAGATGTTGTTTTTGGGCATATCTAGCGAAGCCACTAATCATGATGTGGAGCCCCCCCCTTCGGGCACATTGATCGAAGCTTCGACCACACTGCCGAATGGTCCCGACGAGCGGCTCCACTCAGTCTTCTCATGCAGGGTCTGTAAACCGGGTTTCACGTTATCTGATCATTTTTCTAGAGTCTTGGCTGAACGCCGAACCGTATAACTCGTGGCCGCCTGAGACTGACCACCATTCACTGTGGAATTTCTCGAACTTGGCTTCGCCCCTCTCCACTGGCAAATGTTTTTGCCTAGGCAAAATCTGCCGGAATATTTGCCAATGCATCTAGTTCGTCCGAATAAGTGGCGATGATCATGATTTGTACGAAGCCTTTCTGCGCAGGCGCCGAAGCACCATGCGCAAGACCAGCCGAGGAAAATTGTTCCCCACGGAAGCCGCTTGACAGACCTGTCCCACAATATTGCAATTCACTACAGGTCTTGACCGGTGTCAGGTGAGTGGGAAAACGATGGAATAGAGATTTCTTGACTCCGAACCCCTCGGCTTATGGCCATGTAAATCGACATTCGGTGATTGAGTGGTGTTCACCATTCTTATCTATCAAATGTATTGTGGTATTGTTTTCAAGGCTTGAATTTCCGATTCAAAATTGACGCTTTGAGAAGTGGTTGTGATACATGGTCTACCGTTTTAGTTATAATTGTCCAAATCGATTTCTTCTTTCAATTGTTCCCGCCCGCGAATCCTCTAGTTTCTAAGGGCATTCACTCGCCAGCGGTCCTTTTCTCTTCTGGCAACATCGCGGCTCTGCGAGGACTTTGTTCCCAACAGACTCACCCGCATCGACTGCAAATAAAAGCCATGTGTTTGCATAAACACCATGATCATCCTCAATCTCAATAATACTAATCTGTAACACCTCAGGGTTGGTGTCGACAGCTGGGACAAGACGGTCAAATGTTACACCATAATCGTCAATCAACCTAATTTTAATCAATGGCAGAGAGATGATTAGCTGTTGGAATTCAAGAGCTAGTTGCCTCCATTAAGAGAGTTTGGTGTAGGCTTACTCATCCGGACGCTTCTCTGGCATCCAGCCCAAGTACTCATCCTGCACCACTAGATCACCCGGCGCATCTGGACACACATCTCGTCCATATACGACTTGATACGTTAATTATGCTAGCTCCAGACCTGCTGGCTGTGGGAATGTTCGGTCGTGAAGATCCAGACTTCACGGGAAATGTGGTAAAGGCCGTTGTATGGCGGTTAGGGGACCTTCAATTTGGATTCTGAGCGGCAGATCAGGCGGTGGAAGGTAATGCCGGCTGGCGGGAGTGTGAATTAGACCTGGCACTCACCCGCGGGTGACCCTCCGGACCCTCCACCCGAGAGAGTGTATATATTGTAATCATTTTATGGATGCTATGACACTGACGCCCGGTTGCCGGAGATTGATCCTGATTTGGCTAATATGATATTCTTGCTGTGAATAATAGTTGCTTTGATGTACCGTAGTCGAAGCCATTGCTCTTGCGATACATGATAAATAACAACAATTATTTACTACACACATTCAGCAACGCCACCGTAGGATCATGGTCGCTCGCCTGGTCATCGTACGACACCCAGGTGTTGATATGCAGGTGTTGCATCTTGGCCTTTTTTGCCAGCTCCGAGCTCACAAACATGTGGTCCAGCTGTTGGCAGTTCATATCAAAAAGATAAGTGTACCGCTCCGTGGGCTTAATGTTAGCTACCTCTTCGAGATCCTTAAGACCGGATTCATGCAGGAATGTTTCCAACGGCTGCGCAAAGGTGAATTCGTTGAAGTCGCCCGAGGCGATGATCTTGGCTTTGTGGTCTTGGGCCAGGATGGACGATGTAAAGTCCTTTCATCCCGTTAGTATCGATCCAAATTAGAGAGGGAGGACAAACGTACAGCAACGAGCTTCGCCTGCGCCTCACGCGTGGCAACGCCCCCGTTCACCGGCGGGCGGGCATCGCCCTCGATCGACGACCCACCTCCCTTACTCATAAAATGCACATTCACCGTGAAGAACTTGTTCTTGCCGTCGAGCGTTTCCCAGGCTGCGGCCAGCGGTTTGCGGCTGTCGTGCCAGGCGTCATTGGACGGGTCGATCAGGCCGGGGTTGTACTTGAGTTCGGGGCCAGCGAGGACCTCGTTGGCGTCGGTGTTGGAGCCGGGATTGGCGTTGCGCAGGCGAATCACAGAGGGGTCGTACAGGTAGCTGACGCGGATGTTACCGCCTGGTTGGCCGCCGTCCTGCTTGTTGATCGGGTCAATATCGATGAAGGAGTAGTTGGCGCCGCCTTGGTTGGTGATGGCCTGCACGAGGGTCGAGAGAGTCTTGTTGGCGGATACCACTGCAATAGCATTAGCTCGTTCGGCAGGCAGGAAGGGAGGAAGATATACCGCCGTCATTAGTCGGCCCGTCATCATCCTGAATTTCCTGCAGAAAAACCAGCGTTGGACTCTTCAGATACTGCACAATGTGCTGGGCAATCTTGGGCAGCGTCTTCGAGCTAGGAGCGAGGTTGTTGACATTGTACACGCCAAACGTCAGAGCGCTGCAGGTTCCAGCGGACTCCAGATTCGTAGGAGCAGCGGCCGTCGTCTTCGACCCGGTAACATTCAATTTAGTCAGGGAAGAAGCGCATAGTACCCGTACGCCGCCGTGATGATGCCGGTGATGTCGCCAATTGCATCCCCCAGCTTGGTATCCTTAGGATTCTTACTGCCATCCAGCGGAGACCCAACGAGGACAGCCTCGGGGTTCGAATCTAAGTCATTAGCAGCTCGTCCACGGCTTATCGACAGGAAATTCTGGAGAGACAAACCCTTATTTGTCATGGTCAACCCACCCCTCTCATTCTCCCCACTAACCTTCCAATCTCCAAGCACCCACGTATCGCCATAAGTATTCGGCTTCGCAATGGCCCTCACATTCTCCATCCTGACCAACTCGCCACTCAGACTCTCCCAAAAATCCATCCCGAACTTTCCAGGGTTCAACTTCGGATTCTCCCTGCTAATCAGACTCACATTGTTCGGCACAGACAGCACATCCCCCCCATCCAGAGCGGAGAACTGCTTGGTGGGCGGGGTCCGGCTACCCTTCCCACCCTTCCCGAGCACCAGCGGCACGACCTCATTGCCGCTTGAGATGACGGTGATGGCTGATGCCGAGGTGAGTTCCGTTTGATACACGTACGACGGCGAGGAGCGGTACTCCGCTACCTTGCCCGACAGGGTGATGATATCGCCGACGGAGACATTGCGGGCGCCGGCGCTGCCATAAACATAGATTGATTCCGAGGTGGCGTCGTCGTGGTCTGGGGCTGTGGAGCGCAGGTAGAAGCCTGCGGTGCTTTTGGCTGTTACCAGGCCTTGGATGTTGGTGACTGTTTGGTCTGCGTAGGCCGAGAGGTAGCGGTTTCCATTGATTTCGCTGATGGTTAGGGCCGAGGTGGAGGCGAGGAGCGCCGAGACGCAGAGGAAGAGGGAGACTGCCTTTAACATCATTTTTATTTTACCGACTTACCCAGAGTGAGGGCCTCCTTTGTAAGATTGTGAGGCCTGAGACATAGGCACAAGGCTCATTTTTATATATATTCAGTATAGTAAGGGGTAATTGCCTCGGCGGATGCCGGGCAATTGGGCTTGGATACAGTGATTTGACTGACTATCTAGACTATCGTGCTCGTAGGATGAAGTTAGATTATTTCCAGGGTAATCCCGATATCCCGGCCCCTTGCACCAGTAACGGGCCCTAGTGAAGCCCATGTTCTAGCCACGTTGTAGAGCCAAGCCGCCGCCAAGCACGCCAAGAGGGCCCGTGAACGCAACACCAGCCGCAGTGTTCATGATGTAAGGAGAATGCCAAGTCTACTGGGACCTGAATGTCATTCCCGAGGCTGGCAATTGGCAGACTGCGAATTGTGGCTGGTTACCTCTACATCCGATCAACTAAATACATCCGTCGCGTATCGCTCCTTTGTCTTTAGATTATCCAACAACTTCTCCGCCGCAGCATCCTCGTCCTCGCCAAGAGCGACATCCTCGCCACGTTCCCGTGCCTCCTAACGCAATTGGCGTTTCCTCTCCCGGTAAATGTCCTTGCAGGCCTGGCGCACCCCGTTCCTGACGCCCGTGCTGCCACACATAGATCGTAGCGCCTTGGTCAAACAGACTGACCAATTCTTCGCGGTCTTCCAGCATCAGATCCTGCACATGACGGCCATTTGACCCATCCTCAGGCCGGCTGTAAGCCCACCTCACGTCAACAGCGCCCAGTCGAGCACAGTTAATTCATTACCGCTACCTAACCAGGCGGGGAAGAAAAGAAGCACAGCATTCCGCTGCGTTGGTCCTCATAATTGTATCAGATGAAGGAATGGCCAATTTCATTACGTAGTCTCCGCGACACTCTTTGGTGTCCCGCTGCCTGCACCGTTTGGGGATAGCGATCCACTTACCGAAATAGCCGATCCGGGCCATTTGCTACCGACACTCTTTGGGGTCTCGCAGCCTTCACTATTTAGGCGCAACAGTCTATTGCAGCCTCATTTGAACACTTTGTCCTCAGTTCAGGATGAGGGGGTCAAGATCTGGCTTCCTATCTCTCGGAATTAACTAATCGTAGTACTTTCTTGCTATACATTTTGTGTTACAGAGAGGATTTGAACTGAAATAGTATACCAGTTTCCTGCTTGTAGACTATCACGTTGTACACTAATTTACTATAGGCAATAACGGAAAACCCTTAGAATATTGGTTCAACCCTTTCACCGATTTACGTAGAAAGATTTTATTGCCCACCCCTATTTGCGAAAATGAACTAGCGACCCATATAGTGACGGCAATTTTTCCAGGGCGGTTAACGTGCCATTTTTGTCTTTATAACGTGAATCACCGTAAGACTAAGTTTCTTTTTATGATGAAAATTATGTCTTTCTTTCCGTATCGAAGGTTCAAATTTTCACTTTTTCGCACTTAGATTTTAGGACCTCTATTCATTGTGCTTCTCCTTTCAACCAGCTTTAAAAGCACTACTCTCGGCCCTCTATCTGACAAGTGTTATTCTATTCAAGAAATCTCAAAGAGCAAGACATCATCTTCTAATGGCTACTTAGGAAAGAACCCGATCCAATAAAACCTCTATAAGAAAATCGATTCGTCAAAGACAGTACCGTCGCAAGACAAATATGATGAAAAAGGCGTCTGAATATAGCAAGATATGTGATGCGGATGTATGCGTAGGTATTCGCATGCGGTGAGACTAGTCAGGTACATATTTTGTCCGCGGATACTTCGGGAAATATCTTAAAGGGCTATAATATTAGAAGGGGATAGGTAAGCTAAGTATCTATAAGCTATTTATATAAGCTATACGTATAATCTAGACTATCGCTTAGCTTTAAACTGTCACAGGCCAGTAGACCTCATAACCGCCCGCGAGCCGCCCTTGAGGGCCGCCCACGGACCCGCAGTTTTGCGGGCGGAGGGCGGGCTCTACCTACCCGACCCGGTTGGCCCTCAAAATATTTTGAGGGCCGACAAATATGACAAGAGCTTAATAGGTTATTAGGTCACTGATCTTTTTAGGAATTATCATGATTCTATGTTTATTTAATTACTACTAATAGTAAATTTTGGAAGCTTCTAAGATCAAAGAAGTTGGTCCAATTTCGACCTAATTAGCTTTTAGTAGTCATATGACTGAAGTCACTATGTCAAGATATCAAGACGACTGTATAACCTACTAGCGATTACCAGTCATAAATAAGTCGCTCTCGTCAGGTCGTTGGGTCAACCCCTGACCTAATAACCTAATGCGCTACATGCACCAGAATGGCTATCTCGCGCAGAATACCAGAATTGGAATAGCGTTATCCGCGATAAGAGCACAGCCTTTGAGGGCTGACGTCTGGAATTGTTTCAGCAGAAAGTTTTGTCGCATGCTCCTTAAGACTTTGCTATAAGCCCAAATAAATGCTTGAATTGACCTCAAGTTTGCATAGCCCTGAGAGCACCACAATTTCACCGGCAAGCCTCTACCGCAACCCAGCCAGTGACGCAGACTGCACTCCCCCACCGATTTCCCTAGCATTCGATTGAGCTGGAACCACCCACGACAAAATTTCTACATCTTCATCAGAATGGCTGAGAAAATGTCTCAGGATACATCTGAGCACTTGAATCAAGATTCCACCGCGGTAAACACTGCGCCAGAAGATCAAGAACCCCCGCCGTATTCAGCGCATGGACCAGCTGAAAGCTCAGCAGCTCCCAAATCAGGCTACTCCAAGGCTCGAGAGGCCGGTTATACTGAAGCCTCAACTGTTACCCCTCAGCAAGGTTCGTCATCAGCTCCAGTGACACCATCTTCAAGTCATCGTCGGCCCATCGCTATCCCAGCCATCGACTACGCTCGCGAGTCTCCTTTTCTCCGCTCCTATGCGCCCGTGTTGAACGAGCATAATATTCCCAAGGACAAATTCCTCGCTTTCTTGGATGAGCTGAACGATGTCATGACCACCAGCCCGCCTATGCAGGTGCTAGATGCAACAGGTGGCATCCTCAAATCCGTGCCCATCTTATTTCCTCTCCACTGGATTGGCTCAGCAGTCAGCGGGCTGGCAAATCTTGGTGGGCAAGGGATCTCGAAGAGTCGATCCGACACGGCCATGCGACAAGCCAACAAGGAGCTATTTGCGCCGCATGGCCTAAAAGCTGAAATTGCCAAGTTGGACGCTTTAGCCCATATCGCAAAGATTCCCATTTTAGACTCTCAGGGCAAAGTCAACAAACACGCATCTCTGATTCAACAGCTGGGCGAGCTCTCCACCGCTCCAGTGGACGAATCGCAGGAACTCGATTTGCAGCAACGTCGAATTCGAGTTCTGCAGCCGTGGATTGCCGAGCTTGAGTTGTATATTAAGCCTTGGACTTCGAAGTCTAGGCTGACCCGCTTTAACGCGGCGTTGAAGAAGAGGAACGATGCGAAGTATCAGGATCCTTCGTCTAGCATGGAATCTGGCGCAGCGGAGGAAGACATGGGTTTTCGTAAGAGTCTCTGGCTGATCATTCGAAGGGCTGAAGACGAGAATTAGAAGTGATTATTCATGAGGAAGGCATATTGGAGATTTGTCTATAGCTTACATGGTAATCATATACCCAAGAAGCTCAGATATATTCTTATCGAACATTTTCTTCCCATGAGTCACATGCAATCATCCAAATCACAGTATATTCCACACCTTTGTTATTAACACGTGGTGTAACCTGCTACCCACCACGGCGAAAAGACATGTTTAAGCTACCGCGTGTCGAGCTCAGCTCTTGGTTTTCGCATCGCCCTGATCCCATTTCTCGCATTGAAGTCTGTCCAAGGATCTCACTATAGGCTATTGCAAAGCATGGGCTGTTTGTTGCTACCATGTTCAGATGTCATGCCAGAAGCACCGTCGATATTCGGGCCATCGAGCTCCGAAGCCGGCCTAGAAAGCGTTTGGGGCGCGATTCTATCAGCGATTTGGAATCAGAGCAGAGAGCACTTGACATCTCTTGCCGTGCCAGATGGCACAACCAATGAGATCCATCGGCCGAGAAGCCCGATCAAGGGCAGATGGTGTGTCCGTGCCAGTACGCAATTGGGAGCATGCAAAGAAACACTGACGCGGGGGGGCTCCACCGGTCTCCACTCGCACCCCCCTTTTTTGTGGCGCGGGTCTGGGGTAGCCCCCAACTACAGCACGAATCATTGGAAAATTGGGATTCGGATACAAGGTGTGCTGATTTTCTACACGTAGCTTCCATTCACTAGTCCTTCGAGTCGTCAAAATGCGAGAAGGACACATAGTCTGAAGCCAAGAGATAAGCATAGACCCTCCTATTCACGGCCCCGTCCACCAACAGCGTTCAGACTTGGCTCTAAGCTTATGCCTTCTGATCACAAAGCCACACGTCTCATGTGGGATTAACCCCGCGCATAGTCACAGAATCTCTTATGCACAAGATTTATACACAATTGATCCTCAACTCCGTCGGGCAATGCGCACTCAAGGTCTGCATAAAGCCAAACAGGCTAGTTCATTCATACGGCTGAATCCAGGAGGGAGCAGCACTCAAAGAATTAGTGGATAATTCGCTGCATGGCGGACTGAAAGTCGACCTTACTTCCGAATCCCGTGTGGACTTAACCCGTCTTACTCCCGTTATGCTTCCATGATCTTCCACCTCATGAAGTTCTCCCTTCTCTTGTTTCGTCCCCGTGAATTTTCAACGGGCTCTCTCATCCCCGTCCATTTATAACGATTGTCGGTAATTAATTCACATCCTTCTCGCATGACGTGAGCTTATGCTTGTTTTGTCGCGGCAAAAACTTGCTTCGTATTGTTCTCCTTCGGCTTCACTTCCGTCCGCTATCAACTCATATCGGACGCAATATCCAAAGATCATCTCGAGGCGAATTTGACGCGACGAGAAACAAAAAACTTGAAGGTGTGACCGATAGGTACAGGGAAGCAAGGCTTCCAGGATGAGGGACCGTTCGAGTATGCGACTTCCCCGCACAAGCGAGTTCCGGACATCTGCGTGCTTGTGCGGAAAAAAAAGTATACATGCATGCACAATTCTGACTCTATTATGCAGACGCTTCTTCCATTGACGGGTCAACGCCGGCAGCCAGCAACGGTGACCTTCATCATGTCGACGACGAGAAAGGTTCTGTCTATGAAAAGGTGGACATTGAGAAAGGACCCACTCTTGGTGCCGGTATAAAAGAGACGGAAGCGCGCGATCCGAATATTGTCGATTGGGATGGGCCAGACGATCCCGAAAATCCTCTCAATTGGACGGCGAAGAGAAAGGTCACTGCGACGGTTTCCATCGCCTTGATCACTCTGCTCACGTCAGTCCATTGATCTCCCAGGCCAAGAAACTTTTCGCTAACGTACATCAATAGACCTCTTGGCTCGTCAATGTTTGCCCCGGGCGTTGGGCAGCTAGTCACTGATTTCGATATCACCAGCACCGAGCTCGCCTCATTCGTCGTTTCTGTATACTTGCTTGGGTACTGTTTTGGTCCGCTTCTCATTGCACCAGTCTCGGAAATCTATGGCCGTCGCGTTGTCTATAATGTGTGCAATGTTCTCTATGTTATTTGGACCATTGCCTGCGCTGTGGCTCCGGAGATTGGCAGCTTGACGGTGTTTCGATTCTTTGCTGGTTGTGCGGGAAGCTGTCCATTGACGATCGGGGCTGGCTCCATTGCGGACATGTTTGTTCAAGAGAAGCGAGGTAGCGCAATGGCGGCATGGGCTATTGGTCCTCTTATCGGACCTGTCATTGGCCCCGTTGGTATGCTATTCTAGATCGGAGTGTCCAGACTTGCACTAACCTTGATATAGCGGGTGGATATCTCGCCCAGGCAAAAGGCTGGAGGTGGACCTTTTGGATCCTTGCCATGGCTGTGAGATCTGTGATTCCTGGACCGGTTTTCAGCCTACTGACAAGATTCCACAGAGCGGTGCTGTAGCAGTCAGTTCCTTCCTCACGGTCCGCGAATCGTATGCGCCCACTCTCCTCGCCCGCAAAACGAAGAAATTGCAAAAGGAGACCGGGAACATGAACTTACGCTCTGCTCTTGACACCGGCCGCACTCCCAAGGATCTCTTCATGTTTTCAATTGTTAGACCGACCAAAATGCTGTTCTTGTCGCCGATCGTCTTCCTACTTTCTCTTTACGTTGCTGTCATATATGGATACCTCTACCTCTTATTCACCACGATCAGCGACGTTTTCGAAACACAATACGGCTTTTCGCGAGGATCTGTTGGGTTATCTTATCTGGGAATTGGAATTGGTTCCCTCATAGGACTGATTTGTCTCGGTGCAACGTCAGATCGCATATTGAAACATCTTTCCGAGAAAAATGGAGTCAAGAAGCCCGAATACCGATTACCGGCAATGATTCCAGGATCATTTTTCGTGCCGGTGGCGCTCTTCATGTATGGCTGGACTGCCTACTATAAAACACACTGGATTGTGCCTATCATCGGCACATCATTTTTGGGCGTCGGAATGTTGATCTCTTTTGTAAGTCACTATCCTACATTCAATCGGTGGAGGTTGGAGTGTGTACTAATTTTTGATCCGTAATCCAGATGACGGTCAGCACTTATCTTGTTGACGCATTCACTATCTACGCTGCGTCTGCTATGGCCGCGAACACTGTCTTTCGATCCCTCGCCGGCGCTCTACTTCCGCTTGCCGGACCCCAGATGTACGCCACTCTCGGGTTAGGATGGGGTAACTCCCTTCTTGGGTTCATTGCTCTGGCTATGTGCCCGCTGCCTATCATCTTCTATGTGTACGGTGAGCGCATTCGGACCAGCAAGCGTTTCCAAGTCCAATTCTAGACGTTCTGGTTCTGTCTATACCGGAAAAATGAGGGCTAGCAGTGCGGTATAGTTATCGCTGCTGTTCTCCACTTATATTACACACATATGTACCGATGATAATGCCCTATCGGATGTTCTACGGCTACATTGCAAGCATTTGTTTGGCGCTTTGATCTTTCATTTGTGAGCCGTTTTTTTGATTGGAGGTTTTGAGAGTATGTTGAGAGGCATTTCTTAGCCCATCTATTAGCAATTATACGCACGTCGAATTATAGTTCTGGTCATCAGCCTTATTGCAGGTTTCAATACCACTAGAGTAAGAAATCAAAAATGAGAGGACCGCAACTTTGATAGCTCTATTCTTTGAATGGAGTGAATCGGCTCATGACGCTCTCGGCGCTTTCCACTTCTGCCTTCAAAACCTGCCGCCTGTCCTCACTCCGCACATCAATCTTACACTCGAACTTACAACCGGGCATTGACTGAAGTTAGACGGAGGTGCGTTTGTGTATTGAGAGACCTGTTTCGAGCTGGCAAATCTCAAGTAGAGGAAAGGCTATTTTTTATATATTCAAATTTCCGCTCCACCTGAGGACACCCTTATCGCCGTACTATTGCTTTTGCACTCAAGCTACGGGCCAATATCACCGTGTTCGAGCTCGGAGGTATGAGGCAGGCTATAAGAGTGGTCAAGAGGTGATGGAAGCTGTATAGGTGGATACCAATCAAGTTTAATTCATGCAGCCTAATTACAGAAAAAAATGAGAACAATGAAAACATCAAAGACATAGAAAAAAATCTAGCACAAACGCGGATGAAAAGACGTATACCCCGTTCGTCCTAAGCTGGGTTGGGTACGAGCAAGGTACAACAGACCAGAGGGCGTCCTGAATGGTGACATGAATCTAGTATAGCTTGGTCCAAAGACCGGATTCTTGGTAGTGTTTGCTCTGTCGGACCAATAAGAAGGCGTATTTGAGCATATGAAAGCGATTAACCAAGACGCGAATGGAGAAATGAAAGGACCGGCCACATGCACTATCTCTTCGTTATCGCTTAGAAGGGAGTACGGTGCTCAATGCCGATTTAGTATCCGCCAATGCGAGTCGGCCATCAAATAAAGCATTCGAAGGAGCTATCCCTGAAAAATATGCAGATTTCAAAAAACACCCAGAGGCTCGGAAAGTCTCGCCTCCGGCACCGAAATCCCGCGGTTGATAAAGGCATGTGGCCTGCAGCCATCTACCCCAAGGATTTCCAGCTGCGTCCAAAAGCTGCATCTCGATGTTGAATCGCCCCCTTATGATCATGCCTCCGCCGGTTTGAAAGGCCGCATTCTGTAGCATACCAGGATAGTTTAGCAAATCTAGTCTCAATGCTAGTCTGTCGTCGCGGAAAATCTCAGTTTCTTCTGAGCCAGTATCCCACAGGAAATTGTCGATCCGCACAATTCTCGTAGAGCCTATCAGTCGAGCTTGGACGGAAAACTGGTATTGAGTTGATGAGTATTTCTATTTTAAGAGGGAAACTCCTAGTCCAGTTGATATAATTTTGAGTGGCTAGATAGCAGTTGGAGGAGAACTCACAAGATGAGCGTGCTCGTTTATATTTTTTGGGAACCTCGTGGATATCCTCTTCAAATTTTTTGCAGGTGCCTAAAGTCATAGTGATTAGAAGCTCTAAATTTGGAAGATTTGGGGAACCTCTTACATTCTCTACCCATGGTAAGCCTCCTCCATTTTGCCTTCGCTTTTCGATCATCTCCTTATTGATATCCGCTTCCTTTTCTGCCCATTCCCCCCGTGTGATATTTTGAATGATCTCACCATCAAACCAGACGGTGACCCTATTGCGATCGAACTCCAGCTTCTTGCTACGGTAAGACTCTAAGACTGCATTCGCGTTTTTCATAGTCTCCTCTCCATACTCAAGCTCTTCTTGATCACGGAGTTCAAATTTGAGGCAAATGATCCTCCAGAGAGTGTCGGGATGAAGATCTTCAGCCTCATCTGGGTCAATACTAGGTAATGCTTTAGGAACATGCCTGTCAAGAAATCTGGTTGACAGTAACCACAAAGGCAAAGAACATAGGAAATTGAATGTCTTACGGTCTTCGGTGGGGTACGAATCTGTCCAACCATTTCAACTCTTCTTTGCAGGTATCAACATTCGTATGTTCCCTGATAAATTTCTCTCGCAGCTTAACACTGTTCGCCCGGACACTGTCAACAAATTAGCATCGCCGCTTACTCGCAAGTACCAGTGAGGGCATACGTTTCATGGTCGATGTTGAAAATCGCTGATTTGACCTGCTCAACCGGGTAAATAGCCAACATTTGATCAACCGTTAATCGCGTATCCTTATCTTTAGCGGTAGTTTGTGTTGGGAGCCCAGTTGCTTCAATTGTTTCAGACCGCTCTCTCTGCTTCTCAGCGCGCATTCTTTTCGTTGCCTTTTCCTTCACTTTACTTGGCTTTGATCTCGACGAATGCAGGCTCTGCTTCACACGTTCCGAGGACAGCTTTCTTCTCACATTCTCTGCTGGCGTCCTTTTCCTAGTCTTTGATTTAGATATGCCGGCATAGTTTTGTGTTGGCATTTGGATGATTTTCAATATCAACGAAGGCGAGATATTTACTGGTGAGAACGAAGAATTGCAATCATTTTTTGACAGAACAGTCATTTTAAATAAAAATATCGAAGGGGCCGAGATATTCGTCAAAGCAATGAACTACAATCATTCTGATTCTTGAGATTCTCAAAGATGGCCGAGTTCAAAGTGAATGCGACGCGAGAAAAACAAAGAGAGGCCAGTCCAGATACTTTTCTTCAAGTGTCTATTTTTTTTCTTTTTTCCCTTCTTTTTCTCCATTTCTTTTTGCCAAAATTAGGAAATAATGAAAGAAATTACCAGCTATTCAAGCGTGGGTAAGTAAGACGTGGAGAGGTCACAATAGACTGGGTGTTCTCTTACTATTTTTTTTTAAAACAATGCGAAGGTGGTTTTTTCTTTATAATTCTCATACTGAATTGCGCAGATATTCTATAATATAGTGATCAAAATTCTATATTTTTACAAGTCAAAAGACCTCAGGCGAATTAGATCGAGGAGTAGATGCGTGTCTACTTGTCGGGATATGAAAGGAACCATTCACATCAACGGTAGAGCCTATTTTAGTAACGGCTTTCAGCCCCTGGAGCAGCAAAATTTTGGTCATTGGCAAAGGTCGCAGCTCCTCTCCTCAAAATTTCTGCTCTTTTTGATTCTTTCTTGGCTACTTTATTAATATTAAAAACCAATTGAGTTCTATTTCGATTCATTTTCAGATGATCCTAGCCTAGAGATGGCTACTAGTGCCCAACCCACGCATGGAGGAATTCCGCTGACTGAGTCGATGTCAACACCTGCATAATAAATATCCAATTCGTGGCATACCATCACTTCCTACTTATGCGAAGATGTTCTTTTCCTATATACTGAAACACATATCTTGGCAATAGAGGCTGCCTCCTAGCCTGAGGAGTGTCGAACCTGAAGCATGTGCACGGTGATAATTAGCATTGGAGTGTTGCAGCATAAGCTTTGACTTTACTCCTAGTCTAACACTCAAGGCTTTTTTTTACTTCATGGCCCGCTATTTTCGACTAGTGGTACTTCGCTTACGGCGAAAAGATCCAAAATGTAGCTAATTTTGCCGAGGGTCTGACCTGATCCACAAGGAGACCCCTGAAAATACGGGGTCCAAGCAACGGCTTCCAATTTATCAGAATGGCTAGGTGGGCTACTGCTGTCAAGTGCTTAATATAGAGAGTCATGGTCCTGACTGCAGATTTTCACGGCTTTCTATCGTACTTTCACAATGTTTTTTCGCGGCCTTCTCGCGTTCTACGCAGTGACCTATGTAATTGCGCAGACCACCTATGATTCGCCTTTTTTGGCTCAATTCCTTATTCTGAGCGATTATTCCATTTCCACTGTTGGTGGTGTACGTTTTGAAACTCTTCAAAATGACATAGTCATCGATGACTGACTATTCCACCATTTAGGATGCCACTCACACAACATACAACGTTCGATGTGACCGCGCTGCCACTCTTTGTTCGCTTCCTCCAACCGGCGTTGCTGTCTTCACTGCCCCTTCTTCCGTGGGACTCTCATATACAGAGCCAATGGAAACCTTGTAAGCCAGCGCCTGACGCAACAAAGAGCGTGGAGCTGATGCTTTGACAGGACTTCCTCTGTGGGCTGCACCTACGTTGACTCTCGCGCTTCGGCAGTTTGTATTAATCTACTCGCCGCTCCGACCGAAATCATCGAGAGCGGCTCCTTGGTTCCAAGCATGGTGACATTTCGATCTACAACGACACTACCTGCCGCCTCAGTTGAGCTAGGCTTCGGTGCAACGAGCACTGCTGCCGATGCTGTTACTACTGGGAAAGCGGGAGCCACGGTAGACCCTACTTTGACAAGTACGGTGGCAATGAGCACCACCACAGCTGTAAGTGAGACAAAAACCGGCGGCGCGACAGACACTTTTGGGCGTGGGAATGCAGGTCTTGTTGCTGGCGCAGCAATCGTTGGGCTGGGACTGATCTAGTCAAATGGAAGCTCGACTAGAGGTTCCAAGGCTTTATCGGTTGGAGGCCCACACTCTATATGTATAGATGAAGTGCATTAAAAGACAAGTTCAGGTGCACAACGCATAATAAGCGGCAACGAAGACTCTGCTGCATCCGTAGTGCCCCTCTATAGCCGTGTATCCATCCTTCTGCTGTTTACTATCACGAGATCTCAAGAAATACTATCACAACAAGGCAGCAGGCACCAAATGGCACCAGTATTTCGCCGTTCAAACTATGCTCCATGTCATGATATGAAGCAAGGTGGTAGTTCCGGTCTTCTTCTCCATGCAGCCCGGTTACGATGCTGATACTCGAAAGGCTAGTATGGTATGTCAGGTTCGGCCCCCCGCCCCCACCTCTTTTGTTGATCTTGTTTAGAACATTCTCTTAGACTTACATTATTTTAAGAATGACGCATGTAACGCTGAGATCCGATACACAATTAACGATACAACAAGGCAGAGTATGTGCAAAGAGTGATTGGATGTGGCCCAAGCTGATTTCGGATACGAGCCGAGGAACAATGCGGGACTTCCGGCAAGGAAAATTCACTTCGACTCAAATTGTTAGAACGGCGCAAACCTCTCAGAGAAGTGGCGAGCAGATCAAGAACAGAGCTCATCGCACCAGCCATTGGGTGACTCATGTAGTTTGCTGCATGACTCACCCGCAGTTCGCCTCCCTCACCGCTCTGAGCTCCGCCTGATACTGCCGGTCAACGCTTTTTATCAGCCTGCGGTACTTTTCGCCTTCGTAAATCAAACGTTGCCCTTGGGCCTGATCCTTTCTCATTGTCTTTGGATTCCGTTGGTGCTTTTCGCATCGTTGAATTTTCTTTTTTTTTTGGAGTAGTATCCGAGCCTTCACTTCCCACCATCCCCACATTCACCTTACCGATCATAATTCTACCAATCCAATCCTGTTTGCCAGCTTCAACAATTTTGATGAGCGCACCGATACTGGCTCAGCAGCTTTCTTTCAATCCTTCTGTCATGTCAGCTCCGGAAAATAGCCCATCAGCTCCAGCTGCCTCGCGTTCTAGGCACAGACGCCGTGGGAGAGGCCCCGCCAACCGTGGAGGTCAACAGGATACGCCCGCCACCTTAACGAACGAGCAATCTGCTCCACAAACATCGCAACATCAGTCGAACGGTATTTCGATTCCTGAACAGCCGAATAGCCAATCACGCTCACGAAGATCAAACAAGGAAGGCAGAGGATCTGGACGACGAGGAGGGCGGGGCAATGGAATTCGACGAGCTGGGCAAGGACAGACTGCAGACCAAAACGAGGAATCACAACAACTTCAGTCTCGTGCCATGCGTGCTCGAGGCTTTGGGGCTCGTTTGACTCGATCAGACCAAGATGGAACCATATCACACCCGGAGTTGGTGACGGAAGCCGACGCTAGTCTTCGTGCTGATGCACCAGACTTTGTCCCGGGTCCACCAGCAACAAGCACACTTGTTCCACCATCGACAGCATCTACCAAAGGAAAGGGTAAGACTAAAGCTAAGCTCCCGCCTAAGCCTCACAAAGTCACGACCAAGTCAACAGCCGGTGACATCGCCACTCGAATTCATGAAGACATTGCTCACAACCTCTATGAGTGTCCCATCTGCACGAGCGAACTAGGCCGACGATCTAAAGTTTGGTCTTGCGAATTGTGTTGGACCGTGTTTCATCTGAGTTGCATCAAGAAGTGGTCCACCAACGAAGGAGCCGCCGCTCAGAGGAATTCTCGACAGCAAGATGGCGATGAGCCTGTTTCTCCTCGTGCCTGGCGTTGCCCTGGATGCAATCTCTCTCATGAAATATACCCATCCACCTATAGCTGCTGGTGTGAAAAAGAAGTCGATCCTAGACCCCTCCCTGGTCTGCCTCCACATTCATGCGGTCAGACATGCTCACGGCCTCGTAAGGGTTGCCCGCATCCGTGCGATACAACTTGTCACGCAGGTCCTTGTACTCCTTGTACATCGATGGGACCAACTCAAGATTGTTTCTGCGGTCGGAATTCATCTACCAAACGATGCCAGGATACCAACTATGAAGAAGGATGGAGCTGTGGTGAGGTCTGTGGTGATCTCCTCCCATGTGGCGAACACACTTGTCCCCTTCCGTGTCATGAGGGTTTGTGTGGTGCCTGCGAGGTCTCGATAGAGGCCCGTTGTTATTGTGGTAAAGTGCAGACCAAAATGCTGTGTAGCTCCAAGGAGGATGAGATGGAAAGCCAGACAGTCCGTGATGGATCCGAGGAGCACTGGACTGGATGCTTCGCTTGCAATGAAACCTGCAATCGCCCATTTGATTGCGGTGTGCATTTCTGCCAAAAAGGCTGCCATCCACAGGACTTGCATCCAGCCCATTGTCCTCGATCTCCAGATGTTGTGGTTCGTTGCCCATGTGGAAAAACACTATTGGATAGCATTGCCGGTTTCACCCCACGTACATCTTGTGAAGATGGAATACCCAACTGCCAGGAGCCATGTGGCAAAATGCTTGCCTGCGGTCACTCCTGTGACAAAATTTGTCATACTGGCCCTTGTGGTGCCTGTTTACGCCGAGTTCCAATTCAATGCCAGTGCGGCCGTAACACCTCCTTGAGTGTTTGCCACCAGGGTAATATCCAACCTCCCCAGTGTTTCCGGCAATGCAAGGCGACATTGCATTGTGGCCGTCACTCATGCACAGAGAGATGTTGCCCTGGAGAACAGAAGGCAATTGAACGTCAGGCTCTTCGTCGCAAGCTCAAGCCTCATCTCCGCCCTCTTGATGAGGATATTGAAGCAGAGCACATCTGTACTCGGATATGTGGTCGAATGCTGAAATGCGGCCGACACTCATGTCCAGAGCTTTGCCACAAAGGTCCTTGCAATACCTGTCGGGAGGCAATCTTTGAAGAGATTGCCTGTAACTGCGGAAGATCCATCCTATATCCGCCGCAACCCTGCGGTACTCAGCCCCCTCCATGCTCATTTCCGTGTGCCCGACCTAAGTCTTGCGGTCACCCTCAAACGGCGCACAACTGCCATATGAACGCAGATGGCTGTCCCAAATGTCCATTCTTGACCGAGAAAGATTGTTTGTGTGGCAAAAAGGTAATGAAAAACGTGCCTTGCTGGCTCACAGATGCCCGCTGTGGTCAGCCTTGTGGTCAACCACTCAAGTGCGGATCTCATTTCTGCAAAAAGGATTGCCACCGCCCGGGCGAATGCGAAGATGCGGACAAGCCCTGTCAGCAGGCTTGCGGAAAGACCAAATCTCTTTGTGGTCATCCCTGTACAGAGGCCTGCCATGCACCTTTCCCATGCCCAGAGAGGACAGCCTGCCCGTCAATGATTACAGTAACATGTGGCTGTGGACGTTTGCGTCAGCAGAGACGCTGTGGTGCGTCCAAGGCTGTCACATCCAAGGGCCAGGTTCAACAACCGGAACGGTTGCCTTCACTAACTCCGTTGAATTGCGATGACGAGTGCACCCGTTTGGAGCGTAACCGATCTTTGGCCTCTGCTCTTGGGATTGATATCAACCCGAGTACGACAGTGCAGGCTTTTACCTCCAGCAATCTCCCGTATTCCACTGAAACCCTCGATCAGTACGTTAAACTCGCATCTTCAGTCCCTCTGTCGACACTGCAAACATACGAGGCAACCTTGCACTCCCTAGCCACCGATCCCACGAATCGGTCCGTCCGCTTCCAGCCCGCCAAATCGACACTCCGGTCATATAGCCATTCTCTTGCGACTGACTGGGGCTTCAACACTGAAAGTCACGATCCTGAGCCCCATCGCCATGTCTTCGTGCTCAAGCCTCTTGCCTGGACGCCACCAGTTTTCGGCATGGGCACTGGTTCGTCCATTGGCATTGGCGGCATGAGTGTCCGCGAATGTGTCAAACTCCGCGAGCGAGAGTTGACTAAAGAGCGCGATGCTCAACGTGCAGCCGCTCTCGAGGCCAAGGCTGCGCGTGATGCGGCAAAAACGCAAGCAGGATCCGACGGTTGGGCTCAGGTTGCATCTCGGAGCAAGGCAGCGCTTCTAGTACCAGAAGCACTACGCCGGTCCAGAGCTCGTTCACGGGTCGAACTATGTTCTCTGCTCTTGATCAGAATAGAAACATGCCGTCTGACTCCAAGAAGGAGCGTTTGGTCCTTCGCTCGGGCGTTGGAACCAGCAAGACTTTGCGCTCGCAGCCTCCTGCTGAAATTTTTGACAGCTGGGAGGACGCAGAGGAGAAGGAAGAAGAGGAAGAAAGACAGGATGAGAAAATGAATGCTGAGAGGAAGGAGGCTGTGCCTCAAGAGACGCAAGAGAGTTCACCTGAGGTCCTTGAAGTTTCCGAAACTCCTGTTCCCGAAGCTTCTGCTCCTTCCGCTCCGGCGGAGCAGGATAAGCCAGTCGAGGCCAGTGAAGTGCCAACACCTGATTTGATGCCCGTGGCTGATGTGGCATACTCAGATGCTTGACTACATCTTCATGACTATGACTCATGATTGTGAGAGAAGACCACTTGCCCTTGTTTTTTTTTTTTTTTTTTTGCATATGATACCCTGGTAGCATCTGGGGACCTTGGAGCATCAGTCTCACTCGGTGTCCACCCGTTTGCGGGATCTTTGTTTGATTAGTAGCTGCCGATCTTCACAGAGAAGGTTTTTCAAAAAAATTATAGATATATGCACAGAGTGAATGAAGTCCAATTACATCCAAACCACCTCAACTTCGATCATGTGCATAGATCTTTAGGCGTCAAAGTGAGTCCACTCCAACTTTCTGACACTCAATCATTCTCGGCAGAAGCTGGTACGACTTTGACAAACATCAAACAACCCTCATCAGACGCGACATAAGGCCCATGCTCCATTCCAGGCTTTCGATAGGCATATGCCCCAATACCCCACCTCTTTCCCAGCATAAGATCCTTCAGTCCTCCCTTGAGAACGCACACTTCTTCGGTGAAAGTATGTGTAATTGGCTGGTTTGTTGTAGCAGTGTACGGTTCCCACCATTGAAGCACGGCCTTATGTTCTGCATCTCCGTTCAGAAGTAGCTCCCAGATCCCTGCAGTGACGAGGTACCAAGGCTTTGCGGAGGCGGAGTCTGGGGACGTTCCTGGTGCGGGCAGAGGTGGTGGGGTGGTGAATTCTTTTTGAACGAAGGCCATTTTGATAAATTGCAATTCAACTTGATAGAATTGGTTAAGATCCTGATGTAAACAGAACCAAGGAGCGACCAAGGAGCTGAATGATGGCATCCGCTGACAAAGTGGGCTTTTCCCGATGGATCGGGAAAAGCAAATGATCCACCCACGGTCCTTAGAAATGCCATCTACGGGATAGTATCAATTCAATCGTTTAATCCTTCTTCTCCATGTAACGCAAGCAAGCTTGATAGATCTCCTTGTAACCAGGAAACTCCATTATCTTCTGAAAGACACCCTCATCAACAACCCTCGCAGCTTGAAGAGACCCCGCAATGAAGTCAGTATAGCTCGGCTTCGCGCCTAGCACGGATGGCCCATCCGCCTTCTTCGTCTGCATCAATTCAGCGACAGCGCGCATACTGTCGCTTGCCTGGTCCCAGTACTCGGCCTCATGGACGAGTAAGTCTTCGAGCGAATGCCCGAGGGAGGCCTCTCGCGTACGTCGGAAGTACTCCTGTGCTCGTGGAGATAGAATATGTATCTCGCGCGGCATCACTGCAGACCGGAGCACTGCACCGACTATCCGGCGTGCTTTAGTCTCGATCTCATTGCCGAGGCTTGACATCAGCGGTACTGGCTGGTCTGGGTAGGTTGACTCGAGAAATTCCGCGATGAGGGCTGATTCGAAGATGTACTTATTGCTTGAATTACGGAGAATAACTGGTACTGTGTATCGAATGTCGGTTCCAGGAGAAGCTTCGGCGGGGTGTACGTTACTGTGAAACGTTCCGTCTGGGGCTTTTTCTCACGCGGAACCATTTGCTTTCGTAGCTACGCGTTGACATATGAAGCACAGGCAAGCTTGGCTGGGGACATGGGACTGGAATGAATGAGACGATTCTGGCACACAGGCTTTGCAAAGTTGGCTGAATATCGGTAAATTCAATGGACTTTGTCTGATAAGGGATACACTTGTAATTGAGCATAAGGCGGATGCGCCAAGCAACTGGAGAGAAGCAGACATTCTTGGTGCAGGCCAAGTCGAATAAAACAATTTCTGGCTCATTTTGAGCAGTCATTCTAGGTTATTCTTCAGTGAGGGCTTGAGTCAGATTCGTTTTGCGAAAGTGTTGGTGTAAACTGATATGTTTCATGTCCAAAGGATGCCTTAATTTTGTACTGCATCTCTCTAGTGGAGCATGTGTATGTGCTTATGTCATGTTATGACATTAGTGGGTTTTTCCCGATCTTCTTATCGTCAACCAGCTTCCTCTATTCCACAGTCTTGTTGATCAACATGGCATCCTTCAGGCTCCAGGGATTTCAATCCGTCTTTCGAGGTCAGACGCGCCTGCTACGGAACCAGCAGCGTCGTTGGGCGGAAGTCCACGACGTGCGCTACCTTGCGTCGCATCACGATCCCAAGTATGTGTTGGACAAATATCGGGCGAAGCTCGACGAGAAGGCCAGGCAGTAAGTGTACCTTTTCGGATAGATCCAGTATGATTTAATTGACAATACACCTCTTACAGAGAGGGCCATGATTCCGTCGAATCTTTGAAGGAGGCCTACACCGAGAAAATTCAAGACTTACGCCGCAAAGCATCCACCGTCGCAACACCAGAGCCCAAGACTGCTTCATCAACCATCACCGGAACATCGCCTTCTTTCCAAGCTCCTCCGCCGCCAAAGGCCGACCCCACTGTCAAGGCCGCGCGCAAGGCTTCTAGCAGCGAAACCCCCATTAAACCGCTCAGCACATACCTAGATGTCGACAAGATCCGCGAGCTTCCAGCAAAAGAAATCGAGGCCTTGTGGCGCCTCCGCTTCGCCAACGACGGCACCTCCATCACTGCCGCCATTCCTCTAGATGTTTACAAACGCATTGCCCACGCCGCGCGTCACAACCCACAATTCGTCCTTCCCCTCCCGCGCCAGCAGACCGACGACATCGGTCCCGATGAAGTCGACGCCGACGGCAACCCGCTCGGCTCGGGTGCGGATATTCACTTCCTGCAGTGGGCCTTCCACCCGCCGGCGGAGGAGTCTGCTAAGCCCAAGGGCGAGACTGCCAACACACACACATCGACTGTGATCTTCACGCACCTCGGTGCGTTCAAGATGCATGGTTCGTATGCTCAGCCGCATACTACCGTTACCCATCATCTTGATCTGGCGGATGACAAAGGATTGGTCCTTATGCATGGGCAGGTTGTTCCGGACCGGGGCGTCTCGACTACTGAGGCTACGTGGTTGGTCAGCTGTGTGCAGCGATTCTATGATTTCGAGGGCCAGGCTAGTGGCCGGAAGAGCGAGTTGGTGAAGATGTTCACTCGCGGTGATGTAGAGAACTTCAAGATTGATGAGCTCCTCGAGGAGGCTGAGCGCATCAACTAGAGGTTTCTTTGCTTGATAGATCACATTGGGCTCATACCTGATGACCTGTACTATATGTGTCCATTTGACAAGTGGACTGAGACTTGGTCCAGCATTACCTTAGAGCTGGATTGGGGCTATACAACTGACTTTGTATAATAAAGACTTTCACAATATTACAATCATCCTACGAACAGAGTCTTCTCTTGAATTTCGTATATTTTCCCCGTCATTGAAGCAATGCAGAATCGATATGTGTGACAAGTGGTACAAGAATCGAGGAAAGCAACATGCCTCTCTCATATCTACACGAAATCGTGACCCCGAAAAAGAAGAAAAAACCCCCCAGAAGGACAACCCATTAGCAAAAATGGATATCAGCATTCATGCACACGAGAAGAGGAAAAGGAGCCTCAAACATTAAAAAACACAAAACTCCGGGACTAAAAGTCGCTTGTATCACATAGACCTGGAGAGAAAGGGAAACATGGCGCCAGTGGTTTTGCACAGGCAGAAACTTACTGATTCAAACAACTGATCCGGGATTTCAGATAGCGAATGACCATACAGATAGTCTTTCGAGCCAGAAATGATGAGCAAAAGAAACAGCTAAGGTCTTGCGCTGTGGGCGGGTATCATGGCATGTGGTCCATGCTAGAAAGTCGAAGCTAGGGGAATGACCAATGCTTCCAAAGTGGGATCATTATTATATCATAAGGTTACTCGTGTTCGACCTCCTCACGAATGAAGGAGTGAATGTGGTCAAAGTAGCCTGGTTCGGCTACGGAGTCGTTGTGGCCGCCGTTGGGCAGTGTGCGCCAGACTTTGCGCTCAGACCGGCAAACAGCGAAGAGTTGGGTCATGTTTGATGGCCTGTGCGTTATTAGTATTGGCCAAATGAAGATGAATGGTCTGCTACATACGGCACAAGCTCGTCCTTGAGCCCACTCAAGAAGAGAATCGGCACCTTGGTGATCTTAGGCATGACATCTTCGCTCGTCCAGTATTGGTGGCATAGGCGAGCAAGATATCTAGCAGGAGGGAATACGCTGGTATGATATTAGATCAGGTTCTGTAACATCAAAACCCGCCGAGCAAACTCACCTAGGGATCAGCTTGCGGATACTCAAGAAAGTATTCTCCAAGATCAATCCACTAATGTCGCCCTGCTCCTGGTTTGTGGCAACCAGATTGATAGCCACAGCACCGCCCAGACTTTGACCATAGATTACAAACTTTGTATCACTGAGCTCGGGCCGTTGGCGCATGTAGTCAAGACCAGTTTGAGCATCAATTTTCAGGCCTGTCTCATCCGGTGTGCCGGTCGACAGACCGTAACCCCGATACTCTAAAAGGATAACATTGCACTGAAGTGTGTCCTGGATCGCCTTGGCGATGGGAACTCGGTGACCGATGTTACCGGCATTTCCATGAAACATGAGGACAGTAATGTCGCGACGAAAGCGAGTCTTCGGTTGCCGTAAGAAGAAGGCGTGTAGTGTCTCGCCATCTGGCGTCGGAATCTGAAGGTCCTCAAAGTCTGTGATGCCGAACTGACGGGGGCTCGGGACTTCAGTTCGCGCATCGACGGGGACATTGCGGGGGTATATCAATTCACTAGATACTGTGTCAATAACGGAAAGGTCTTGAGGAGGGATGGTTCCACAGGCTTCACACTTTTGCTTGAAATATAAAAGGCCGCTTGCGACCACGGCTGAGACCGGATGATGCCAGTACGGGAAGCCGTAGGAATGTCATGGCGCTATTGGCCATGTTGCTGATGCTCCAGGCTGGGGGTGGATGAGGTGAATCGGACATGGCGACCAGGTTCGGAAACGAGTGTGATGTGGTTGAAAGAATGGTGGGTTTGAAACAAGTCAGTACTTGAATCGTTGCACCAGGCTCAAAGGAATTGATAAACCCAAGGAGCGAGATGCTCGTTTCAGGAGACTCGGAGTTGGCGATAGGGCGATGCGCCCTATCAAACGCTGGGTCACCGCTCACCGCCCGAGCTGGACGCGTTGAGCTTCTGCCTTCCTTACAGCTACTTGATCACATCCATCTCCTTGCACTTCACCTCCCCCTTTATTCCTTGGACCATTCTATTTCCTCATTATTGACATTATTGCACTCGAATTACACAATGGTTTCCAGCCACGGCGTTACGGGAATGCTGGGTGAAGGTGAGCTCGAGCTATCGTCATCGTCTCGTGGGTAGAGGAGCTAACATCCATCGTGTAGATGGCATCCACGTCGATATGCAGCATCTGAAGAGTGGAGAGGTCAAGTAAGTCTCTTCCGGAGAATGATTCCGTTTGTATCTTGAGCCAAATGCTGACCCGCTACGTTTTTAGCCTTGGAACCTCCATGTGAGTGAACTGGAGCTCGACATTCCTCTTCTTTCGACTGCAGCTTCTAACCAGTCCGCAGCATGGCAATCAACTTCAAGGACGGCGTTATTTTGGGCGCCGACAGCCGCACAACCACTGGCGCTTATATTGCCAATCGAGTCACCGATAAATTGACACAGGTGCACGACACCATCTGGTGCTGCCGCTCTGGTTCGGCCGCGGACACCCAGGCCGTGGCAGACATTGTCTCCTACCATCTCAACATGTACGGCGTTGTCAACAACGAGGCTCCCAGCACGCAGGTGGCCGCTTCGCTCTTCCAGGAATTGTGCTATGAGAACAAGGATGCGCTTAGGTTAGCTCTTACTCTGCACGTCGAGATGACTCCATGCTGACTGATTACAGCGCGGGCATCATTATTGCCGGATACGATCCCAAGCACGGCGGCCAAGTGTACTCGATACCGCTGGGCGGCTCCCTACACAAGCAATCATTCGCGATCGGCGGCTCTGGCTCGACCTACATCTACGGTTATACCGACGCACACTGGAAAGAGCAGATGACGGAGGAGGAGGGCATCGATTTCGTGCGGAACTCGTTGCAGGAGGCGATCAAGTGGGATGGTAGCTCTGGAGGCGTGATTCGTATGGTGGTCTTGACCAAGAAGGGCGCCGTGCGGCACCTGTACCTACCGGACACCAACTACACCGGGCCCGGCGTGACAAATTAATGAGTGATGTACGAATAGCATCTTTTCGAGTCTCGAAACATTGGCATGGTATCATGAACCTCGACCCAGTGCAGGTCATGCACCCCAGGCGGGAATGCATCCTGTCATATGCACAAGTCGTGAATCTCGGGCACTCCCAAGGCTTGGGTAGCAACGGCTATCGGGAATCTCGTGAATCATGCCATTAGGAGAAACTGGGGGCCCATCTCATAGACCTCGAATAAGATCCCTGACCGTAAGACGTAGAATATATCCCAAGGTTCTGGGAATTCCCTAGTCAATTACATCATGGGTGGTGGCCCCATAGTGGATGAATAGGAGATGCATCTTTACATCTCACATCTGCAGCATCCACGGACGGGGGAACCTAGGGATCAACCTATATAACCCGCATGGCGTGAGCATTGGACGAGATAGGCTACCTCCAAAGAATGGTAAATTCAATTGCAGTCAATACCCATTTTTCCCCGGTTCCCCGTCAGCGGATTCATCCGTGAAGTCTAGTAGAGAATCAAGGGCGGCCATGGCACCACGGGCGCGCACATCGGGCTGTCATTCGCCCGGTATTTAGACGCTACACCGTCTTTTATATCCCCAAGCCCCCGATAAGAGTCAACTCGATGTGTCCCACATTCTCTTCCAAGATTCCCTTGTATAGCTCCCAGGATGTGAGATATGATAGTTGAGATGTGCCTTGGGATGACTGCCACGTTGGTCTGGACCTATATATTTCCTTGTATTATTTCTCCTAGAAACTTTTCTTTTCTTTCTCCTTCTCTCTCCCTTCCGTGATTCTGGCCATCGCAAAGTAGATCTTAGTTGAAACGAAAATCCCCCTTTTTTTATTTGGAGAAGAAGACCAGAGGCAGTTTCACCTTCCCGGTTCGACCATCCATCTCCACTGACCTCACCGTGGAACCGTTTCCTGCCACTTCCACTTAACATCTCTCTTCCTAAGCTCACGGCCCAAAAAAGCTATCCTGTTTTCCCTTCAGCAATGGCTCGGATCGGCGCTTTCTGGTGATCGAACCCCCTCCCCTTCTCTGCCGGGGTCGAACTTGATTCGCGCTCTGGTCCTTGAAATCGCCTTGTCCAGGCCAATCGTCATCGAATGTAAAAACCCCCCCCCTCTCTTTCTCGGTTCTCTTGCCTCTCTCTCTCCATTCGGATGTTGCCCCTCAATCGTGAGAGCTGTTTCCAAAGCTCAATGGGTTCCTTGCTGACCCGGCCTGCGCAATTTAGAGACCCGGCATCACCTTGATATGGGCTCCGTCATTCTCAACCACGTGCCGGAACAGATCGACAAGATGTTGAGTACGCGCAACGACTACCCTGAATACACCGAATACACCCGCGCGTCTCAACTAGAGGGACGCTCTAGATCAACATCCTCCAACTCGACCCCCACTTCCACCGCCCCGCCAACCACCGTAGGCTCTGCTCGGCTTCCTGCGCATCTGGATGTCCCCGCCTACATCAACTCACACACTCCTTCCACTCGGGCCCCCTCCGACCATCCGTCCCATCCCCCGCCTTCGATGACCTCCCACTCAAACTATGGGCTTGCTCGCGATCATCCATCATATTCTAACACCGCCACGCCATACTCGAGTGGCCATGCCGCCGACTCCATGACCTCCGAGTCCCACCCGTTTACCCAGTCCTCACCCGAGTCGCCACGATTGCAACCGACATTCCGATCGATGCAGTCTCTTGGAAATTCAGAAGCCAACTCACCAAGCCGAATTCGTGTCCAGAGCTTGTCGCACATCCAGAGTCTAGCCAGCGAAGAATTCCTGGCCAGATCTCAGAACCCGGGCCATGGCACTCAACCGCGCCACTTCGAGATCAGCTCCATGCCCGTCACCGAGATCATTGAAATGGTTGCCGGGCTCCTCACCAAGATCACTACCACCAACGACACCCATCACGAACACGTTCATCGCCACATCCCTCCCCCCGACGGCGCCTCCAATCTAACTCCCCAAGCAACCAGCGTTCTTGCCTTCCATGGCAAGAACGTCCCCAGCATCACCATTCTCAGTTACCTCACTCGCATACATAAGTACTGCCCGACTACCTACGAGGTATTCCTCAGCTTGCTGGTCTATTTCGACCGCATGACTGAACTGGTCAACAGTGGGCAAACCGACCATGTACAGCAAAGATATGAACCGACCCCATCTACCGATTCAGATTCATATCACTCCCCGGCAGGCCGACACGTGCAGGATACCTCGATGGTCACACCCCCTCCTCGACAGGCATGACAGCTTCAGACCCCAAGGGCCCGAACGCATCCGTCTCTCCCGCTCTATATCCCCAGGCCGAGGACGAGAGCCTCTCTCACTTTTTCGTCGTCGATAGCTTTAATATCCACCGACTGGTCATCGCGGGCGTGACTTGTGCGAGTAAATTCTTCTCCGATGTCTTTTATACCAATTCACGCTACGCAAAGGTATGCTTTCTTCACTTGTCAGGACGCATCCCCGTCTCTAATCCAGTATACAGGTTGGAGGCCTTCCGCTTGTGGAACTTAATCATTTGGAACTGCAGTTCCTATTACTCAACGATTTCCGACTTGCCATCCCGGTTGAGGAGCTCGAGTCCTATGGCACTATGCTCGTAGAGTTCTACGCTCGAGAGGTCGTCGCTCAACAACAACAGATGGCCGCGCCCCGAGCTATCCCACAGTCCATACCGGATTCCCAATCGGATGACATGTACATGCGGTCTCACGAGAAGCGCCGCGATCACGGGCTTGGACAGACGCCAACACCGCCTTAAGTCACCATTTCTTTCGCTTCAAGGCAAGCCCAGACCGCCAGACTATACCATCTCGCTTATATTCGCGCAATTGTCTGTGCCTCAACGCTGAGCGTTCACTTTACACCGGTTGTCCTATCTTCCAGGGGTATCCCTTTTCGCTCCTGATCCTCATCGGGACCGGTTTTCTTTATTTGTCTTCCCATACTCAATTCTCACTTCCGGGTCTGCAATTTGCCTAGCGCATTTACACGTCATGACTGTATAGATTTTTCCTCTCTCGTTGTCTGTTTGTGGAGCTTTCGGGTTACTCTTACTGCTATTCCCCCGTCTGCAACTTTTGAACTTACTAAATTTTCATATATTACACATCTAGTGAGCCGTTTTTACCGGATTGTCCGTTTGTTTTTATTACCTTGATGTTCTTTATGTTAGTCTTCTGTTCGACATGGTTCGGAGTTGAGGGCGTGTCTTGTTGCATTTGCGATGTCTGGGTTCTGGGTTCTCAAGGATGAGTGAGCAATCTTCAATTCTACTCTTTCCGTCTGCAGTATCTTCAGTCGTAATTTGATGTAATTGTTTTAGATTTCACAGTGGAAGGGAGAGGTGGTGAAACTAGCTTCATGTGTTGTTAAATGGACTGGGTAGACTGCAGCATCGACGTCTCGGAACTGACGCCTATCGAGCTCGACAAAAAATGGAGCGCTTGTACTGAGGAAAAAAGGAAAAATTCGGAGGCCTCAGATCCGATTAGTGAATGTTTCCATCTCCTTGGGTGAGTTGCGCCTTGTCGCCTCACAACGGTACAGCTTGGTAATTAAAAGCTCTGATGATTATGATGCTATTATCTTGTCGCAACGTAGAATGCAAATTTGATCAACTTCCAGGTATGATGTCATTACTGTATCCTGTCATAGCTCAAATTCTCCTATATGACTGTGAGGAAGCTAGGTAGGTCAAAGTTTGAACAAATATACATTGGCTCTTATCAGGGACCGAGACTGTACACATCTTGTATGCTCTTCTACAGTCCATCCTTTTGAGATCGATCTTGACAGCTTTTGATAGTTCGGACTATATATACTGACATCATAGACTGTCAAACGGGGCAAACTGAGGTGTAGATACTGAGAGTAGCAGAAAGTAAATTCCGGAGAAGTCTCTGAGTAGTGTTAATGCGAATTTCAGCTTTTATTATAGCTTGCCATGTTGTGTAATCGACATTCAACTTCTGTTGTTGCTAAAAATATGACCCGGCAAGGAAAGCTAGCCTAAAAGGAGGATTGTATCTCTCTCTTATAGATTCGGTCTGGGTCCCACTTGATAAAGTCGATTAGAGGCCTGGTGGCTCCAAGGATCAATCAGGGAGCATACTTGCCTTTGATCTAGAAATCCAGCTCTCTGTCCTAGAGCTGGACCGACGGTTAAATTTCCCAATGCGACCTGTGCCGCTGCTAGCGGGGAAGCGGTGCCAGTTGCAGCAATCATCGGGACAAGAGTATCGTAGACATGCAGACACGACGATAGCACTGATTTCGATCACCCACCTTGGAAGCTTAGTGAGGCGGGTCTCTGCTACTAGCACGGCCATCTGCTTTACTGGGCTCACTCGCTGTCGTCCGCTGTCGGGAGCTTTACCAAATAAGGTTACGGAACCGATCCTCGGCGGCAAAGGAACTACACGATCAGATCGAATCTACACCATTACTGATGTCAGTAGTAGCTAAATCAGGGGTCTCGCCGTAATCTCAGTCTAGACGACTATATAAGTCCACGGTAGATCCAAGGAGTTTTCAGAGCGATGTAAGATTAATCCTCTTGCAATTTGTGCGAATCTCTTCCTCTCAACGCAACATTGCAGTCTCATCATGAACAGACTTATTTCATCCAAATGTCTCAAATGCCCTAGCTTTCGGGCAGGCAAGTGTGCGGAGCTCCCAAGCGACTTCTAGCAACTGAAATGTCGCCGCCCACTCGCAAAGACAAGCAAGAGGGCTATATTTCCTCGGTATTTTCCACCTTTTCTGGCAAGAAGAGCGCACCATTGCCGGACCGGTTCCGGGACTTGAAGCGTCACTTGACAACTGGTTTAGAAGAGGAAATCCAGAAGTTGTGGGATGATCTAGTTGAAACTTTGAAAGTACGAACTGAGGAGGTCGCTACCAAGCGAGAGTCGGTATGTTTCATCGCGTCCTTCTAATCGAGTCACATACCGACCAACGGCAGATTATTCCCCAACTGAAGTTTGCCGATCTTAAAGCTGGTAGTGTTTCGCCAGCGAACATTGAAGCCATCCGGCGCACGGGTGTCGCCGTCATTAGAGGGGTTATGCCGAAAGATGTCGCTACAGGGCTTCTCTCTGATGTTCGTCAATAATTCGACGCACATTTCTTCAAAGGCTTCCCTTCTGAGGCAAAAAAGAAGGTAATGGTTAATATTAATCCATGTTCGAGCTTGTATTGACCCTAATCAGGTGATTTACGAATCGTACTGAAGCCCTTCTCAGGTGAAGGCACGATCGCACCCCAACATGCTCGCCACACAATCATGGATAAACCAACTCTATTCTGCTGACGAAGACCAAAAAAGTGATGAAAACCTCTATGATGAAACTTCATGGACTTGACTAAAATCATACAGTTGATCTCTCGGTTCCGCTGACCTATTGTGATCGTCTCCAAATCCGCCCACCCGGCGATAGACACTTCGGGCTCCCCCTCACGTCGATGGTGGAGGAATTGGGCGATGGGAGGATCGCTCATACAACCACGTATACCGCAAGATCTTCCAAGGAAAGGTAAGTTAGTGTGTGCTGTGGTACTTGTCAGTTCAGCATGCTCATGTTGTAGCAGTGGCAGGAGTACGACCCCTGGGATTTGACTGGCCGCCTGGATGCCAATATGAATATACATGAAGGACCAAGAGGCTGCTCAGTCTTCAGAACCTTCCCAAGCTGGCTCGGGCTGTCTCGTCACGGACCCCAGCAAGGTGAGTTGCACATGAACATACACCTCATTCAACGTTGATCGCTAATCATATCAGGTACTCTTGTGGTTCACCCTATCTTACAGCCAACCACTGCTTACTGGATGCTTCGACCCTTCTTCAAGCCCATTCGAAAGGGCTCTCTGGATGGATGGAAGTTTTCCCTCGATGATGGGGAAGGTGATGTCTATCTGCACGGTGCCAAACCGGGAACTGCACAGGAGCATACTCCCGACCACCGCCCCCATCTAAGACTCTGCGAGACCATGATCCCGTACCCTACTGTTGAGTCAGGCGACACCGGTAAATCGACATCTTGATTTGCAAAATGGACGTAGCTAATGTTTGACAGTGTTCTGGAGCGCTGATACTATCCACGGCACCGAGGCGGTTAACACAGGAGACAACGATGCTTGTGTGTTTTACATTCCATCCGTTCCTCTGGACCCCAACAATGCGGTAAGTTGATTCGAAATACTAGTACGCGGGCTTTCCACTAACCTCACGTATCAATACGTTGCACAGCAACGTGATGCTTTCATGAAGGGTATTCCTCCACCAGACTTCCCGGGTGGTCTTGGTGAGAGTCAGTTTTCGGATAGAGCTTCTGTTAAAGACGTGCAGACTGAAGCCGGCAAAATGGCCATGGGCTTGAGTCCTATTAAACTCAATGGAAAGAGCGAAAAGTCAATCAAAATTAAGAGCGATATTAACAAGACCTTGGGCTATTGAGGGCGGCTATATCGGGGTTGCGTCGCCGTGCAAAGGGAATTCCTATCTTGCTAACTAGTTCAATACAAACATGAAAATAATAAAACTTCAAATACTTACTTCATAACAGGATGCCTCTTTGAATCTCTTTTTCTTCCAAAATTCGCGTCCTTCGCAATAACAAGGAGAAGAAAATAAAAGACATGCTATTGTATGTCTAAGGTGGTGGTCACCCAGCGCCCACGGATCGGGCGTGAGCGGCTCGCTCTATTCATTCCTCAGCATGGCAATCCGGGCAGATATTCGCCCACCTGAATATTTGCATGCGAAATCCATCAAGGTATTAACTGTAGAGCGCCTTAGACAGAAAAAAAGATATGGTAATCCAAGCGAGTAGTTTGGGGGCCAAGAAATCTGTAATACCAAAGGCTCAACATGCACGATCTATTGACCCATGTAGACCTAGCACCTGCCTGCCCGCCCATATTTGGCCTGTGTGTTCCTAATTTGGCCTAAGGTCTAAGTTGTGAAAATGGTTTTAATTCTTGGTGGATTTAATGAATTTCTAGGAGGTTTCGAGCGGGACACTATAGGTCCAGAATGACACTACCATAAGTCAATATCCGGTAAAGCCTTGAAATTGTCATTAGATGGCAGTTCAGACAAGGTTACCGTGTTTCCATAGAATTAAAGGAAGAGCCACATGATATACAAACTCAGTTTAAAAAAATTGTTATCAACTTCCAATTCAGTAACAAGGCATACTAAGTGATGAGAGGGCTTGTTAAGGAGCAGCGAGAGGAGTTAGGTAGCACACGGGTATTCCAGATGTGTAGACGGGTTTACAGGTGATATATAGTATTGAGTTAGCTTAAGTTGATCTATTTTAAACGTGCATATTGCCTTTAATTTTGTAGATTTATTGTTGAGTTATGCTCCATTATGGAAAAAGTGACTAAATCATGTGACTATCCCTCAAATTCTATGCCAAGTCCTTGGAACGGTAAGTCTGAATCGCAATAATTACATGCTATCCGAAATACGAATACATTGGCATTCTAAATGCGCTCAATGCTGGTGTTCTTCCGGCCTTGTGATGTTCGTCCAGACGCCTGCAATCCCTTTTGTGTGTAGTAGCTGAGAGTCGGCTAAAAATACTACAAATATGCCGCGCTGTGTCCGCAGGCCCCCCCACCCACCTTTCAGCCCATGAGCTGTGCACCGAATTCAGTTCTTCTTTTTCCACACAAGCCAAATCAAAATGGATCTGAGCTATGATTCAGCTCGCATTAAAGGCAAAACCATACTTATCACCGGCGGCGCCTCGGGCTTTGGGGCTGGATTCAGTGCTCGCTGGGCAGCTGCCGGAGCAAACGTGATACTCGGCGACATCAATCCAGCCGGCGAAGAAGTCGCGGCGCGAATCCGCCAGGACACGCAAAACGAAAATGTTCATTTCATCCAGCTAGACGTCACATCTTGGACATCTCAGGTCAATTTCTTTCGAGAATCTCTGAGATTGAGTCCACATGGTGGAATCGATACCGTCGTTGCAAATGCTGGTATCAACGATAGCGAGGAATCTCGAGCCTTCGAAAACCCACACGTCGACTTTCTGAACGATCCCAGCCCGCCGGCCCCGAATTTCAAGACTTTAGATGTCAACCTCACCGGCGTCCTGTATACGGTGCACCTGGCGTTGTTCTTTCTACCGAAGAATCCGGGCTCGAAGCCGTGCGAACAGGAATCGGTTGCCTCGGAGTCGGGCCGAGACAGACATATCCTGCTCATGGGTTCCGTTGCTAGTTTACACCCGCTGATCACGCAGGCGCCGTATACCGTTTCAAAACATGCGGTGCTTGGCTTGTTCCGGAGTCTACGCGTGACAGCTCCCGTCAGCGCTGGTGTTCGAGTCAATATTATCTGCCCATACTATACTGATTCCACATTCATGCAAACGCCTGTTCGGGTACTATTGGCGGGAGTGCCACTCGGGCAAAGTGAGGATGTTATCGATGCGGCGTCATATTTGGTTGCAGATACAGCGTGTATTGGTCGCTCGCTGGTTACGGGACCCAAACTGAAACTTGACCCTTCGACGGGAGAATTGGAGGCTCTCCATGATGGAAACGATAAAGAAGGAGCTGTCTGGGAGTGCTATCTACATGACTCGGACCCAGCAGATATCTTCACTCAACGCATGCTTACGGTTGTTAATGCTGCTGTGAAGGCCAAAGGATGGGCGGGTTGGGTGTCTGGTATGGCTGCTGCATTGACTTGGCCAGTTCGCCAATGGTGGACTTCAAGATGAGCTCTTGAGCATTTCAACGTGACCTTACTGTGTTTTTGGCTACAGCGCAATGTACTTGCAATGTACTTTGGGGGTTTGAATAGGATTGATCTCATGGTTGGCATTAGTAGCAGCGTGCCTAGCCTAAAGCATAACATCTGTCTAGGAGATATAGTCAGCGCTACTCGCGGTAGGCTACGTCAGCGCTTCAGGCACGTGCAGGATATTAGGTGCTAAAAGTGGTGTTCAGGGCACTAGGTGAATATATATACGTGGATGCCCTGAATGGGGTGTAGAATAGGGCGGCAAGGGAAACTTCGTCGACGAATCTTGGTAAGAAAAAGAGAACAAAAACATACAACAGCAGGGATTCGCTGGTGGTCACCCACCCAACTACTAACCTGCCGGCGTGTGGCTTAAGTACGGCTGAGCGGACGGGAAGCCCTGTTCTCCACACCCTATGGTCGTATGTGCTAGGGTTATGTTCAAAAAGCATTATCTACAAATCTTGGTACAGTGTCGACCGCTTTCGCCTTCCATGTCGAATACATAGAGAAGCTGTTTCAAACCCTAATCATGTGATCAGCTAATTCAGACATGGATAGCATGTAATTAACCCGTTTTGTGGCTAACCAAGTAATGTATACCCTAATACTAAATTACAAGTATGAAATATACAGTTATTTACTCCCGACTTTCTAGGCTGGAAGATTCCATGCAAACCATGCAAATAGAGTAGTCGTTGAATAGGCAAGCTGCCACCAGTCCCTCTTTGTATCTTGCGGTTTCATTACTACAGAGCACCTAGTGCTTTTCTGTGTGTCTGCCCGGGATGAGGTTGCTGTGTGAGGCTCGATCGACAGTAAGGCTTATTTGTAATCCCCGCCGCTGTCATCATGCCATCCTTTTGGATTTTATTGGACGCCAGAGATGTTTGCTAATCGCTTCTAGTTTAGTCTTCTTAGGCTTCCCTCCCCCACTTTAACGATGACCAGTACCATTTATAGCGACGATGCTTATTAACCCTAGACGGGTCGTATATGGGACGACGATTCATAATATTGTGATTCGAGTAGGATTACATGTTAACTAAAGAGAACGTTTATGTTCTCGCTACATAGGGTCCGGGAGGAACCGGCAGGATACTGCCGGGCAGTGAGAAGACTACCGTTATATCAATTTCATATCCCATTCATATCTTCTTACCTGGCCCTTTACCTCCTCACACACTAGTACATATAGAATGAGAGTTATCTCCGCCCCCCAACAAATTGTCAGTGTTACCACTTATGAGTCAAGGCAAATTACGGAAAGCACTTCTAGATTCGTCATGTTGTAGTATAGAATTTTTAGCAGTGATGTCGTATTTTCTATACCAAAGCTTAAAACAATCTAAATCAAAGGGCTTCCCGCGCATATATAGTGGTCAAGAATCTGATTTGAGTCAATATTTCCTCCTGCCCGGTCTAATCTCTTGCTTTCTTCCTCTATCCTCCCGTGCTACCATCGATCCTCTGAACATCCTCAGTACCTATACTGGCCACCCACACGTCCTTTCGATGATGATATATCTCTGCTGCTAATTTTGTGCATTTTATTCGGTGCTGTTCATCGAGTGTGCCCGACTTCACGGCGATGACCCGCATGTCATTTTTTGATTGTGAGGTAAATGGTGTGCCGCAATCGGGACAAAACTCGCGTAGCACCTTCCCGCCTTTATTATCGCTATCCAAATATAACTTAGGGGAGCCCTTGATATATTGAAAAGCAGAGGATGGCACGATGATATTGGTGGAAAAGCCTGCGCCGGTATAGCGTTTGCAGTTTGTACAGTGGCAGATGATCAGCTATCAATCTTGTTAGTGGGAGACGTTTATCTGCAAAGGGGAAATGGATTTAAACGGTACATCGGGATATGACTCAGGGGTAGGCAAAATAACACGATATATGATGTTCTTGCAGAGGCAAGAGCCAGTCAAATAAGTCTGAGCCATAGAGGATCTTGAGTATTGAAGGATATCCCGTCCGGTTGTTCGAGAGTCCTAAGTCTCTTAAAGAGATTAGAATGGTTATAACGGATCAAAAGAAGAAAGACCACTGGTGACCACTATTTAATAGATACTTTTTGGCCCATCGAGACTGTACTAGCGCAATACTGGAACTATTTATAGAATATTGAATTATATATAGTGTAACTGGGATACTAGGGGAAACATAGATATTACAAACGGCCATATAAATCAAAGCTAGGAGTTTTAAAACCCAAATTAAACAATACAGCGACAAACACTTACCTCAAATTGGCCCCCCTAAGGCCTAGTAATTTATAGTTAAGGGTCTTTATTATAATGGTGTTTACGGTGTTTTGGAATTCACTCATCAGGGGTACATCAGGTGACTGTGTAGGTGGGGACGCTTCCCATTCTGTACTAGTGCAAGAAAGGCGGAACGGCGAGAAAGAAAAGAGTGAGAGAAAAGAGGCAAAAGCGGTTGCGGATACTACTAAACACTGATGAAGCAGATCTACTCTAAAGATTTTTTAATTGATACCTGAACGTTTGCACTGCGCCGAGTGGAGGAAGTTGAGGTACTAGGGATGGTGGTTCCCAGGGTGGTGGAGTCTGTGAACAACCTTGGGGTTCTCTACTCTAATCAGGGCAAGTTGAAGGAGGCAGAGGAGATGTACCAGCGAGCGCTGGTAGGCCAAGAGATGGCCCTAGGTCCCGATCAT